TTTCACTTGTTAAATTATGGTTAATTTTGGTCGCGAAATCGATCGCCTTTAGAGCGTGCGCAGGCGCGAAGAGTCGCGCGCGCACGCACATGCGCAAGGCAGCAAGCGCTGCACTTGTCGCACTTACACTACGCATGTCATGCGTATTCGCGCCACGCCCGCCCGCCCGTACTTTTGATACAGATGCTTGCAACCCCTTCGCAATCAATTGTTTTACAGATTCCGCTCGGACTGAGTTGAGCTGGAGCGTGGACGAAGCAATCCGGCTCTTCGACGCTGGGGGCGATTGCGATGAAGAAGTGAACCCACTTCATGAACGCACTACATTGGCCAAGAAGTTACGGACCCTCAACGGCGAGAGCAAAGCGGCGCAAGCCGCGCTGTTGGACGACAGGGCCGACAAATTAGTGGTGAACTCTTTGGCGGCCTCATCGCGCGTCGGCTACTCGTCCGCGCTTCGGAATTGGGAAAAATTTTGCAAGGCGCGAAACATCGCGGCCTTCCCTATCCAGTTCGCGGAGGTCCGGCGGTTCCTTTCGCTGGCTAATACCAGTGAGTCCGCCACTCAGTGGCTGGCTGCCTTGAAAAAGGCCTGCGTGGTCATCCGGGCACCCTTCTCCTTCGCCCCCTTCGAGGAGTTGGAAATTAGCACGCTGATCCAGGGGATCAAGAAGCAGCAGCCGCTGCAGAAGAAGGCGGTCGCGATACTCGGCCCGCACCTGTCGCTCATCTTGAGCGCCGCAGAGAAGGAGGAAAAAACGGAGCAGGCGATGCTGCTCGCCACGGGGTACTGCTTCCTCATGCGGGTGCAGAATGAGTGCGTCCCCCTGGAGCGGGCGACGGAAGAGATTCAAGCGATGTCTAGGCCGAGGCCCCAGGATGTTCGCACCGCCGGAAAGCATTCCGCCGTCATTGTCCGCGATGACGCCCTGGAGATTATCCTGGCCTCCAGGAAGCAGGAGCAGAGGGGCGTGAAGCTTTCCCGGGGTTGCTTCTGTGGAGGCTTCGATGTTTTTTCGGACTATTGCCCCGTCCACGTGCTCGGCAAATTTGTACAAAGCGTCGCACCAGGTGCGCGCCTCTTCCCGAACTGCAGCTATGTCGGCACGCTGCAGCATCTCCGGGAGGCCTTTGTGAGTCTCGGCCTTCAGGCCCATGGCAAGCCCGGTACTCAATCCCTCCGCCGGGGGGCGCTGCAAACTATGGAGTCGATTAACCCAAACGCGACCCAGCTGCTGTCGCTGGGGGACTGGTCTTCGTCCGCAATTCAGGAATACAGGGACCAGCGGCGCACCGAAGCGATCGCGGTCCAGAACACCTTCCTCCCGCTCGCCCGCGATGGCGAAAGTGACTCCGATTCCGAAGACCCCCCGCCGGCCACCAGCGGCGGGGGCAGCGATGTTGAGGGCGGGCCGCCGGTGAACGCCGGGCCCCCTCTCACTTAGTTTTGATGAAGATGTTTGCTTGAGCTCTCTCGCGACTCTCCCGACCTCGACATGGTCTAACACTTGTGCGCGTTACTGATACAAAATCACCTCGTGCGCACGCACGTCCTACCCAAAACAGCTCCCTACGAGCAATTTTGTGCGCGTCGCGAAAGCGCAGAGCAGCTCGCAGCTGCCCTCTTCTCGCAGCTCGTAGGTGCGCCTCTAGTGCGCGACCCGCATTTAGAGCGGAATTTGTGTTCGCGCTACGAACGCGCCAGTGCTAGACCCCAGCGCGAGGTCATCGACCAGGTGCACACCGAGTCGTGTGTCAGCTCGGGCGAACTTAGCTCTTTATCGATTGAGAATATATAAAAAATTAATGAAAATCAAAATCTGTGACGCTAGGGCATGCATCACAGACATCAGGAGTCATGCAAAATGTGCATGACAAACCTGGCAATCTTCCACCAGACCCAGACATTTTTACATTTGATACGCCTACAGCTCGGGCGAAAACTTTGTCAGGGGCGTGTGCGCTCTGGGAAGGTTGCTCGGCCGCGGTACTAGAAGGACAAGTAGAGCTACAAGCTCTGGCAGCTTTATCGCGGATTGGAAGCTGCTGGAGGAAGAGTTTGTTCTTCCAGTCGAGGGACAGGAAGCTCCAAGTGGAAGCTCTTTGCGAGTTGAAGGTTTTGACGTCGATAAGGCTGGTGCAAAAGTTCAGGTGGGTTACGACGCAGCAACGCCTTCTTTTTCCTCGTCCTCCGGAAAGCCAAATAAATGCGGACAACATGATTCCCCTGACATTGGCGCTGCCCCTGCCTTGTTCCACCGGTCTCCTGGTGGTGCCGCCGAGATGCGCACCACGAGTCCAGACGAAGAGCTGCGGCGCATTTCACAGCGAGGAGCACTAGCTGCTTCCGGAGAGGAACTAGCTGCCTTTGCTGCAACGAAGTCTGGTGCGATGGAAGTGGTTTCACGGGGGAAAGAACTGTCGAACAACGCTGCAGACCAAACGCCGCTGCTGCGCCAGGCGACGTCACATGGGAAATCCGAGACGGACGAGGTAGCGACGAGTGCTGTGGTTGCGGAGGATGAAGAAGGAGCGTCTTGTATGCAAGATACAGTTCTCACGCCAGCAGGCAGCTCGATTACTTCCCCGCCTCATCTCCCGCAATTTTTATCTCCGGAAGATCCGGCAGGTCAAGAAGGCTCCCCCACCTCTGGAGGTGGAGGTCCAGCGGAGATGGAAAATAATCAATTCGCGGAAATAAATCTCCTCCGCCTCACCTCCGCCATTCGGGAAAACGCGCGGCAGCGGGTGGAGAGGGAATTCCTGGTGGAAGATTTGCTGCACCATGCGGCGACGAGAAGGAATGGATATGAAACAAAAAGAAGGCAGGGTGTAAAAATATCGGCACAAAGCGAGGACAAAAAGGTCCAATTACAACACGAAGGAACGAAGCCGCCGACTTTGCTGCACGACAGCGAGAATGCGCGGACTCTCCTTCCTATCGTCGCGCTTCTCGAGGCGTTGCACTCCTTGCAGGCGCTGGACTGCGGGCTGTTTTTGGCGATTCTAAAACGCGTGAGGCCGCTGCTGGTTGTTGAGCCGTCGAGGGCGGTGGGAGACGAGGTAGAATCTTCAGCAGCATGTTTCTCTACTTCGTCTTCACGAGCGGCTGAACGATCAGAAGAAGAACAACTGGCATCCAGTGGAAGTAGTGTGCCATCAAAGACTAGCGCAGGAGCAAGCGATAAAAACGAAGTTGATGTAGCGGACAACTATGAAGATTGTAGCAGCAGCGGGGAGGCGGGGGCCGATGGCGAAGATGATCATAGGTCCAAGAACCTCCATGCGAGAGCCGCGAGATTGACATCTTCAGCCTCTGCAAGCAAGCGTTCTAGGAACGATAAGAAGAGGAAGATGAAGAGCATCAAAGCGCGTTACGTGTACACGCGGAATCGAAAGTTGGAGCGGAAGGAGTATTTGAAACGAGAGTACGAGAAGCATGTTCTGGCGAAACAGAAGGACGCACTGACCAGCTTTCAAAGATTTTTCCTTATCGGAATGCAGTATGTGTACTACTATCCTAGGCACGACGACCTCCACGTGGCGGACGCGGACGTCGGTAAAAATATTGGAACGAATGAAAATAAGAATCATTATCTTCACGCACGACACGGCAACCTAAACTTTTATGCTCGACATCTGGGGTTGAAATTGAAAACATCGCAAGATCAGTGTCACGAGGCAAAAATGACAGCGCAAATTGAAGACGCCAGACACGTTCTACACAACCTGTTTTACGAACGGTGCATAGGGGACGAGGGAGTTTCGACGTATAGGGAAGGGAGGAAGGGGCGGGGGGCGACATTTGTTTCGCAGAACAAGGAACTACGTGTTGAAGCCGGCGAATCATGCGAACAAGTAGCGATGAATGAAAACGATAACGAAGTTGCTCTTCTTGAAGATGAAGTGGCAAGAACACCGAACAGGAGCCCCGATCTTTCGGCACTCGCCGGCGCTCCAGTAGCCACCTCCGGTCAGCAGCACAGTGTCAGAAACCTGATTGCCTTTGCGAGTCGCTTGATATCATCTCAAGTAGGTGCCTCTTCGCGCAGGCCTTTGGAAGTAGCAGTGCCGTCTTCGACTTGGTCCGCAAACACAAGACTATCAGCTGCTGCGTCGCTAAGCGCAACAGCGCCTCTGCCCATCTGGATAACAAATCTCTTGCTCCAGGTGAGTCGCCAGATCCCGCAGGAAAAAAGATTTTCGAAGAAGAACACAGCAAGTGAAGACGCAAAGATGAGAACTACTGCGGCAAGAACCGAGTCCAGGGATGAATGCGAGAAGCTTTGCCTTTCTCTCGAACAAGACCCGGACACAGACGCGCAAGCGCGATTCATAAAACAACTAACCCAATGCCTGTTTTACTTTGAAGTTTACGGCGAAAGAAGTAGAAGCGATAGCAGTTCTGGTTCTCATGAGGCTTGTTCAGTTTCTGTTTCTCATGCGCCGTCTCCAGCACGACGAGATGAAAATCTCGACCACAAGGACCACGATGATTCTGCAGCACAAGTAGCACAAATGATCCGGAAGACCTGTCTGCCGTTTCTGATCGAGTTGCAATCTGAATTGTTGACGGCGGCAACAGTCGGGAAACGCGAGTTTCTGCACAAGCCCGCCTACTCCTACCCCATGAAAGACACCGTCGTGATGATTCTGAAGCTGATCCGGCTGTACAACTCGTCCGGTTCGTTTTCTTGCAACTCTACTACTTGTGCTGATGAAGCTGAAGGTGAAAAAGTAGGGCCAAGCGACACTTTTTTCTCCACGATCGCTGATGAGTATTTACGTTCAACCTCCGTCTTCTGCGGGGAGCAGGAAAAGAAGAAGTTTTTTCAGCCACCCACGAGGGGAAATGACATTGAAATAGCGGGTAGTGGTACTAGTAGTGCAACATCACCTACAGAACTCAAAAATCTACTGCCTCAGCAGAACCACAAAACCGGCGGCGAGGAAAGCGAGAACGGCAACACCGGCGCGTCTTTATTGCGACGTGAAGATCATCATGCAGCCAGGTTCTTGTACAACTACGATGCTTTGTCACAAGAAGAATTCAATGCGCTGATGCTGGGCGAGAATGGAATCGAGGAGGAAAAGAAGAACCAGACCGCGTGGGAGAGTCATGAGCATGTTGCTTTTTCTTCCCCTAGTACGTCGACCCGTGCAGAACGTTACTCCTTCAATACACCTAATGAGAGTTGTAATTTTATCATGAGCGAGGGAGTACCAATACTACATCAAATTCAAAGCCAAGAAACTCAAACAGCCAGGGCGCACTTGTGAAATAAAACAGTCCTGTGATTCTTCTACTTATCGACGAAAATAGTGAAAGCTCTGCACGTCGTGCACAACAAGACGGTGGCCGATCTGAAATGTTGACGGACACGGAGCTTTCAGCTTTATTGTATGCTTATGCTGATTATTATTCTTGGCGCGCCAATACTGTTCTTGGCGCGCCAATACTGTTCTTGGCGCCCCTAATAAAAATGTTTGAGGAGAGAACAACCTCGTGATGTTGCGAGCAGGTGCGACCTGTTCTGTGAAAAAATAAAAGTGAGTCGATGCAGGAGCGCAAAACATGAGGGAGCTCCTTGGATGGACCGTGCACAGAGGAAAACTAACAACTACGGGTGCTAGTAGCTGGATTTCAGCTCTGAGAAGCGCCGCTGGTGGGGACGAATTTTAGAAGTTTTATACACATTCATTTGTAATTTTTCCACCGTTTTTGCAACCGCAATTAGCTACGGAGGAACAAGGTGAACGAAACGTAAGAGAAGAAAAAAAATTGATTTTTTGACGTGGAGATCCAAATCGAGAAGATCTTCGTGCATCCAATTCAAAACTATCCACAGTAAATTTCCCGTACATGTGAAACTAAAAATGCGGTCTCGGCATGATCCTAATTTTTTTAGCATGACAATTGTTACACTGCAAATTGGTGAAATTTGTGATGCATCTTGTACATGTACGGGAAATTTGTATTGCATAAAAACCAAGATGGCCTACTCGCAGACCCTTTCCGGGTCCGACCGGGGGCTGCACATCGTTTTTCTCGGAGACCTATGCATTGCAAAAGTATCGTACTCGTATAAATGCATTACAAATTTCCCTGGCATGAGAAATAAAATTTGTAATGCTGATTTGTAATGCATAATTGCAGTACGAGTACGATGCTTTTGCACAGGATAAGACCCAGAGATAGGCCAGTCGACACTGCTGAAGTATTTCAGAAAGGAAACTCCCGTATCAAGTGTAAAAATGTCTGGGTCTGGAAGAATCATGCTGCTTCTGCATGACACAGGAGGTCTGGCATGGAAGCTCTAGCGTCACAGGTTTCGAGAAGCTTCCGCAATGCCGAATCCGCATGACAAATCCCCCACTTTGGTGACAGAAAGTGAGCAGCTTTTGCTGCCTATGCATCAGAGATTTTTGTGTGTTCTGAAATGCGCATCACAAGTTACATCCTTCCAGACCCTGACATTTTTGCGCTTGATATCCCGGCACGGTAAACAACGTCGGAGTGGCGACCCCGTTATGGATTGCAAAAGTTAAAGTATCGTACTGGTACTAGTAGTGCTTCGCATTACAAATTCACTCAGCATGACAAATGGAATTGGTCATGCTGTTTTACCTTGGAATGGGGATTTGTAATGCATGACTGCGATTACTACGAGAAGTGCGATACTTTTGCACAGGATACCCGTCCAACCGCAACGAGATCTTGGATTTCAGCAAGCACCGCGGCCAGCAGCACGAAGCAGGTATCCTGTGAAAAAACGTCCTCAGCCTAGGTTTGTCATGCGAATCTGCATGCCTGAAATATTTCTCATGCGCAGTAAAGCCATGCGAAGCATTTTCTAATGCAGGAGCTGTCTGGGAGCTACTACTTGTAATGCTCGAATCAGGATAAGTGTTAGTGGACTTGAGAACACTCGCACACACTTACACACGTTTGCTCCACTGAGCTCGTTATCAACAGCAGTTCAATGAATTCTCTCAATTGCAAGCAAGCAAGCAAGTGACGCAAGTCTCTTGCTGCGTTACATCCTGTAGGTTCAATTCATCCAAATTCAGCGCATTCATATGGACCGAACCTGGTCAGAGTCAAGTGGCAAAACAGCATGGGAGTCCACTCCTCAACCTGCTCAGATTGGTGCTCGACCCTGGCGGGAGTCAAGTCCCCCAGGGCGACCATTCTGAACGTCTGGACCGAGCTGAGTCCATTCATTTCACTACGATCCTGATGGCTTTGCCTTCGTAGTATTTGGGGGATTCGCGGAACATGGTGAAGAGTTTCCTTTAGGATCTAGATAGATTCTGACCATTTCCCTAAGGATCTAGCTAGTTCAGGTCATTCAGAGCTGTCATTTCATTGGGAACAGGCGTCATTTGGGGCGATCGTGTTACGTGTGTGCGGGATCGATTTCCATGACCAACACCCCTCCTCAATCGCTGCGGCGGTGGTGCTAATCTGGATAGCGTCCTACCACACTCCCCTCCTGAGCGCGCTGTGGTGAACTAGCTATCCCCTCTAGAAACCAAAATAAATCGAATAAGTATAGCCTACTTTAGCCTTGCCCTTGTGATTCCCCTCTATAAACGTGTCTAAATCATCCTCATCGTCAGAGGAGTCACAAATAAAAGACTTAGGGTCGGGGTTATCAATATGGTGCAAGAGTAAGCGTCTCTGCGGCACACTACACTCGAGCTTCGTGAGACCGTCTGCCTTCATTAGGTAGGTCGGGCAGAACATGATCTGGCTCGCTGCGTCTCTCACGCGGAGATATCGCAGTGCGTAGTGCCTCGATTTCGGTTTGTTGTCTGTGCTCTTAGCTGTAGTTATCGCGGACTGGTTGTCGATCCACAATATGGCATCATCCAGGGAGGGAGATAAGCCATTCTGCTTTTCCACCATGACAGTGGGTAGAGGTTTGAAGAACTCTGTAAAGTCATTCTGCTCGCTCAGCACAATAGTGTCGGAAGCAGCTATATACTCCGCCTCCGCCGTGGAGTACGCCCTCACGGTCTGCCGGTTGCTACGCCAACAGATCGGGAAGCCGCGGAAGTACATAATGCTACCACTAGTGCTTCGCATGGTCTTGCAACAGTTCGCAAAACTAGCATCCGAAAACAGATTCACATCAGGCAAGTCTCTCCCGTCGGGCAGTAGCTTGCTGTAGATTCTGTTGAATTCTTCCTCAATTTCCGGACTATACGACAGACCCTGCTCCTTCGTTGTCAATAGATACTTCAGAATCTTCTTACAGGCGTTTACGACAGGCCGAGTCGCCGGCTTGCCCACGTATCTGGCGACAGTGGCAACCGGGACAACAATGTCTACCCTGCAAGTGGTTGCAGCCCACTGCAGAGAGCCAACGACCTCTCGAAGGGGAAAACCTTCAATAACTTTAGCTCCTTCAACTTCTTTAGCGAGTTCAGACTCATCGAAGTTTGGCGAGTGGACCGGCTTGCCCGCTTCTGAGACGTGGAATTTCTTACAAATCTTGGATATGTACTCTGTCATCACGATCCTAACGGTTCGTAGATTCCAGTTGTAGTACACTATTGACCCTAGGAAGTCAAACTTCTTGGACACAGAGTTAAACTCCGGAACAAGCTCGACGTCGATCATGCGCCCCTTGACGTGGTGCAAGATCTCCGCAAGTTCTCCAGCCAACTCGGACCCAGTCGGAGGACCTGTGATAAGATTATCGTCGACATACACTGCCAACTTCAGAAACTTCCCAGGGTGTTCCAAGCTCGGTTTCTTCCACAGACCTGGCGCAGAGGGACAGGGTTCCCAACCTAGCTTGGTCAGTACTTCCTCATACTTCTTATACCAGAGCCTGGGGGCGTCTTTCAAGCCGTAAAGCGCTTTCTTGAGCTTGACGATCTCCACGCCGTGCTTCTTCGCCCAGATGGGTGGCAAGCGGCAGAAGACGTCGCGATCAAGTAAGGCATTGAGAAACGCACTATCAAGGTCGAACGGGATCACATCATCACCGTCTGCGGCTGCAGCGGCTAGAAGTAACCTGTTAGCGGCATGGGACACAACAGGAGCGAAAGTGTCCAGCTCGCCCGAACGATCTAGATTACCGAGTACTACTGCTCGCGCTTTCTTCGTACCGTCACGCTTCTCGGTAAGAAGGATAGCAATAGGCAAAACCTGCTTTGCGGTCGCTAGCTCCTCGTCAGTAGCTGGCTCCCACACTTTATAGGCTTCAAGTCTACAATCTTCCTTGTTGGTTGCTGCGTTCCATTCGACTGAGTCTTTGCAACGAGCAGGATCCAACTTGGCCGATGTAGTCAAGTAACACTGGACGTCGAGGAATTCCTCACCTTCCTCGCGATCATCCTGTGCTGCTATTGCTGCGGCAAAGGCACTAGCGTCCTTTCTCAATTCTGCGAGCTCTTTCTTAGTACGTCTCACGCGCTTTGTCTTGTCCTTTCTCCCTTTGGGACGACCACGACCTCGCGGCTTGGAGTTGCGGTTGCCAGCCACAATCCTTGCCGGAGACGGGCTCGCCTTTCTTGGACTAGATAAGCTGCTGTGAGTGGGGTGATCGTCCAGATTCCCCTCCTCAGGTTTAACACCTTCAGGCTCGGGATCTATCTGGCCCGGATCATCTTCCCTATCCAGACTTTCAACTACCAACGTCTCTTCAGGACCGTCAGGCTGCCTACCAGTGTGCTCCGAGACATCCACCCCCAGCCGGTGCTCAGCCCTTTTGATCAGACCGACACACGGGAGAGATGGCGCACACGACGCTCCACTAGGTAGGGCCTCGATTGCGTCACACTCGACATAGATACCTTTGGAGTTAGGAACTAGGTCTTCAATATTCTTCACGAGGTACTCCTCACGGAACTTGACGTCGATGGTAGAATACTCCATCCAACGATGTCCCGCGGCGGACCGGCCGTCCGTGACATACGTCCCAACCCGCCAGCCCGAAGACTTAGGACAAAGGCCGAGAAATACACCACGACGAAATGGCGCGGACAGCTTTGGAGCAACCACTTCTACTCCCCCCTCAGGAGCTTCATGAGCTTCGCCTTTCTTGACTTGTTCACGAAAATAAACGAGACAACCAAAACGCCTTAGCATCCTTGTGCCAACTTTCGAGCTATTTCTTCCAGTTCTCTCATCCAGAATTTCTGCAGGAGTCTTTCCGTCGTACTCAGGCATTTTGCTATACTTATGCGGAAGGCGGTCCCAGCATGCTGCAGCGTACTCGACCGAGTAGCACCACAGACGCTTGTCCACGTTCACCAACATCGCACGCACAGCGCCGAATATGGTCCGCATAAAGCGTTCGCAGGTTCCGTTCTGCTCTGGGTTGTAGGGAACCGTAGGAGCATCACCGACCCGCAGCGATTGCATGACCTTGGTCATGGAGTCACTGCCCAGAGCTGGCTCATTGTCCCTACGGACGAACCATGCCACTTTGTCCTCGAGGGTCAAAGCGTAGTTCTGGCGAATGCCTTTTATTACTTCTTCCAAAACCTCAACGCAGTCACTTTTCAGCTTAAGAGGGACACAGAAACACTTCTTGATGGCATCACAGATGACCACAAGCACGCAGGTGCGTGACCGAATCGATACAGGTTTAATACCTACCGCGAAGTCCATCGCGAGTAGTTTCAATGGCTCAGGTTTGTAATTACTAGTGTCTCGCTCCTTTGCGTGAGAGCTTCTCGCGCCTTTCGCTTTGTCGCATTCTCAGTCAGAGGGCCCCGGGGCCATTTTGTGGGTTAAAAAATGGCTATTTTTTTTCTGATTTCGAAAAAGCGCGGTCGCTATGGGCCGCCTTAGCGAAGGGGCCGGCGCCGTATTCTTCGCCGGCCAGTTGGTGGCCCTTTGGCCCGCCCGTCGGTCTGGCCTTTTTCTTCGAAGGACCCCCGCCCGCTCTGATTTTTGTTGGTCCGCGCGCGTTGACGGCGCCGCCCTGTTGGTTTGTCTCCCCCAAGAATAGATTGCAGCTCGTTTGACAGGTCCAGGCGGTATCTTGGGCGCTTTTTTTCTATTGCAGCCGCAATAAGTTCTCAGCCCGGGGCCACAGGCCGGTTAGCGAAGATTTTTCGAAGGATCAGTGTGTTCAGAAGCTACCTGCAGCGCGCTTCGTAGTGTTTACTCTCATTGTTCCATCGTGTTGCAAATATATTTTTCCGGGTCCTTTTCCCCTTTTGTTCGTCGTGTGGTCGAAGCCAGTTTTGGTATCAATGTATGCTTTTCGCACACCGCCCCCCATAGAGTCGTTCTTTATCAGATTATATAATTTGTTTGTGAGTTTTCCATACGACGATGGTGGACGTCGACGGGAACATGCTCACACTTCCGTTCTGCGGTTTTGATCTACCTCTGGAAAATTACCGGGACATGGTCACACTTCCGCGAATTTCTCGCTGTGCGCGGGGGCGGTATCTCAAGTGGTTTGCGGCTGGTTTGGCAAAGATGGTGGGCAACAGCAGTGCGGCAGCACTTATCAAAACGAAATCGGAGGCGCAGGTAGGTCTGGAGTTCGAAGCCTGCTGGCGGCGGTTAAAGCTCGCATATCAACAGTGCGAGCTCGACATGATAAAGTTGCGGCTATCGCGTGCAGCACCGGCGAAGGGAATAGTAGAGCACATTGAGTTCGATGGCACACCGCTCCGCTGCTCGGTGAAAGGGGTGCACCACACTGGCGATTGTTTCTGCGTTCTCCAGGGCTTCGCGTTTTGGGATGATCGCGACAGCGTTGCTGCGGACAAAGTGCGCGCACAATTCCGCTTCTCGGAGAGACCGATGGTGCGGCTCTGGCGGTCGCTAGATTTGACGCACATGACCAATGGGCACACCGACGTGCGGACTTATCACGAACTCGATCAGCTGGAGACGGCCCGAGTATCTTGTGCGAGAGCCCCCGTGTCGGATTTGTCATGCGCAAAAGATGTCACGCAGGTGTCCTCCGAGAGGATATCTGATCATGGTTTTTATTTCGTCCTTCATCATGCGGAGTTCTGTCATGCGTAATTTCCGAGCGTTGTTGTGGATAGTGTGTGTTTTTTCTATATCCAGTTGCCCCCTGGTCAACAGATGCACAGCATGACAAATCCGACACGGGGTGTTTTTTCGGTGTGATGGGCCGAGTTGATCGAACAAGCGTGTCCTCCTGGCTACGATGTCAACTCCAGATTTTTCACTTTGACAAAATACACCGGCGATGGCGCTACTGCCGGCGTCTTGCGGCACTACGTCGGGCAGAGGCATGAACCCGAATTCATCCGGGCGGGAGGTTCTCTTGCTGGGGAGATGAGCCTGTGGATTTCGGACGAGTGTGCGGGGCACGGATTTCACGGCGGGGTTGGGGACGGTGTGGAAGTCTTTCTTTCCGATCACGACGCACTCGAGGACTTCAAAAAAGTCTGTCGCAGTTTTCGCAGATCAACCGACCAGCTTCAGAGTGGGGTAGTTCAGTGGTTGGAGGCGACGTACATGCAGATGCCGCTGTATCGCCTGCAAAACAAGCTGTGCCTAATCTGTCATGCTGTTTTTGGTATTTAGAATTAAAATTGCATGCCTGTCGTATGTCCGCCCTAAGTTCCCGGGTATTTTCACCTTTCCTGCACATCCCGTACCACGCTGACTTCGATAGAAGCATTACAGATTAGGCTGCAGTGTTGATTTTGCATCTCATAACCCTGCACCCGAGGAAAAGGAGAGATACGAGCTTGCAGTGCGAACACTGCTACCGGAGCAGGACGGTCCAGATTCCCTAGCGCTTGCGGAGGAATTAATCAAGCTGGAACTTCGGTGGGAGTATCGTGTGCAAAAGTATCTTGCTCGTGCAAAGTGCATTCATGCATGACGTAGAGCTGCCATCTTTCTCTTCATGTGCATGACAGATCTCGCACTACGTATTCTTCAAAAATTTTATCAAGACTTACTCTGCACTTGTGGGGAGCTTTTGCAATGCATATTTCGGGCGACTTTTTATTCGGGGCAGCCGCAATGGACCAGACCGATGCCGTGGCGGACCTTGTAGTGCGCCTGAACTTCCCGGAGGTACAGTTCGGGAGATTCGGGAACAGCGTAAGCGCAATGCGGCGGTGCGCGGTTTCGTGCCTTGTCGGCCTTCTTCATCTCGGGCGGTTTATCGTTGCCCACTGCCCGCGGGTCGGATTCCTGAAGCAGGCCCAGGGCCTCAACCTCCCCGGCGACGAATTCATTTCTGCGGCCTGGGGTATTGGCCTCGGGCTTGGCGTCTTTGAAAAGTGCGAGAAGAAGTTGCTGAAGAGTGACAACATCGCTCGACTACATGAAATCGAGACGGAGTTTCTCGCCGATTTGGAGACCTTCCGTTGCGCAAACTGGTGGTGTATTTTACAGGTCTCCGGCCTCAAGGAAGACAAGGTTGCCGCGCTCGTCCAAAATATTGGGTACGCGATAGAAGCAGCAGCGGTGAGCTTTTCCGAGTTCCCCTTCCGCCGGCTGCGGGTGGCGCCGTACAGCGTGCTGCGGCCGCAAGAGAGGTTTAACCTGCGCGCGTTCCTCGAGCGTGTGGCAGCACTTCCGGAGGACGAGTGTGATTCGGGGTTTACGTGGAAGCTCAAATCCCTACAGAACACGGCCCCCACCATCCTGGACCAGTGTTCCGGGTCATTAAAGGACGTCTGCGAACTTGTTCTGACCATGCCGCAGGCGATATATTACTGCGAGAGGACCCACAAGTTCTCGAGTAGGATGAACAAAGGTCGATGCAGTTTCCCCGTTGTCAATGAGTCCGCCTGGAATGAACGCTTCGCCCAGTGTAGTCATCTCCTCGCCCCAACCGTGCAACAGCTTCCAGCGGGCCCGGCTTCCATCGAGGAGGCCTGGAAAGAGAGCGGGGCGCACCAGGTCCGTACGTCTTCAATGTTCTGGTCGGAGTTCGCTCTACCGGCCGGCACAACTCTTGAAAACCAGGAAAAACATATGGTGGAAACAATGCCGACCTTCCTCTACGCCAAACATGACCCGGACCGGAGGGCGCGACTGGTGCGGAAAGTTGTGGCGCACCGGGAGACCCTGCGCACCGCAGCGGTGGAGAAAATGGGAAAACTCCTGTCGCGGAAGGAGAAGATACAGAGCGATGAGGTGGACAAGATCACGCAATTTAAGATCACCAACAGCTGCAATCTCACTTCACAAATCACGGACAAGCACCTTCTGGACGCGATCAACGGGCTCCGGGGGCAGGGCGTCGACAATCTCGCCAAGAGTGCGTGTCTGCAGCTGCCACTCACCGACGAGTTCGAAGCGCGGGTAGTATCTGCTGCGGAAGAACTCCAGTTCTCCCTATCACTAGAGTGAGAATGTCTGATCCTTGGGCCAGAACAGAACTACGCCGATGCTTAGGTAGAATTTCGCTAGTAGCTTTTCTGCATGACAAACACAAAGACCAACCGCCCCGCTTTCGTAGTTCTGTCTGGGCACCGGGGGCAGGTTTTTTTGCAAGCCCATATCAGTTGCCCTACTTCCGCCTCCCGGACCTGGATTACCGTGTCACCGAGCTGCTGCGGCGTTTTGCCGGTGGGGAGCAGATACGGGGGGGACTTCTTGTCGTCCGCCCTGTCAGTCTGGACGAGTGGAATTTGGAAGCGGAGGTGGAAATATATCAGATTGCGCTTGCAGTGAAGCGGCCTTATTTTCTCGGTGGTGTGATGCTTGAGGCGCAGCAGGGACACCAGGACGACTCCGGCCTGTACTGGAAAACAAACGACTTTGCCGAGTTTACCACCTTTGAAGACAGCAGCGAGATCTATTTCGTTCCGCCCGCGCACGTCCAGGCAGTTTCTGTTGCCTGTGTCGGGCTCCCCTTCCCGCTGACTGCACACAGCGTCCCGTTCTTTCCCGGGGCAGAGCGTCTCGCTGGGGGCCGTGTCAAGAAGAGGGAGCAGGTGGAAAACCGTTCGGGGCACCAGGCAGAGAGGCGGGTGCGGGAGTTGAAAGCGAATATACGGAGGATGCGCAATTTAGAGGTAGACCGACCAACAGTCCACGTTTGGGATGATGAAAACTATGTCGAGCAGCGAGATGGAGCACGAGCGGAACTGCAGCGAATTCGCGACGAGGCGGAGCAGCAGTTCGGCGTAGATGATTCTATTGCGTTCCAGACCGACCCCGTAATGAGGGCATATCCGCGTGGGGGAGCATGGTGTTTGCAAAATTTGGGTCTTGCTGTGGCGAACTGGAAATTTGAGATAACGTGCAGAGCCACCAGGAAGAAGGTGGAAGAAATAGGCCTTCCGCACTCCAAAGACGCGAGCGTTGCAGTTTGGGGCGGCGAGGAACGTGCGAGGGCACACGCGGTCTTAATCTGGAAGATCTTGAAGTGGGCCACTGCTGCGGGGGTGGTTGGTCTGCATGGGCCCACTGACGCCTACTCCGAAATGTGCCGCGAAGAGTATCAGCAGCAGTTTGCTGATGCGCTGCAGCTCGATCGTCAGTTTTTAAGCACAAAGAACCTCCTCAATAAGTGCAAGAGAAAGGAGTACTTTGATAACCTTGACAAACTAGGATCAGAGGCGGTCTATGTTTTTCCGATTCAGAATGAATAAAAATCGAGAACGTTTCCTCCACTGAAGATCTCACTTGTCGCATTTTGATCGCTCTGTTTCATTTTTTGTCCCGGTTCGACACAAGTTGTTTCATATCTATTTGTGGTCCATTTTTTATCTTCCTTCACTTTGAAACCTTTTTTGTCCGTCAATTTTTGGTGGCGTAGCTGCCGATCTCCGCATAGATAAGTCCAGATCTTCGGCACATAAAGATCTCAAAACTTGATTTGTCATTCAACATCAAAGCCGTTCACACTTTAAATGATGGGGGACCTGTCATCGGCAGCTGCGGGCGCATCCAACAAGCGCCCAGCAAACAAAAAGCAGGACGTATTATCTGCGTTTGTCAACAACAAGAAAAACAACAACGCGATGAAGAAGGACGAGTCGAAGCTCCTGCTGCCCGACGAGAACCTCTTCGACATGGACCAGGAGCAATCGGTGAGGAAATAGTCTTGTCCTTCGGTTTTTGCATGACATTTCCACAAAGCCTTGCGAGCCAACTGACATGAACTAGAAAGCGGGGAAATGTGCGACCAACCCTCGGGGACAACCCTTGGCGCACTGGTCGAAAATCTTCTAAATTTGGGAAACGTGCAATTTCCTTAGGGATTTCCCTGTACTCAGGATTTTTGTCTTCTTCTGCCGCAAGGCAAAAGACAAAAACCAGAAAAAAGTTAGACCACTAGTTAGAAGCGCCATTTAGAAACGAATTTAGCACAGGGAAATAGCAAAGGAATTTAGAGTAAGAAAATAGAAGGTGAAAATAGAAGGCAGATTTAGAAAGAAAAATAGAAGGAAATTTAGAAAGAAAAATAGAAGGGGCAAAAATAGACAAAAAAATAGAAGAAATTTAGAAAGGGGGAGCAGTTGTGATCTGACAGCCAGGATTCCGCTGGAAAATTGCTGACTGCGCCCGTGCAAAATCAAGCGCCCACTCAGGCGCGCTTTAAGAGCGCACTTTTGTCCTGCGCTGCCCCGACCGCCCCCGCCCGGTGCAGGCGGTCCGCAACTGCGCAAACATTTTGTTGCGCCCCCCAGGTTGGGCTCGTGCGCTGCTTGGGGCCGTTGGTTTTGGGAGTTTTTAGTATTGGGCGGAGCTGTGGTGGACGTCAGGGCGATGTTCACCATAGCCTCGTGCCTGCATTTCTAGTTCATGTCCAAACGCTCGCAAGGCTCAGCACACACAGCAGTGAAGCCAGCAGTAAACAACCACGACTCAGGTTTATGAAATATAGCAACGCCCTCTCTTCGTGATCGGATCCAGGGTTTTGAGGAGTCTCCGGGGGCACTCAACACAACCCACAGCTCTAACATACAGAACAATACAAGGAAAGCAGGCGTAGCGCATCCAATCCCGAAGAGGTTTTTTCCCCTTTGATAGTGGTGCCATCGATATGGACGACAGTAAGACTGCGAACGACGGCAAGCAGGCCTCCAAAAAGCGGCGGCGGGAGGTGCGTTCCGCCGCGGACGACAAAGTCCTCGAAGATGCGATTGACACCTGGTTTCTCAGCAAGCGGAAGAACAACGACACTTGGAAATTTGACAGCGCCGTCATGAGGTCGGAGTTTGTTTCTATGGGGTGCAAAAATGGTCGTGTGCATTGTGGCTCTGCATGTGTGCGAATTTGTCATGCGGGGGATGGGAGGTGGAAGGGACTTATAGGCCCTTTCTGGCTTTGTGATGCGTATTTTCCCCAAGTTGTCATGCAAGGCCTGAAAATGTCTCTGTCATGCAGGAGTCGCGAAACGAAATTTATATCACACCAGCAGCACCCACAATGTCCACGCACTGTTTTTGGGATGATAAGGGCGGACGCGAACAAGATTGCCCCCAAGAAGAAAACAATCAAACAGTACATCATGGACACCTACGTTTCGAAAACGCGCAAAACCTTCTCCAACTTCACGCTGGTGAAACACCAGGAGGCAACAGTTCTGAAATTGTTGCAGGAAGAGCAGGCGCGATTGGCAAAGCAGCAGGTAGTAGGTGTGCGCGACCTTATCGCCACTTGTTTCGGGACGGAGGGCCCGCAGCAGGGGAAGGACGCCCTGGCGATTGGTTGGGCGCACGCGGAGCAACTGCGGTTAATGGCCAGCGTCGCCAACAGCAGCTCCTCGCTTGGAAACAGTTCAAAGGCACCGGCCGTTGCTGCGGTGAAGCAGGAGGAACAGCAGGATGTCGAGATGGAAGACGCGGACTTGGACGGGAAGGGTGGCGATGGGAATAGAACTCCTTCCGGGGGAGAAGCAAATAAATCGGGATTGCTCGGCGGAGGGCCCGACGAAAAGAAATTGCTGGGGGGCGAAGACGCAGATCCGAAGACACCAGCCAGGAACGACAAGAGCGCCGGAAATAACGCCAACCTCATCAACAAAGCAGCATCTTCCTTGAAGCAGAAAAATTTGCTGATCGCGTCCCAGGCATCGCAGGACGATGAACCGTTTTCCCCGGGAACTCTGGCCCTGATGCAAGACACGAAGGACCTGATCGCCCGTGGGCCGGGCATGGAGACGATCGGGAATGACACTGGTGTTCCGTACGACAAAGTGCGGGATCTCTTCAACGACGCCGAGATGGGCGACTGGGACGCGGAGACAGGGTGGATTGGCATTATGCGGCGCTGGGATAATCCAGCGATCAACCACGAGCACCTGGAGTGCATGGTGACGATGCATCGGCAGGCAAAAGGTATTTTTTGGCGATTTTTCCCATGTAGAGCAGCATGACAAATTTAGGATTGTAATCGTCTTTGAGATTTTCTTTCTTTTGCATGCATCTATGGCAACTGCGTGCAGAACGGCCACACGCATCACAAACCTGATGGTCGTAGTCGGTCTCTTGTTTTCGGAGTTCCCTGTTCTTCGATCTCGATTTCGGTCTACGGCATTTCCGTTCCGCGCGCTTATATGCATGACAAGGTCGCTTATCGAATTCTGCGTCTCAGAGCCTCAGCGCCTGTCTTAGTTATCAGCATGACAAACTGGCTTTTTTATGATTTTTCTGAAACTTCAATCAACAGCGGCCGGCGTCAAGACCGAGCCGTACACGACGGCGTTGCCGGCGGCTATTGTGGGGCTCCTGACCGACCGGTGGGATCTCGGGACGCACTCGAGGGCCGACTATTTTGAACTGTAAGTAGTTCGTTTTTCCGTCTGCTACCGCACTTCGCAACTTTTTATAATATCCGTCTTCAGAATGAACGAAGAAGCATTTCGCGCATGACAAATCCACAATGCGCAAAAATCCACACCTTCAGGTTTGGAAAATATATGAAGCCTGCGTCGGAGAATACGATCGATTTCTGGCAGACCATGAAAGCCAACTGCGAGGATGGAAAGTTGCGCGTCCCGGAGAGCAAGGTTGTACAGGTGTACAACAAGTGCAAAATGGTGGAGATTCCGGGGCTGTTTGCCGTCGAGGCGGCGGACCTCAAGGTCAAGGCCGAACACATGCAGCGAAAAACGCAGATCAAGCTGGTACTTATTTCCCATGGCCCCACTGTGGTCTATTTCCGTATGTTGTGAGATCTTGCAGTATGGGTAGCAGTAAGTTTGGAGGGCGTGTGCGAAGTCTCTTATGCAAATGCACTGAAAAAAAAAAATGCAGGAAGCAAAGCCCATCCTGGACGCCTGGGATTCGAAGACCCCCCTGTCCGCCGTGGAGTTGGATAAACTCAACGCCTCCCTCGAGGGCATTCTCATCAAGGTCAAGGCCTCAGGGAAAGCAGGGGAGTGGTACAAGGCCTTCCTGTCCATGTTGCACGACAATGGGGTTAAGTCTGCTGGCCCGTGGCTGCGGGATGTTTGTCTGCATGGGGCGGACTTGCCTGCGATGCACCAGATCTTCGACGGCATCAACGTGTTGGACAGCGTGCGGGCAGCCCGGGTGGGACTGAAAAAGCAGATTGACAGAGTCTTCAAGCCGACCGACGGACTGTATATACAAATAATTGCGGCGCTTCTTTGTATTCTCTGCCCTGATGTGCTCCCTCCATTTCTACCAGGCGCATGACAGATCGGCTATTACAGCTGCCGCTGGTGTTTTCGTATTAGTGTCTCGAGCATTTCCGTGCCCGATCAAGCTCTCTGTGGTGTCAGTCGGTGCGCGGTCATATTTCCCCCAGAGGTGATAGTAGCTGTCTTGTATCTATTACCAAAACCCACTTCCCAGGTTCAAGCTGTACCAGGTCGCCCTCGCGTTGAACAAGGAGACTCCGTATTTGACCTACGAATTGGATTTGCTGCGCATGGAGTGCGACAAGCTGAACGACTCGCAGTATGTCATGTTGGCTGCAGCGGAAGAAGAGTGGGTGCAGCCCCCGGGTTGGATTTTGGGTGGCCAATGGGACGAAGCGTCGAAACAGATGGAGGAGTACATCACGTATCATTTGCAAAATTACCGCGCAGTCGCACAACGGTGTTTCGTGAGAAGTCTATAATGCGAGGAAAAGCAATGTTCCAGATCTCCCCCTCCCCTTCAAAAAATTCGCAATTAGATCTAGATTAGCTGCGCGGTGATTTTGCAATTCATATCGCGTGGGCGTTTGCCAAACGGGCCGAGGCGACCGAATTGGGCAAGGGAAAGGACGAAACCTCTGCGCTCATCCGCTGCTATGGGGAAAACCTGGCAAAGAAGGTCTCCGTCACGCGTAAAAATGTCGACGCGATCGTGGCGAATTTCGTCACCACGGTGACTGCGCTGAAGAAGAACAAAACGGCGCCGCGTATTTCGTTTTGATTTGTGCACTTAAAACCATTCCTCCGTAGCAATATGCACATGCAGACTCTCATCGTCATCTCTCGATCCATTAACCCCTTCGCGATTTTTCTTTTTGTCCATGCAGGGGCCAGAGCTTGTTTTTTTCTTTATTGTAGAATAAAAATACTCACAGTTCTGGAAAAGGCGGGAAAATGGTACCAGAAGATCAAGTGGGGAGTGGCCTTCTTCACAGAGGATCACGAGAGAAAGCTGCAGCCCGCGATCACCGCTCTGCAGCTCGTCGAGGCGGAGGACGCAAAGGCAACGGCGAAAAAAACGGCGTACGACCGCGGCATCATCAAGGCCACGAAGGGGAAGGTCGCGGCGATGAAAAGGAAAGCGTGAGTCCCAACACGTGATCAACTGGAACTGGTGGCGTTGACACAAATGGAGCTTTAGCATAACAGACTTACCATTCAAATTCTGAACTTCTCTGGACATTCAGTCACACGATGACGCCCGTGCTGCGATTGACTCGGAACAAATGAAAGCGTTTGCTTCTGCAAAAACTCTGCGTGGTAGCAGGGGTGAGAATACAGACTATTTAGCGGCGAGCTTTGGATGTGTTGAATCGAATGAACAAGACACACGGAAGAATCGAAAACCGACAGGCCACCTGCGGCACAGTATCACAACGGACACCTTTGACGAATTCAACGAACATCCCGGATTGCACGAATCACGACTCATTTTCCAAAACTCACAAACAAGACTGAACTGATAAAGAACGACTTGCATTCCAACCGAATTGGTGAAGGACTCACTCTATGCGGATTTGTCTTCCTGTATTCTTTCGTCTTCGTCTTTTTCCGAATTCATTGTGAAGGAGCCCTTCCGGGGTCATTTTTAGTCCAACCTCTGTGCATCCTCATCATGCAAACCAACGCGGTGTTGGAATAGGAGGGGCGCTCCACAATCACGATCCGCTGCGGGTGTTGCAGCGAAAAAAACAACACATGACCACCCCCCGTCCGCGGGCGGCGGGCCCTTGCAGTGGTGCCCCCCGCCTGTGGCGCCAAAAGCGGGGCGCGTGGCCGAGGCTCTAGTGGCCGCGCCAGAGTCGCGCGCCGGGTTCACGCTATCTTGCGCGCAGCCTGGGTAGATTTATACCTGCGACGCTTCTCTGCCTTCCGGCCGCACATGGCCCGCGGGATACCACGGGGGCAGTGGCGCCCCTACTTCTGTGCCGGCTCCTGCGCCACCAGCCGGCGCCACGGACTCGCTGGCGGCCGTGCTTTTGAAAAAATCAGAAAAAAATTAGAAAAAAATTAGAAGCACCCACCGCCCCGGGCCCTCTGACTGAGCATTCAGGACGCTGGACACTAAGACCATCTACATGAAAGTGTCCGAATCTTCTATGTTGTTCTAGACGCGTAAGGTGACAACTAGCAATACTTTCTTCGATTGTAATGCATGCAATGTCTTCCGCGGTGTCTCTAGTCGTCTGACCCCGGAGGCCCATCACGAAAAGATCACACCCAAGGACTGGGAGGTTCATCCTCTCGTGGTTCTTGATTGGTAGCATCTGACCGGATTCCCTGTTGACGAGAGAACCGCCAGAGCTGTTGTAGTTCAGATCCCGCCCACGATCACTGAGATTGTCCTCACCGAGCCACGGAAGAATACGATCAATATCTCTTGGTAGATGTTTAAAATAGACGCCATAGGGCAAACCTAGAGCGTTTTCCTTCAATTTTCCGCCAAAACCATCACGAGCCCCGGCCGTGCCGTTGATGCGACAGACGTTGCTCGAGATGTCAATAAAATCCGATTTGTGTCTAGATAAATACTTGCTTGCACATGAATCGACCAAGCTCGCTTCGTCCTTGATCTGTGCAGTAAAACAGCTAAAAGAATCTACATCAAATTCCTCTAAATTCTCGAAGTTCAGCATACAACTACCATACTCCGAGATATAAACACCTCCTTCATCGAGTCAGGCTGGTCCTTGCCAGACCCAACCACCCTGCTTTCCACCGGCTCCCTGCCCTTGATTCTGGTTGTTCATTTGGTTCTGGTTCACCGGCGGACACCACTGCGGCTGCTGGTTTCCCCAGACACCACCCCACTGACCTTTCCCTTGATTGTTAGGATTCCAGCGGCAACGGTCCGCCTTATGGTTTTCCTTGCCACAGATCCAGCATTTGGGTTTGGTCACAGTGTTGTAGGGAGTGCTCTGGTTCCGACCAGTCTTACCACCTTTCTGGCCACTTCCACCCTTAGCGTTAGGCTTCGGGGGCAGGCCATGGGCAGCCAAGACACTCGCTTCGGTCTGCTTGCGTAATTTGGCTTTCATGCGTTTCAAGGCTTTCGCCGAGAACACCTTGCCAGAAGAAGCATTTTGACCATCATCAGCGGAGTCCGGCTCCTCATCATCATCGTCATTTTTCTGACGCTTATTCCCCTTCTTGTTCTTCTTCGACTTCTCCTCGACGACCGGGAAGGCCTTGCCGAAGGACGGGTTCTCAATCTTGTAGGACCCCTCCTTGACCAGCTGCGCGAGCTTCTTCTCGAGACGGTTCCCGATCTCCTGCAAGGTGATGTGATCGGACTCGTCTACGCAGCGGTCGATGGTCTGGCGGAAGGCCGACGCAAACATCTTGGGCAACTTGTCCAGAATGTTCTTCACATGCTGATCTTCAATCGGACGCCCGGGCTCCGGGACGTAGACACTCGGCGCCATCTCCATCAAGTCGTGGATCTGGGCCAGGAACGTCGGAGCATCCTTCGGCGCGTCTCGGTTGTCGAAATGCATGGCGTCGATCGAGGACGTCTTGATGTGCTGCTGGTCACGGGAGGCAACATTGAAGCGACCAACATCACGAATACGCATGAACAGTTGCGCAGCGTCGTCGTTGATGTAGTGCTGACTGTTGACCCACGTGGACACGGACCCGGTGCGTGACTTGTAGATGGCATCCTTCAGGTCGCGCCACTTCTCCCGGATCGCATTATTGGCAGTATTGTTCGCCTGCGGAATCCCCGGAGGGTTACCGGCAAGACGATTATCCCAATACTCCTGGAGTCCGAGGCGAGAAACCTCGTTCGTGACTCCGCGACGCCAGACGCGCCAGTCCTGCGCGCTGGACAACTTCTCCGTCAATTTCGCCTCTTGGCCCATCTTCAAACACTTATCTGACTAGAAGAGCCAGCTTGAGTCTCAAGGCGTAACGTAGTGTTAGTGGACTTGAGAACACTCGCACACACTTACACACGTTTGCTCCACTGAGCTCGTTATCAGCAGCAGTTCAATGAATTCTCTCAATTGCAAGTAAGCAAGCAAGTGACGCAAGTCTCTTGCTGCGTTACATCCTGTAGGTTCAATTCATCCAAATTCATCACATTCATATGGACCAATCGGGTTCAGAGTCAAGTGGCAAAACAGCATGGGAGTCCACTCCTCAACCTGCTCAGATTGGTGCTCGACCCTGGCGGGAGTCAAGTCCCCCAGGGTGACCACTCTGAACGTCTGGACCGAGCTGAGTCCACTCATTTCACTACGATCCTGATGGCTTTGCCTTCGTAGTATTTGGGGGATTCGCGGAACATGGTGAAGAGTTTCCTTTAGGATCTAGATAGATTCTGACCATTTCCCTAAGGATCTAGCTAGTTCAGGTCATTCAGAGCTGTCATTTCATTGGGAACAGGCGTCATTTGGGGCGATCGTGTTACGTGTGTGCGGGATCGATTTCCATGGCCAACAATAAGATAGGCAATTTGTGATGCAAATTCTGCTTCTTCATCACTAGCTAGAGTAAACAGGACTGATACACTACGAGCTGCCCACGGAACTTGTCATGCTTGGGAACCAATAAAAGCTGTTCGTTTTTACGCAGGATAGCAGGGGGCTCCTCCCCGTCTAGCTCCAAGCCGGCGGATATCATCATACCGGAGCATATGGAAGCGTCAGGATTGAAATCGACAAAGTTGAAATTATTTGCGATGCACAAAATCAATGCCAGTTGGGCCTCTTCAGTTTCTCAGTGGCGCATGACAAATTTAGAAAACACCAAAATACAGTCTGTCATGCTGTTTAGGAAAAGTAGACTGCTCCTGTCATGCTACTCTGTACTCTGGCAGCACATCGCCTTCCCCTGAACAGGCTCGCAATCGCTCGCATTTGCTTGCTCCCCAACACAGGCCATCCGTGCTGTGCATTTTATGCATTACAAATTTTTCGATTTTGTCGATTTCGATCCTGACATTCCCATAGAGCACCAGTCGTGCGTCCTCGACCAGGTCATCGAAAACGAGCCATTTTATCGAAGAAAAAAGCTACATTGTTAGCTGTAACTTTGTGATGCGCAACATGCAAAGTGATTGCGGCTGTCATGCTCAGCATGCATGGTAAAGTCGTCCATCCAGGCGCGTTTTCTCGGCATACCATCTGCGCATGACAGGTTTTTGCTCTCATACATGCCAGACGGATTTGTCATGCTGCTCCTCCAAGAACGTTACACCTACAATCTTTTTTTCTTGGATATGTTTAGGATACGCTTCACGGACAGTGGGGGACTGTCGGTGTACGACAAAGTGCGAAAACCAATCCTACGAACAGCGCATCTCGTCGTGCTGTGCTTCAGCTGCGCGAAGAAACAGTCCCTAGCATCGGTGAAGGAAAAATGGTTACCACTGGTCAGGTCATTAGCCTTTTTGAAGAAGGACAGGGAAGAGGATTTCGTCTTTCTGAAGCCAGTGATACTACTGGGGCTGCAAACGGATTTACGTACTTGATATTGATGGTTGATTTTTTTCTCGTAGTTGCTGCAAATACAAGCGCACGTCAATGAGATGCAAATAACAACTTCAACCGTGCATAGAATTGGAAATGGATATCTTCATGTCTGAGCGTGACAGATGAATGAATTTCTGTTCCCGCAGCTTCGAGGGAACCAATGGCAGGATCATGTTGTCATGACGGGCCAGGTATCTTGTAGAGTTGTACTCCGAGAAGTAGTAGAACTTGCACAACATCACACCAAACATACAATTTCAGGCGCATCTTCCTCCGTCGCGGTAACAGAAGGGGAGGCTTCCAAATTCGCAAACTATCCTGTTGCACACTTTGGATCAACGTCCCTGAGGTCTGGTGGAATTGCATCAGTGCTAGATGTATGATTCGGAAGCATGTCATGATAGCTCGTGATATGATGTTGGCAAAAACCACGTGCGTTAAACATTGCGGTCGTCTAGCATGTCAAAAGAAAAAAGGAAAACCGTTTGCAGTAGAGGATATTAGAAATTCGATCCGACACCGACTGTAAAAGAACAAGTTGACCGGAAGATCTAAGTCAAGACCGCTGGTCCCGCCATTTGTTTGCAATCGATAAACCCGAGGCGGAAGCCATCAGTTACCTGGAGTGCTCCCTCGCAGCGGATCTTATCCCATCAAAATGAATTTCTTCAACAGCCACCTCCATCAAGTTCAAAGCAGAAGAGTTGTAGAACCAGAACCCCTCCGTTTTGCGTACTGTGGTCATGATGGCCATACCTAGAGATAAAAAAAAAGCTGCAAAAGGTGGATTTATCCCGCCGTCCAGGAGTGCATGCTGCACACAAAGTTGAGTGGCGCTATCAGAATCTTGTGGACACGTGAATCCATTTCTAGTATTTGTGCCTTGATGGACGGTGGAATGTTTTTTTCCAACCGCGATAAGCTCGGACGAAGCGCTAGACGCCCTGAGGACGAAAATCTTGAGCACGGCGAAAGAGTATATTAGTGCCTTCGCTTTATTTTGTTTCAACTTCTTGTTTTGTTAGTTCTAGTTGTGCCGGCCGCGGAGGCTGCGTCTGCTTGTTCCTGTTGGTCTTTTCATGCACGAGAAAATGAAAAACAAGATTGAAAATGAATATTGAAAATCAGGTCCTACCTATTCCGATGGCAGCAGAAGAGAATAAAGCGGTCCCTGCGGGGGGAATCCGACCAAGCGGTGGACTATCCAGGGAAAAAACAGTGCTAGAAGTTGAAGTTGTGTGAATGGTTCTCTATTACAGTGCATGTAAGACTACAGTGACACTCACTCTTATCAGATGGCCGCACACTAGCGCTCATGGGAAATAAAATTTCAGTTTCACGCAGTATCACGGAAAGCGAAAAACAAGTTTTTTTTTGTCATGCTGCAGACCGAATTTGTAAATGCAAGTCAAAGTAAACAGCTTTTTTTTTCTGGATATGAACATGGGGGCTGCCGACGTGGACAAGTATGTGGCTGAAGCCTTTATGAAGTGCAAAAGCATGATCGTACTACGTATAAATTGCATTAGCATGACAGACGAGATTTGTAATGCTGTTTTAGCTAATGCTAGGGAAGGCGGAGGCGATTTGTCATGCATGTCTGCAATTGGTACGACTGCGATCCTTTTACAGTGCATAGCCTTAACGGTCGAGCAAGACACCGACCCCCTCGCGAAAGAGCAGATCACGCAAAACCTATCCTGCCTCGGAGTCACCCCCTACATGAGCCATGCGTACTTTAATTCTTTAATATCCACCTACCGAGTACTAGAACACGATGAATGAGTGTGCTGCATGCTTTTGCAGCACTGCTGCGTGTGATGGTGCTGTTCATTTTCATGAATCCGGGCTGTAGATAAAGGAGTTGTAGCAGGCACGTTAATGTTTTGAATATGAACAGGAAAACAAAAAATAAAAAGCTGTGATGCAAAAACACTGCCACGAATCTCAGATACCTGCAGTGTGACCTTCCGGACCTCGGGCTAACGAGCTGCGATGCCTTACGAGGATTTCCGAACCTGCGTATCCTGTGTGAAAGCGCTTTCAAATCCATTTTTACCTGGAAGATAGTAGTCCTGCTCCTGCTACTCGACGCATTCCAGCAGATCCGCCGAAAATTGTCATGCGTGGCACGACCGCAGGCTCCTCTCAACATGATGACGATCTTCTGGTGTGTATTAAAAGCGTTTTTGCACAGGATACGGTAGTATCTGGACATATCAAACAACCAGCTGCGATCGCTGGAGCCGTTAGGTATCGATTCGTAATATTCAAGTGGAAGTAGTTTCATGATCGTCCTCGATCAGTACGTAAAATGAGAAATAGCAGTGACGGATGACTACGGGTACCGCGTCAGTGCATGACCGATCGAAGCCACATTATATCAGTTTCTTCGTTCGGACAGATCGTGTGCATAAAATTGGAACTACAAAGACCCTCTGACGAATGATGAAAACGAAAAACCAGCAGCAAAGATGACAAGTAACAAGCTGCTGGTCTAGAAGGCTGGTTAAAATTCACAGTCGTCAACAAACAAGTATACATCGATTCAAATTCAGGTGAGCTCCCATTCCTGCTCCGGCTCAACGCATCCAGAAACCAGATGGTCCGCACCCAATCTACCAAAGTGTGCACAACATGCACTCATACTCAGCCTCACCCTCGTCTTGAGACGAGTGTGTCGCGTCTACAGCAAGTATAAGCACAAGGCGCCGGTAGTACCAGTAGCACAGCCTTTATTGCATCGACTACAATGATCTGCACTCTACACATGAGTTGATGTTGATGTTGTCGTGAAACAAGTGCAAACAGACCAGGAGGGGGTTTATTGGCACATTAGTGCATGCCAGGCGAAGGGCACCAGCAGGATGAGTTGTTGTGCAGTCTCATACAAGCCTTCGGACCGCCACGACATCTGGAGTCCGTATGCAGTGTGATGCAGCAACAGAGTTACCTGATTACGGTGTCTTCTTGGTAAGTACAGTTTCTGGTGCAACAATAGTAGCGGCATCTCCTTCGTACCAAGATAACGACAAGTAGACTTTCATGATGCGCACTACTCAACAGAGAAGATGGTGTTGTCGCGCATAAAGGTGTAAATTTTTTTCTTCTACTCCGTCCGGCCTACCATTGGTACTGCAACTGCTACTGCTGTAAAAGCACGTAAGTAATATGGAAGACTTCGGCACGTAATCATTGGAAAATTTTGTTTCTCCGCATACTCCATTGACCTCTCGTACAACCTAATCTCCGAGCTGGGCGACTGGCGCACGCACAAGATGTACCCTATGTGAAAACGTCCGTCCCCACTCCAGACGAGTTGTAGTGCAAATCTGCATGCCTATCTAAAAATATTAATATTTCTCATGCGCACCCGCTTGAGAGGCCCGTTTGCTAGTGCTATCTTGGAGTAGTTTGTCATGCTAGACGAGTCAGGAAGATATGTTGATCGATTTGTGATGCGTAATTCACTGCTAGTCGAAAAAAAAAAAATAAAAACGACTACACCACAATCCCGAACCTGTCATGCGCATGAGGATGAGCCAAAACTTGCTGCCGAATCTGTAGAGAAACCCCTCAGAAATTTGACTCTGGGCGGTTGGAGGGGACGTACTAGTTTTTCCACCCGATAAGAAGCTCCGGGAGTTGAACCTGCGCGGGAATTTCATTTCCGAAATCGACGGTATCGCGCTGCTATGCATTGCAAAAGTATCGTGCTCGTATAAATGCATTACAAATTGACTTAACATTACAAATTAAATTTGTAATGCGGATTTTCCTTAAGCAGAAGATTTGTAATGCATAAACGCAATTACAATTTAGTGCAAGTGCGATACTTTTGCAATGCATAGCTGCGAAAAAACTCCAGGCTCAAAATGCTGGATTTGAGCGAGAACCACATTTTCAAGATCCAGAACCTATCACGCAGAAAAAAGCAGGCAGATCGCATTTGTAATGCAAAAATAAATACACAAAAAAATCTGTGCTGCATAGCTCAAGCAGCATGCTGCGGGACCGCCCATGACAGATTTTTTTGTGTGTTTGTTCTTGCACTACAAGTGTTGGTCATGGAAATCGATCCCGCACACACGTAACACGATCGCCCCAAATGACGCCTGTTCCCAATGAAATGACAGTTCTGAATGACCTGAACTAGCTAGATCCTTAGGGAAATGGTCAGAATCTATCTAGATCCTAAAGGAAACTCTTCACCATGTTCCGCGAATCCCCCAAATACTACGAAGGCAAAGCCATCAGGATCGTAGTGAAATGAATGGACTCAGCTCGGTCCAGACGTTCAGAATGGTCGCCCTGGGGGACTTGACTCCCGCCAGGGTCGAGCACCAATCTGAGCAGGTTGAGGAGTGGACTCCCATGCTGTTTTGCCACTTGACTCTGACCAGGTTCGGTCCATATGAATGCGCTGAATTTGGATGAATTGAACCTACAGGATGTAACGCAGCAAGAGACTTGCGTCACTTGCTTGCTTACTTGCAATTGAGAGAATTCATTGAACTGCTGTTGATAACGAGCTCAGTGGAGCAAACGTGTGTAAGTGTGTGCGAGTGTTCTCAAGTCCACTAACACTACGCTACGCCTTGAGACTCAAGCCGGCTCTTCTAGTCAGATAAGTTAGATTGAAGATGGGCCAAGAGGCGAAATTGACGGCGAAGCTGTCCAGCGCGCAGGACTGGCGCGCCTGGCATCGCGGGGTCACGAACGAGGTTTCTCGCCTCGGGCTCCAGGAGTATTGGGATAATCGTCTTGCTGGTAACCCTCCGGGGATTCCGCAGGCGAACAATACTGCCAATAATGCGATCCGGGAGAAGTGGCGCGACCTGAGGGATGCCATCTACAAGTCGCGCACCGGGTCCGTGTCCACGTGGGTCAACAGTCAGCACTACATCAACGACGACGCTGCGCAGTTGTTCATGCGTGTTCGTGATGTGGGTCGCTTCAATGTTGCATCCCGTGACCAGCAGCAGATCAAGACCTCCTCGATCGACGCCATGCATTTCGACAACCGCGACGCGCCGAAGGATGCTCCGACGTTCCTGGCCCAGATCCACGACTTGATGGAGATGGCGCCGAGTGTCTACGTCCCGGAGCCCGGGCGTCCGGCTGAAGATCAGCATGTCAAGAACATTCTGGACAAGTTGCCCAAGATGTTTGCGTCGGCCTTCCGCCAGACCATCGACCGCTGCGTGGACGAGTCCGATCGCATCACCTTGCAGGAGATCGGGAACCGTCTCGAGAAGAAGCTCGCGCAGTTGGTCAAGGAGGGGTCGCACAAGATTGCGAACCCGTCCTTCGGCAAGGCCTTCCCGGTCGTTGAGGAGAAGTCGAAGAAGAACAAGAAGGGAAATAAGCGTCAGAAAAATGACGACGATGACGAGGAGCCGGACTCCGCTGATGATGGTCAGAATGCTGCTTCTGGCAAGGTGTTCTCGGCGAAAGCCTTGAAACGCATGAAAGCCAAACTACGCAAGCAGACCGAAGCGAGTGTCCTGGCTGCCCATGGCCTGCCCCCGAAGTCTAACACTAAGGGTGGAAGTGGCCAGAAAGGTGGTGGCAAGACTGGTCGGAACCAGAGCACTCCCTACAACACTGTGACCAAACCCAAATGCTGGATCTGTGGCAAGGAAAACCATAAGGCGGACCGCTGCCGCTGGAATCCTAACAATCAAGGGAAAGGTCAGTGGGGTGGTGCCTGGGGAAACCAGCAGCCGCAGTGGTGTCCGCCGGTGAACCAGAACCAGATGAACAACCAGAATCAAGGGCAAGGAGCCGGTGGAAAGCAGGGCGGTTGGGTCTGGCAAGGACCAGCCTGACCAGATCACGGAGGAGTTTATATCTCGGAGCATGGTAGTTGTGTGCTAAATTTCGAGAATTTAGGGGATTCTGATGTAGATTCTTCTAGCTGTTTTACTGCACAGACCAAGGACGAAGTGAGCTTGGTCGATTCATGTGCAAACAAGTATTTATCTAGACACAAATCGGATTTTATTGACATCTCGAGCAACGTCTGTCGCATCAACGGCACGGCCGGGGCTCGTGATGGTTTTGTAGGAAAACTGAAGGAAAACGCTCTAGGTTTGCCCTATGGCGTCTATTTTAAACACTTGCCAAGAGATATTGATCGTATTCTTCCGTGGCTCGGTGAGGACAATCTCAGTGATCGTGGGTGGGATCTGAACTACAACAGCTCTGGCGGTTCCTTAGTCAACAGGGAATCCGGTCAGATGCTACCAATCAAGAACCACGAGAGGTTGACCCTCCCAGTCCTTGGGTGTGATCTTTTCGTGATGGGCCTCCGGGGTCAGGCGACTAGAGACACCGCGGAAGATATTGCATGCATTACAATCGAAGAAAGTATTGCTAGTTGTCACCTTACGCGTCTAGAACAACATAGAAGATTCGGACACTTTCATGTAGATGGTCTTAATGTCCAGTGTCCTGAATGCGACAAAGCGAAAGGCGCAAGAAGCTCTCACGCCAAGGAGCGAGACACTAGTAATTACAAACCTGAACCATTGAAACTACTAGCGATGGACTTCGCGGTAGGTATTAAACCTGTATCGATTCGGTCACGCACCTGCGTGCTTGTGGTCATCTGTGATGCCATCAAGAAGTGTTTCTGTGTCCCTCTTAAGCTGAAAAGTGACTGCGTTGAGGTTTTGGAAGAATTGATCAAAGGCATTCGCCAGACCTACGCTTTGACCCTCGAGGACAAGGTGGTATGGTTCGTCCGTAGGGACAGTGAGCCAGTTCTGGGCAGTGACTCCATGACCAAGGTCATGCAATCGCTGCGGGTCGGTGATGCTCCTGCGGTTCCCTACAACCCAGAGCAGAACGGAACCTGCGAACGCTTTATGCGGACCATATTCGGCGCTGTGCGTGCGATGTTGGTGAACGTGGACAAGCGTCTGTGGTGCTACTCGGTCGAGTACGCTGCAGCATGCTGGGACCGCCTTCCGCATAAGTATAGCAAAATGCCTGAGTACGACGGAAAGACTCCTGCAGAAATTCTGGATGAGAGAACTGGAAGAAATAGCTCGAAAGTTGGCACAAGGATGCTAAGGCGTTTTGGTTGTCTCGTTTATTTTCGTGAACAAGTCAAGAAAGGCGAAGCTCATGAAGCTCCTGAGGGGGGAGTAGAAGTGGTTGCTCCAAAGCTGTCCGCGCCATTTCGTCGTGGTGTATTTCTCGGCCTTTGTCCTAAGTCTTCGGGCTGGCGGGTTGGGACGTATGTCACGGACGGCCGGTCCGCCGCGGGACATCGTTGGATGGAGTATTCTACCATCGACGTCAAGTTCCGTGAGGAGTACCTCGTGAAGAATATTGAAGACCTAGTTCCTAACTCCAAAGGTATCTATGTCGAGTGTGACGCAATCGAGGCCCTACCTAGTGGAGCGTCGTGTGCGCCATCTCTCCCGTGTGTCGGTCTGATCAAAAGGGCTGAGCACCGGCTGGGGGTGGATGTCTCGGAGCACACTGGTAGGCAGCCTGACGGTCCTGAAGAGACGTTGGTAGTTGAAAGTCTGGATAGGGAAGATGATCCGGGCCAGATAGATCCCGAGCCTGAAGGTGTTAAACCTGAGGAGGGGAATCTGGACGATCACCCCACTCACAGCAGCTTATCTAGTCCAAGAAAGGCGAGCCCGTCTCCGGCAAGGATTGTGGCTGGCAACCGCAACTCCAAGCCGCGAGGTCGTGGTCGTCCCAAAGGGAGAAAGGACAAGACAAAGCGCGTGAGACGTACTAAGAAAGAGCTCGCAGAATTGAGAAAGGACGCTAGTGCCTTTGCCGCAGCAATAGCAGCACAGGATGATCGCGAGGAAGGTGAGGAATTCCTCGACGTCCAGTGTTACTTGACTACATCGGCCAAGTTGGATCCTGCTCGTTGCAAAGACTCAGTCGAATGGAACGCAGCAACCAACAAGGAAGATTGTAGACTTGAAGCCTATAAAGTGTGGGAGCCAGCTACTGACGAGGAGCTAGCGACCGCAAAGCAGGTTTTGCCTATTGCTATCCTTCTTACCGAGAAGCGTGACGGTACGAAGAAAGCGCGAGCAGTAGTACTCGGTAATCTAGATCGTTCGGGCGAGCTGGACACTTTCGCTCCTGTTGTGTCCCATGCCGCTAACAGGTTACTTCTAGCCGCTGCAGCCGCAGACGGTGATGATGTGATCCCGTTCGACCTTGATAGTGCGTTTCTCAATGCCTTACTTGATCGCGACGTCTTCTGCCGCTTGCCACCCATCTGGGCGAAGAAGCACGGCGTGGAGATCGTCAAGCTCAAGAAAGCGCTTTACGGCTTGAAAGACGCCCCCAGGCTCTGGTATAAGAAGTATGAGGAAGTACTGACCAAGCTAGGTTGGGAACCCTGTCCCTCTGCGCCAGGTCTGTGGAAGAAACCGAGCTTGGAACACCCTGGGAAGTTTCTGAAGTTGGCAGTGTATGTCGACGATAATCTTATCACAGGTCCTCCGACTGGGTCCGAGTTGGCTGGAGAACTTGCGGAGATCTTGCACCACGTCAAGGGGCGCATGATCGACGTCGAGCTTGTTCCGGAGTTTAACTCTGTGTCCAAGAAGTTTGACTTCCTAGGGTCAATAGTGTACTACAACTGGAATCTACGAACCGTTAGGATCGTGATGACAGAGTACATATCCAAGATTTGTAAGAAATTCCACGTCTCAGAAGCGGGCAAGCCGGTCCACTCGCCAAACTTCGATGAGTCTGAACTCGCTAAAGAAGTTGAAGGAGCTAAAGTTATTGAAGGTTTTCCCCTTCGAGAGGTCGTTGGCTCTCTGCAGTGGGCTGCAACCACTTGCAGGGTAGACATTGTTGTCCCGGTTGCCACTGTCGCCAGATACGTGGGCAAGCCGGCGACTCGGCCTGTCGTAAACGCCTGTAAGAAGATTCTGAAGTATCTATTGACAACGAAGGAGCAGGGTCTGTCGTATAGTCCGGAAATTGAGGAAGAATTCAACAGAATCTACAGCAAGCTACTGCCCGACGGGAGAGACTTGCCTGATGTGAATCTGTTTTCGGATGCTAGTTTTGCGAACTGTTGCAAGACCATGCGAAGCACTAGTGGTAGCATTATGTACTTCCGCGGCTTCCCGATCTGTTGGCGTAGCAACCGGCAGACCGTGAGGGCGTACTCCACGGCGGAGGCGGAGTATATAGCTGCTTCCGACACTATTGTGCTGAGCGAGCAGAATGACTTTACAGAGTTCTTCAAACCTCTACCCACTGTCATGGTGGAAAAGCAGAATGGCTTATCTCCCTCCCTGGATGATGCCATATTGTGGATCGACAACCAGTCCGCGATAACTACAGCTAAGAGCACAGACAACAAACCGAAATCGAGGCACTACGCACTGCGATATCTCCGCGTGAGAGACGCAGCGAGCCAGATCATGTTCTGCCCGACCTACCTAATGAAGGCAGACGGTCTCACGAAGCTCGAGTGTAGTGTGCCGCAGAGACGCTTACTCTTGCACCATATTGATAACCCCGACCCTAAGTCTTTTATTTGTGACTCCTCTGACGATGAGGATGATTTAGACACGTTTATAGAGGGGAATCACAAGGGCAAGGCTAAAGTAGGCTATACTTATTCGATTTATTTTGGTTTCTAGAGGGGATAGCTAGTTCACCACAGCGCGCTCAGGAGGGGAGTGTGGTAGGACGCTATCCAGATTAGCACCACCGCCGCAGCGATTGAGGAGGGGTGTTGGTCATGGAAATCGATCCCGCACACACGTAACACGATCGCCCCAAATGACGCCTGTTCCCAATGAAATGACAGTTCTGAATGACCTGAACTAGCTAGATCCTTAGGGAAATGGTCAGAATCTATCTAGATCCTAAAGGAAACTCTTCACCATGTTCCGCGAATCCCCCAAATACTACGAAGGCAAAGCCATCAGGATCGTAGTGAAATGAATGGACTCAGCTCGGTCCAGACGTTCAGAGTGGTCACCCTGGGGGACTTGACTCCCGCCAGGGTCGAGCACCAATCTGAGCAGGTTGAGGAGTGGACTCCCATGCTGTTTTGCCACTTGACTCTGAACCCGATTGGTCCATATGAATGTGATGAATTTGGATGAATTGAACCTACAGGATGTAACGCAGCAAGAGACTTGCGTCACTTGCTTGCTTACTTGCAATTGAGAGAATTCATTGAACTGCTGTTGATAACGAGCTCAGTGGAGCAAACGCGTGTAAGTGTGTGCGAGTGTTCTCAAGTCCACTAACAACAAGTATGCTATGCCTGTTTTTTTCTCTGGGATAAAACCTTGAGTATGGTAGTGCGCAACTTGGTCGTCGTCCTTCCCCTCACTTGAAAGTGCGCTGGCTGGGCTTTAACACAAACGTGAAGCTATCATCTGAAGATCAATCCAGCTTTATTTGCGATGAGAAATCCACTCTGCTGCACTGTAGTTCAGGAGAAGTTCTTGGGGTTTCCACAAACTTTTCATGCAGTCAAGGGCAAAAGACGAAGACCAGCACCCAGAGAGGCCTCGTTTTTGGTCATGCAGATTGCTAATAGCTATCTGCATGACCAGAAACGAGGGCGAGCGGGACGAGTTCGAGTTGTCCACTTGCATATCAAGCGAAATCCGCTGGAGGCCTTATATTTGGCGCAGAACCAGCTGAAAACGCTGGAGGGAGTGGAAGTGCTGTCCAAGACCTTGAGCGTACGAAACAACAACTTTTTTAACAACACAAACTACTGGAGGTCTTCACAGTTCTGCTTCTGCTCCCATTTCACATTATTTGATCTCCAACATAGCAGGTGTACTACGTCTAGTCTTTCCTTTCGAATAGTGATGATCGGCGCTCAGTTCTTCGAATAGTGATGATCGGCGCTCAGTTCTTCGTCTACCTATCATATGAAGTAGACATTGCTCCTGTCGAATTGTGTCTTCTCACCATGCGTGCAAAATAAATTTTTCTCCCTTTATTCCACGAACTTTTCTCAGGTCTTAAACGTCCGCGGGAATTTTTATGGCGTTCTCAAACGTTACATTCTCAACTGGCACATGAATTTGTTATGCAAGACTACCTTAAGCCGCCAGATGATCAACATGAACATCAAGCTGCTTCGCAAGACAAATCTCCGAGAGGCTAAACAGCATCTAAATCTGTACCAAATCTGTGATGCGAATGCAGCAAGCTTGCCCCTTTAACTGTTGCCATTCTTGCATCGCAAATTCATGTAACAGTTGAGAGTGTAGCAGTTGAGAACGCCATAACTTTCTTTCCAAATTGGAGCCCCTGGTCGAGCTACAGCAGCTGCGGAAACTGTGCGTAACAGAAAACAAGATCAAATCGAGTATCCGCGGGAAATATAAATCGAAATTTACCGACGTACACGAAGCGACACACACTGCAACAAGAAACATAAACATTCATCAAATGGCGACACTGCATGAAGAAGATCATACTAGATGTAGATAGAATTTTTGTCCCGTATCCATGATCAGCATGACAAGATTAAAATATCTTCCTTCGTCGAGGCCGTTGCCGAAGTGCGAGATTTGTCATGCGTGCTAGGTGTGATGGTAAATTTGTATTGCATACCGATTGACCAGATCGAGTTGCTGCCGACGACCGTTTATCAACTGGAAATATGTCTGGGATGTTGAACCTGAACATGCAATTGCAAACTTGTGATGCGCGGCCTAGATCACAGAAGAAATCTGTCATGCATGGACGGCAAGAAAAGTTGTCAATGAATTTCTTGTCGCCAAGAAAAGATAAACTTTGTCATGGGATGAAAGAATAGGATGCACCATCGACAAACAAACCGCCTCAAATCAACCTGTGATGCTCAGGCTTGCACGCCAGACTTTCTTTCTGACGCAAAAACAACATCACAAAAAGATGCAATCTTCCCGATCCTACAGACATATTTTTTGCAATGCATACCGTTGCGGATCTCTACGTCACGCCAAATCCCGTGTCCGAGCTGCCCTTCTTTCGATTGCAAGTCTTGCGAAGATTATCGCAGAGTAGAAAGGACTGTCACTGGCTTACTGTGCTGTTGAACTTTTTGTGCTTGTGACCACCCGGATCGATCTTGAACTACATCCAATTGGTGCCTTGCCACAAATGCAAGAGAGGTCATGTTTGACTGTGGAAGGACGCATGACAACTTTTCCTTGATGTCGGGGAACTTGTCATGCAGATTGTTCAAAACTACTAGCAGTACAGTGAAGAAGTCTTTTTGGTGGGATAGAAATTACCACAACTCCGGACACTCGATGACCAAGTGTGCACGCCGCAGGATATCCAGTGCAAAAGTATCGCGCTCGTACTAGTACTCGTAGTCATGCAAGACAAATCTCTTTTCCAAACTAAATCAGTATGACAAATTCTAATTCCATCTGTCAAGAACATGCTGAGGTAATATGTATTCTTGCAGTTTTTACTAGTAGTAGTGCGATACTTTATTTGCAATTGATACAGGAGAAGGTACATGCCAATACGGTAGCTATAGTTTGGGAGCGTAGCTCCGAAATAACTTTGTTGTGGCGCAGATGAAAGCATGGTGAGGGATGCGTGTCATGCAAAAATATTCCCTGCAGGGGAGGGGCGAAACTGTATATTATTCTTGATATGTCGGTTTGCGTTTGATATGATTATCAGGTAAAAGCCAACGTCGCGTACGGTGAGGACGCCAGTCGGCAGGAGGAAACTTTTATGAAAGTGCACAGCTCGATTTCCCTCCACGATCGCATAAACTACAACTGTGTCCAGCACAACAAGAGCAATTGCAGCAAACGAAGTGTGAAGTGAAGCTTTTCGTTCATCACTAGTAGTGCAAGTGTCTTCATCATGCTAGTAGAAAAAGGCAACCGCTTGAAGACTATACCACTACCAGTGCAATTTTGCACGGCAAAGATTGGGGAGATGTCGTGCACAGTCTCATAAAGGTCGCCTCGATCCTACCAAGAGAACAGTTCGTGGACCGCAGGCTGATCACGCAAGAACTGATATCCTGCCTCAAATCGCCCCGAACTTCTAGAACTTGTCGTGCAACTTTGCAAAAACGTGCTGCATATGCATGCGCAGTCTAGCAGCTGCTCCGAACTTGTAGTGCAAATTTGCAGATCTTGACTCTCGTCCGAGATCGGTGCAAACCCAGAACCAGCTTCTTCACTTCTGGCGTGTCAACCAGGACTTTTTTTTTTTACGTTTGCACTAGCCCTGACGTACTCGTAGTACCACAGGATAGCAACGCTATCGGCACTACTGGGGACGGATTCTTGACACAGGATAACTGCTATCCTATGTAAAAACGTACCCACCCCATAGTCAAGATGGGGAATCGGCTAGACAAATCCACAAGCTTTGGCTGTTTCGCATGACAAATTTGGACGCGTAGTGTAGTGCTGTTTGAGCTAGTTCAGCAGCATTACAGATCTAGTCTCTCATGCTGATTGGAGCATGACAAATTTCAAAACACCATCAGAAAATGCTCCTCATGGGGCTCCGCATGAGAAACATTTTAAGCATGCAGATTTGCATGACAACTCTGGTGTGGGTACGTTTTTCCTCAGGATAACTGCTCGAAGCCCGGGAACTCGAGGTTTTTGGTTTGGTCGGCAGAATATCCTGTGCAAAAGTATCGTACTCGTATTGCAATCATGCATTACAAATCTTTTTGTTAAGGCAAATCAGCATTACAAAAAAATTTATTTCTCATGCTAAGGAAATTCGTCATGCATTTATACGAGTACGATACTTTTGCACAGGATATAGAACTAGGAAAGTGCACAAGAACTTAAACTCGAACTCCCCCGCCTTCCTCTCAAGATCTTTCTGTGGTCATGCAAAGACGTCGCCATGCACGTGAATAGACGCGATTTATTTTCCCAACACAAGTATAAAGCTGTGCTCGATGTTTTTCTGTCCGACGAGCTTGCCATGATGCAGATGCCACGTTTTTATCGCCTCTCGTCCTGTTCTTGGTCTTCCGACAATCCAAACGAAGGGGAAGGGGAACAAGGGAACTTGTGCGATCTCATAACAACCGCGCCCGAGGACGATGAAGTGGATCTTTATGTCAGTTCGCTCAGGTGTTGCGAAAATCTTCTCAACGGCAGCTTCATCATCGCTACTTGATCATGTGAAGAGAGCGGAAGTTTGTCATGCAACCTGGTGTTTTTGAAGACCTGCTTGTAAATCAGGACAGGACGTACTTCTAGTTGCCAGCTCGTCCGTTTTTTTGTGCTGGGACAAGATGACGCGAAAGTAGCTTTCTTTGGAAAAAATCCGCAAATTGTCATGCGCATCACAATCTATCAGTTGTACGTGGATACGAGTTCTTGCGAATGCAAAACCTTGTTTCCAGCGCAACATCATAATTGTATACACGGTGCTATTGAGAAGATTCTGCAAACGCCTGAGCTGGTCATTACTTTGATGGAACAAGCCTGGCGAACTCCCCGGAAGGCTATGCTGGTAATGAGCGAGAGTGTCGTTGTATTCGTACAGATGATCTTGATTGCGATACATATTGCATCAGCACAGTCCTTCTTTCTACACCTGAGCCACCAGCATCACAAACCTCCCACTAATTACCCGCACTACTCCTGCTTTATACAGAACGTGTGCAAGTAGATTTGCGATGCAGAAACAGCTTGATAACAGAGGACGTGAAGAGAGTGCATCTGACACAACTTCTCTTGTAGTGTTGCATAAGGTCGTAACGGAAGCGAAAGCGTCTGCGGCGGTGGGAGCCTAAAATATCGTACGCTTTCTGCATGATGCAGTGTGCTGGCGGGGAAGGACGAGTGGACGTACTAGGTGGGGAAACTGGTCAAGTTCCTTTGTATTCTTTGCCAATTCCATGTCGAAGAGCCGAATGTAGTTGTAAATACTTCTACGCACTTCAATTTTTACTCAAAAGTACAAGACGAAGAATTTCTTCTCGAAAATTCTTTTCGACTACCCTTGTATTTTTAACCCAAAAGTACTATACAGTTAGCGTGCACAGAGCTGCAGGCCGCTCGTAAAATATGTCCGACAAGTAGACCACTAATAATCAAAAATACAGAATCGAACAACAATAATAATAAATCCCCATGAAATAGAAATATTAATTGCAAAAGAGAACGACGCATTTTAACTTTGACACAAACAAAAGAAGATCAAGATTATGCTTTTTCACTTTAACATAAGGAACGAGACATTTTTTTTTTCAGAAGTTATGGGGCCGAGCAGGCCGAGCAGAGATTTTATTTTTTTCCGACCATAACGCGACCTTAGGCACCGCCGTTTCTCACGACAAGCAGGTCGTGGAATAAAAGGCGCGCTCTAGTAGTAGCGCTGCGTAATTATTGGAGCTTCGTGGAGAAATAAATGAACATTGAATGTATTGTACGTCCTTGCAGAACAAGTACACCTCGACCTCCAGTGTGGTGCTTCAATATGACGACTTCTAAGTAGTCAATTCATGTACAAAAAAAAGTTTGTAGCGAGCCTTCTCTCAACCTCTCTAAATCTAAGGACGACCCTCGCCTAGCAGGCACACGACCCCGAGTTTCTTCCGAGCGCGAGCTCTACTACTCTTGTTGGCAAGTGAAAAAGACAAATGAATGAAAGAAGACGATGAGTATGGAAAGCAAATGTAATTGTAAAAAAACTAAAAAGACGGTGAGTGCTCGTGCTGTAGAGCAAGTACCAGATCGACTACTGACTGTTGCAATACTCCAGAAGGGGTCGGTGGAAGAGCTCGCGCGACTGCAGGCGGGGGGAGAGCATCCCCCAGGTTGCCTGCTCTGTTCTGTGCCGAAGGGGTTCTTCCTAAAATTGGTTGTTGATCATTGTTTTTTGCTTCAGAACAAATGCGGTCTTTTTGTGTCATCGATTCGTTTGTCGGTGTCCTTCATAAATTTTGAGGTGCTGGTGGTGCCGCGAGTCTCATGGATCATCGTAGTTCAACGAGTAGATGACCATCCGCGGGTGCCGAGTGGCCAGCTGATCACACGGCGACGATCTTCATCCGTGTTGTTGATCAATAAATGACCACGCCCGAGGCGAACCGGGGATGAAGTTGTGAGCACTTATCGATTTGAATGATAATACTTATCTGGCAGGCGGAACGATCGAGTCGTAGGCTCGGATGTTAACTCCACCGTAGGCTCTGTAACATTCTTGACGAACCTCGTACTATGTGATTATAGATAGCCCCGTGATAGTTTTTACCACCTCTCGATCATGATCCTGCCGACGTTCTTCTTTCATGATCAAGCATGCACCGCACATGCAGAAACGAAAAAGGAGGACGCAGGAGGATCTGAACTTTGAAAGAGCAAAAAATATCGAACTCGAATGTGATACCCACACAAATAGCATTTTTTCGACAGGAGAGAAGATAAGCATAAGCTCTGTTCAACATGATTCGTGGGCACCACCAGAGGGAACCGCTGTCTGAAGATCACTCATATTTTTGTTTCCAGCCACTTGATGGGAAGATGGCTCGCAGTTACTTACTTACGACACTCGTTTCGTTTCATCTACAACTCGTGTTCACCTTCACAAAAATTTCCAGGTATTTACTGTTTTTCGGTCTCAAGAAGCAACAGAAAATAAAATGTTGCTCTCCACCATCTGTAGTCCTCGATACGGGTTTTCACACAGTATCGGTGGTGAAAAAAGAGGACAAGACAGTGCCATCTGAACAGGAAGATCTATCGCCCCGGACGAAGTAGAATATGTAGTTGCCTTCGTGAAACACGACCAGGTCTGTTCCTGTACTTACCTGCATCGATCCCCAAAATCGTCTTCGTAAAGCCTGAAGTATGTACAGTCCTTCACAACTGATTTCGAAATGAATATAAGTACGTGTATGTCGTGTCTGGCGAGGCGGGCTCCCGACGCTCTCCGGGTGCCGCTCTTAGAACTAGAACTAGAGGCACAACCCGGCGTAGCACTTCGTTGACTATTTGATTCGAATAAATTATGAACCACGCTTCGATCTTCGACGAAGATCGAAGCGTGGTTCATAATTTATTCTATCGTGCTGAATCAAATCAGTAGTTGCTGCACTTCTCCATCGCCGTTGACATAAACCCAGAATATAAATTAGTTCTTGTTGTCCTCGTAGCACACCCGCCCAACGACCTGAATAATTTGATACGTCGATCAGTTGCAACATGTTCATGTTGACACGTAGATTAGAACCCGCCACTAGAATGTTGACGAAGCTACAACATGACCACGACGACCTCGTTTTCCTCGTCGTCCATACAATATCGTCGTGGTCAGTCGTACGTAAATCGTCTGTCTACAACTGATAAATTCAAGTCGTACGTAAACTCGTCCGTCGATATTGTTATCAAGGTCGTCCATGACAATAAATATCAATCAAGGTAGGTCGTAAAAACTCGTTTGTCTACAACTGACCACGAAATTCTAACATGGACTACAAATTGTGATCATGTTTTTCTGATTCTTGAACCATCTTCACAGGCGGAATGCTTTTTTTTCTTGATTGCGATGAAAAGCAAATAAATTTGAAAAACTTGTGGCTTTCATCCATCGAAGATCACCATCTGCAGCGTTTAAGTCAAAAGAAGTGCAGTTGTGCCTCTACCTGAAAAACCCCTTCAAAAAAATCATGAAGCGAGTCTTTCAGTCCAGTCTCTTCCTTGTGGTGGCCGTTCGACAGCTGCTCGCCGCAGAAGTATGCATTGCAAAAGTATCGCGCTAGTATCATTGCATTACAAATCACTGGCTCAGCTGCATTTTTACAAATTATTGAATTTGTAAGCGCGGACGATCTAAATTAGCAACTAGACCGCTACGAGTGCAATGCTTTTGCAATTCATAAGAACAGGATGGCAGCAGTGTGCTCTGCAAAGATGCGGCAAAATTCGGGCTCGTGCTTGACAACAATTGTAACACCGCCGACACAAATTATAATCTTGGCAACTACGGAGTCATTGTATCTCAAGACAATTCATGCAACCCCCTCCTAGCACCCGATAAGCCAGGTGCTTGCAATGCTGAGACTTGTTGCGCATGCAGAAGTTTAAACGGAGAGGATTTATTTTCAAGTGTGGAATCCAACTGGCTTGGAAGCCCCCTCTACGCCTTTCAAATCTGATGCCTGGGTCTGGAAAACTGCTGGAAAATTGTCCTGCTGTGCGTCTGGATCACACCGAAAAGCTGTCCTGCATGAGCAGGAAAATTAGGTGGCTAATTTTGATTTCGTGTACCAGGAAAGGCATTTTTTTCTTACCGGGATTACAGGCCGACAAAGACGGCAATGCGAAATCCGTGATGCTAGGTAATGCCACCCAGAACCCGGTGGCCATCCAAAAGGTGCATGACAAACTGAAGCATGATATGTCTCCACCCCTGCGACTGTTTGCACAGACCCAGGCCGCATAGTATTTGCACTTTATACCATCTCCGGCTTCTGTCACCAGCCTACTTGCGGGAACGTCGATGGGAGAAAAACAGCCTTCCAGTGTGGTCCGACAACCGAGGAAGGCCGGGTGGAGCACAAGTTTAAGGGTTCCGAAGTAGAGGATACCGTTTGTCTGCTAGAAACAGCCACTGAAAATGATGACCGCGGTTGTATGAGAGCATGTTGTGAAGTCCACGCCAGCACCTGCGCGGACATCGACGGAAAGGGTACTCCGTTCAAGTGCCGCGACCCGCTCCGTCCCATGCACGAGAACCAAAAAGCCGCAACATGTCCTGCCGGCGGTTGCACTGATGCTTCGTGTTGCACGCAATTTAAGTGCGAGGGAAAAGCGGCCAACGACATCTGTGGTGATGCTGCCAGGGATACACTGAAGCTCTTAACAGGATTACTCTGGGTGAAAGATCCCCACCCGATCTTCGACATCAATTGACTTCTCAAGCATAGATGACAAAGTTATGGGAAACGTCCATGCATGTGCAGCTGCAGTGTGGTTTTTAGCGTAAGTGTGGTCAATAATCCTCTGATGTAGCAGTATCACAATTAGATACTGCGATGTGATCTTTTCTGTGATTGTTCTTGATGCCCCGTAGAGACTTTTTTGAGAAGCGCAAAGCTTATAATATTAGATGAAGTCCCACGTTGACATGTGGGCGCCAATCTCCCACTTCCAGCCCAAATGCCAGACGTGCATGTCAATTTTTGTGGGTGGGGATGTAATTTTCGCACAGGATATCGTCAACAAGGCGAAGCAGTACAACCCGACATATCTTGGGCAAGAACATCGCGCGCGTGTGACACGGTACACAGTAGAAAGATAGACTATTGCACTTTTACGTCAGTTCGTTCCAGAGCTCCCCTTTTCGTAGTCCGCGTCCGCCACAATAGCATTACGCTACGCGGTTCAAAACTTTGAAAGAGAAAAGGCGGTGCTGCTACGACGTACGTACGCGTGCGATATTTTTGTGACGCATGCGCCGACTTCATAGACTGTTCTGCGACGCCACCGCCAGGCCAATGTGACGTGCCAAATTGCTGTGAGTGTGATCGTATGCATTGCAAAGACGTCAGGGTCTGGAAGGATGCCACCATGTGACGCGGATTCTGGAATAGGCAAGAATCTAGGCAGTTGCGTACAAGGCAGCAGAAGATATCAGATCTTTGTCTCCGGAAGAGGGCATGCGTCATGCAGAATGGACAGGATGGAGCCCGCCTCACAGAATTTGTCATGCCCTGCGTGCATTCGTTCCACTACGCCTTGTTCTCGCATATGCAAGGAGAACTTGATGAAAACAAGTCTCCGCTTCTTTCCAGACACAGACAGATTTGCATTTGATAGATCAGGTGAACGGGTACAGTGAGTTTGACCTAGATACAGCTTGCGGGAACCAAAGAACATGCAGTAAGTCTGCCGGGGACGGTATGGCGTTGTCAAGCGTTACATCGATTGCCGTTGCATGTTTGTCATGCAGAATCTGTATCAACAACGACTTCGACACGATCAAGTGCCAAACTTGTGACGCGCTAGAAAGGATGGAGTTCCGTGCCACATCTGTAATGCAAGAAGCGCGATATTCGCACGGCCTTTTACTTATGCGATTCAGGTGAGGAGCTTCTTGCATGATTCAATCATGATGCGACAGCGATCCATGTAACATTTGAGAACGCCATAGGCAGCAAGGACGTCCCGTTCCCGAACTGCAACACCGCCAGCGGCCGCGTGTACAATCCAGGCGCCGACGACTTGCCCTGCCCTTATTCCAGAAAAAGATACTGTGCTTGTAACCGTGGTACCTAGCAGGTGCAACTCTGTATATACAAAGCATGATCACTACTCCTAGTGGTCCTACATTTTACATATGCAAAGCGTGCTCCTTACTTACATGCATATGCAAAACATGATTTATTTTTTATTGATTTGACACTGCAGCACAGTCACAGACACACCTACTGCTACACTCCTCACGTTGGCCAGCGATGTTGAAGTCCTCTTTGCATAGATTTGCTTGCTCGCACTTTCTCCGTCACGCGGAACAAGATTGTTATGCTAAGACACCTACACTCCCGACAAGCACAGTCTTTTCTTGGATGACCCATTTGACACCTGCACTGATGCTCTGTGTTGCACGACCGCAACTTCTTTTTGTCGAAACCATGAAACCGATGGTGGTCGCTTCATCTGCCCCGCGGACACTCATCGCCCCTACGACCCAGTTATCCTGGTACGTGACACCAGCTCCCGCTCGCCCTCATCGGTCATGACGCAGGAGGAAGAAAAAATTTGAAGAAAAAGATAAGAGCCGCGAACGTTGCCTAGTAAAAGAGGAGGGTATAGAAGATGATTTGTAGTCTTGAAACCTCTGGTGCATGGTTTTGACATTTGCATGATTTTGCATTTATGCTCGAATTTAATACTTTTTTCCTTTGAAGAAGAGGTAGAAGTATATCCCCCCCGGTTTTAGTCCCACCCCTTCCGAGGAATTGCTTGGCGCGCGGCTTCGAGCCAGTCCTCACTTGAGAGCTTTGGCGTGGCTCGCTTCGAAACAGTCTGACGCATCGGTTAGAGTAGAGTAAAAGATCGCCCCGAAGAGGGTCTTCGGGGTGATCTCACTCTTCACCCGCCCGGCCGAGTGGGTGAGAGATGAGACGGGTCCGCCTTTTTCATGTCGCCGCGCGAGCGATCTCGATTTATTTCTCGAGCCTGTTCTTGTCGCGGAAGGTTTTCGCCTGAAGAGGCAGCCGGCGGAGTAAGTAATATTTCTTCCTTTGAACGACGAATGAGGGAGAGGGGAATGGCGGGAATCTTTCCAAGATGATATCTACGCAAGACGACCACCCGTGCCCGTTGCCGGGGGGCTGCACTTCCGACGAATGCTGCACCGCATTAGTGCCAGAATACTTCTGCAAAAACATTGATGACAGTGTCATGGGGATGCTGGAGTGTGACGCTACTGGTACCGATCCTACATCGCGCGACCACATGCTGTGGCTTTGGATTGGGATAGAACCCCGCGACGGCCGCCCCGACTGTAAAAGTAGCGATGACACAGAGAGGGCGAGGTGCAACCAGCAGAACTGCTGTGTCGAAAAGAAAACGTGCTGGAAGTCGACCGGCTGGCGTGCTAATCCTGCAGTGCAGTTCGACATCGCATCATGTTCATCTATTTCGCTTCAAGCAGGTCTGAGACACTCCGAGGACACCAATGGCGCACAAGATGCCGTGTGCTTAACGCAGTACGACGGACCTGGTGCAATTTTTGGGTGGTGCGAGCCAGATCTCTGTTGCACACGGGACCTGTGCAGCAACAAACCCGACGACGACACGGCTGATGCCGATATGGTGATGACCGAGCCGGATCACCCCGATTCTCCCATCGATTGCACTTTGATATGGTGGCGACACCCTGGGGCCTCTTCACTGACTTCAATTTCGTAGGGTTTCATTTGCTTGCATCAAAAATAAACAAAAATCGATTGCAAATAGAAGTATGTAACTATTACTATTTATTATTATACTATAATTATGAATATGAACTGAGTCTACTTCTACTGGAGGCTTATCTACTAGTACTTCTCTCCAGGTGGTCATGACTCAGTGCTGGAGCGGTTCCGCGTGGCCGAGAAGGCTCGCCATGGCTCTTACGCGTTCAAAAATAATCCACCTCTGTTGCAATTTATTTGTTTGAAAGCTTCCCACGTGGGGTTGTCATAGCTATTTAAGTGCAACCAGGATCTTTGTGCGTACGGCGCAGCAGGCACAGGCACAACGAAGGCCACCTCGGCTACCAAATGCGACGCCTTCTGTAGCAGCGTCAAAGACGCGAGGAGCGGCAGACGAATTTTTGCGGACTTGGAGGGGTCTTCAATCGAGTGCAAGGACTACGCGGATAAACCTAAACGGGGTTGGTGCAGTGTGGAGGACTGCGGGTGCAAATGCAGCACGGAGAACGGATACTCTCTCGGGTCCACCCACGACAACTTTCCCGCTGGCCCTGCGTTCCTTCTCTCGGACTGCAGACGAGGAACACCAATACGGGATGATGAACCCTCGACGTTTTGCAGCCTCCCGGCACCTATCGAAGGTAGATATGTCCGGGTCTGGGAGATCACGAAAAATTGTCACGCTGATATGGCATGATCCTTAACTCTGTATTGCGTGGCCACGGACAGCCTCTCTCGCCTGTCATGCAAAAACGCAGTTTCTGTTTCTGATGCGGGATGCTCAACTCAGAAACACCAGCGCCGAAAAAATTGTCATGCTTGGCAGGCGCAGGAGCACATCGTAGTGTGCTCACTATTCCCTTCTTTGCATCACAAGTTTCCTTTTCCAGACGGAGACATATTTGCACTGGATAGCACCTCTCATGGTTGATGTGGCGAAGGAAGTCCAGTTGAAGCTGTGGCGCGGTTCAGTGCAGACACCAGGGACGTCGTGGGATGAAGTCGAGTTGGCGGCACAATCTCCTACAGAAAACGGGAACTGGGTTGCACAAGGTCTTAACGACGAGTGGGCTGCTGAGGAAAGGCGACGCACAGCAATGGCGCCCCTGACCGACGAGACGAGCGCTGGTTTTGAAGTTAAGCGTGGCTACACGCTTGCTTCTGATGCGGTGTATGACCTGCAAAGAGCGACAGTCGTGGAGACCAAAGAAGCATACCGGTGCTATTGCGAGGAAAAACCCCCCCTCCCCATATTGAACACGAAATTTGTGATGCTGTATTTGTGTTGTACACAGGTGATGACTTGCTGGAGAGCACTGCAGGCCCATACCAAGTGTGAGTAGAGAGATTTTGGCCTAGGCGCTTAGGATGAAAAGCATCCACACTGCTGCAGCAGGCCCAAAAGCATGACAAATCGCCTGCACAATGCGGCGGCTGTCTGCGGAGTTGCCTTCTTGCAAGACAGACGCGATCTGTGACCGCAATGCAGCATCACAAATTTCCAAAAATATACCTTTGCAGTATGGGGAGGCGGGGGGATCTTTCGTATTGATAGGCGCCCCTGGTTCCAGATCGACCTGGGGTCTACCAAACTCGTCACCAGTGTGCACCTCTTATGGCGCTCTCACTCAAATCGGTTACATTCTCTATCTCTGCTGTTACGATGAATTTGTCGTGATGCAACACTAAGTACCTTAAGCCGCCAGATGATCGAGCTGCTTCGCATGACAAATTTCCGAACAAGAGGTAAACATCGTCTAAATCTGTGCCAAAGCTGTGATGCGAAAGCAGCAAGCTTGGCCCTTTCACTTTTGCTGTTCTTGCATCGCAAATCCATGTAACAGCTGAGAGTGTATTAACGTTTGTGAACGCCATACCTCTTCACCTCGGATTGGGTGGGGCGCTTGGGGCCGTTGTTTTTCAACACGGGAACTGGAGACCCTTGGGACGCACAAGCGTACCCAAAGCTGGAGGATGCTTCAGCGGATGCTTCGAATGGTCCAGTTGACGCGGGATTTCGAGTTCTGCTAGTCGCAGCAAAAGCGTCGTCCAGGCACCACTCAGAGTGGAATTTGGACGACGCGTGTCCAGACCCAGAACTCTCCGCCGACGTGACGGTCTGCGAGGACCAGATCATCAAATATGCCGGGGGTGCCGGACGGTATCAGGATAGAAAAAAACCCTTGTTCCCATTTTTTTATTCAAATTGAAATCTGTCATGCGGGATTTGTGATGTATGAATATAGAAGTACTTAAACCATGACAAGCCAGCTCTGGCTTGCAATTATAGGGGCTGCAGAAAGAGCCTGAGCCTCGTTAGTAGGGATGTTGCAAGACAGGGACGCTGACCTTCTTTGAAGACAGAGACGATTATTTGCGACCACGGATCAGCGTTGCTGCAAATCTTCAGCTGCAATGAGCCTCTTCAGAATGGGACGCGGAGGGATTTTCCATGACGATACACCCAATCGCTTCACGCCAGTACGCGACGACAAAATTCCGGGGATCAAAGTGCCCGAGTCTCTCGATGGTATGGATTACAACCTGGTCGGCGCCAGGATCAACTGCAACGGCCAGCTCGGGCGCTATGTAGTAATCGAGCTTCCGGGGGCGCAGACGAGCCAGCGACGAAAGTTCGGGCTGCACGAAGTGCAGGTGTACGCAAAATTCGTGGGCGAGGCACAAACGTTCGCGAAACTAACGCCGGGCGCGGCGTCCGCTTCGAGCTACCACACGAACACGGAGTCTGCGAATGCGGGTGAGATTGCTACACACCATATCATTTGTAAAAGCGTTCCCACCCCAGACTTGTCATGCAGAATGGCATGCCTAAAAAAAATGTCTCTCATGCGCCGCAGGGCCCATCCGTTCGGTCCTTAGTAGATAGTCCCGCAACGGGGTTCGGCTAAAGTCGGCCACTTGTATGCTAGGCGTTGGGTTACCCGGTCGGCAGAGCCGATCCACTGATGTCCATGATGCCGCAGCCCCATGAGAGATGACATTTTCTAATCGCTATCTAGAAGTCCTCTGTGATGCTAGAATCTGGATGAGGTACGTACTAGTCGATTTGTGATGCGTCTGCACTAGACTACGAGCCCAGATTTCTCATGCGAAACAGCCGAAGCTTGTGGAGTTGTGTTGCGAGATCCCCATCTTGACTCTGGGGCGGGGACGTTTTTACACCGGATACGCCGTCAAGTGGCACAGAGACTGGTCGATCGATATTACACCTCACTTGCGCAGACCCAGAGAGAATTCGACGTTGACTCCAACGGTGCTCCTGTTCCTGCACTACTATACGGTAATAATAAGCACAGCGTGGCGCAACGGTGCCCCTGGATGCAGATCGACCTGGGGTCGTCGCTATGCAATGCAAAAGTATCGTGCTAGTATGAATTGCGTTACAAATTAGCCCAGCATGATTACAGATTTACTTTATCTTGAGAAATAAGACATTTGTAATGCATAAATGCAACGACTACGAGTGCGATACATTTGCCCAGGATAGTTGCAGACCGTTCGCAACGTGCAGCTGTTTTCCTCCTCGTGGCAGCAACGGCTGGTGTTCCTGTTTTTCAAAACCGCAAAAGACGGCGACGGGACGTTTAGCGGGGCCATCGCGAATGGTCGGGTCGACTCCGGCTTTCGGGTGATGGTGACGTCGAACTCACGGCATACGCGCACGTCCGCGGCACCGAGCGCCCTGGCCGGCGACGCGTGCCCCCCGATCCCGAACGACGAATATCCTGATGACCACCTGTGCGAGACCGTGACGTACAATGGGGGGGAAGGGTTCCGGAGGTTTACGGAGGTCCAGAACGAGGACGGCTCGCCGATGATCGTCAAGGACGGGCCAGTGGGAGCCCCGTCCACCGATTACAGGGTGCTCAAGGCCGTCATAAACTGCAACAACGCCGTCGGCCAGTACGTCGTCATCGACTTGCCATATGGGAGTGCACAACTACTCCCCCTCCCCCTCATGTGTGATGTAAATCACCCAATCCACGCCAGCAGGGCCAGGTCTTGAAGCACTGTTTGTGTTTGCATGGCAAGTTTATAAAGAAATGGGACGCCCTGCCCTTAGTCTTCCAACATGACAAGTTCTGGCCGCTCAAATACCATTTTGATTTTTACGCTCCTGTGCAGATTTGTCCTGCGAAGCCTGCGCTATTGCTGACGGCTGTATCTTCGCTGTTCATGGCATACAAATGACGAAGAGGGGGCGTTGTGCACTCTCATACGCCAGGCGTGAATGACGATGACGTCGACGGCACTCCGGATCTGGAGACCCGGCGGAGACTTGGTCTCCTGGAAGTCAAGGTCGGGGTGCAGGCGGAGCTCGTACGCATTGCAATCGTGTCTGGGTCAGGAAGGAGTGGAACTTGTGGCGCTGTCACTCGGTTCCAGATGAAAAATCTGTACTATTGCATTATGACCAGCAAAAGGAATCCAGTCTGTGCTACGCGGAGAGAGCATGCCTCATGCGGAAGAGGAGACTACAGCAGGCCCGCTAAAAATCTGTGATGCTAGGTCATGCAATACAGGCGTCATGGGTCGTCATGTAAAATTTGCATGCCAAGCCTTGCACAAAACCAGACCCAGGCATATTTGCAGTGGATAGCTCGCGAGCACCTGCAGAAGTTTCGTGGAGGACGTCTGGGGCGGGTCGATGGCCAACTTCTGCTACGATCCGCTCCGGACGTATGCGGTGCCGGAGACGTATGGAAGCGTCAGGTTTGAAATCGTCAAAGTTGAAACAATTTGCAATGCATAAAATGCATGACCCGAGGCACGTGCGTTGCAGAGCAGGCAAGTGAGGCCGATTGTGAGCCTGTTTGGGGTTACAGCTCGAGCTGCTAAAGTAGCATGGGAAAATCACTCTTCTACTTCTTTGCCTAAACAGCATGACAAACTGGAATTAGGGACCACCGAAATTTGTCATGCGCTACTTGGAAACTGGGCTCCAACTGGCATCCATTTTATGCATGACAAATTATTTCAACTTTGTCGATTTCAACTCTGACACATCCATAAGACGCGGAAAAACGCCCTGCCGGAGATCGACACGACGGCCGAGGTATGCACAGCAAAAGCGTCGCGCCCGTAGTAATCGTAGGCGCGCAGAAGTGCGGGGCTAGTTCTCAAAGCGGGCCCGCGCTACGGGTCGCGACACGACCTGTAGCGCTGGGCTGATTTTTTTGCAGCGAGGCTCTCAGGAAATTAGTGCGAGCGTGGTGGTGGTGCTTTTGCATTGCATACGCGGATACCGTGGAGGGGCACTATCGCCGATGGTGTTGTGTCGAGACCTGCAAGAAGGCCGTGACCGTCCTCAACGAATGCATGCGAAAGCCTCAGAATGGAAATTCTCAAAGAGGAAATAATTTGCGATGCATGGAATGCGACGCAAAAAAGACTGTATTGCAGAGGACCCAATGGAGGCCGACTATTGTCCTGCTAGGGGTGAATAATTGGAGTGCTGCTTAGCATGAGAGAAGGGCACCCCTGCTTTGCCTTAACCTGCAACATGACAGACATGCTTTAAGTGCCAGGGAAATTTGTCATGCGCCGACTACAGATGCCGCGTCAACTAGAGTCGTTTTTTTGCATCACAAATTGTTTCCACTTTGAGGATTTCCAACCTGAGGCTTTCATAATGCACCGAACGAAGGGACATCGTGGAGGCCTTCGGGGGCACCTATCCCCAGGACGAGAGCAAGATCGACACCTACGGGGGGACGAGAGTTGAGCCGAAAGGCGAGGACGCCATCTGCTTCGGGGGATGTAGCCCCACGACTTGCTGCAGAGTCCAGCACTATGTGGGCGGCACCGGGAACTTCTTCGTCGTGCGTATGGAAGCGTCAGGTTTGAAATCGTCAAAGTTGAAATAATTTGCAATGCATAAAACGCATGACCCGAGGACCGTGCGTTGCAAAGCAGGCAAATGAGGCCGATTGTAAGCCTGTTTGGGGTTACAGGTCGAGCTGCTAAAGTAGCATGAGAAAATCGCTCTTCTTTGCCTAAGCATCATGACAGAGGGGATTTAGGGACCGCCGCAATTTGTCTTGCACCACTTAGGAACTGGGTTCCAACTGGCATCCATTTTATGCTTGATGCGACGCCCGACAACAAACCGGTAGCCATTGTGGGCGACCTCTTCCAGAACGATCCAACCGAACTGCCTCAGGCCTCTTGCTGGTTTAGTGGACTAGTAGTCCGCGTCACAGACTAGGCGCGGCGCAGCAACAAGGAGCTGCGCAGCGGCTCCATCCGTCACGCCCGCGCCTCGTTTTGGTCATGAGGTCGTGATGTACTGCTCCGGCGATTCATTCTCAGTTGCAACCTTCACACTCGCCGCTGGTTCTCAGGTTCTTGGCTTTCAAGAGAAAAATTCTCTCTCATATGTTTGCCGGAATCCCTAAACCGCATCGCAGGCTGGTTTCGTGCCTGCGGTGTCCGTAAGATTCCGAATAAAATCTACTTTGTACGCATGGGGCCAGCTGCAGGCTGCTGCTTCCTCATACATAGCAGTGAGCCTGGTCGGTCCCTGCACAGTTTGTGAGCGCTATAAGTTGGATCGTTGGCGAACGTTAAACGTGCTCTGTTGGCGACAAGTATGGACCGCTGGCGAACGTTAAGCGCATGTTGGCGATAAGTTGGACTGTTTGCGAAAGTAAGGATAAGGAGGTGGCGTAAGTAGGATTATATATGTGCCCGAGGATGATGGTGATGGCTTCGGTCCGCCTGACTCCACGACCTGGTGGCCGAACCATCTGCGGCGAGGTGCCCTTACAGGTTGTGTAGTGGTTTCGCTTTCGGTCGGTTTAGCATGACAAATTATTTCAACTTTGTCGATTTCAACTCTGACACATCCATAGTGCGGGGTCTGATCCTAAAATCGACACTGTCGCACTGGCAGTATGATGCGTCCGAAACCACAGTGCTGGTCAAGATGCGGGAGCTGATGGAGGCGGTTTACCTTCCCGGCGGAGCGGAGCAACCGCCCGACGGGCAAGGCACGATGACCGTGCTGGAAGAAAGAGCGAAGCTCATCGCAGGAGGTGCCACACTGCGGAAAAAAGCCCGCGCGCTCGACGACGCAGACGAGGAAGCCCCCACCGCCACGTGGAACGTGACCGCCTACACGTTCTATTTCAACACCGTGCTAATATCCTGTGCGAAAGTATCGCACTCGTAGTAAGTGCAACCATGTCCATGCATTACAGGTCTTTTTTTAAAGGCAAACCCGCATTACAAATTTTATCTCTCATGCTGAGAAAATTTGCCATGCATTTATACGAGTGCGGTACTTTTGCAGTTCATAGCTAAACCCTGCGAACCAAATCAAGGCGCTCACGCCGGGCGAGCTGGTGGAAAGGATCAACAAGAAAATTGGATCCACCGCGGAGCTATCAAGTGCAAATATGTCTGCTTCGTCTGGAGGAAGCCTGTCGTGGCGCTCGAGTGTGCATGATTGAAATAACACTCGAATGCAGCCAAGCATAACGACTTCATCCCAGAACGCCTTCTCATACGCAGCCCGTGCGGAAAGCTGCGAATTTGTATGGACAAAAAGAGGCGTCGGCGACTTTTGTTGGTCATGCAATACTACAGAAGATTTGGATTTCACAGGAATGTGAGGCCAGCGTGACAAGTTCGAACGTTCCAGACCCAGACATATTTGCATTTGATAGGAGCTGCGGGCTACGAAGCGCGCGTTTTTTTCGCAGCCCGGGGAAGTCGGATATGGAGTTCTCAAATCGTTTACTTTCTCAACTGTTACAGGGATTTGCCATGCAGAACTAGCACCTTACGCCATCAGACGATCAAGCTACTTCGCAGGACAAATCTCCGAAGGGGTAAACAGCATCTAAATCTGTGATGCGAAAGCAGCAAACTTGCCCCTTTGCCTGTTTCTGTTCTTGCATTACAAATTCGTGCAAAAACAGTTGAGAACGTAACGTTTGAGAACGTCATATCGGAACGGAATGGGTTGACAAACCCCCGGCGGAGACGCACATCCAAAACACCGTATCAAGTGCAAAAATGTCTGGGTCTGGAAGATTCTAGACTTGTGATGCTGTCTCTGGATTCGAAAAAAATTTGTATTGCCTGACCAGGAAGAGGAGCAGACTTTGTGTTCCGCGGAGATGGCGTTTGTCATGCGGAATAGGCATGAGGAAGCGCTCTATTAAAAATCTGTGATGCTAGGCCATGCTGCATTACAGGCATTATGTTTCATGTAAAATATGCATGACAAATCTTGCAATCTCCCAGACCCAGACATTTTTGCATTTGATACACCGTGACACTGTCGAAGTGGGACAAGAATGAGAAATTGTGGTGGAAAATCGTCTGTGGTTGCATCGTCTTTCTGGTGATTCTTATGTACGTGTACGTCTGTTACCTGTATGAAATGCAAAAATGTCTGGGTCTGCAAACTTGTGATGCTAAAATGTGCATGATGAAAACACTTTCGAATGCAGTCTGGCATGAGAACTTCCCAAAACGCTTTCTCATAGGCAATCCGCATGAGAAGCTGCGTTTTTGCATGACAAAAGAGGCTGCGACTTTTGTTCGTTATGCAATACAGATTTTCTAGGTATGGAAAGCTAGCATTACAAGTCCCAACCTTCCAGACCCAGACATTTTTACAATCCATAACCTGCACCCCTTGACGATGGCGCGGCTGGAGCGGGAAGAGAAAGAGCAGGAGATGGCGCAGGCGGCCTCCGATTGGGCGAGCCACTACAACGTGCAACAGGCGGACTATACGTCGGCGCAAGGGGGGCTCTTTGGCGTGACGCCGTCCGGCGGTTTGCCGAACAACCGGGGCACGCACGGGGGAGTGTGGGCCGGTCCTTCCTCTTTTCGCGGCACGGCGGCCGATATTCAAGTAGAGAAAAAAACTGTCTTGGTACAAGTGTAGCTGGCCTGGGAATGATCGTGGCTACAGCATATATAAATTTGCTCTGCATGACAGAGAAATTATGTTATCCTGTCATGCGCCGCGCCTAGTATCAGTGAACGCACGTTCGTATGAAAGAAAGGAAGACTAGGACACTATGCCTGGCTTCTAGCATGACGAGTGATATATTGTGTGAGTACAACGTGCGTATCATTCATTACAGACTTACACCCGACGCACAGTTTATTTTTTTTTTTTGCATAGCGATAGCTGGCAGCGGGCAGCCGTCCTGGGGCGGACCAAGCTCCTTCGCCGGAATATGACACCCTCAGAATGGAAATCCTCAAAGTGGAAATAATTTGTGATGCATGAAATGCGACACCAAAAAGACTGTATTGCAGAGAACGCAATGGAGGCCGACTACGGTGCTTTACGGGTTCAGAATTGGGCCGGTGATTAGCATGAGAGAATGGCACCCCTTTGCCTGACTAGCATGAGAGACACATTTTGAGTGCCCGGGAAATTTGTCATGCGCCGACTACAAATGGTGCTCCAACTGGACTCGTTTTTTTGCATTACAAATTATTTTCACTTTGAGGATTTCCAACCTGAGGCTTTCATACGGAACGGCTCGGGGCGGTGGAGGGGACTGGTCCTCGTGGAACGGGGCCGGACAGTACGGCAGCGGCGCCGGGTATGCGAGTGTCAGGACTGAAATTGACAAAGTTGAAATAACTTGTAATGCATAAAATCGATACCAGTTGGAAGCCAAATTTCCAAGCGGTGCGTGACAAAGTTCACAACCGTCTAGTACATCCAGTTTGTCATGCTGTTCGGGCACAGGAGAGTGCTTTTGTCATGCTCCTTTAGCAGCTCTATCCCAAACCCTAAATAGGCTCACAATCTCCTGCCTTGCTTGCCATCCCGGCAAGACAGGCACTTCATGCCTTGCATTTTATGCATGGCAAATCATTTCAACTTTGACGATTTCAGTCCTGACACTCCCATACCGGGCAACAAGGAAGTTGGAACGGGCAGTGGGGCGGCGCCGGACAGTCTTGGGACGGTGGAGGCCACGGAATGGCGGGCGGCGCGAGGCAATGGGAGTGGGGCGGCAGTGGCGCCTCATATGGTGCAGGGTACACCAGTAACGGGCAACAAGCGCGTTGTATGGAAGGGGGTCAAAAACGAAATCGGCAAGGTTGAAATATTCTGTCATGTTGCGACGTGTTGAAATGGTAGGACTCCTACCATTTAAGAAGAAGACCGGCACTCCGTGGTCCTCCTAGGATCACGAAGTGTAGTCGGTCTTCTTGCACCAAGTGGGTTGGCATAATATGAGGCCGATTGTACTAAGCCTGTTCGAGGTAGTTCTTGGAGATATTAGAGCTGCGTAGGAGCATGAAATCAAAAGCCATCTTTTTTTCCCCGGAAGAGCGTGGGAAATTGGATTTAGGTGATCATGCCAAAATTTGTCATGCGCCGCTCGATTTTATGCATGGCAAATTACCATCTCAATGCTTTGGTCGATTTTGAACCTGGCCCTTCCATACCTTCTTGGAATCCCGACCCTCAAGTCTACGGCAACTCGTCTTACAATTATTAACCGAGGTGGAGCCAGGGCCAGCAAAAAGGAAAAATCCAACTAGAAATAACCAAGTGTCCGAAATCGACAGCAAATTCATTGCGTTGACGCAAATCATATATCATTTTCGTTTTCCTCCTCTTTATTCGGCTTTCGTATGTTTTACTCGGCTTTCCCATTGACGCTGTACAAGCTGAGGTTTATTTTACACTTGATTTTTTAAAAATACATTGACGGTATACTTTTTCATGTGAGCATTCGTTTTTTCAAGTTTTCAGTTGCCAGTTTCTCACTTATTTTTTTCTCACACATTCAAACATTTCGTATGTGTACATCAACATCTTCTTTGCAGTCTGTCAGCCTAGAAAATGAGTCTCTTGTTTCGAAACCAGCAGCAACGCGAGGGAGTTCTTGTGCCTCGTCCTGTACAAGAATTATGAAGTTTACAACTGTACAATTACACTTGAGAGGAAAAAGAACGAAAAGGTTGACTGTGGGTTGAGAAATTTTATTGGGGAATTGTACTATGTGAAAAACTTCTAGTAAAATTCTACGGTCTTATGTGGGGAACGAACGATTCTCACAGTCGCAGTCCACCATCGCGCCGCTGCGAGTGAGAACAACCTGGCTCCCCTCCGCCGGCGTGCTGCCATGGATCGTTCTCGTCGGTAGTTGGCTCTCCGTTTCTGTTTAGGAGCTTCGGCAAGTGTTCAACTTCGCAGGCACGTCCGGCGGGCTGGTCCAGAAATCTTTCACACACTAGTTTTCCGGACGTGGTAGATCGGCGAAAGCGGGAACTTTAACTTCTACATCTACTACTGATGCCCCAGGAAGGAGGGTAATATCATTCTTATGGTCGCAGCTGCTGCTCTTGACGTTGAATCGATTGTTTCATCCCACGATCTGGTTATTTTCACTTATTTCTCGCTTTATTGCAGGCTTTTTTCTCATTTCTTGTGTAGGCGAGTCTAGTACCCCCGGCGTGGCCCTTTGTTCAAAGATGAAACGCAACAGAAGATCCGGTAGAAAACAAAACAAGTGCGCTCAGCTTTTCTTTCTTGTTCCACCAAGAAGATCTTTTGTAATGTTGTTGGCACTTTAATATTTCTCGTACAGAGGCCAAAGTGATCCTACCGAGCTAGTAATCCTGGGCGGGACCATCATGAAATACAAATAAATGTAGTACGCAAAACATCTAGTGATGTGCATTCCACATCTTCATTCAGCAAATTGGCTTGTAGTTGTACGACGCGAACCCGTAGACAGAGAAGTTCTTGCTTGGTCGTGGGCAGCAGCTCTATAGTCATTGCTATAGGTCTTCAACACCTGCAACATCTTCTCCATGACGAAGATCTTGATCTCAACATCTTTTTCCCCTCGCAGTAAATCAAAATAGAAAAAATAAAAACACGTAAGCTCACCAAGTAGACCGCAGCGAAGATTGCTCGTCGAAAGAAGTTCCTGTGCATGATATGTAGTCTACTATGAGTTCTAGATCCTGCTCTACTTAAAAGCGATGTTTCTTGTCCCATTTGATTGCCGCAAATAACGCATGAAGCTGAAAATGCTAGTCAAGAACAAGATCATCATGGTGGTTGATTTTTGGTGCGGCTCTTGCATGTGATAAATTTTTTGCGTAGTTTCTCCGCCCGACTTCCTTTTGCAAAATAAACCAGAAACAAACTCGTACACAACTTTTACAGCGACATCAAAAATACGAATACCGGAAGGAGCGCCGCATGATCTATCTTTATTTTCGCCCTATTTATTGTTGCCACGGGCACGGCTTCACATATTGATATTTTTGATGGTAGAAACAAAACCCCAGCACAAGCAAACACGCGTAGGTCGTACTTTCTAGTCCACATCAACAGCAGCTTCCGCACGACGACCTACTAGAACTAGAATCAAATCAATCATGACCGCGACGACCGGAAACTGGTGAAGATTCTTCAACCAGTCATTCTCATTTATCAATAAATTCCGCAAAATAATCCGATGCTCGCCAGAACAAGTGGATCCTAGCTAAGAAGACCACAAGGACAAGCAGCACCCGTGTCGCGAGTAGAGGACCAGCAGCACTAGCAATTTCAATTTCTTTTCAAACCAGGCGAGGGCGACACAATAATAACACCTTCACCGTTCTCGATATCAAAATGAACGCTCCGGGCGAAGATTCCTCTGAGTACGACTCCGATTCCGTCAGCGCTGGGGAAGTAGAAAAGAAGGAACAACAAGCGGGGACGAAAAAGGAATCCTCCTCTTCCTCGCCAGCGTCATCCCCGAAACAGAAGAGCTTGAAGCGGGCCCAGCCAACATATGAAAGGGGACAAGAAGAAATCAATGTCTCTGCACCAACTCATCTGCGTGTAGTTGATGTCGCGGCCAGAAGGAGAGCAATACAAAAGTTATAAGTTTGAGTTTCTATTTTGATGTGATCATGCAAAATGCCAATCACCAGAGGGCATGATAGTACCAGCATCATGTGGTCCTGCGAATAAATGTGCATCTGCATTATATATAGCCTATGAAAAATTTATAATTAAGTCGCTGTCGTTCAACAATCATTCAGAGGACAACCAGGTCGTTGGGGCTGACAAGTTATTCTTCTTGTCCACTTGCATACAACAGGAGAGCGCCTCTTACCCGACGAGGACGAGGAGAAAGAAGGTCCAGATGGAGCAGAAGCTGGCCAGGCAGTACAACCGGGCCAAGATGAAGGCGAAAATGAGAAGAACGACAACGCCGGGGGAGCCGCGGGTGGTCCCGCCTCTTCCCGCGCGAATGGTTATGCGCACGAAGACGAAAAGGACGAAAAGCAGAGAGAGCTGGAGCTCGAGGCGTACAAGAAGCGCAAGGTGCAGAAGGCTTCCGCTGCGGACTTGACGCGGACAGGCGGGACGTATCTACCGCCGTTCATGCGGGCGCGGCTGGAAAAACAGATTGACGACGTGAACAGCCACGAGGGTCAAAGGAGGAGCTGGGAAGCGCTGAAGAAAAGTATACGTTTTTGCTATGCAAATTCAAATAGTTTTACTTCATTTTCGACCATTCATTATCTGCATGACATGACGAAGGAACAGTGTAAATCTATTGCACAGATGATTCTACTCTCCAAACTATACTACATCGCCTTCTTCCAGGTATCAACGGCTTGGTCAACAAGGTGAACACCTCGAACATAAAAAACATCGCCTGCGAACTCTTTTTATCCACTGTGCACAGTTGCATTTGTCAGGGGGGCCGCGAGGGAATTACAATTAGATTGAGAATCCTTGCGGTCTTGAGAAACACGGAAGTTTGTGTTTCCTGGTAGAAGTTCTTGCTACACCCTGCCTGTCATGAGAATGAAGTTGACCACCTCGTCGTCCAGCACGTGACGTCCTCACGCTGCTTGGAAGGTGGATAGTACTACACTTCAGCTTGTACTAGTTGACAGGAACAAGATCTGTCATGCTAGGCGGGAGTAAAGACGAGTTTTCGAAATCGTAAGTGGACCTAAATCTTTTGCTCAGTGCGCCACATTGACGAAAACTTGGACCTTTTATCAGATGAACCGCAAGAAGAACGACCCTGACATTTGTCATGCATTTTTCCCATCCATACGCCGGCGAGAACCTGATGCGCGGAGAGGGGCTGTTTGCGCGAGCAATCATTCGAGCACAGATGGCGAGTCCCGGGTATTGATTGTGCTATTTCTGGTTTTTCTCGTCGAAAGGTTTTATTTATACATCTTCTGCTCGAGTTCATAGGTACAATACGATACAAAAAAAATACAACGAATCTTCCAGTCGTCGTGACATTATGGTGCAGACATGCAATGTTTTGTAGGTGTCACGCAAATACGCACTTCTTCTTCGGATTCTTTTCGCTGAAAGAGACAAGATGCAGCAATCAAAGCAGGCAGATAAAAATAAAATTTTAAAATTTCGCGGATTCTGAAATTGCATAAAAATAAAATTTTGAAAATTCGCGGATTTTAGTGATTGATAAAAGCCAAAATTTGCAATTTTGCGAATTTCGAATGGATGTCTTCGACGATGTAAAAGGTTTTCAAACAAATAAAAATAAAATTTTGAAATTTCGCAGCTGGTAAAAGATAATTGATTTTATAAAAAGCGTCTAATGGTGAAACAACTGCTGCGGCATCCATATTCCCGTGCCGAGCAAGCTAGTGTAGGTGGATCACCACACCGTCGTGTATGATGTTATTCACGAGGGTATGACAGCCCCTTCGTCCACATACGTTGTCGGCCTCAACTTTTCCCTCCTTTAAATGTCACTATATCGATCGGGTATAGGATTATGCACGACCGTATCAAGTGCGCCCGAAAAGTTGTAATTGTGTGTTGTAGCGATATCGAGAACTTAGACAACATAAAATCACGGAACCAGCACCGATGACTCTTCAAACTTCAAAAACTGCAGGTTCACACACATCTACGTGGCGCTACTCGCGGTGATAAACAGCAAGCTGCCCCGAGTTATGAAAAAGAAAAAAGGTCGTGGCGATTGTGATTGTGTGTGGCAGCAAAAGCGAAAGCTCGAGCTTGCAACAATGTCGTGGATAGATGTTTCAACTCCATTTATTGCGTCTTTCATATGCAAGACGCGTGTTTGTATGATGAGAAGATCTGCATCTGCGAAAAGTGCTTGCAAGTTGACTTGGAAGTGGAAAGCGTGTCGTGCGAAGATGAAAATCGCCCGAGCATTTGCATCAGTGCAGACTTCCACTCATGTTTACCGGTTTCATATTGTCATGCGAGTGAGCATCATCAAGGAAGCGAAGCAAATACAGAAACTATTGTCACCTTCTTTTTCGTTTTCATACTTCTCGGACGGCTGACTATCACGCGGGTTATTTTGCAGTTCCGCCGGGCCTACAAGCGAAACGACAAGATCGTTGTCTCTGCGGTGTGCAAATTCATCGCCCACCTGGTGAACCAGTACATTGTGTCCCAGACGGTGGCGTTGGAGGTCTGCCTGCTTTTCTTCGAGGACCTGACCAACGACTCGGTGGAACTTTGCTGCGCGCTGATCCAAGACGTCGGCGCGTTTTTACTTGAGGAGGACCCAAAAGCGCTGGACTTCATCATGAACAAGCTGCGCATCGTGCTGCAGGAGGGAAAAATCGACGTGCGCGTGCAGTACATTGTGGAGCAACTACTCAAGACGAGAAAGGACCGGTTCGACCAGTTTCCGCCCATTATCAAGGAGCTGGACCTGATCGAGGACCTGGACCGAGTGCGACACGACGGATTTCAGATCGATGACGTGACCTTGCGTGCCCAGGAAATGCTCAACATCTTTCAGAAGAAAGAACCGGCAGAGTACTGCTATTGTCTTTATTTTTATCCCGTTCTTTAGTTGTTTATTCCAATCGTCCGGCTTGGTCTACTTCGACGAAGCAATCATATCTTCCCCTCCTTAGTGATATTCCAGACTGAAGAGTTTGCGATTTTGATTCACACGTTGATTGTAGAGCCACGGGGGAAAGATAAATAAATCAAAAAGTTGTAGAGAAGAGACAAACTGTACAACTACGGAAAAATCAAAATCTGATTTACAGCTTCGAAGAAGAGGAGAAGAACTGGAAGGACATTAGCAAAGAGATTCTCGGAGGTGACAGCGACAGCTCGTCGGGATCGGAGTCGAGCTCCGAAGACTCCGAGGCCGAGAAATCGGAGGAGCAGGTATCGAATGTAAAAATGTCTGGGTCTGGAAGAATGTGAACTTGTCATGCAGGTTTTCCATGACCCTTGAGGTGTGGACTGCGGGACCTAGCATGACAGAGGCTGTGAGGTCTCTTTCGTGCCTATTCTGCATGAGAAACTGCCTTTAAACTTGTTCAAAAGTGGACCTCTTTTGGTAATCATGCAACACAGATTTTTGCATGATTCGGATTTACCATGACAAGTTGCAATCTTCCAGACCCAGACATTTTTGCAATCCATAGCAGGTGACGGCAGACCAGCACCAGGAGAACCTGATGAACCAGAACAACATCAAGGACTTGACCGAGCAGGATTTGTATGAACTGCAAAAGCATCGTACTAGTATGAATTGCATTACAAATTTCCTCAGCATGAGAAATAAAATTTGTAATGCGGATTTAACTTGACAAAGAAATTTGGAATGCATAAACGCAATTACTACGAGTACGATACTTTTGCACAGCATAATTTGGTGAACCTGCGCCGTACCATCTACCTGACCATCCAGAACGCGCTTGGGTTCGAGGAGTGCGTGCACAAGATCATGCGGCTGAAAAACGTGGACGGATTGGAATACAACATTGCCCAGATGGTGCTGGACGCCGCGGCCATGGAAAAAACGTTTTCAGAGTTCCACGCAAAAGCGGCGGCGCGGCTGTGTGCCTTGCGGGAAGAATATAAGGCGGCGTACGAAAAACTTTTCGAGGAACAATTTGAGACGGTATAGTTAGTTTTACCTTGTGCAAAAGTATCGTACTCGTAACTCTTGCTTTTATTATGCGTTACAAATATTTTTCTTAAAGGCAAATCCGCACTGCAAATTTAATTTGTAATGCTAAATGCAATTTGAAATATCCACCTAACCACAAACTTTATATCAGATCCACAACCTGGAGACGCCAAAAGTCCGGTCGATTGCCAAATTCTTCGCCCTCCTCACCTACCACAACGCCATCTCCTGGGGGATCCTTGCGTACATTGTTTTGACCCCCGAAGCGACCAATTCTACCATCCGAATTTTCGTCAAGTACTTCCTGCTGGATCTGTCGGAGAATGTTGGCGTGCGGGAACTGTACAAGAAACTCCACTCCGGGGAGATGTCGTTGATCGTTGCGGGGATCTTTCCCCGCGATTCCATGAACAACATGCGGTTTTCCATCAACTACTTCACCGCAATTGGGCTTGGCGTTTTGGTAGAACCGTTGCGGGAGCACTTAACCAGGGTGCAGCAAGACGAGTACTCTGAGTAAAAACATCTCCACCCCAGAGTTGTCATGCAGATTTGCCATTGGAGGAACATCTGTAATGCGCACCCCCTTGAGAGGCATTTCCAATTTGTAATGCTGTAAACAGGATAAGCGGATGGATTTGTGATGCGGTTGTCCTTGCTAACATGCACTACACTACGGACTGCAACTTGTCATGCGTGGCTGCCTAAACTTCTGGACTTGTGTTGCTAAGTTCCCAACTTGACTCTGGAGTGGGGACGTTTTCACATATGATAACGAGCAGGAGAAAGCCATGAAGCAGTTCGAGATCGACATGCACCAGTTAGACAGCGACGGAAACGAGTCGAGTTCGTCGAGTAGTTCAAGCTCCTCTTCTATGAAGTGCAAAAATGTCTGGGTCTGGAAACTTGTGATGCTAAAATGTGCATGATGAAAACATTTCCGAACGCAGTCCGGCATGACAACTTCCCAAAACGCTTTCTTATAGGCAATCCGCATGAGAAACTGCGTTTTTGCATGACAAAAGAGGGCGCGACTTTTGTTGATTATGCAATACAGATTTTCTAGGTATGGAAAGCTAGCATCACAAGTTCCAACCTTCCAGACCCAGACACTTTTACAATCCATATCTTCCTCCAGCAGCAGCTCCTCCTCCGGGTCAGACTCCGACAGCAGCAGTAGCAGTATCAAAAGAAAAAATACCCCCACGACCCCGGGTGCTTCAAAAATTTGTGATGCAAAGTTTCCAAATGAAAACTTTTTGTATTGCATGGAAGGACTATGAATCTATCTGATGCAGAATTATCTAGGCGAGTAAGGCGTCTTTTCCATGACAGACCCGGCTGCTGCTGGGCTCTTGCGCAACACAAATTTTAGCTGTTTCGCATTGAAAATTTGTGATGCTGATATATGCAAGACAGGGAATGTTTCTAGTGGAAAGGTTTGCAAGACAAACTTGCCAAATTCCGAGGTGGGGGCATAATTTTTCATTGCGATAAGCAGCTCCTCTAGTTCATCCTCCAGTAGCAGCTCGAGTTCCGACTCCGGAGCTGCTAAGAAAAAGAAGAAACAAGCCGAAGCTGTGGCAAAGAAGGGGAAAAACAACAAGAAAGACGGTGGAAAAAAGATGAAAAAGCCTAAAACTAGCAAGGGAAGCGACGACGCAGACGGCGGTGAGGACGCGGACAGCACAAAGGAACATGCGGGGAAGAAGAACAGGAAGGCGAAGGATAAGGCGGGTAGTAAGACTTCGAAAAAGGAATTACAAGCAAAAAAGAAAAAGAAAACTACATCCGCTTCCGGTGAAGAAGACGACCAAAATGTTGAAAAGGAATCCTCTGAACAACGGAAAGACGCTGATGATGAAAACCAAAACAGTCGTGGCCGCAGCAAGGAGAAGAATGGCAAGAAGAAAAAAAACTCCGCAGCAGCATCGAAGGAAAATAACAAAGACCCCGCAGGGGGCGCGGGCGAAGGGAAGACGAAAAAGAAGAAAAAAGACAACCAGGACGACGATGGTGAAAATCATGTGGACGAGAAAAAAAAAGGTAAAAAGAAGAACGGCGATAAGAAGAAGAAGAAAACCACGTCGAAAGCAGAACTGAATAAAACGGGTGCAGCTTCCAAGAAGAAGAGTAAGCAGAATTCCTCGTTCGAGGTAGACTTGGACAAGGATGAAGAGGACCTGGTTGCCAAGGACGAGAGACTAAAGAAAAAAGCGAAAGAGCTGGCCGAAAAGCGGCAAAGCGCCGCTGTGAACGTGAAAGTAGAAACCAACATCAAACCGAAAAACACCGACGTGGGGCAGCTAAAAGTGCTGGCGAAAATTCAGAAAGAGGCGAAGCAAAAGCAGTTGGAAAAGGAAAAAACGGAGATGGAACAAAGAGCTGCAAAGATGAACAAGACAGCAAATTATACGAAGAACCGGCGCAGCAGAAGTCGTAGCGTGGATTCCCGACGCAGAGGTGCTCCTGCAAAGGGCCGCGCGGCGGCCGGAACTACAACCGGTAACAAAAACGGGACTACGAGGAGAAACGACTCCCGGTCACCTTCGCCGAAGAACGACATCAAGCGGGGAGGTGGACGGGCAAAACCAACACGGCAGGACTCTCGGAAAAGAGGCGGCGCTGCAGCAGTGAAGAAACGAGGAGACACCAGTCGCGACAGGAAGCCCGTGAAACTCAAGTCCACAAGGGGGCAAAACGATTCGCGAGAGCGGGGGGCCGGCGAAAAGAGGAAGAGCATCGACCCTCGGGATTTGCCCAAACCGCCGAAACGGAACAAGAACAGACGGGAAGTGGTCTCTGATGCATCTTCGCTTAGCCGGTGATGAGGAACCACATGGGATACATTTTTTAATATGTCGCGCTGGATAACGTGGATCATCTTCGTAAAAGAAGTACAACATACTGTAAGTAGTTCATGTGCGACTTACAATTCGAATTCTTTATCTTCGAAAAGAAAAATGTCAACTAGTTTCACAACTTGACCTTGTTGGTGCTCCTGCTTTCCAGCTTGTTCATCAAGTCTTGTCGGTGCAAAGACAGCACCTCTTGCACATCATATAGAGGCACGCGGCCTACAACATTTGCCACATTTTTTGTAGCAAGTCCAAAATGATAAAATTGAATCTTTCACCAGGATGACGACGTCGAGAACAATTTGATGAAATTTGTCGGAGGAATTTATACCATGTTGACCTCTTCTCAAAAATCATACGACTTGATGAACAGGCACAATTCTACGAACAGTACAACTTCACGAAATTTTCTCAAAATTATGCGAAAAAGATTCTTTCGTCCCACCTCAAACAAACATATGAGGGGGCACTGTGTGTAGTAGCTATGTTGTTCTATTTGTTGGCCGATCCCAATCTTATGCTTCACGATGACCAGGCAAAAACATGATCACCTTTTTGCGGCGCGGGAGTTAGTTCTACCTTCACCACAAAAATTCTGGAGAGTCAGAAGTGCTTTGCTTTTCTTCTTGCGTCTTCTTCCCTTCCTGTTTTATCTGTAGATGGTGCAGAATGCAGATAAGCCCCAAATTCAAATACTTACACCATGACATGGGGCCTCGTACCACTGGAGATGACAAATACAACCTTCGGTGCTGAAGATGGTCCTCATCTTCCATATTCACTTCACCCAATGAAGGAGCAGGAGTTCCTCGTGTTGACATATGAGTTCTTTCGTGGGCGCCCCTGCTGTGCCGGTCATCTCTGCAGATCTTCATCCATGGTCCCTAAACAATCGAAATCCACATCGACGAGATCTTCTTCCGTGGTTTCTTGGTTTCTTCTTGTGCTTATCGAGTTGTACAAGTTTGCTCAGCTACAAGTTCTTCGTAAACAGAAACATGTCAATAAAAGCAGTGGACGATCATGTGAACGTAAACGCCTATGTCTTGGGCGGCGGCGGCCTTGAAAAGACCGCAATATTCATTCAGATTCCATCCTGCCGACGGTAAAGAAAGAGATAGACATAGATACCGTGGCCCCGTCCCGGACCCGGGTGCAGCTAAAGAGATAAACCGCAGGCGAAGCAAAAGCTACTAGCTTTTCGCTTTCACTTACCACACAACGAAAAGAATGGACAAGAAAAGTTTAGGAAAATGAGTGCTCGCACTGCAGCTTCATCCGCCGGCGCAGGTGCCAGCAGCGCAAAAATGTGGCATTATTGCTCTACAAAATCGTCCAACAGAAATAAATCACTTCTGAAAACGCTCCCGGTGAATCTGCAAAGGCAGGTGATGAGAGACGTGTTGCGAAATAAACAAGTGGAATTTGCAGGAACAACACCGATATGCAATGCAAAAGCATCGTACTAGTGTAAATTGCAATACAAATTGGCTCAGCATTACAAATTAAATTTGTAATGCGGATCTACCTTAAAAAAATTTGTAATGCATGCATAACTCCAATTACCATTAGTACGAGTACGATACTTTTGCAATGCATAACCGAGTTGCAGTACAACGCGCAATATCAAATGGAAATATGTCTGGGTCTGGAAAGTTGGAACTTGTAATGCGTGTCTCTCATCTCAGGAAAATCTGTGGTGCATGAGCAGCAAATGGGCAGCTTTTCTTGTCATGCAAAAACGCAATTTGTATTTGTCATGCGTGTTAGGTATCAGGAGTCGGTTCGAAAGCTTGTCATGCTTGGCTGCCATTGCAAGTGTTGCAATCATGCGCAAGTCAGCATCACAGATTTCCAGACCGAGACACATTTGCAGTTGACACGCAACACAAATTATGTTGCCACAGGTCGTGGACCAGCCGCGTCCGTTCTCCTGTCCGGACCGCTTGTGGTATGAGAGTGCACAATCACCCCCCTCCCCCTCATTTGTATGGCATGAACAGCAATACAAACACGAGGAACAAATGGAGCCTGTGCATGACAAGTTTATGTGCCTAATGTGGTACTAGTATTTTTCTGGCTTCCGGTTCCGTAATTTGTGATGCACAATAGTGTCACAAGGGAACAACTGGAGTTGCGATTTTGCATGAGAGATGAGGACGAGGGGGAGTTCTTGTGCACTGTCATATGTGGACGAAGAAAGCCGGTTGCCCTCGCGGGTAACCCTGCAGGAGGCAAACTCCTTACAGGCTATCGAGAACGAATGGCGCATGGAATCACTATCCTGGGCCAGTAGCAGCGGCAAAATATCAAAGGCGATGAGTTCATCTTTGGGAGGAGCAAGAACTTCTTCATCTTCACAGTTGTGCACAACAAGTTCCAGCGTCGACCACGTCGAAGATCATGCACAACGCCCGACCCTCTACCAGCAGCTCAACCACAATGGCAAGCAATTCCGCCCCAGTATCCCGCTCACGCGCGCCCAGGAAACGCAGCTCATCGTGGACATTTTTCCCAACGAGTGCCCCTCCTTCCTGGAGAAGCGCAAGCGGTGCCACAAGCACCTGTGGGTTTGTTTGAAGCGCAGGCGGTTCCGGGAGTGTGCCTTCATCCTGGAGCAAATGCAGCTCCGGCAAATATGCATCGCAAAAGGATCACACTCGTACTGAAAATTCTTGCAATCGTGATGCATTGCAGACCTTTTTCTTAAGGTAAAAAAATGCTAAGGAAAGTTGTCATGCGAATCTTACTAGTGTAGTACAAGTACAAGTACGATACTTTTGCAATGCATAGCAGATTCCTTTCGACGAAATCAGCTATAATTTCGCGATTTACCTGCAGCTTTTGAACTATTCCTGCGTCGAACAGAATGTCTGTAGCTCCGAGCCGTCGTCAGCGCGCGGAACAGGAGCACCAGGTAGTACAACGAAAAGCGCACTATCAACAACGTCGATGCCCCCAAAGCGCCCGTCCTACGCCTCGCGGTTGAATCGGAACGAGTCGTCTGTCATTGACGCGAAAAACCATTTGCTACTGGAAAATATCGCACGAACAAAGTGTTTCACTGTAACGATTTTGCAAGTCCTGGATCACAAGTTCGTTACACATGACAAAGAAAATTTGCCATGCGAGACTCCTAAAATAAAAGGGAAAACACGGCTGAAAATCCCTTGTCTTGGTTGTATGTGTAGCAAGACAAATGCTTCTGTGTTCCATTTTTTGCATCACAAGTTTACACTGCAGAAACAGTTTTTTCTTTCGATAGAAAACCGCAGGAAAGCGGTAGCGAATTCCTTCGCGTTTCTCACCCAGATGCGGTCGGAAAACATCTACCACTATCCTCTGCAAAAGTATCGTACTCGTAGTAATTGCAGTCATGCATTACAAATCTTTTTCTTGAGGCAAATGCGCATTACGAATTCCATATCTGATGCTAAGAAAATTTGTAATGCAATTTATCCTAGTATGATGCTTTTGCAGTTCATAACCACCCAACGCTGCTGATATCCGACGCTGCAGAAGTCCTCTCGCTGCACCCGCTATACTAATTACTGATAAAAGAATTCTGATTGACAAAACTCAAATTGCCAAGTCCTCGTCGGACCAGCACGGCAAGCAAACTCCACCTTTCATGTTGCTGCGCAGATTTCTTTTTATGAATATGCGATCTGTATATTAACCTGTAATGAGGTAGAGGTGCTCCTTTTGCAACCATGCATAGCTGAGGCTGCACGCGAATTTTCTGAGCGCCTACGAAGAGTTGGTGTGTGTGAACGCATATGCTTTGCAAGAGTATCGTACTCGTACTCATTGCAGTCATGCACTACAAACCTTTTTCTTAAGGTAAATCCGCTTGACAAATTCCATTCCTCATGCTGAGGAAATTTGTCATGCGATTTGTGCTAGTACGATGCTTTTGCAGTTCATAACGCGACCCCGAACGAGGAAAACTTACGCAAGGTGGTGAAATATCAACTGCAAAAATGTCTGGGTCTGGAAGAATGCAAGTTTGTCATGCTTGTCTGGCATGACTCGAGAATCTGTGTTGCATAGGCACGAAGAGGCCCTCTTACCTGTCATGCAAAAACGCAGTTTGCCATGCGGAATACGTAAGACATGGGAGCCAAAAAATTTGTCATGCATAGCTGCGTATTGCAGTGCGTCTCCCTTTCACTTTTAGCATTACAAGTTTCCAGACCCAGACATTTTTGCAATCCATATGAAAACTTTCTGGGAGATAGCGCTCTCGTTCAAAAAGAGGCGGATCCGAGCGCTGAAGGTATGAACTGCAAAAGTATCGTACTCGTATAAATGCATTACAAATTTCCTCCGCATGAGAAAGAAAATTTGTAATGCGGATTGACCTTAAGCAAAGGATTTGTAATGCATGATTGCAATACGAGTACGATACTTTTGCACAGGATAGAAGGAGAGAATTCGCAACGGAGAATGCGCGGATATGGCATTCTCAACTGTTACATTCTTCACTGAAGCATGAATTTGCGATGCAAGAACCGCAAAAGCCAAAGGGGGAAGGTTGCACCTGTTCCTTTAGGTGCTGCCTAGCCCTTCGCAGATTTGTCATGTGAAGCAGCTTGATCGTGTGCATGATGTTGGGAAATTTTGCATTACAAATGTTTGTAATGCTTGAGAATGTAACGTTTGAAAACCCCATAACGGGCGAGGTGCGGGAAAGGGTGGGTCTAGTAGACCACGACGAGATATGCAAGGCAAAAGCATCGCGCTAGTAGGAATCGCACCACAAATTCGGTCAGCATGACAAATGGAATTTGTCATGCTGTTTTGCCTTGGGATGGAGATTTGTAAATGCATGTCTGCAATTACTACGAGTGCGATGCTTTTGCACAGGATACGAGACGGCACAGACCCAGGAGACTCTCAAGGCGCAAACTTCGTGGAGTAGCAGCGTCGAAGCTGCTGGACGGCGCACAGGAAGTCATAGTACTTCCGAGCCAGAGGAGGTTGTAGCAGGACTTCGGGGCGGGGTTGTACTACGGAAGCCAGCAATCTTGTTGGATAGCAAAGTCGTGTCTCCTCTTCACTCCAGCAGTGCTGACGGTGGCGGAAATGGGCATCAACAATGCGCCAAGATGAACGCGTCCTCCGCCGCCACGGATCATCTTGATTTCGGGCGGTCGTTGTTCCCTGGAGTTGGTAAAGACCCGGACGGCGAGGTCGAAGCAGCTGACCACGACGAGCAGGATCGAAGTGAGTCGGCTGATGAATCCTTCAGCGAAAAAAGAACTGGCGATGAACAAATTTTCTCGGTTATCCTATGTAAAAACGTCCCCACGCACGTCATATTCAAGCTGGGAAGTCTGCAACACAAATCCCCAACTTTTGGGAGTTCTCCATGACAAGTTTCGATCTGCAGTGTAGTGCTGGGTAGCAAGGAAAGCCGCACGAGAAAGCCACTTTCTCATCCTGTTTACAGCATTACAAGTGCCAAAACTACACGACTGGAAACGCGTCTCATGGAGATGCGCATTACAAATGTTTCTGTCATTGCGCATTTGCATGACAACGCTGGGGTGGGAACGTTTTTACATATGATATCGGCCTCATGGTTGTCCACGTCCGCCACACCACGCCCCGGCGACGCATATCTGACAGAAGACGCGGGTAGTTGTACCATCGCAGGCATGAGGATGAGCTCAACCTCAACAGCAGCCGTCTGCAGAAGGGGAAAAGTGGTCTTGTCAAAGGAGACGGGAAAATTGGAATACCAAATTATTTCTTGACAAAAAATATAATGCGCCGGTTTTATGCTATGCAAAAATGTCTGCTGATCGTTTCCGTCAACTACATAATTGTGTATGACAAGAAGAAAGCGAACAAAAGCGCATTTTTTTCTTCGTAAAAAAGAAGGAAGCATCAGCTTAGCCTACTGCCTCCCGAAGGCTGCAAAAAGCTAAAGCATCGCCATCGGTTTGTTTGCTCGTTCGTTCGCCTCCAACATCGCAGCAACGTCTTATTTCGATTCGGTTTCTGCTCTTTTTGCAGAATTTCCACAAATAAAGTAGATTGTGAACTGAGCTGGCCAGCACACGACCGGATTTTTGATCGATGTAGTCGGTTGTCTGCACCAGCCAAGGATTTATTTTGTCGGTCGTTGTAGAAGTTGTACTCCGCCAAATTATGTATTCTGTGTGGTCCGTCACCGTCTCTCGATGTCGGTAGATTTTTCATTTCGTACAACAAGCTGCAAAGAGAAAGAGGACGCGCATGGAAGTATGCACTTTTTGTCGTTCATCTCCCGACGTACTACAATGCCGGATTTTCATCGTTCACTCATTGTCATTTCGGTCGTTCAGCTGCATTCAATTCGGTAGTACTACCGTACAAATTTGCGTACTATAATCGTGCAAGTTGTTATTCGTCGTGACGAGGAATTCTATATACAGATGTGGTGGCGGAGGTGGCCTGATGACTGAGTAAAAAAGCGTCTGGTGCAGCTTCACGGTGTACTACAATCGAAGGCAATTGCCTGCATGTGCATGCAGCCATGCACATACTTGCTTCCCTTTGCCTTTGCGCTTTTAGCTCTTGCGCCCGAGATTCAGTACGAGTATTGAAGTAGACAGGTGGTCGTGCAGCTCATCAGGCACTGCTGGTTGTACTAGTGGAAGCTAGTGGGAAAAACCTACAACTTCTAGTAGTAGTAACTCTAGGTGGACGAGTGGACCATAATGTATGATGCGCACAACTACCACTTTAACACCCAAGTAGAGTCACAAGCTGGACTTCTGAAATTAGTCGCCCAGTGCACGACGTGCACAAAAAAGGACGCGCGCTAGTTGTGCCTTTTGAAGAAGCAACGGAAATATAATAGACTTGAAGATGGCAGTAATCAGTCAGGACACCTTCGCCGCTTGCTGTAGCAAGCCCTGCGGCAGACGATGGCGAAACGATCACAAAATCAGCTGCTGCCACGAAATTCGATGCATTGAATACCAATCGTCGTGCTGATATAGACACTGTCGGTGAAGAAAAGTGATGCTGATAAAAAACGCTCCATCTCTATCCCCCCACTTTCCCACTCAGGATCCCATTTAACTATGTTGTATCTCGATATTTCTGAAGATTTTGGTTTTTTCTATTTGATTTCCTGCGCATATACTTTCTACATTTTGTTCAACACGGCGAGACTACTAAGACAACTAGAGTTGTGAAGATGTTATGAGTTTATAATTTTCATCCCGGAGTAGATCAAATAATTAGCCTTGGTGTGTCATTTATTTTCGCAGTCGCAGTGCCACCACCATCACGACCATCAACCCGAACGTAACAACCTGAACTCGCGCTCGCCAGCACCGAAAACGACCAACGGAGCAGCATAAGAATCTCGATCTCTCCAATAATCACAGTACAACGACAGGACCTCCGCAGCTTGTACGACACTGCTCGGAGAGCAGTGCACAAGAAATATAAGTGGAATCCCTGACGCGGGGAAGAAATCACGTCCTCGTGCGGATTCATCACGGTGGAGTCGCAACTACAAGTTGTGGCCCTCGATGCGTGACAACGAAGTAGAACACCTGCAACTTCCACGTCGCAAATCCACTACGTTGTCCATCCAACTTCGAAAAGTTTATGATGCGGGCTCGGAGATGAGGATGAAGTTGAACATGAAGATGAAGAACCAGTGGCAGGAACATCAAGAACATGTGGACCACGGTCGTGGCCTAATTCGCGGTTCTTGGTAGACGAGAGTGAGAAGTGTACTGGGTTGTTCTGCAAACAAAACCTTTAATTATTCTATCTCCTGATATGTTCACCATCTCCTCCTCGTCGACCACAAGTTTAGTACACTACAAAGTATGTCGGCCTCCTTCCCGAAACCGAATCGCAGCAAAGGACACCCGCCTCAGGTGCACAACTTTTACCCAGGCACGGTGCTGGGTGGTGGAACAGCGCCACCACCACACGGTGCCGGGTCCACCCCAACATCGGGGAACAACACTATAGCTTCACCGAAAACATCAATAATATTGGGCGAAGGTGTAGTAGGTGTTGGTCCTGGTCCTGGTCAGAAGCAGAAGACGGCTGAAAAATTATCGAAGCAGGTCGCGAACATCAAACAAGGTGAAAACAAGAAGAGGAACCTAGCCGCCAGTAGCACGGCGTCTTTCCCGTCTTCTGCTTTTCCCGAAGTAAATCAAGCTCAAGCTTCTTCATCCGAAATAAGTAGGTCAGAGTACAACAACATCAACTCGAACGCGATAATATCCGGCAGCAACTACAACAACAGCATCGGCCAGCAGGTGCCACCGAGCCAATCATCGTACGGAGCAGGAGCTAGCTCGTCTATTGTCTATGGCCCGCCGTCTAGTCAACATTCTGGCGTCGGAGTAGGAGGTGGTCCAGCGGGGGCTCCACCTATAATTCTTGCGGGCTACGATTCCAATATAAGTAGTTACGGGCGGCGGGCGGGGCAGGAACACCACAAGAGCGGCAGCATGAACAAACGAACGGTAAACTACAAAGGAGGTACGAGTACTACGACTAGCGCAGGAGCAGGAACAACTACTACAACATCGGGCGGCGGGTTACTGCAAAAGGCCTCAACAGGCGACTTCGGTTCTTCGTCTTCAGGAATAAACAAAAGCGCGCCTTCTTTACCTTCTTCGTCCGCGGTGGCTGCTAGTACAACTGGAGACACTGGGTCGTCGGAATTTATTATGTCAACTGGCGTAGTTGGTCCAGCTCCAGCGAACCTTCACAACTACAACGGCGCAAGCGGCCCCAGTATGATATTAACGACAGCAGCACCACAGCAAGACCAAAGATATTACAACTACAGTGGCACGACAAACAGCGACAAGACAGCAGCCGCCAGGCAGTCGGCTGCGCAGAGCACGGGAGCCGCGAGTTGGTCTTATCACGGAGGGGTTCATACAGCTTATGACGAGAATGAGGACGCTGCTGGAGAACAAGATCTAGAGGACAAGCAGCAATCTGGACTTGTGTTCTACAGTACTGCGAACGATCAGACTAGTAACACACAACTAGGGCCATCTCTATCAACTACAGACCATCTGCACAACATCTCGTCCGGGTTGGCAAAAAATTCCTCTAGAATAGACAACAACTTTCAGCTTGTTCACAATTTATCCGCCGAGCAGGAACAAACAGCGCAAGATGAACCACAGCTGTTGATGATTCCCGAGCCCTCTACCGCTCCCTACTCGCAGTGGGGGGATAATTTCGATCTTCTTCACGACAGGGACACGACGAATAACAGTAGTGGGATCTACTCAACATCTGGACGACCAGAAGCCTTGATGTTGTCCTCGGCCACGTCGAGCGCGGCTTTTTACCCGGCGGCGAATCATGTGCAGCAGCATGTGCTGGTAAAGAAGCAATTTCAACATCCTGCAGCAGGAGCTGTGCCCGGAGGTGGAGTGGGAGCTGCTACTGGTACTGCTCCTGCCGGTAATTTCGCGTACCACTACGGACCGCCGTCTTCCCCCATGTCCATGAATTACACAGCGCTGCAGCAACAACGGCATCTTCGTGCTGCAGGAACTTCTTTTACCGCTGGCAAAAAGCTGAAGCAGACGAGATTCAACAACTATTCCGTCGCCAGCGCCCTATCCGCGGCCGGGGAGGGGAGTGTGAGCGAAGAAAGCCTGCTGAATGGGGTCGCTGTGCCTTCCTCTCCCTCCGGCGAGCAGATGATGATGTTGAGGGGACAGAATAATTACAACAATCATGCGCCACAGACCGCGACGAGTCCTCAGAGTGGTCCTCGTTCTACGAACAAAAGCCAAAACTCCACCATCCCCTCGAGTCTGAGCATATCAAATGCAAAAATGTCTGGGTCTGGAAGAGCAAGAGTCCGAAATTTCCTATGCTGTTTTTGCATGACACAGAATGTCTGTCATGGAAGCCCTAGCATTACAGATCTTTAGAGGCCTTCCTGATACCTATTCCCCATGACAAATGCCCTCCACGCGTAGCACAAACCGGACTCCTTTTGCTGGTCATGCAATACAGAACTTTTTAGAGTCCAAAGTTAGCATCACAAGTTCCAACCTTCCAGACCCAGACATTTTTTGCAATGCATAGAGCAGCGGGCAGAGCAATCTGGCGTCGGGAGCCAGCAGTGGTGCGCCGACCTCCGGGGCAGCTGGTGCACGGGGAGGACAACATCGTCTACACCAGAAACAAGTTTTTCCCACCAACGGCCCTGATTTGTTCGGACTGAACAACTCGCAGCCGCAGACCGGGGGACACCAGTTTTCCGCCAAGGCGCTGCGGCATTTTTACGACATATCAAGTGCAAACATTTCTGGGTCTGGAAGAGTGGAACTTGTAATGCTGTCTGCGGATTCTATGAATATTTGTGTTGCAGCATGAGCAGCAAGAGGAGTCCAGTTCTTGGCCCGCGGAGCGGGCATTTCTCATGCGCAATTAGCATCAAGAAGCTCTCAAAAAATCTGTAATGCTAGCGCCAGCATCACGGACCTCACGGGTCATGCAAAATGTGCATGACAAGCCACGACTCTTCCAGACCCAGACATTTTTGCATTTGATACGACACGTGGGGAGACAAAATCCTGTTCAGCCAAAATTCCGGGTACAACGAGCGGAACCAGTATTTGCTACTGCAGACCATGTATGCATTGCAAAAGTAACGTTCTTACTAGTATAAATTGCAATACAAATTCCATCAGCATGAGAAATAAAATTTGTCATGCGGATTCACTTTAAGAAAGAAACTTGTAATGTATGACTGCAATTAGATACTACGAATACGATACTTTTGCACAGGATACCATGTACCCGTCCAACCTTCTGAAATCCCCGCAGTTTTCCCAGAACACGCCCTTCTCCGGGCTGGCGCAGTGGTACATGAACGCGGATATGCCGGCGGCGTTCGACGGAACTAACGCGAGCTCGATGCGGATTACGGTGGAGCTCCTTCACCACATGCGATTCTCGCAGGAGCTCCTGGTCTCCAAACAGGCGGTGTATGAGAAGTTGAACGAACTAGAGCGATTGTCGAAGCTGCGGAACTATGGATTGCAAATATGTCTGGGTCTGGAAGAGTGCAAGTTTGTCATGCTTGTCTGGCATGACAGAAGAGTTTGTGATGCGTGTCGAAGAAGAGACCCTCTTGTTGCTTGTCATGCAATAAAACGCAACTTGTCACACGGAAAGCGCAACACTAAGCAGCGCAAATATTTTTCATGCTTGGCTGTGCATTGCAGAGCATTCACTATTCACAACTCAGCATTACAAGTTTCCAGACCCAGACATATTTGCATTTGATAGCAACTACGGGTACTGGCGCGAACCCATCGCACTGGAGCCGTGGATGCTCCGTGGGGTGGATTTCGATGTCAAAAACGCCGCCTTAATGCCCAAGTACGACCGGGACTACACGAACATCAATCGAACGTCCGTCCAGCTTTTCTACATGGTCTCCCAGATCCTCCGCACGGAGTTTCTGAAGGTTGCGGAGCCGAGCTCAGGGGATATCTTGGAAGCGGCGCGGCACGTCATCGAAAATCCGGACGCGCTGAACCAGCAACAGCTGAAGCTCGCGACGAAAAAGGCGCAACCAATGATCGGGGCCTTATTGAACAAACAGTGGATGCGACTCGACCCCCTCTGGCAGCTGCAGTGCTACCATTTTTACAGCTCTCTGCCCACGACGGACAAGATCAAGCAGCTGAAACGGGAGAACAAATGCACTGAAGAAGACCAGTGGAGAAAAGCGCACCGGTGGCGCATGTTGACCTCCTGTGTCTACAAGTGCGTGAACAACGCGGATTTCCGGTTGAACGACTTGCAGCAGTGCGGCATCATCGAAGCTCTGGCGCGGGAAACGCAGCTGCCCGGGGAAGGGGAGGCGCTGGCGCAAGAGTTCAACCGCTATTATAACAGGAATAGTGCAGGGGGTGATGCTGGTGATCATTATGACCACCAGCAGTATGCGACGAAATCTAGGCAGTCTATGTTCCGGAAGATGATGCAATTCAGAATCTCGCCGCAACAGGTAGCGGCAGGTGGTACGACGACGACTTATGGAAACAAAGGTGGCGGCGCTGGTGCTGCAACTTCAGACCCGACGTCGAAAAAGGTCTACAACATCATCTCCATTGATGATTTTTACAAGGCGGCTTGTTCCGCGTCCCGGCTCACCGACGCGTTTGAAGCGGGCGCCAATCGGAGTCGCATCCACAAAATGATGGCTTTGTCGGAGAAAGAGCTGAAGACGTCCATGAAGTACTCCATGCAGCAGCAGCAGTACATTCACCAAACTTCTTCCAACAGCTACAACCCGAAGCACGAGTGCAAGTTCTTGTCAGACGGCGGAGCGTCCACGCCGGACCACGGCAAAGCTCTCTTCGACAGCGTGCAAATCCTCACGTACGACGCCGAGTCTAACCGCGTGAATTTAAACCCGATTTTCGGCGACGCGCTGGGTGCGGGTTGCGACAACAACCTCCAGATCAACAACTTCCAGGTGTTACGGCTCTATAACAGCAGCTCTGCGCTGACAAATGCCGCTGATTCTTCCCTGCACCAAAACGAGAAACTGTTCGTCTCTTTCGTGTATCAAATGTAAAAATGTCTGGGTCTGGAAACTTGTGATGCAGGGTGGGGTCTCATGATGAGGCCACAATTGCTGGCCCAGCATGACATGTTCCTGAGCTTCTACGTGTTGCCTATTCTGCATGACAAACTGCGTTTCTGCATCACAGAAAAGTGGGGCTCTTGGGTAACGTGCATGACAGATTTAAGAGTCATGCCAGACAAGCATGACAAACATGCATTCTTCCAGACCCAGACATTTTTGCATTTGATATCGTGACGGTCCGCGACCAGGCCCCGCCGGAGGGGTGTGGGATGTGGTATTACGTCACTTACTATCAAATGCAGATATGTCTGAGTCTGGATGAGAATGGAAATGTTTGTCATGCGTTTTGTGAATGACACAGATGGTCTTTAATGCGCGCAACAGCATTACAGGTTTTGCGCAGGCCTTTTGATGCCTGTTTCGCATGAGAAATTTCCTGCTTGCGTAGCAAAAGACGGGCAGCTTTTGGCGTTCAAGCAACACAAATTCATGGGTTGTCCAGACCATGCATCACAAGTTGGAACTCGTCTTCCAGACACAGACATGTTTGCGGTTGATACTTACGTCTGGGTGATGCAGCACCGGCTAATCCAGAAATTCATGAAGTGGGTGGGGCAATCGCCGATCCGCTGCTGTCCGCTGAGCTCGCGACAGCGGACGGTGAATAACGTATTTGTCTATGGGCTGAGCGGGCTCTTGACGTTAGGAGAGATCACCGGCATTCTGTTCGGGCTGTACTTCATGTTTCAAGAGTGCATGCCCGAGGCAGAGGCCTTGGAGGCGTGGCTGATCGTGATTTACATCGTGTCCGGTTTGGCGGTGTTGACCGGCATCATGGTGGTTTCCTTCTGTCTAGTCAGCCGAAGAGGCGGGATGCACTCCAGTGACCCGGTGACCCAAATGATCGACGTGCTGTATTCTGGTAGTCAGTTCGGCTTCAAAATGGTCGCGAACTCGGATGCGATCGCCGCCGCAATTCGCTTAACGCACAAGTACCACGGGATGCAAAACATGATGGATTCTCATCTCTCGATCGAGAACTCGGAGTTGCTCGGAATCGATCCCCGCAGGCCGAACCCGTATTGGGTGGAAGCGATCTTCAACCCAATCACCGGCTTTTTCGAGTGCGAATTCGAGTATGACGGGAAAATCTCCACGTTCGCCTTCTGGCCGACGCTAACGGGATACAGTCTGCGAAACATGGTTTCCACCGACGTGTTTCTGGCCAGGGAAGACATGCTGGCAACACCTGTACACCATCACGCACCTCACCAGCCGGCGAAGCAGAGCTCCCAGCTGGGAGCTGCACCTTCACATCAGGCAGTGGGGACGATGCCGCATGCGCAACCGCAACAAGAAGGCCTTTCAACACAAAAACCCACGAGGCCGCACGACACCGAGAAACAGCAAATCGACCAGGGTCAGCGAGAGATGCCCACCAAGGATCACGACGGATATATTGTAGAGAACGACAATTCCATGGAGGCCATGATGGGGTATTTCTTAGACAACCAGTATGGATTGCAAATATGTCTGGGTCTGGAAAGTTGGAACTTGTATTGCTGCTCTTACATTCCTGTGAAATCTGTACTGCGTGACCATAACAAAAGTCGCAGCCTCTACTCTTGTCATACGCGAACGCAGCCTCTCATGCGGACTGCGTATGAGAACAAAACGTTCTGCAAACTTGTCATGCTTTCCTGCATAAGGAAGGGCTCTCTACTTGATGCACATTTTAGCATCAGAAATTTCCAGTAGACCCTGAAATATTTGCATTTGATAACCACGAGGACGAAGCGATTCACACGGGGAAACAGAAGGTTGAAACCCTTATGGTCGACGACCCAGATCTCGCGATGAAACACTTGAAAGCGGGCGGAGATGAGGACTTCGCCTCACTAAACAACTTCGGTGCAGCTGGTGGTCTTGCTATCAATCCAACAGAGATCAGTAGGTTCAACATGCGGCGCATGGCGAGTTCGATGCGGTTCACGACGCAGCCAACGCGGGCCATGACAACTAGGAGCTCGCTGGACAGAAATAGTAACGGGTCTTCGGTTGATGTACCAGCATCTACCGCAGATAATATGTTTCTCCCTGCAGTCCCAGAAGGGGAATACGAAAGACCGCTGACCATGCGAGGAGATTCGACAAGACGAGAAAGCGCTGGGGGCTTACTGCAGTCTTCGCGCCGAGGAGGAGGAGGGTCTATTTCTACTAGGAACTACCCTGCAAGAAGTAGGAGTGGCGCTACTTCTAGGTTTTCATCTTCCTCAGGAGCCCTGCAAGAAGACGCTCTTTACGACCACGGGAAACGCCCGAATCAGTCCTGGTTCCAGCACTTCTACTCCGCTCTGCAGGCCCGGAGCACCGCCATCCAACTAGAGCAAGAGGCGGCGACTCCCGCGACCATTACGGATTACAGCTCCAACAGCAGCGAATACTCCGCTTCGGGGGTCTTGGAAAGAGCGGGGTATGGGCGGTTGTCGTCGTCTACAGCGACAGGTACTTCTGCTTCCAGCGCCGCATCGGCCTCCGCCTCAGAGGCAGACTTTAACAGTAGGTCTTATCAGAACTACCAGCAGAACTTCTACCCTTACTCCTCTCCTCTCAACGACGGGACCACGACCAGTTTCCGGCCGAGTTGGCACGACCATTATGAAACCGTAGAAGAATACGATGCGGATCAGGGCTGGTATAGTGATGCGTATGCAGCTGCCACTGGCACTGACTACGCTTACCCTTATGACGCCGCCGCGGGGGGGTACGACGAAACCTATCATTACCAAGGCAGCGACAGAAGAAGTCCTTCCAGTATGAACAGAAGAAACAAGGGTTTTTTCGCGGCTCTGTTCGAGAAAACCTGGGCGACAGTGGAGGAGTACACAAATTTGACGGGAAGTAGAGGAACAGGAAGAACAAGGACAGGGGCGGCCTATCAACGCGATGAATATACTAATCAGGACCTCCACCGCCAAATAGCAGACCAAAAATCTTCTTTTGTTGATCCAGGTCAACATCATCAACACCAGCGGTACTATAACACTTACGAGGACTACGGATCCTATGCAGATGTCGAAGAGGATGAAAGCGAGGAGCACAGCCCGTATCAAATGCAAAAATGTCTTGGTCTGGAAGATTGCGAGATTTGTCATGCTTGTCTGGCATGACCAAAAAGTTTGTGATGCATGTCTAAGAAGAGACCCTTTTGCCTGTCACGCAAAAACGCAGTTTGTCACGCGAAAAACGCAACACAAAGAAGCGCAGATATTTCTCATGCTTGGCTGTGCATTACAGAGCATTCACTATTCCCAACGCAGCACTACAAGTTTCCAGACCCAGTCATTTTTGCATTTGATAGCCCCTTTATTTTCGCCACGGGCCAGAACGTCCGCTATCTCGCAGCAGCCGGCGGTGGTGGAGCTGCCGCTGTCGAAAAACTTGCTGCAGGAGAAAAGAAGAGAGCTGCTCGCGCCGCCCCTGCATCGCCGGTGGTCCCTCCGCCCGAGGAGGGTTCCGCCGGTGGTGCGTTGTCGATCGTGGCAGGTGGGGGCGGAAGTAAAAATGCCGTTGGAGCTGCTTCGGGTCAGGAGGGAGAAGACGCCCATAACGTGACGCCGCCTGCACCACCGGGACAAATACCTGCGAATGCAGCTCCGAAGAAAAAGCTGAAAGCTTCCGGCATCCGAAAGGGGACGAAAACGGAGGTGAGCCCTTACAGATTAGCGGAAAGTAATCAGCAGATATCAAATGCAAAAATGTCTGGGTCTGGAGGGTTGGAACTTGTGATGCTAACTTTGGACTCTAAAAGCATCTGCATTGCATGACCGGCAAGAGGAGTCTAGTTTGTGCTACGCAGGGAGGGCTGCATTTGTCATGCGGAGTAGGCATCAAAGCCCTCTAAAAATTTGTGATGCTAGGCCGTGCATTACACACATCCGGGGTCATACAAAATATGCATGACAAACCCGGCAACATTCGAGACCCAGACATTTTTGCACTTGATAGCAAAGTTCTTCTATCAATCCAAACCCGAACACGGCGCAGGGCGCGAAAGCAGCAAGCTATGCAACTGTCAGGATTGAAATCGTCAAAGTTGAAATAGTTTATCATGCATAAAATGCGACGCAGAAACTACCTGTCTTGCAGAGTAGGCAAGGAAGGCAGATTGTAAGCCTGTTGCGGGGTAGAAATAGAGCTGGTAAAGTAGCATGACAAAAGGCGTCTTCCTGACCTAAACAGCATGACAAACTGGGCTTCGGCTCTACTAAAATTTGTCATCCGCCGCTTGGAAATTAGGCTTCCAACTGGTATCGGTTTTAGGCATTACAAGTTATTTCGACTTTGTCGATTTCAACTCTGACACATCCATACAAGCACGGTCAAGGCTAGTACTAAAACTGTGGCACGGGGGCGGGCGAAGAAGAAGGGCGGGGTGAAGGGCGCTACTCCGTCAATGTTGAGCAACAACAGTAGAAACGTCGAACAGTCGAACTATAGTAACTTATCCGACCACTCCGATGTTGCGAGTCAACCGTCTACTGGGGGCAACGACCGAAACGCCCGGTCCCTGTCACAAAAGAGCAGCTCTTCTAGTCAGGAAGAGGAGGGACAGGCTAAGAAGAAAAATGCTTCTCATAGTAGTAGAGCTGCGCCGGGGGCGGTTGAGAATAAAACTTCGCAGGCTTCCACTTCTTCCCAGCAACAGCAGTCTGCTTCTCGCGGTCACTCAACTGCGAAGGAGGTGATGAATAACATTCAGGAACGGCGGGAGAATTTGGAAGCCCGGTCCCAGTTCAACCCGTTGAAAGCCAAAGCAAGTCAGAAGTACACCGCAAAAGCGGTGACCGCGATCATTTTCGTCTCCGGGTTCGCAGACCACAACGGCGCGGTGCAAGAGGGATTGGACATGTTCTGGCACCTGTTCCGGTTGAAACAGTCGTTGGAGTACTTGTATCCGGACCACAAGCATTTGATCTACGTGAGGATATCAACTGTAAAAGTGTCTGGGTCTGGAAGGATGTCACTTGTGATGCGCATTTCAGAACACAGAAAAATCTCTCATGCATAGGTAGCAAAAGCTGCCTAGTTTCTGTCACCAAACTGGGGCGACATTTGTCATGCGGATTTGGCATTGCGGAAGCTTCTCGAAACCTGTGATGCTAGAGCTTCCATGCCAGACCTTCTCTGTCATGCAAAAATAGCATGACTCTTCCAGACCCAGACATTTTTGCATTTGATAGAGGAGGTTTGAGAACCACTTCGACATTGTGGATTTCTTCGATTTATGCATTGCAAAAGCTTATCATACTAGTTCAAATTCCATTACAAATTTGCTCAGCATGACAAAGGAATTTGCAGTGCTGTTTTGGCTTTACAAGGGAGATTTGTCATGCCTAGCTGCAATTTGTAGTACGACTACGAGTCTGAAGATACTTTTGCAATGCATACGATTTCCAGAGAACGGGGATGAAGGTCTTGAAGAACCTCGTGTGGTTCGAGCTGCGGATGCACGGGCACCCAGACATATGAAATGGCACAGCTTTCGTCCCTCCCCCTCAACATTTGTCATGCAAAATACCCAAAAATCCACCCTTTGCCTCTTGGCACTGTTTGCATCACAAGTTCTGGTAGCTGCCCAAATAGCACTACACTCCAGCGCATCAAATTTGTCATGCAAAACCGGCTTTACTTTGTTTTGTTTCCTTAATTACTTAATACATACATACAAATGATGATGATGATGCTTAAGTTATGGCTGATTCTTATTGTTTTATTTTTCATTAAGAGGCCTTCCTCGCCACCCGGACGTCCTGCCGGTAGACCACCAATGTCATGCAAAACCGGCATTCTTGCTGATGCTTGTATTGCTGTCCATGCAGTATACAAATGAGGGGGAGAGATAGTTGTGCACTCTCATAAGATATGATGAAAACGAGTCGGGTGTTGGAATTAGAGGATATGATTATCCCCTTCGAAATGAGCCGCAACGCGGTGAGAGCCCCTTTGGGTATCCTCTGCAAAAGTATCGTACTCGTATTGCAATCGTGCATTACAAATTTTTTTATCTAGGTAAATCAGCATTACAAATTTACTTTCTCATGCCTGGGAAATTTGTCATGCATCTATACAAGTACGATGCTTTTGCATTGCATATTGGGCGGCTTACCGCAGTGCTGCCAACGGTGTTGCGCCCCCCGGAAGCCGAAACCCGCGATATCCAAGGCCAAGCCGCAGGGCGGGGCCGGAGCCGCGCCCATGTTCCACCACGGGCCGAAAATGGCGAATTTTTTGCGGAAGATGGACGCCATGGACTTGTACGAAAGCAAGAAAGACGACGCTACGGGGACAAAACTCCAAATAGAGGAAAAAAGACATAACAAGGGTGTAGTAGGCGATAGAAAGAGCTCGAGAACAGACCGTTGGTCGGTGTCCGACCATATAAGGCACTCGTTGACTGGCTTAACCCCGGAAGAGGCGGCGCGGAGGGAAAAGGAGAACTTTGTAAATCGGAAAATTGATAAAAATTGGCAGCCCGAGGTGAAAACCTACACGTGGTGCTGTTGTCTGAAAGGGAGAAACAGACGCTACCACCCCTTCGCCGAAGCCTTGGCGGAACAGCAAATCGCAATTCCGACCATGCAAAAGCAACACAGCTACCGGATAGAAGAGTCGGTGGTTTACAGGTTGCATTCGTCCATCCTCAACGGCAGAACATCCGATTTCGCGCCGGACAGAGACACGAGGTCAACGATGAACCCGAATTACAATTCCGCGCCAAGTGTAATGCAGCAACAGCAACACGAGGGCAAACAGGCTTTCGACAACCGGCATGCGGACGTGATTGACCCGACGAGTGAGGCGTTTGAATCGGACGAATTCTGGTTCGTCCGAGTTGTTATGAAATGCAAAAGCCTCGTTCTAGTAGTAATCGCATTACAAATTTGCTCAGCATGACCAATGGCATTTCTGATGCTGCTTTACCTTGAAAAAAGAGATTTGTCATGCATAAATGCGATTACTACGAGTGCGATACTTTTGCACAGGATAGGTGTGATTCTCCTGTCCAAATGTAGCAGCCCCGACTACCCGCTGACCATCTACAACATGAGTTGCGAGGTGGGAAAAGACCCCCAGAACGGGATCGCGATGAACATGATGAAATTGTTCCAGTCGCTAAATAAAGTGAAGAAAGTTCCCATCCAAATGTTCGCCGCCCGGGAGTCTATCGCACCGAGAATGCCAACAGATTTACCCGTTCCCGTTTTAGAATTCGAAACGGGATTAGATGACGGGAGCGAAGAACTACGGGCGAGCCAAATCGCCGCGGCGAATTATATGAACGCTAGGGCAACTGCTGGGGGAGGGGGTCCTCAAGGTGGTCAACGGCCTGCTCCGACTGCAGTGCACAAAAACCCCTACAAATTCGTGGTGAAAAATGCGTTCGCGAGGAATCCGAAGCAGATCAAGAAAAACATCAAGACTTTGAGTGGAATGAATGTTGCTAACGGGCAGGCAAGCAATGGTGCTAGTAATCCTTCCTCGCGCAGCATCTACGAGCGGTTTACGAATTACGAGTCCATCGATGCAGACGTGAAGGATTTTGACTACTTGTTGACTCGGTACTTGTATCAACTGCAAATATGTCTGGGTCTGGGAGAACGGAACTTGTGATGCTGCATCTGGATTGCAAAAAATCTGTATTGCAGGAGCAGCAGAGTGAATGTATTTTTTGCTGCGCGGACAGGGCATTTGTCATGCGGAATAGGTATCAAGAAGCCTTCAAAAAATCTGTGATGCTAGGGCATGCATCACAGACATCGTGGCTCATGCAAAACGTGCGTGACAAGTCTCGGAATTTTCTAGACCCAGACGTATTTGCGATGGATAACTTGATCAACGATCAGAATGAGATGGACTACCATTACTGCCGGCATTATCAACTGCAAAAATGTCTGGGTCTGGAAGACTCATGCTGTTTTTGCATGACACAGAAGGTCTGGCATGGAAGCTCTAGCATCACAGGTTTCGAGAAGCCTCCGCCATGCCGAATCCGCATGACAAATCCCCCATTTTGTTGACAGAAAGCGGGCAGCTTTTGCTACCTATGCATGACAGATTTTTCTGTGTTCTGAGATGCGCATCACAAGTTCTGACTCTTCCAGACCCAGACACTTTTGCAATCCATAGGCATGTGGAAGTCGTCCCGACGTAGAGGTAGAAGACGACCGCGTGCTCCTGGTGGTGATCGAAATAGCAAATTCATGTTCGGAAGTAGAACAGAACTTTCACGACCTGGAACAACTCCACATGGGCGACAAGAAAAATCGAATTGGGTACCATAGCAGTACAAGAAGAAGAAGAAGAAGAAGTAGAACGCGACATAATAAATTTTCTCACTCTAGTACTGTAAACACGCAGGAGAAGTATACCGCAATCTAAATCTTCGCAACATAGTAAAACCAAAGGAAAAGCGCTTCTGACGATTGCGCATGAACAATTATCTCGTCCCTAATTATCGTTTATGTACAATTCATTTCGAGAAGATATCTTATACGCACAGAAGACACACACATACTTACACATTTTTTCAGTTTTATCGAGATTGTGCGTCAGCACGTCTTGTTTGAACATGTAGCGACCTCCCCTGAAGAATTTGAGAAATGGAAGGACCTAGATTCATTTTCTCTCTAGGACTACATGCGCAGACGTTTTCGTTTTCCTATACTACACAACTTTTCGTTAGTCATGCAAGATCGAGGACCTCAAGAACAGCTACACAGCGCTCGCACAGCAGCTACATAGCATGGAAGAGTTTTTCCCCTTATAATTTACTTCATTTGACAAGCATAAACTACAGGCACTTGAGAATAGGCGTCGTTGTCGAATGCGGGCGCCCAAGAGCACATGCGTGGATGTTGCTGTGTTCATTGCCGATAATCATGATCAAGATCTTTGTGTAATTGCGGTTACACGCAACATCAAGCTGCTGATGTTGACATCAAGGTAAAGATCAACTGCAAGTAGAGGACCACGCGGTTTAGGTTTGTCACGATCCAGAATCAAGCACTACGCATTGTTTTGGAGAAGAAGTAGAAGAGGGCTGCGCTTTCTAGGGTTGGTTTACCAAAGTAGATCCATAGCACCATTCCCATCTTTCCGATTTCTAACTGGGAGTAGTCAACATACTTACAGCAACGGAGAGCCAGGATCTTGACTCTCTTAGTTCGGATGGACGAGGTGAAGATGTCGATCATCATGATCTAGTTATCTGTCTAGCAGCTCCTCTGAAGATCTAGAAAGCCTGCGGTCAAGGAAAAAGTTGTCATGTTGGAGGTAAGTAGTGCAAGAGATTTTTGTGTACTTATCAATCTGTGTTTACGACGTAGTGCTAGAACTTCATGTAGACTTTCTGATCGTGCGCACTCACGCTCAGGATCGAAGCACTATCGATCATGTGGTGCAGTAGAAAAAACGCAATCATTTTTTCCATCTTGTTCGCAAACACAATATTTTGAAGATACGTCAGCGCCACTACTTAGCGTATATCTGTTTTGATTCCACCGCCTTATAGGACAGCATGGACAGGAACAGATTTCAACATTTACATTTCCCAAGTACGGAGCGCTTTTGTTACTTTCAATATTGAATGATCGACAGCATTTTTTCTCGAATAGCACTTTTAGTACGAATTCTGAAAAAGTTTTTCACACGACCGTGGAGACATTTCCTGGTCCGGCGGAAAACGTTCGTTATTACTCGGAAAGAAGGACTTCTACCAGGTCCAGGACATAAGTTTCCTTTACCAGCAACTACTTCTTTTTTCAAAAAATAAAAACTTCCACAACGTACTATCAATCTCCACAACTACGATGATTCCATCCACACCCTTATTTGCCGCGGGGCGGCCACAGTCGCTGGCGGTATCAGCAGCCCTGCTCCTTTCTGCATTTCTTGCGAGCAGGCCGGTTCTCGGAGCTAGCAGTAGTAGAACAGAAGGTGGTGGTGGTGGTGTCAATATGCTCCCGCCGCAGCCACAGTTCCCCACGACCACGACGCCGGCGACGAGATTCTACAAGCCGCACACCTTTGAGAAGCGAGAGACGGGTTTTCGCGCTGGGAGTTTTGCTAGCAGGGGCCCTTCGACGCAGTTCACAACTCTGACCGGAGCGACTGGTGCACCGAACAAGCGTAAGAAGTACTACTCACACATGTATGCCGCCGTGGATAATTTTGCTACGTTCTCTAGTACGCCCGGACTTGCCTTGAACGGTGCTAGCATCCACTTTACGCTGCGACTGAAGGAGAAAGACAGCTGGCGGCAGTCAAAGAAGGCGAAGGCTTCTTCTATGAGTGACTGCAGAAATTATGAAGCCGGAGGAAGTGGAAGTACTGGTTCTGCTGGCCCTGGCGCGCCTTCGTGGTCTTCTTCTCTCATCGAAGATGAAGCTCAGGCCCGCCTCGGTCAAAAATCTCGCCCGATCAGGCGACAACGCGGGGAGTTAGAGGCAATGTCTGATCTGTTGGAGGCCGCGAGGGTGAAAAAGCCGCGACTTTTTAGCGTCGCGGAGCGGGTACAGAAGATTGAGGAAGGCAGGACTGCAGCACCAGCAGCAGCAGCTTCAACCCACAAGCGGAAAGCCTCTCCAACTTCTCTTGAACAAGCCTCATCGAGTGCTGGCACTAGTAGCTTGCGGCAAAAAATACAAGACGTGTCCGAAGAAGCAGGGACGAGCGCGGCCACAACATCGTCCTCTCCTCGCTTGACGCCTGACGCAAAGCGCCGGAAACTGTTTGACTCTGAAGCGCCGGCGTGGTCCACTAGTAGCGGCACCGGGAATAAAGAGGAAGACAAGAGGACGGTCACAAATTCAATCCTTAGGTCCGCACCGGACTTACGGACCACCCGGCCGGGTGGTCCTTAGGTCCGGTGCCCCAAAAGTTCCGTTACGTAACTTCACAAGCTGCAGCAGCTGAGTCGGCAGAACCCTTACACGAGATTCTGCAGGTTATCCATTTTTTGATACTGTAAAAATATCTAGTTTTAAGATTAAGAATTAATTAATTCGTCGCCGGAGTGTGTGTGTCGAAGCCGGCGTCTCCATGTGGTGTCGGGGCGGATTCGGAGAGGCGCGGCGCCGATGTGGATTCTCCGCGACAGGCGACGGCGGTGGGACGGAAGACGCGCGACACAGATAGCTGGAGAGGTTGACTTTCGGGCCACACAGGAAGACGGGCTGGACATTTTCGGGCCACACAGGAGGATAGTGGTCCCCGACTTTATCCAATACACACACGTAGCAGCAGATAATTTATGTCAACACAGGCAGTCCTGGAATTAATTAATTAACTTAGAAACTAAGTTTCTAAGTTAATTAATTAATTCCCAGAGCATGTATATGTCAAAAGCATCCCTGGCTTCTTTTTATTTTTTTTGTATCCTTTTTGTTTTTTCTTTACATTTTTGCTTTTTTTTGCTTTTTTGTTTTGTTTTTTCTTTTTGGATTCTTTTTTTTTTTTTAGAAGCCAGGGATGCTTTTGACATATACATGCTCTGGGAATTAATTAATTAACTTAGAAACTTAGTTTCTAAGTTAATTAATTAATTCCAGGACTGCCTGTGTTGACATAAATTATCTGCTGCTACGTGTGTGTATTGGATAAAGTCGGGGACCACTATCCTCCTGTGTGGCCCGAAAATGTCCAGCCCGTCTTCCTGTGTGGCCCGAAAGTCAACCTCTCCAGCTATCTGTGTCGCGCGTCTTCCGTCCCACCGCCGTCGCCTGTCGCGGAGAATCCACATCGGCGCCGCGCCTCTCCGAATCCGCCCCGACACCACATGGAGACGCCGGCTTCGACACACACACTCCGGCGACGAATTAATTAATTCTTAATCTTAAAACTAGATATTTTTACAGCCCCCATTTTTTGCATGGAGGGGCGGCTCTATGCCATAGGCTGTTCTGATGTAGCGCAAAAAGTTTCTTTATGTGCACTAGGAAGGACTTCCTATTTGATTTCTGAAGCTATTTCGAAAGCTTCGCTTTTGATTTTGCATTGCAGTGAATTCGCCTTCCGCTAAAAACGTCACCCGTTGGCCGACGTCGTTCGCGAAGGCACGACACCGACGTCGTTCGCGCAGGCACAGCCACAATCGTATCGGGAACGGCGCTGACGCTGCGCCGGCTGATTTTCTTGCGGCGCCGTTCCCGATACGATTGTGGCTGTGCCTGCGCGAGCGACGTCGGTGTGTCTGCACGTCGGCGTGCCTGCGCGAACGACGTCGGCCAACTGGTGACGTTCCGCTAATACAGAAACTCAAACCGCAGCAAATGCATACACTGCAACGCAAAAACAAAAGTGGCGAAGCTCGTTAAATAGCTTCATAAATCAAATTGGCATAGGCTCGCCCCTTCATGCAGAAAATGAATAACATGCAGAATCTCGCGTAAGATTTCTGCCGTCAGGGTGGGACTCAGCTGCTGCAGATTGTGAGTGAAGTTGCGTAAAGTAACTTTTGGGGCACCGGACCTAAGTACCACCCGGCCGGGTGGTCCGTAAGTCCGGTGCGGACCTAAGGATTGAATTTGTGACCGTCCTCCAATCCGATGAAGAGGAGAAAAACAAGCCAACACCAAGCACTCACACTCCAGATACCGCAACGCATTCGGACGACCTCTCATCATAGTACCGGACAGCCTGCATTCATGATCTCGTCGGGGTCATCTTCCACTTCTCCTGCCAGCTTTCTTCTGTGCGAAGGAGAACAAGAAGACGATACTTCTCGAGACCGGGATTTCTATTTGTTCGACTACCGCGTTGACATCGGCGAGAAAATCAAGAAGCCAACCATTGTTATGAAATGCAAAAGCATCGTACTAGTAGAAATCGCATTGCAAATCAGCATTAGCTGAAATGGAATTTGTAATGTGGTTTTACCTTCATAGAAAGCCTTGTAATGCATGACTGCGATTAGTGCGAGTGCCGATACTTTTGCAATGCATAATTGTGTACGATTGGCGAAACACCGTCGCGGAAAAATTTTTCCAGACGGCGCTCCTCGAAGATGTCGAACGGAGAAAGGAGCAGATTAAAACCTGGCTGAGGAAGCGGCCGAACATAATGGAGGTCAGCTTCGACAAAACTCCGGGAAGAAATCTACTTTCAAACGGGTTGGCCGTTTTCCAGGAAAAGCCACAGACGGTTGAAGTTCTTGCTGAAGGCCAGGAAGCTTGTAAGGCGAGCGGTTCTCTCTCGGGTGTTGAAACAAAGACTCTTGTGCAGCAGGAAACCGTCTCGGTTTCATTCGATGTTCCTGCTGACAAAAAAGAAGGTTCTTCATCATCCGGTCGCGCTGCAACTCCTGCTGCCAAGAATGGTATTGACGATAATTACCTCTCCAAAAAAGTGTTTCGTTTGGTGCTGGAATACCCAGCGAATTTTGACCACCACCGTTACGAGGTAGAGTACACCGTGACAGCTGGTGGGACCATCATGAACCTTCACGGCGATCAGCTCGGTACTTCAGCACCTTCCGCTGTGCTGGCTACTCCCGAGGCCATGGGCGCAACAAGTGCAGACGTTACACCTCGTCCTTCATTCGGTGCTAAAACCAGCACGGCCGACGTTTATTTCATGCCCACGTCATCTCGTTGGTCCTTTATCCTTTTGACCTCCGCTGCTCGGAATAAAATGGGAGTTAGCGAGACAGGAGACGATCCTTCAAGCCCCTCTTCCCTCCGCGCCAGAATCGTCGGGCCGCAACGCCGCAAAGATAGGTACCTGCCGACCGCGCTATTTGACGAGGAAACGGCTTGGTCGGTCGTGAACACAAAGAGAGCGGCTTCTAGTACTCCTGCCCATGGACGACCTCCACGGGTAGCAGCTGCGCCAGGACGAGCTATGGTGGTGTCAGGATTGAAATCGTCAAAGTTGAAATAATTTGCCATGCATAAAATGGATGCCAGTTGAAGCCCAGTTTCCAATTGGCGCATGACAAATTTGGGTAGAACCCAGATCCAGGTTGTCAGGCTGTTCGGGTAAAGACGACGCCTTTTGTCATGCTACTTTAGCAGCTCTTGTTCTACCCCTCAACAGGCTTGCAATCTGCCTCCCTTGCGTCCTCTGCAATAGAGACGGTTTCTGCGTTGCACTTTATGCATGACAAACTCTTTCAACTTTGTCGATTTCAATCCTGACGCTTCCATACGAGCGACTTCTTGGTTACAGGACGTCGGGGACGAACAAGAAACCATGCCGATTTTGGAATATGGCGCTCTCAACTGTTACATTCTCAGCTGTTTCGTGAATTTGTCATGCAAAAACAGCGAATAGGGAAAGGGGAAAGCTTGCAAGTCTCGCATCACAAATTTGGCACGGATTCAGATGCTGTCTAGCCCTTCGATAATTTGTCATGCGAAGCAGCTTGATCGGCTTGCGGCTCATGGTCATTTTGCATGACAAATCATGTAACAGCTGAGAATGTAACGCTTGAAAACGCCATATGGAAAGCCAGCTTTTTCTGTTTGACTTTCGAGCAGGTAGTACAAGAACTCCGACGGAGATGAAAAATAAAATGCCGCTCGTAGCCCGGGTGCTTACCAGTGCGGGGCTGATCAACGGGGCCATTGCCGCGTCGGAGATTATGCAAGAACAGGGAAGGAAAGCCGAAGAGCGCGGGAGAAACCTTTTTAAATTTTTAGCACCGGGAGTCGGCCTGTCGGGGTTGTTCGTAGCAGACGAAATGGAGAACCAGATGGCAAAAGCGAAAGCGGGTCAACCTGTTCTTGAGGACCCAGCTGCATAAGACGAGCGGATGTTTACCGTTTTTCTTGCCCGGCGTGAAACCAGATGAAACTTTCCGGTAGCAAGCTAAAAACGACAACCACAAGTACAACTGAGGCGCTTCAACGAGCAGCATGCACGCACTTGTACTATGATCAATCAAGAAGATCACTTTTATTCGCATGTATATGTACACCCACCACGTTCTACTTCTTTGTCTTTCAGCTATTCATTGTTCTGTTCCCTAGCTAGTCTTTCACCGCATTCCAGATCAATGTATGATTTGTACAATTCATAATACCCGCAATATTTTTATAGACTCGAATAGAAGAAGGAAAACAAAAATACGCGTCACGACCGTCTGGTGCAGCCGTGTCGTGAATGGAAAATTAAAAAGCGTTCAATTGGATGAAGCCGCACCATGATTTTGATTTCTCAAGCATAAAACTTCTACTCCATCCGTAATATGCGGCGATTCGTAAACGAAAACGCACTTTTGAAACGAGAATACCAAGAAACTGAAACTGCAGGCTCGCCCTGCAACTTCGAGCGCAGCTGCAAATGCTAGGAAAAAACTCTCAGATCCTGGCTTTCTTCATTCTCTACTACCGGTGGTTCAGTTTTTTTCGTTCCCGTTTTTATCAGACCGTGATTCTGTATGTGCTGAAACTGGCTCGGAACTGTTGAACACAAGTTTTGCAGCTTTTCCCCTTCGTTTTCTATCTCTATTTTCTCTTCCTGTGAAGGAACTTGGAATTACTTTGGAGATGACCTATTGATGATCCGCGTCATCTGAATCGTCTTTCTATGCTCGTTTGAATTGGTCGTGGTAGCTCTGTGTACTTGAACCTGTTAGTTATGGTTTCTTGTCGTCTTGATGCTAGCGTAGTAGATACAGCCAAAGCCGATTGCGTCGTCACGGACGAAGATGTTTCAGAAGTTCCTGAACAATTGGATGGCACCAGAGATGAAACAGTCATGTGTGGTCTGAAACGACTCATATCTTTTGCTCTCTCTCCTGCAGCGAGAAGTTTGTAGCCCTAGTCACAGTAGATTCATCATCGCCAGCTAAACCTAAAGTAAGAAAAAAATGCAGGACCCCGCTGCACAGCACCCCCAGCAGCAGTCCACCAGCACCTCTCTCAAGGAGCTCTGTCGGGACTTTTTCGTCGAAGAGCTCCTCAGGAAAACCATTTCCCTCTCCGGAGGAGGTGATGGCCGTTCTCAACATATGCACTGCAAATATGTCTTTTGGGTCCTTAAGGATGTACGGTTTGTCATGCTTGTGTGGCATGAGTGAAGAGTTTGTGATGCGTGTCCAAGAAGAGACTTTCTTTCTATATGCAAAGACTCAGTCTATCATGCGGAGAGCGCAACTACACGAGACCGCGCAAATATTTCTCACCGTGCTTGGCTATGCATTACAGATCATTTCACTATTCACAATTCAGCATTGCAAGTTTCCAGACACAGACATATTTGCAATGCATAAAGCAGGGTAATTCGCCACAGGGACGAGAGCAGTTCGAGGGCGGAGTAGATTCTATCAAAAGGAAATATCCCCCCTCCCCATATCGGAACGACGTTTCTGATGCTGGATTTGCGTACACAAATCAGGTCTGTCTTGCTGGAGAGGACTGCAGGCATATGCCAAGCCTGAGTCGAGAGGTTTGGACGTAGGCGACTAGCATGACAGATGTCGGCTCTGTAAGCCCAACAGCATCACAAGCCGCCTGCATAATGCTGCCGACTCTCTGGCTTTGTCTTCTTGCAAGACAAACGCGATTTGTGACCTCAAATCACCAACACAAATGTTCGGAGTCATACCTTTTCAATATGGGGAGGGGGGATTTTGCCTCACAATAGATTCGCCGCAGTCACCAACGGTAGATGTTGCCAAAAATCTAAATGCGGCGGACACTCAAAACAAATTCCTGGTGATCTGCGACCAGTGCGGTTTGCGCGTTTTGAACAGCATCTGCAGGTTGTCCGACCTCTACGAAACCGGGGTAACCGCGGTAGAAGCGCTGGAGTCGAAGGATAGGCAACCTATTCCGTCGTTGGATGGGGTGTATTTTATCGACCCGGAGGATGCCGATAGCGTCGGGATTTTGCTGAAGCAGGTACTATGTAGTGCGGGTAAGTTTTGACGACCGGCGCTGTCTTGAAGATAGTGATCCTGGTCATCTACGATTCATCTTTGTGAGACAGTGTAACAATCAAAGCCAAACAAGAAAAATCTCCCAAATACATAGCTGGTCGACTACTAATTGTCCCTGCTTCTTCTCAGGAGGGAGGTGGACTCTGCGTCTGCTACAGTAACAGTGGGATTCTATGCCAATATGATGTAGCTGCCATAATTTGCAAACTTCAGGACTTTCCCATCCCGACCGCCGCTGCGCCCGACCCAGTCGCCAATCTCGCCGGTAACACGAATCCAATGTCGCTCTCCGCCGCAACAGCAGCATTGAAATCGAAACTGCCGAAGACAAGTTCGCAACAGAAGGAGCAGATCCAGCATGACAACGTGCATCTTTTCTTCACCCGGAAATGCCCCGATGAAGTCCTCCGAGAACTTTCCCGGCACCCGCTGCTCGCCCCGAGGATAAGAAACGTCGTGGAGATCCCTTTGGGTCAGTTCCAACTCTTCCACAAAAACGTGTTTCACTTGGATTTATCCGGCGGGCTGCGAAATCCGAAACTGTTTTCCGCGAATTTTCTGCAAAACAGCAACACAAATGCAGCAAATAATCGGGACTCGTTTGGGAATCTGAAAAACTGGAGCAAGGACACTCGGGGGAGGATTCTGTCAGACAAAGGCTCGAGCTCTGCCAGCTCGCCGGTCGGAGAGAACTACGATGGAGTAGACAACAACGGCACACAGCCTCATGAGGATGAAAATGTCCGGAACGGTACTATCAAATGCAAATATGTCTGGGTCTGGAACAGTGGAACTCGTGATGCGTGTCTTGCATTCCTGGAAAATCTGGGTTGCATGAGCAGCAAAAGAGGAACTTCCTTCGTGGTCATGCAGAAATGCAATTTGTGATGCGTGCTAGGCATCAGCAGGCGCGTCAAAAACTTGGCATGCTCGGCTGCCATTGCAAGCAATTCAATCATGCTCAATTCAGCATCATAGGTTTCCAGACCCAGACATATCTGCAATGCATAGGTACCGCTTTGACGCAGCGATCACTTTCTCTCCTGCCCAACGTCAACCACTTCTACCCGAGGTTTGCCAGGCTGCACGACACGGTCGCAGGCCTGTATCAGCTGTGCAAAGTGCTGAGCTACAACGGTGGTACGACTGGGGGTGCCGCCGGTGGTATAATACCAGGGCAACAAAATCGCGCAGGTTCCTGCTCCTTCGACCTGGATATCCGGTTCCAAAAGGATTCCATCGGTATACGCATTGCAAATATTTCTGGGTCTGGAAGAATGCAAACTTGTGATGCGCATTTCACAACACATAAAAATCTCTCATGCATAGGCAGCAAAAGCTGCCCACTTTCTGTCACCAAAGCCGGGCATTTGTGATGCAGATTCGGCATTGCGGAAGCTTCTCGAAACCTGTGATGCTAGAGCTTCCATGCCAGACCTTTTGTGCAATGCAAAAGCAGCACGACTCTTCCAGACCCAGACACTTTTGCCTTTGATAGGGTAACATGTGCTACAACTTGGCACGAAAGCTGATTCAGGAACACAACTATCCTGTGCAAAAGCATCGCACTCGTACTAATCACAGTCATGCAAGACAAGTTTCTTTTTCAAGCTAAATCAGCATGACAAATTCCATTCCTCATGCTGAGCTCATTTGTATTGCAATACTACGAGTGCGATAATTTTGCAGTTCATAACAACCGAAATTTCTCCAGCGGGGGAGCAGGTTCTAGTAGTAGAGGCCGGGCGTCGTCTGACCCGAGGGGCCAGGCGTCTTCGATGGGTGGTGGTATGAACAGGCGGGGTAGAGAGACAGGTGGCGGCGCCGGAGCAGGTTTGGTATCTTCTGCTGGAAAGAAAGTGGAGATTCTAATTTTAGAACGTGCCTTTATGGGTGTGTCAGGATTGTAATCGATAAAGTTGGAATAATCTGTGATGCATAAAATGCAAGGCACGAAGTGACTGTCTTGCAGGGATTGCAAGTGAGGCCGATTGTGAGCCTGTTTCGGGTTTTGGATAGAGCTGCTAAAGTAGCATGACAAAGGATGCCTTCTTTATTCGCTAAACAGCATGACAAATTGGATTATGATGGCATCAACATTTGTCATGCGTCGCTTGAAAATTGGGATAGCAACTGGTATCGGTCTTATGCATCACAAATTTGTCAACCTTGTCAGTTTCAATCCTGACAGTTCCATAGTTTTTGATCTCCCGGCCTGCTTCGTCCACGAGTACACGTATGAAGTATGAAGTGCAAATGTGTGTACGTCTGGGTCAGGAATCTTGTGATGCTGAAACTCGCATTGCAGAGTAGCCGCATGTACGGCATAAGAGCGTAAGAGGTTGTTTTGCGAGGCCTAGGGGTAGTGCCGGATCATTCGCAAAACGCATGACAAACTGACACTGGGTTTCACAGCATGACAAGAGAACTAGCCAATCGCATTTATGCATCACAAATCCTTGTTGCCCTTGACATCTTGCATCACAAATTCAGACACAGACGTATTTGCGATGCATACGAAGCCCTGGTCTACGATGTTTTGGACGACGCCATGGAGCAGTCGGCGAACAACCTGAGCTACATATCGCAAGAAAAAATCTCTCTCTGTAAACTTGTGATGCAGAAAGTGCATCACTAGGCTGTTTGTCTTGGTACACATGCGAGACACTTGATGTGCAGCTGTGTTTTGTATTTGTTCCCGTAGGAACCACTAAAATGGGCCGTCTTTTTTCTTGTCATGTGCTGTAGCGAAGAACTTGTCTTGCAAAACCTGCAAAGTCCTATAGGGTGAAGCACTTTTTTCGTGCGATACCACGCGAAGTATGGGCTGAATATTGAAACAGGAGTGATAAACACCACCACAGCCGCATCCTCCGCTACTTCAGGGACATCAAATCATGCAAGTACGGAACAGCACGTTTTAGCGGACGATTTATGGGAACAGTTAAAAGCGCAGCACTTCGTGGACGCGCAGAGCTACGTTTTGACCCAAGCCGGGAAGCTATCGGAGCAGTTTGGTGGGCTCGCACAGTTGGAAAAGCAAGGTAGAGTTAGTTGGTTTCATGTCTAACGTACAACTCTGCACAATGACTAGTAACAGCAGGTTGCGATCTTGGTGATAATTGCAGCTGGTCCTCCTGCGGTGGCGCCTTCGTTGCATATGCATTTATTCGCAAGATATAAAAAGTACGGCACTGTGTACTAAGTAATGGTTGATCAACATCAAAAAGTTATCAGGTGGGCAACAGCTTTCCACGGAGGCCCTTGCGCAGATGGTAAGAGAGCGACCACAGTACCAGGAATTGCTGCGCAAATACCACTTTCACGTGGACCTATTCGAAAAAGCCGCTTACCAGCTGAACGAGGATAAACTGATGGGCACCTCCAGCAACCAGCAAATGAATAACAACGCCTCGGTATCCTGACAAAAAACGTCCCCACACCAGAGTCAAGATGGCCAATCTGCTAGACAAATCAACCAGCTGCGGTTGCTGCGCATGACAAGTTTGGCCTCATAGTGTAATCCTATTGAGCTAGCTCCAGCAGCATGACAGATCTAGCCTACCATGCTGGTGCGAGCGTCGCAAATTGCGAAACACGACTAGGAAACGCCTCTCATGGGGCTCGACATGAGAAATATTTTTTGCCATGCAGATTGCCATACCATTTTTACCCAGAATACTCGGCGATCCCGATCGAGCTCTGCGTGTTCGAACAAGATTTAGCGACGGGGGTGGACCTATCAAGTGCAAAAATGTCTGGGTCTGGAAGATTGCAAGGTTTGTCATGCACGTTTTGCATGACCCAAGATGTCTGTGATGTATGCCACAGCATCACAGATTTTTTGCGGGCATCTTGATGCCTATCCCGCATGAGAAATGCCCTCTCCGCGGAGCTAAAACTGCACGCCTCTTGCTGCTCATGCAATACAGATTTTTTTAGATTCCAAAAATTGCATAAGAGCGGGGTAACAAATGACCCGTTAACTCGCACCCGCGAGTTAGCCGGCCGCCCGGCCGGCCGGACGGTTAACTCGCGGTTAGCAGTGTAGACATATCGAAAGGTGGCGCGAATCTAACCCGAAGCTTTCGCCAATCCTCAATCCAGCGCGCTGATTGAGAATTTTTTTATCGTGCTTATTTATAAACGAAATCGATTGCAAAACACGGCGGAAAAACCGTAACAGGCTTCATTTTTTGCAATTCGAAACGAGGAAAGTTTTTCATGCGTCAGCAGCGTAAAGCGTCGCTATCATTGCAGTTCATCTAGCGAACGCTGAGAGAGGGCGAGCTAAACTCCGCCTGCGATCTGGCGCTTGTTTAAATCGCCATGTTATAGCGGTGACGCAATAAAATTCTCAATCAGCATGCTCGAATGAGGATTGGCGAGCACTTCGGGTTAGATTTGTGCCACCTTTCGACTTGTCTACACTTCTAACCGCGAGTTAACCGTCCGGCCGGCCGGGCGGACGGCTAACTCGCGGGTGCGAGTTAACGGGTCATTTGTTACCCCGCTCTAACAAGTTGCATTCTTCCAGACCCAGACAATTTTGCAATCCATAGGACCGCGAGGGCCGGGAGATGAAAGTGCTGCGGTTTAACAGTTTGTTACAACAGATTCTGAACAACTCCGCTTCGAGCAGCTACAGCTCGGACCCGAACTTTATCCCGATGGAAACGAAAGTCCGGCTTTTGTTGTTGTATTTCTCAGTATGAAAGTGCACAACTCCCCCTCCCCCTCACTTGTATTGCATGAACAGCAATACAAGCGTCAGCAAGAACACAGGTTTTGCATGACAAATTTATTTGGACAGGCGTGTAGTGCAGCTATTTGGGCTGCCAGAACTTGTCATGTAAACAGTGCCATCAAGAGCTTGCCCAGGCGTAAATTAGGTATTTTGCATGAGAAATGAGAACGAGGGGGAGTTGTGCACTCTCATACTCAGTGATCGGAAACGTCCCGGATTCTAGTAGAAGACAACTGTTGGACGCTGCGCGGTTGACAAACACCGAACAACAAATGGTGTTGAGTTTGATGGAGATGGCCAATTCGAGCAACGTGAACAACTCTGCTGCAATGGCACAGCAACAGAACGCGAAGCAGAGCCAAAATGCGCCGTTTCACCGGTCTAGCGCGAAGGAGGTGAAGAAATACAAGCAGATCGCAAAATCTATCACAGGAAAAAGTGTTAACCTTAACGAAATTTGTGATGCAGTCATGTATCAGAAAAGGTGGTCAAATTTGTATTGCATAGCATGCACTGTAGGAAAAAATTGTCATGCATAACCGCAATCTCCGAATAAAACCGTTAACGTTAACACTTTTCCTTCCAATAAAATCTGCCCGGTTTGACATGACGAGATTCGAGCCGAGAGTGAAGGATTTTGCGGAAACCTTGATCAACAATCAGCTGGACAATTTACTGGATGCCAACGGTGGGGAAATCTTCGCTTCCATGTCATCTACAGGAAACAATACTTCGAAGAGCAGATCTACTGCGACGGGAGTAGATGAAAATACCGGGACATCCAACCACCTGAAAACGGTCGAAACCGCATTGGACCAGGTAGACGTTACCTCCTGGTCGTTTGGCGGAGGTTCTGGGGGGTTGGGGGCGACTCCGGGGAGGGCGAGCCAGATGAATAAACCGCCAAGCAACAGGAACAATCAAGACCAAGTCGCAAGAGCCTCCGCGGCAACCACTTCCCCCGAAAGGGGGAGGAAAAGGTTTGGGTCTGCCGGCGGAATCTTCAGAGGTGGAGGCACGGCGGGAAGTTATAACGACGCAACAGGAACAAGTACCGCTTCTGCGTCGAACCAACGGCGGGATATTATTGTCTTCATTATCGGCGGGATTACGCTGTCGGAGATCCGGGAACTGGAGAAGATACAAGAGTCCAATGCGAACGTAAATTTGCTCATCTATGGCGTTCTCAAACGCTACATTCTCAACTGTTACATGAATTTGTAATGCAAGACTGGCACAGGTAAGACAGAGAATCTTGCGCGTCTTGCATTACAGGTTTGGTGCGGACTACAGTGCTATTTAGCCCTCCGAGAATTTGTCATGCGAAGCAGCTTGATCGTCTGGCGGGTCATGGTAATTTTGCATGAAAAATCAGGTAACAGTTGAGAATGTAACGTTTGAGAACCCCATATCATCGGCGGCTCGCAGGTTCTGACGCCGAAGAAGATGTTGCAGTTCTTGAAAGAAGAGCATGAGATGCTTGGTGGAGGAGCTGGCGGCCATGACAACGACCAGGATGGAGGTTTTTATAATCCACCGGGAAGAAGTGGTCCTGGGATGGGCGGTGGAGTCAGCAACAACTATGGCAGAAACAACAACGGAAAGAACGGCAGGAATAGCGATCGGAATGTGTATGGTGCCAGCATGTACGATCGTGGCGGGGGTGGAATGACGCGGGGAGGAGGCGGGAATTATGTGTAATAGTTGGGTTTTTTCGTGTCATGATCCCAGGAACCAGATCCAGATGATTGAACATATATAAGCGACAGGAGTGCTGGTCCACGTGGACAGCATTGCAACTGCAGGGACGAGAGTCGACGCCTTACAGAAACGAATGAACACGACAGAAATGAATGAACACGACAGGTTGCGCTACGTTGTACAACTATGAGAATCTTCTTCACGAGCATGTGCTGCAATTATGCAATGGTCACCAGTGACCTTGACCGACGCGGCAGAAATACACCACGTCGTCAACCAATTTTGTACACTTTCGTAGCACCGCGAAGTTATCAGCAATTAGTCACTACGAAGGACACCGCGAGGACTCCTGAAAAAAAACGGCGTCTATTCCTTCTCTATCGTATCACTCGTTGAGGTAGCTGAGGGAACTGCGGAGAGAGAGAACTACTAGAGGAAAATGAGAGACAGACAAGACATACAGCTCGTAGTTTCTTGATTCGAATCTAACCTTCGTTCGAAATCGTCGTAATAACACTCGTAAATACCACCAGCAGTAGCACGTGGATTCGAATTTTCGTGCACTTTTTCCACAGACAAAAATCATTCGTGCAGATGAAAATTTGTCGCTTCGTGCTGTTCGTCTCATTCGTGCGATAAGAGCGATCGTCTTCAATCGCAACTTCTTATGCAGCACATGTATTGATACCATCGCGTCTTTTCGTGGAGGTGTTGCTCGCACATTTGTTTGAGGAGGAAAGGATCGATCCCTATTGTTTGCTTTTTTGAAATTGAAAACCAGGGCCCTAATACAGGAATTTCAGTTTATTTCGACGTCAAATACCTCCTGCGCGTGGTGTTCTTACTTTTGTTCTTTCCAGAGTTCTTGATCTGCCCTGGCGGTAGCATCTTGACTCTGAGCCATAGGACCTTTCTAGTTTGAACTTTCTACTTTCTCGTCTTTCAGAAGGAGAAGTCTAGTGCAGTGCATAAAAGTTAAACTACAACTTGATTCGTGGTAAACACGGCTTGACTGCTTATTTTCGCAAGTAAATGTTGTAAAACTTGAACAGCCTCGTCCCGACCCCTAGTACTCGTTGAACAATAAACCAAGATGCTAGCGAAACTGCAAAAGTCCCTGACCCGCGGGGGGTCCTCACGCTCCACCTCTCCAGCCAATAGTACCAAGTCCCCCAAGCACCACCAGCATGACAGCTTTAGTAACCAGCCCGACAGCCAGCAAACCACGCGGCCGGGGTATCCTGAGTAAAAACGTCCCCACACCAGAGTTGTCATGCAAATCTGCATGCCAAAAAAGTTTAAGTTTCTCATGCTGAGCCCCATGAAAGGCATTTTCTAATCGTGTTTTGGGATTTGTGATGCTATAATCAGCATGATATACTAGATCTGTGATGCTGCTGAACTACCTAAACAGGATTACATTACAAGGACAAACTTGTCATGCGAAACAGCCAAAGCTGGTTGATTTGTCTAGCAGATTTACCATCTTGACTCTGGTGTGGGGACGTTTTTACTCAGCATACGGGGTCGCCCGGCCTGGATTCGCTCGCGGACTCGGAATATGCATTACAAAAGTATCGTGCGCGTATAAAAAATGCATCACAAATTTCCTCAGCATGAGCAATAAAATTTGTAATGCGGATTCAGCTTGTTGAAAACAAGATTTGTATTTTGCATGTTTGCAATTACTACGAGCACGATAGTACTTTTGCACAGTATACGGAAGTCAATCAGCCCCAGCCGGTTTCGGACATGCCGCCGAAGTACAACAGTAAGAAGCCGGAAACACAGCAGCAGATTGAAATCGAAAATAGAAAACAGGAATACATCAAGCCGCAGGTTTGTTTCAACTTCTACCACGGATCGGAACCGACGAAAAAGGTATCAAATGCAAATGTGTCTGGGTCTGGAAGGTTGTCATGCATCTTCAGGATCACACGAATGCTCTGGAATGCACGAAAGCGCATGACAGATCATGCAAGAACTTCGTAATGCCTGTTTCGCATGAGAACTTTGCCCTGTTCCTAGAAAGAAGAGAAGGACTTTTGGCGTTCACGCAACACAGACTCCTCTACGATCCAGACTTGGCATGACAAGTTCCAGACCCAGACATATTTGCAATGCATAGAAGGTGTTCCACCACATTTTCGACTTGGAGCACGAGATGCTATGAAAGTGCACAACTGCCCTTGCTCCCCCTCATTTGTATTGCATGAACAGCAACACAAGCGTCAGACAGAATACAGGTTTTGCATGACAAATTTGGACAGGAGTGTAGTTCTATTGGGGCAGCTGCTGCCAGAACTTGTCATGCATAATAGTGGCAGGAGGCAATGCGTAAACTAGGTATTTTGCATGAGAAATGAGAACGAGGGGGAGTTCTGCACTTTCATAGATGCTGACCAGAATTCAGAAGCTGACCAAGCCGAAGGAGTTGACGGCCCGGGAACGGCGGAACAACTTGAGGTTCGCAGAATTAACCACGAAAATGCACAACCAGCTGGAGACGATCGATAAAAACAAGGAGATGCTGAAGAAGGTGATGACGGAATCCGATGAGGAGCGGATGGCCAAGGAAGACGTGAAATCGAAAGAGGAACTGGAGATGGAGAAGAGATTACGAAACGCGTCGAAGGACAAGGACGGGCAGATCGTGACGATCGACGAGGTATCCAATGCAAATATGTCTGGGTCTAGAAGAGTCATGCTGCTTTTGCATGACACAGAAGGTCTGGCGTGGAAGCTCTAGCATCACAGGTTTCGAGAAGCTTCGGCGCTGCCGAATCCGCATGACAAAGGCGCTATTTTAGTGACAAAAAGTGAGCAGCTTTTGCTGCCTGTGCATGAGAGATTTTTATGTGTTGTGAAATGCGCATCACAAGTCTGCATTCATCTTCTACGACCCAGACACTTTTGCATTTGATACGAGGAGGAGGAGCTGGACAACGAGAACGAAGCGAACAACGACGGGAAAGTGTTGCAGAAACACGTCGGGTATCCACAATAAATTTCCCGTACACGACTTACAATTGCGGTCTCTGCATGACAAAACTTGGCTTCGATCCTAGTTTAGCATGACAAGTTTTTGGTGAAATTTGTAATGCAGCTTGTACATTTACGGTAAATTTGTCTTGCATATCGGGTTGACCTACGAAGACGTGAAGTTGGTTCTCGCGCGGCATTTGAAACGACCGGTAGGTATCCTGAGTAAAAACGTCCCCACACCAGAGACAGAGTCAAGATGGGGATTTTGCAACACAAACCTATAGAGCTTTGGACGTCACGCATGACAAGTTGTCGCATTCCATAGTGTACTAGTGCAGGTTTTAGCAGGTGCAGCCGCATCACAGATCCATCTGCCTGTCCTGTCCACGGCATCAAAAATTCCAAAACACGATTAGAATGCGCATCACAAATGTCCTCGTCAATGCAAACCTGCATGACAAGAACTCTGGGGTGGGGACGTTTTTCCTGAGGATAGTCGGGACGGTGTTTTTATCCATGATGGAGGCGAAGGATGTGGACAAATTAGTGGAGGTGGAAGATGACAAAATGACGGACCCGAAGGAAAAACAAGCGAAAATTGACGCAGAAATCGCAGCGAAGGCGAAAGCAGGGTATAGTAATAGTTCTTGTGATTGATAGTTGTTGATGTTATTTTTTTGATATGCGAAATTATTGGTATGATAGAGATAGACGGCGAGGAGCTGCTTCTTTATCTTTCGTTTGATGAGATGCAACAACCGCAAGTTCTTTAAGGAACTGTCGAACATCAAAGTCAAAATCCTAAACTATGGCGTTCTCAAATGTTACATTCTCAACTGTTACATGATTTGTCATGCAAAAACACCATCACTCTTAACACGATCAAGCCTTCTCCGCATGACAACTTCTTGACGCGCTAGATAGCATTACAATCTGTCCCAAACCTGTAATGCAAAAGGCGCAACATTTTCCCTTTCACTTTTGCCATTCTTGCATTACAAACTTCATGTAACAGTTGAGAATGTAACGTTTGAGAACGCCATATTAAACCACAGTTCCCCCCTGACCGCCAAAGCCAAGTCCAAGACCGGCGCAGCCAAAGCGGCCTTCGCCTCCAATATCACAGGAAAAAAGTGTTACAGTTGTTACACACTCGTTGCAATTTCAGCATCACAAAGTTGCTCTGCATAGCAACAAAAACTTGTGATGCGCAGACTGTAAAGGAAAACACTAAAACGCACCATGAAGTAAGGCTGGAGAGCATTTCCTGCATGACAGAGGTTGTCTGTCTTGCTGGTCTTGCATCAGAGGGATAGCTGTAACACTTTTTTCCTGCGATATCCAAGCCGAAGATGTCAATGCTGTCCCGGATGCGCACCACGGTCGCGGGGAAGCTGATGGGCCCGGCCGCGATGAAAGAAAACGACTTAACCTACATATTGTCCTTCCCGATCTCCCGAATAAAATCCGGCGAGAAAAAGCGGTACGCCCCGTTGCACTTCGAGCGGTGTATGCGGCAGGGGTACGCGATCGACATTCCGAAACTTTCCGCCGAGCGCATCACCCGAGCGGATAACAAGACCATCCTTTCCTTCGGATCCCCACGGGAGAAATCGAAGCGGGCGAACCGGCTCGAGGGGTTTGAGAAGTACAAAGAGGGAGAATTGTACTTCATCGCGGAGATGGGGGCGAAGTATTACGCGAAACCTTTGACCAATTTCGAGAAAACGAAGCACTTCTGGAACTTCGACATAATTGCGGAAACGGCGAAAACCAACGTGAAACAGAGGTTTGAACCGGGGGTGATCGAGGAATTGTCGAAGAAGATGGCGTTGCTTGCGAAGAAGAACAAATCCGTTCCATTGGCGGAAAAAAGGAAACCGAAGACCGGATTGCGCACGATGGATTACCAATGTTCCGTGCCGTTAGCGGAGCGAAGAGAATCGGAGTTGACGGAATCGGAATACAGTGAGATATGAATTGCAAAAGTATCCTACTAGTAGTCATTGCAATACAAATTTCCTCCGCATGATAGCTGGAATCATTTATCATGCTGTTTTACCTTAGGGGCAAGATTTGTCATGCCTAATTGCAATTCGTACGAGTGCGATACTTTTGCACAGGATATGAGACCGACTCGGACGATTCCATTTTGTCGCCCGAAGAGATCTATCAAATGCAAAAATGTCTGGGTCTGGAAGATTCTTACATTTGTCATGCATGGCTGACATGACTCGAGACTCTGTGATGCAGGGGCACGAAAAGGCTCGCCTATCTGTCATGTAAAAATGTTGTTTCTCATGCGGAATACGCAACACATAGCAGCTCAAAAAGTTGTCATGCTTGGCTGCGTATTGCAGTCCGGCTATCATCCGCTTTTAGCATTATAAGTTTCCAGACCCAGACTACATTTTTGCATTTGATAAGATCCGGCAAAGGCAGTTGTACAAAGTTCCGAAGAAAAAGAAAGAGGAAGTTGAGGAACCGTTGCGGAAAAAACCGAAAATCCCGACGTTTTACATCACATTCGGGATTCGGGAGCGGTTCACTCTGGATAAGGAAATCGACGCTTCGAAACGGATATGCAATGCAAAAGTGTAAAGTGCTTGCTCCTCGTATATTTTTGAATTGCATGCGCGCATGACAAACCCGCTCCTGATGCTGAATCAGCGTGACAAATTCCATCTGTCATGCTGAGCTGATTTGTAATGCAGTTACCACTACAACGAGGACCACTAGAAGCACGATAATACTTTTGCACAGCATAGCGCAAACCGGGCGTGAAAGAGATGATGCTGCACTGGCTCGAAAACCGGTTGGCGAACAAAATCACCGACATCGACGACGAAGCTTCCGGTTACCCCGCATTTGCTATCAAAAGGAAAAATCCCCCCTCCCCATATCGGCATGAAGTTTCTGATGCTGGATTTGCGTACACAAATCAGGTCTGTCTTGCTGGAGAGGACTGCAGGCATATGCCAACACTGAGGCGGGTGGTTTTGACGTAGGCGACTAGCATGTCAAATGTCTATGGTGTAAGCCCGATAGCATCACAAACCGCCTGCATAATGCGGCGGACTCTCTGGCTTTGCCTTCGTGCAAGACAGAGGGGGTTTGTCGTGGCGACCAATCTGCATCACAAATTTTCGGGCGGATGCGCTTTCAATATGGGGAGGGGGGATTTTTTGTCACAATATTTGCCGGTCCGGAAGGGTATGCGGAGTGGGAGTTGATGCGGCAGATCCGGAAGAGGTGTAGCGACATGTTATGCATTGCAAAGCAATCGTATTCGTACCACTAGTATAAATTGCATTACAAATTGACTTAGCCTTAGAAATTGACTTTGTAATCATGCGGATTTGCCTTAAGAGAAAGATTTGTAATGCGGAAACGCCATTGGTACGAGTACGATGATTTTACGATGCATACATGTACTTTCACAACAAATCCGACGTGGAATTATTGGAGAAGATCCACAACTCCGCGAAGTCCTTGGAAATCTCCTGGATGTTCCTCTGTATGAGGGAGTACGAGACCCGGGTGTTTGGCTTCCGCACCCCGCGGTTTGAAATCGAAAGACGAATCGCCAAAGCGAAGATGGAAGAGGAGGAACGAGAACGGAAGAAAGCAGAAGCGGCGAAGAAAGCGGAAGAAGAGCGGAAAATGGCGATCATCCGGGGGGACATTCCGCCAACACCAGTGGCTGTTTCCAAAACAAAATCATCTTCCGCTGCGGTAGTGCCAATTACCGGAGTTTCGACCGATTCGCTAGGAGTTGGTGCTGTTTCTGCAGCAGTTGCAATCGCGTTCGGGACACCAGCAGCTTCATCGAGGCAAAATTCGTCGCGTGCGAGCTCCCGGAGGTACACGAGCACGGTGGGTGTGCAGGACATCTTAGGAGATGGCGGCACAGAATCTTCGTCCGTAGCCAGCTCCCGGGGGGACAACAGGATCGAGCTTAAAAAACTGGCAGAAGTTGATGGCTTGATTCAAACCTTGACCCAGAAGCTCTGCTACGACACAGCGAATGGGGATGTGCCCGGGGAAGAAAAACTGGACGAAGCAACGGCGCGGCTAGGAGGGGGAATAGATAACGCAAAAAACAAAACTTCTGAAGACGGTAAGGAACAGCAACAAACCACCAACGAGCTGCAGTTTTCTAACCTTTTGGAAGAAAACTTGATTAAGTTAGACATACAAAACGAACATAATAGTGGAGAACGACTACCAAAAGAGGAAACAAAAACGGGTCCGCCACCACCGGTACCAGCAGCAGCACCGGGTGACGTTGTACTTGTAGCAGAGAAGAATAAAGACACGACCACCTCTACCCCAGCCGTTGTTCCAGAAGTCCCTACCCTCAACATTCCGGACCCAAATACGCCAGCACCAGCAACCCAACAGCAACCACAACCTGGCGCACCAGCAACCACACTCACCGTATTTGCAACCGCTCCCGTCCCCAAGCCCAAGCCTCCCTCCCTCGGCACGGGGTTTGGGAACTTCGCGGGTAATCTTCTCGCCGGGGCGAAACAGCAAACTTTAGGAGAAATTGTCGTGCAGGATGAGCAGATGGACCATAAATTGTGCAATTTAGAGTTTCGCGAATACCCGGACAAGTACACGTTTTTTACGACCCACTACATCTCCTTGACTTTCCAAAACGAGCCGATGTTTCCGCAAATGTTCCTCGCGTTTTTCTTGCACGAATACGGAAATTTGAAAATCGAGATTGAGAAGAACTGGCTCCCCAACTTTCGCGTGATGCCGGACGCAAAGAAGTATTTGGAGAAGCTCGAGGAAGAGAAAATCCAGTTGGAATTGAAAAAATCCGAGCACAGCCGGGATTTTCACGCACTCAGTACTGAGGAGCTGTTGAAGATGAAAAAAGAAGGGCTGGGAATCGCGGAAATGCGGCAAAAACGGGTGGTGGAGGTGGATTTCATGCGGAAGCAAAAGTTGGACAAGATGGCGAAGCAGTTTGTCGCGGTCGAAAAGCGGAGGGAGCTACAACAGCAGAGAAGCCGATCTACCTCGAAGGACCGAGATTCCTCGATCGGCGCAAGCAGTCTGGCGTCGCCCAAAGCCGGGAGTAAACAACCGCCCGGGGTGCACTTCCAAGACCAGAAGGGGAGACAGGGTGGTGCTGCTTCACCGAAGGTTTTATCCCGACCGGGCTCTGCGAGCAGTGTTTCAAGACCGGGATCGGCGGCTTCAGACGCTGGGGTCGGAAAGAGCTCCAGGGGCAGTCTTGGAGGTGCGGGAAATCAACAAGTGAAGCACGCGGCGACGATGCCTGCGTCGCTAGGCGGAGCAGGCACAACTTCTAAATCCGCAGGCATAAGCGGAAAGGCAGCGCAGATTGGCGGTACGCCGATCGGGTTGCAAGAGAAGCCGAAAGAGGAATCCGGTTCGGGAAGCGCAGCTTCTTCCGCTGCGGATGATGAGGAAAATGAATTGGGGAAAATCGAAGAAGAAAACGGGACTGCTGGGGATGCGGAAAAGGAAGGAGAAGCCGCAGGAGGTCCATCTGGAATAAAAGCCGCTGCTGGGACTTCTCCTGGCAAAGCTGGGACAAAGGCTGCTGCGAAGGCAAAGGGAAAGGCGAAAGCCGGACCTGCTGCTGGACCAAGTGCGAAAGCAACTGCAGCAACCGGTGCAGCTAGTCCTGCGAAAGCCGCGGCCACAAGTAGCGGAAAAGCCAGCGCTGGCGCCCCGAAGCAGAAGGCCAAGGCGAAACAGCAGGCGGCAGAAAGCAAATCTGGTCCTGCGAACAAACAGGCGGCTGCACTGGAAAAAGAGGAAGGAGGTGCAGCTGCTGCACCGGGCAGCGGCTCCCCGGCAGGCTCACGGAAATCCACCCCCAACAAGTCAGGCTCTGCTGCCAGTTCAAAATCCCAATCCAGGTCTGGGTCGGCCACCAGTCAGACTGGTAATATTGGCGGTTTGGACACGAAACCGAGTGGAGAACAGGATGACAGACTTGCGATGGAGATTTCCGGGCAATTTGGGTCTGTCGAGGAAGTTTCAATCAAACTCGACGAATTGAAAGACAAATCGTTAGACGATGACGGAAATGCAGATAAATCCTCCAACGCATCTAACCTCTCCGGCCTTTCTTCCGGTTCGTCTGCGAAAGCGAAGCCAAAAATTGCACCGAGGCGAACCGCGACGCGCGTCCAGCGTGGCGGCACAACGGTGTTTATCCCGAGTTCAAGCTCTGAGTCGTCCTCCGGCTCGGATTCTGATTCCGATAGCGACAAGAGTAGCAAATCGAGCAAGGGGTTTGTGCGTTCCTCGGATAGCGACCAGAGTGAGGACGATAGTAAGAACGCGAAAAAGGATAAGAAGAAAAAGGACAAAGAAGGGACTTCATCTTCCGCGGAGGAAAATAAACCAGCACCAGAGGAGCTCGAATACAGTGATACTGACGGAGAAACCGACCTGTACGCGACCACCAGCTTCCGACAGAAGAAGATCATTCGAAGGAGATTGCTCTACATGTGCAAGTTAAAGCACCGCGAGTTTTTCGAGAAATTGGCGATTATGCTGAACTTTTCCAGCACGAAATGGTGCTTGCGGGAGTTGTATGCATTGCAAAAACATCGTACTAGTAGTACTCGCATCACAGATTTGCTCGGCATGACAAATGGAATTTCTCATGCTGATTTACCTTGAAAAAGAGATTTGTCATGCATAGATGCGATTATTACGAGTGCGATACTTTTGCAATGCATAAGTTGTTCAAGATCTACTGCGGGGTGTCCATTCTGGTCCGGAACCGCGGGCGGGACAACGTGATCCAGGACAGTTTTCTCGACGAGCGGACCAGCTGGTGGAAGCTTCTGTTGAGGGAAATCATCGAAGTCCTCTGGTACAGCTTGCCCCCGCAGGACGCGGCAGATTTCGTCGACAACGAAAATTACCTCCTGTGCTCCCCCTTCTTCACGATTAAGCTAGCGAAGAAGTGCTTCGAACTAATTCCGACCTTTACCTGGGCCGACAACGAGTGGAAGGGCAAGATCATGCAGAAAATCATCCTGCGGGTGGCGATATGCATTGCAAAAGTTTCGTACTCGTATTAGTAATCGCAGTCATGCATTACAAATCTTTCTATCAAGGTAAAACCGCATTACAAATTCCATTTCTAATGCTGAGCAAGTTTGTAATGTGATTTCCACTTCTAGTACGTTGCTTTTGCATTTCATAAGCGAAGTCGAGCACGAGGTCGATCACCGGAAATGTTCCGCAAGTCGTTTCCGCCGGCACGGGGAACAAAGGAGCGAAGACTATGAACTGCAAAAGTATCGCACTCGTACGAATTGCATTTATGCATTGCAAATTTCTTTTTCAAGCTAAATCAGCATGACAAATTTCATTTGCCATGCTGAGCTAATTTGTATTGCATGCAATACTACGAAAAATACCACGGTTGCTTTTGAAGTGCATAAAGACTTCTGCGCAGCAAGTTAGGGCGAAACAGGCGGAACAGAGACTGAAGCTGAACAAGCAAAACCTCGTATCCTGAGTAAAAACGTCCGCACCCCAAAGCTGTCGTGCAAATGTGCAACGACAGGAACATTTGTAATGCGCAGCTACATGAGAGGCATATCCATTCGTGTATTGGGATTTGTAATGCGGTAAACAGGATGAGAAAATGGCTTTGTCATGCAGCTTCCCTTGACAACCACAGCTACACTGCAGAGGGAAACTTGTCATGCGCAACTCCCAAAACTTGGAGATTTGTGTTGCTACATTCCCAACTTGACTATGGGGTGGGGACGTTTTTGCTTAGGATACTTCAGGCACAGCGAACAGACCCCGATCATGAAAACGCTCGTCGACTCGCCGACCGGGTGGCTGTTTTACTCCATGTGGGCGAAGTTACCCGATGAGGAGCCGTTTACGGTAGACTGGAAAATAGAAACCGAGGAACTCGCGATGCGCATCATTCAACCGCAGAGCCAGCACTGGAAACTGAACGAGATGTATCAGAGCGGCAAGATACAAGTCCCCGATCACAAAGACCCGGAGAAGAGAGCAGCTTCAGGTCATTCTCTGGACAGTACCGGAAGCTTTGGCGCGGGGTTTCTGCAGCAATTGGAGCAGATCGCGGAAGAGCAGAAGCCGAAAGCCGTGGCAGCGGGGGAAGAACAAACCCCAGTTGCAAAGGCAGCTGGTGCGGCGCCACCTACCGGCGAAAAAGGAGATCAGGAACAATCTCCAGCGCCTCCGACCACGCTCACTTCCCCGGGCGGGATGCACGATAACGTGAAGATCTACTACATTCCACCAGGCCGGGAATTCGACGACGTGCCGTGGTATCTCGAAGGGCAGGTGGAGAAGAAGAAAAAGGCCGCGTCCAAAGACGACGTGCAGAAGGAACTCGCGCGGGCGAATATCATTTGTAAAAACGTCCCCACCCCAGAGTTGTAATGCAAATCTGCATGCTGAAAATATTTCTTATGCGGAGACCCATGAGAAGCAGTTTCTGTTTCCAGTCGTGGTTTGGAACAGTCATGCTCAAAGCAGCATGATGTGCTAGATCTGTGATGCTGCAGCTTAACTAGCAGCTAAACAGGACTACACTACGGGGCAAAACTTGTCATGCGCAGCAGCCAAAGCTTGTCGATTTGTCTTGCAGATTTCCCAACTTGACTATGGAGTGGAGATGTTTTTACAAATGATAGCGAAGCAGAAGGAGGAAAACCGGCTGGCGCGGATCAAGTACTGGGAGGATAAAAAGCAGGCGGAGGAGGAGCAGAAGCGGCTGTACCGGGAAAAGATGAAGAAGGTGCAGGAACTGCAGTTATGGATTGCAAAAGTGTCTGGGTCTGGAAGGTTGGAACTTGTGATGCTGCATTTGGATTCCAAAAAAGCTTGTATTGCATGAGCAGCAAAGAGAATGCAATTTTTGCAACGCAGAGAGGACATTTGTCATGCGGACTAGGCATCAAGATGCCCTCAAAAAATCTGTGATGCTAGGGCATGCATCACAGACATCATGGGTCATGGAAAACCTGCATGACAAGTCTCAGAATCTTCCAGACCCAGACATTTTTACAATCCATAGCAGTACATCGCGTACAAGTGGCACGAGATGGGGAAAACGCAGCCGAAGAGCAACCCGTACGACACAAGTTTGAAAAAGTACGAGCAGGAGCTGCCACTGCAACTGGAGCTGAAGGAGTTGAAGGAGCGCACCATTCGAAACGACAAGGGGCTGTTGCGGGAAAGCGGGGATTTGAGCCCGATGCGGCGAAAAATCCTCGAAGACGCCCTGGCCGGGGATCGGGTGAAGAAGCAATAGGTGGTGGAATTTGTTTTATACTTATTTCATGGTGGTCCTCGTTGTCTAGCATGTTGCGCATGAGAAGAAACTCTACAACTGCAAGGTGGAGCTGCTGCAGCTGCCGCGTCCTAATGTGGTAGTCGTGGTGAAAATTACGTATAACACGAACTGTTATTTTTGTACGATGTAAGTTTCTACTTTTCTTGTGGTACGAAAATGATCTTCCTGTGCTACAATGTACAACAACTCGGAGAAGTTTAAGTTTGTGGAGCCGTAATTGCAAAGAACACAATAAATCCGAAACTCGTATAAACTACTGCTTTTGTCTCGCTCTCGTCCTTTTCGGGGCAGCACGTAGAATTCAAAACAAAACTATGACTTTGACGCACGGAAAATGAACTCCGCTTGCTACTTGTATGATTCTTGTTTCGCTCTGTGACATCGACGACGCTCTAGTGTGTGTGTAAGAATTGTGGACATTATTGTACCATGGTCATCCTCATCTGTTCTTGTTGTCATCCTCATCTCGTCTTGGGTGGATGTGGCACAGCAGAAAGATTGCCCGTCCAACCGATCGTGGTCCTGTACGCGCAATTTTGTCAACACAGTGCGCTTCATTGTTCAAAGTAGGAGCAGAAAGACGAGCACGCGCTCTCTTTCTCTCCGCGCCACGAATTGCTCGCCCAAGCTGAGGGCGCCGGTCGGTAGTTCTTCGTGTAGGAGAAGTCACTAGCTCATTGCTTTAATCTATTAAAAACACGACAGGCGGGTTACAGCGCATAATTCTGAACTTGATTCAGCTCAGAGAAGTTGGCGGGCTTTCTCCCTAGGCTGCTAATTTTGCAGCAGCACGAGTGATGTTCTCTTTTCTGTATGGCAGACGTAATATTTGTATTTCATCGTCAGCAACCTCCACCTCATCCGCTACTTGTAGACGTGGAAAAAAATTCCACCTCGCTTGAATAGTACGACCTCCCCCCCGAGCGCATGAGTATTACCATTAAGTTGTGCAGATGAAGTACTTTAGTTCTTTCCTCGAGTGATTGCAAAGTGTGACCACCTCCATCTGATTTGCACGACCCCTATTTCGCCTGTCCTTCATCAAGTAGAGTACAAACAGAACAGTTTATGTTGCTCCGCTAGTCCTCGTACATCACGTAAGAAGTAGAAGTTAGTATGTAGAACCAACTTCTCTATCAAGCAAATACAAATCACCGACATCTATCTTTTGAAGAAAATCAAACCATGACCCAGTTACAGGCTTCTTCAGGTTTCAGCGATGATGACTGGGGCGCCTTTGAGTCCTCACCGCCCGTGCATCGGGGAGAGGTTCTCCAACCCCAACCAGGGTCAACGTCGTCAGGACCAGGGGGCGCGACGAGTTCCTCTTCGTCTACTTCTGCTAGGAAGATGCAGCCACCCGCAGTGCTGAAAGTAGACAACGGGACGCTCGACGCGTTATTCTATAACGAGCACCAGCACAGTCGTGGGAAAATATCAAATTCTGCTGGTCCTCTAGATGAATTACTTGACCATGATCACTCAGGCCGCGGGTCCTCGACTGCAAAAATGATACCTGGAGGAGGTGCAGGCGTGCGTCAGATGAATGAAGCCGCCACTGTGCTCGAGGATCACGAGAAACACACGATTACCGTGTACTACAAGGGAGAGAAAAACATCGTCACCTGGTACGCGGACGGCACCATGAGCATATGAGAGTGCAACTGCACATCAACTACTCCCCCTCGGCCCGCGTTCAAAAGAACGCATGAACAGCAACACAAACAACGAGGGAAATGTGGCTTCCGCATGACAAATAAGCTTCTGGAGGTGCACACGGACGGTAGTACTGTTTGAGTTCGTTTCAAGTAAATCTGTCATGCAGGAGAGACAGCCTGATGGAAAGACGCGGACTTGGTATTTTGCATGACAAAGGCGGAGGTGGAGTTGTTGTGCACTTTCATAGAGCAAGCGCGACATCCAGGAGGCCATACTCTGTGCCTGCGACGCGATCATCGATGGTGGATTTGTGTTGCGAGAGATGCAAATGAAACATGCCGACGGCAGTCAAAAATGCATGACAAAAAATCATACGAGTGAGACAATAACAACCGTGGACGACCTGTTGGGAGACCACGACGGGCCAACTACGCAGACCACTTCCCATCAAGCCGCTTCCGGTAGTACACCAGGCGCAGCAGATTCGACGACATCCGCAAATAATGACGACGAGTCACAGTTCACACTGACGGACCAAATCCTGGAGTGGGAACAGTTTGACCAGCTTAAACACAATTCCGTCTACCTCCTGCAGCCCGGTTATGGAAGCGTCAGGTTTGAAATCAACAAAGTTGAATAAATGTATGACCGGGCACGCGTGGTCTTGCGAGCCTGTGAGTCAAGGCCGACAGTGGTCGGTCTATATTTTATGAGCGGGCTCAACCCGCCCATCACGGTAACCAAAACCTGAGTAGCATGAATATGAACCAGGCAGGGGCGCAGTTTTGCGTTGATTTTCCTGCTCTGTGTTTGACATGCTGGGTTTTCAGGGACTTGCGCCCCTGCCGATGGTAGCTTGATTGTGATTCGCCGAGGGTGATTAGAGCTGCTATTTTGCTCTGCCTTAGGCCGATTTATTTCCTCCTGATTTCTCCAGTTCTGGAGAGGGAGAGTTTATTTTCAATCCTAGTTTCGGATTATGATTGGTCTCCCCTGATTTCTCTCGTTCCGGAGAGGGGGAGAGAGTTTATTTCCAGTCCTAGCTTCGGGCTAGGTTGGATTTCTCCTGATTTCTCCCGTTCCGGAGAGGGAGAGTGGTTTTATTTCCAGTCCTAGTTTCGGGCTAGGTTGGACTTCTCCTGATTTCTCCCGTTCCGGAGAGGGAGAGTGGTTTTATTTCCAGTCCTAGTTTCGGGCTAGGTTGGATTTCTCCTGATTTCTCCCGTTCCGGAGAGGGAGAGTGGTTTTATTTCCAGTCCTAGTTTCGGGCTAGGTTGGACTTCTCCTGATTTCTCCCGTTCCGGAGAGGGAGAGTGGTTTTATTTCCAGTCCTAGTTTCGGGCTAGGTTGGACTTCTCCTATTTTCTCCCGTTCCGGAGAGGGAGAGTGATTTTATTTCCAGTCCTGGTTTCGGACTAGGTTGGATTTCTCCTGTTTTCTCCCGTTCCGGAGAGGGAGAATTGAGTTTATTTCCGGTCCTAGTTTCGGTCTAGGTTGGAGTTCTCCAGATTTCTCCCGTTCCGGAGAAGGAGAGTGATTTTGTTTCCAGTCCTAGAAGTTTCGGGCTTGTTTGGATTTCTCGTGATTTCTCCCGGTTTGGAGAAGAAGGATTTGAGTTCCCGTCCTAGCTTCGGACTACGTTTGATTTCTCCTGTTTATTTTCCCCCGATCTGGAGAAGGGACATTTATTTTCAGTCCGAGTTGCGGACTATGTCGGATTTGTGCGGTTTTCTCCCGTTTCTGGAGAGGGAGAATGTAACTCCGGTCCTAGTTCCGGACTAACTATGTTGGGCGTCTTCTATTTTCTCCAATTTTGGAGCGGGGGGCTTCGCCCTAAGTCCGGGGGTTTGAAGTATGCCCCAGATTTCTAGTTTCCAGCTCGAGGGAGGGAGGCTCCGTCCTGTTTCGGATGATTTCTTTGCGAGTGGCCTCCTATTCCCCCCTTGCGAGGAGAGAGTAGGGAATCCATTTCCCCTTCGGGGTCGATTTTGTTTGATTTTCGCATCCGTTTGTGATGGCGGAGTGAGTCTCTGCTTGATTTCGCATTTTTATTTGCCGCGCTTTCCCCGTACAAATCGGAGTATCCCCCTTGTGTCTCTCAGCGAGCGTGTTTCAGTCCTGTTGTTAGTCGGGCTTGGAGCAGTTTATCGCCACACATCTCTCGTGCTGGTGAGGGAGCATCGGCCGCGTTTATGCCGTTTCTTCGGGGGCTTCTCCACTCTCCCCGCTCGGGGAGTGGGTTTCTCTTGGATTTCCACTTGTGAGGGCAAGAAGTCTATTGCCCCAGGTTCTCCCGGGTGCGGAGAAGGATTTCAGGGTCTAGCTGCAGGCTGCTTTTCTGCTCTAATTTCCGGCTTCTGCCGGCTTTGGTTTTCTTGTGGGTCTCACTTTATTACTCATTTTCGAGATGTGCTTGCCCTTGCAGGCTTCTTTCTCGAGGTCTACTTGCAAGGTTTTGCTCCGTTGTATTCGACATGGGGCGCCATTCTGACCTTGGTTATTTTCATTTCAACCTTGCTCGGCTTTGTGGCACTGGCGGTTTGAATCCGTTAAACCTAAAAGAGGGCAGGCGCGAGATGGAAAGGCTAGGGATGCGCCCGGCGCCTCGTGCGCCGGGGTTTTGTTTTCGCGGATTCTTTTGGTTCCGGTTTCCGGGTTTCTGCCGTCCCTAGCTCCACGAGCCGAGTCGAGGGCTTGAGATGAAATGACCAAGGTCAGCGATGGCGCATGTGGCGCAGGTTTTCCCCTGTCGGGATGTTTTCTTTCAAGGTATTCCGATTCTCCTCTGGAGGGGGTGATCTTTCTATATGGAGCTTCGTGCCCCTATGTTGTTTGCCTGTGGTTTTAGGACATCTTCAGATCCCTGTTGTACAGGGTGCGAGGAGTGTTGTGTCAAGAGTCGATCCGGTTGCATCATTACGCAGCGATGTGGTATCCTCTTCCGAATCCTTTGCCCGCCTTTTTCGGTTCAGGGGGCGAGAAGTGTTAGTCCCTGGAGAGAGGAGGTCGTCGGGCGTTTTTGTTGGGTGTCTCATGTTTATCGGGCAAACTTTCGTATGTGTGTGTGAGGATTCTTGGCAGGATTGTAGGGGGCACTGCGCCTTCCCTGCAGGGCTTGGTCCTTTTCTTTCTGATGTCGCAGCATGCGCGTTGACCGGATCACAAGCATTACCTCGAGGTCCATTTGGCATGGTCATGGGTGTTAGTGTTTCTCGAGGTCCTCACGGCCATCGTCGCTGAGGTGGGTGTTGTTTGCTTACTGCTCCAGAGGCAGTCTTAGTGAGTTCGCGCGCATCTCCGGAAGGGTGTCGCAGATGACGGCTCCAATCTTTTCATGGGCTCCGGACTCTCTTTCCCTGTGTCATGGTGCCGGGTGGCTCCGAGTTTTCTTTGCACGCAGTGTCTTCGGAAAGGATCCCGCGCCGAAGTTATTATTTCCGTTTGAAACACACAGCTTGCGCGGGCGTTGTGGCCACCGCCGCGAGGTCTACTCTTGTGCTTTGGAAGGTTCCTTCCTGGATAGTTGTTTGGTATGCAGGTCTTTGACCTGGGGGCGCGTTCATCCCCGTGGGCTCTTGATCTGAGTACTTCTTGTTGCTCGATGACTTTCCAGCATTTCCCCGGCCGCATCCCGGCCGAGTTGTCAGGGTTGAGACCTCTTTCATCAGTGTGCGAGTGGTCAAGCGCACTACGTATCCGAAGTGAAGCCGGAGCTTCCGGGGAGTTATTTCCTATATTAAATGTTCTTACGCTGATTCTTGGGCAGCGCTTCTGCCACTAGCTGCTCTTGTGGTTTCGGTAGTTGACAAGGATTTTGCTAAGGGCCAGGGCGAAGGCGCTTTGTTTCGCCCTTTTGGAGCCTTGTTGGGATGCTGTGTGACAGTCTTTGGCATCTCAGTCGGTGTCGTCGCACGCACTCTTGCGTGTGGGGCGGCTGTTCGGTACCCAAATTCATCTCCAGCTGGTGCCGTAGGGTTCTTTGGGTCGCGTCGATGCGTTGCGTCTCCGCCGGTGGGGTAGGCTCTCCACATGCTTGGTCGCGGGCGCCTGCACCTCCTGACTCCCGGAGCGCACATCCAACGATGATCATCCATAGGATGATCTATCCGTCGGAGAAGATGTTGACTAGATCATTAAATGTATGACCGGGCACGCGTGGTCTTGCGAGCCTGTGAGTCAAGGCCGACAGTGGTCGGTCTATATTTTATGAGCGGGCTCAACCCGCCCATCACGGTAACCAAAACCTGAGTAGCATGAATATGAACCAGGCAGGGGCGCAGTTTTGCGTTGATTTTCCCCACCCTCCCGCCCCTATTTTCTTCTTGTTATCTCTTCTTCCGAGCGGATGGATCATGAGGCTTCGCGCCGCTTCTTTTTGAGGTGTGACAGAAGCCCATCTCTTGCATTCGGGAACTGGGGTAGGCTCTCCACATGCTTGGTCGCGGGCGCCTGCACCTCCTGACTCCCGGAGCGCACATCCAACGATGATCATCCATAGGATGATCTATCCGTCGGAGAAGATGTTGACTAGATCATAAAATAGTTTGTCATGCATAAAATGCAACGCAGAAAATGCCTGTCTTGCAGAGTAGGCAAGGGAGGCAGATTGTAAGCCTGTTTCGGGGTAGAAATAGAGCTGCTAAAGTACTAGCATCACAAAAGGCGTCTTCCTTACCCAAACAGCATGACACTCAAATTTGTCATGCGCCGCTTAGAAATTGGGCTTCCAAGAACTGGTATCGATTTTATGCATAAGAAGTTATATCAACTTTGTCGATTTCAACTCTGGTGACACATCCATACCGGTAAGGAGAGAAAAGAGCTGGAAAACATCACGGGTGACAGGTGGCGAAGGTTGAAAATCTATCAAATGTAAAAATGTCTGGGTCTGGAAGATTCCGAGATTTGTCATGCAGTTTTTCCAAGCTCCACCAAGTCTGGAATGCAGGGCCTAGCATCACAGGATCTGCAGCCCCTTTGTGATGTCTGTTCTGCATGAGAAATGCCCCCTCAGCATGGCCAGAAATGAGCACCTTTTGCAAGTCACGCAACACAGATTTTTGTATGATGCGCAACATGCATCACAAGTTGCATCCTTCCAGACCCAGACACTTTTGCATTTGATAAAATCCAAATAGACCCAATACTGCATGTGGAGGCCCAGAAAGCGGTATTTTTTTTTCTGATGCTGGTACCGCCACCGCCGTATTAGTTCCATCATTTTTGATCTAGCACGACGAAGACGGAAGCAACTACGTCGTCAAGCAGGGGCTGATCGTGAACTTTTCATCCGCATCAGATCTCTGTCTACTAACTTTGCAACGCAAGAATACGTACTTACACAGATCGCCCGCATGAAGCGCGGTTCGAATCTTCTGAAGCACACCCGGTACGGGTACCCTCACCTGCGCATGTTTCAGCTCTCGGAGGACACCAGGAGGCTGATTTGGTACTCGGCTGCAAAAGAGAAGAAAGACACGGTCATTTATGCATTGCAAAAGTATCGTATTCGTATAAATGCATTACAAATTTCTGCAGCGTGAGAAATAAAATTTGTAATGCAGATTTAGCTTAAGAAAGGGATTTGTATATACATGATTGCAATACGAGTACGATACTTTTGCACAGGATATCATCTCTATGGAAAACATTTCGGAAATTTTGATTGGGAACGGGAACGACACGTCCAACGCCTATAAACTCGCCATGCTGGAACATCTTTCTTTCACGATTGTCTGCAAGAATCCTGGAGTATCCCACAGAAAAAAGCCGACAGGTCACATTTGTAATGCAAAAATAAATACACAATAGAAATCGGTATTGCGTACTAGCCTAAACAGCATGCTATGAGGCCGCCCATGACAGATTTTTCTCTGTATTTATTTTTGCATTACAGCGTTCAGCTGCTCTCGGGCTGGAGGAGGGAGTAGCAAGCAGCAGTCCGCTAAAGGGCACACTGCCAACATCATCATCATCAATATACCTCGCCAGCTTTTTTCTGTGGGATATGGAGCCCAGATGTACTCCGGCACTTCCGCACTGTCCAATGTTCTGAACACGGTCACCGGGGCGGGGAGTGTGAAGAGTCTGGAAGTCACCTGCAAAGACGAATTCGAGTTTGATCATTGGGTAAGTACTTGTTTTTCTCATTCAGAACGTCAAGACGTGAGGAAATGTGTCTTCTGCTATAAAGTTCTCGCAAGTAAGATTATGCGCAAGGCTATTTCTGCTTCACTGCGCAAATCGAAGGACGAACGCATCTATCCAAATCTCGTCGCTCTTCTACAAATTCACCCAGGTCACTGGTTTGAAAGCCCTGCACTACCACCACACGTCGCGCCTGCTTTCCAAAGAGCAGCTCCTGAACCATTCCCAACGGTTCAAGCGCGCACTGCAGAAGAACAACGTGGCAATCAAGCTTACCCAGCTCCCGGAGATCCGGGAAAAGGGGCACGTCGGCCTGGACGACTGCATCGAGATTTCCGTGTCTCAGTCCAAAGAGGAGCTCGAGCAAAAGCTGGACCGGCTGAAAGAGCGGCACAAGACGCTACAGCTCTCCACAAACAAGTTGGATTTTCACGCGGATATGCAATGCAAAAGCATCCTACTTCTAGTCTAAATTGCATTACAAATTAGCCCACCATTGCGAATTGAATTTGTAGTGCTGAATTACCTTGACAAAGAGATTTATAATGCATAAATGCAATGTACTACGAGTGCGATACTTTTGTACAGGATAGCGGAGGCGGAAACCGAGCTGGATTTAGCCGTGATGACCGGCTCCGGACCCGCTTACGCGGCGCTGTTTACGGATACAGAGAACTGTATCAAATGCAAATATGTCTGGGTCTGGAAGGTTGGAAGACTTGTCATACAGGTTTTCCTTGACGCGTGAGGTCTGTCATACATGACCCAGCATGACAGATTCTCCCCGACCTGTATCATGCCTCGTCTGCATGAGAAACTTTCTCTCAGCTCGGTCAAAAGTGGACAGCTTTCGGTAGTCATGCTGCAACACAGATTTTTGCACTATCCAGAATTAGCATGACAAGTTGCATTCTTCCAGGAGACCCAGACATGTTTGCAATGCATAAACTGCGAAGATGAAGAGATGGAGTACCGGAGGATGCAAGAGTTGCTGAAGGAAGTGCAGTCCCAGCTGACAAAGGCCCGAAACGATTTTATCGCGATCAAGGAGGCACAACTACCCGGAACGCAGAATCTCAGCGACGCGATTGCTGGCACCACCTCGTCGGGGAATAACAAGGAGGAAGGTAGTACTAGCGCGACGAGGAATAGCAAGAAAAACAAACCTTCGCAGCTCACCAAGCAGGAAAAGGAGGAGCAACAGAAGTACAAGAATCTAGATCATTTGCTGTGGAAAATCGAGGTTGATCTGGAAAACGTGGAAGACATCCTCTCCCGGTATCTGGACAACCAGAAGCAGGTGCAGCAGCCCTGGCAAGTGCTGGTACAGGAAAAGACGGCCGAGTTTACCAGGAATGTGAACGACAACCTGCAGATAATGCAGGGAAAAGTGGACGAATGGAGGAAGTGGTGGAACAAATAGAAGCTCATGCTTTTTGATGATGTTTACGCATTGCAAAATTATCATACTAGCTTGGATCATCGCAATACAAATTTTCTCAGCACTACAAATCAAATTTGTAATGCGGCTTTACCGTAGTAACAACTAGATTTGTAATGCATGGTGAGTGCAATTTTTAGTACGACTGCAATATTCCTTTTGCAAATTCATAATCGCGGTGTCTGGGTGTTCTTGCCGGGTCTCTCTGTTCGCGCGAAGATTTGTCATTGCGTAGTACCCTGCTGATGTGGCACATCTACTATCCAAAGAAAATTCGGTCTATGAGTACCTTTTTTCATCTCCAGATATTTTGTAATTCATTGTCGTCGTCATCAACCATGGTAAAACACTCTCAACAACATCGTCCTGTTCGCTTTCGCATAATTCTTGGTCGGATTTGCCCTTGCCGGCGCGAGGGCGTCGTCGTCGAGGCGAGCTGAGAAGTTATAATGGAAATTAGTTGTCGTCGTGAGCGGAAGTAGATATTCTCGACGGAACCTGGCTCGTTGTAAGGTGCTGCTAGGTGTACTTTGGATTATTTTCGTTCGTTCTTCTACTGTTCGATTTCGTGTTGATGGATCGCTCGGCTGCCGTCGTGGTCGTGATCGGTCGTCAATTAGAATGGCAGTGCACTATTGCAACTATTTTTGCGGAGCCATGCGAAGATCTGAAGCACCAGGATATTAAACTCGAACGCTGTGTAGTTTTTCGTGGTGGAGAGCAAGTGTTGATTCGTCGTTATTTATTAGTACCGAAGAATGAGAAGCAGAATCGGCCTACTTCCTTCCCATGTTAAGAGTGGAGACCACTTCATGTTCATTCTAAGTCCAAGTCCGCTTACTTACACCAGTTCGGATAATTCACGCTTTCCTTTCGCGGCTCTAACTTTATCTTGTTTTAGCTCGTCGTAGGTCTGTAGTTGGTTCTTCTATGATTTCGTCGGTGCTTGTTTTGCCTCCATAGAGCTCCAGCTCTAGTTCGAAAAATATGACGATATCTCGTCTACTTCTTCGCGTTGCAATTTATTGACCCAACAAGATGAAAGCAAGCCTTGTGTTGCCGAAGAACATAACAACAGTGCTCTCTGTCTATGAACTAGCAAAAAATGGCTCGTCGTCGTCACGCGAGGTGGGGTACGCTACGCTGGGCGAGACATGAGATAGAAAGTTAGTACAGCAGGCGCGGTGGTATCTGACCTCCCACTAAGCGCCTCTATTTCGTCTTCGTCAGCACGACGGTAGCAGAGCACGACCCCGCGTTGGAAAGATATTTTCACCTGCGACTCCGCCTGCTGGATGCCGCTTGGGCTTGTTCCTAAGTTCTTGCGGTTGTTCTGCTCCGTCTAGAAGCGTGGCTCGACTGCTAACCTCGGCGCTAGCGTGGTACGACCATGGCGAACATCGGCGCCGAGGATGTCAAGGGCGCGGTTATCAAATGCAAATATGTCTGGGTCTGGAAACATGTAAACTTCTGATGCGTATTTGAGGCCAGGAAAAAATCTGTCATGCATGGACCGCAAAAGTAGCTCACTTCTTGCCACCAAAAGGGGGAACTTGATGTCATGCGGATTAGGCATCGCCTAACCTGCTCAAGAAATAAACCTGCGCTGCTAGGACTTGCATGCTAGACCTTCTGCGTCATGCACAAACAGCGTCACACTTTTCCAGCCCCAGACATATTTGCACTGGATAGCGGTGGAGAACCGGCAAAAGTCGGACTTCGCCAACGCGGACATGGTGATTGACGAGTACCTGGAGAAGAAGGCTGCGCGCGAACGGTATCCTGTGCAAAAGTATCTGATACTCGTATTGCAATCATGCATTATAAATCCTTTTCTTGAGGTAAATCAGCATTACAAATTTTACTTCTCACGCTGACGAGGAAATTTGTAATGCATTCATACGAATGCGATACTTTTGCAGTAGTTCATAAACGGGAAATCCTGGCGATGATCAAGAAGCTGAAGGGCGAGCCGGACGACGCCGAGCTGGCTATGGGGATCTCAAACGTTACATTCCGAACTGTTACTCGATTTGTCATGCAAAATCCCCATAAGTCGTCACGTCGGAAGATGATGGCTCTTTGCATGACAAATCCTCGAAGGGCTGAACAGCACCTACATCTGTTGCAAATTTGTGATGCGAGACTCGCAGGCTTGCCCCTTTCGATATTTGCTCTTCTTGCATGACAGATTCGCGTAAGTAACAGTTGAGGGTGTAACGTTTGCGAACGCCATACTGGCGATCGTGCGGATCGACGCGGAGCAAGAGCGGATCCGGTTAGGAATTCCAGTTTCCGGAGCTCACATATGACAGTGCACAAGTACAACACAACTCCCCCTTATTTGTATAGCATAAACGGCAGTGCAAGCATTAGCAAGAATGCCGGTTTTGCATTACAAATTTGCACTGGAGCATAGTGCTACGATTTGGGATGCCAGAACTTGTCATGCATAATAGTGACAGGAGGGAAACCGTGGACTTGGTATTTTGCATGAGAAATGCAAATGACAATGAGAACGAGGGGGAGTTCTTGTGCACTGTCATATCACAAACACCTGCACTGGATCCCGCAGCGGTACGTGGCCCCGACGTATGAATTGCAAAAGTATCGTACTCGTAGTAATCGCAGTCATGCATCACAAATTGCTTTCTCAAGTGGAACCCGCATGACAAATTTTATTTCTCACGCTGAGGAAATTTGTCTTGCGATTTATACTAGTACGATACTGTTGCACTGCATACCACGGGCCAGCCGCCAATCCGCCGGTTCTGCTCCAAGTACTATCAAACAAAAAAGTGTTAACGTTAACGGTTTCCACAGATGGCAGTCATGCATTACAAATTTTGCCATCCATGCATGCTACGCAATACAAATTTTGGCACCTTTTCTGATGCATTCCTGCATCACAAATTCCGTTAACGTTAACACTTTTTCGTGTGATAAGTACGGAGACTTCTTCATGTACGCCTGCGGCTACTGTCAGTTTCTCATCGTCATCATCATGTTTGTCGTTTGGTGGCACGCATTCCAGGAGTACAACGACTCGTACTCGGGGAAATGCCAGCTGAGCCGCCCTTCCAATCGACTGAACGAGACGCAGGCTTTGTGCCGAGACTGTCTCTTCGACATCAAGGCGCTGATTGATGTAGAAGAGCAGTCTATGCAAGAAAAAAACTGTGTAAGTGTAAATCTGTGATGCAAAAAATGCAAAACAGTATAAACTTCTCAGGCTGGAAGTGCGTCATAGCCGTGATTCATGCGCGTTTTCACGTACTATCTGCGCATGACAGGTTTTTCCTGTAATGCAAAACGAATTTGTGATGCTGCTCTTCCTAAAAAATTCCACTTACACAGTTTTTTTCCTGGATACAGTCCCCGGTGCTGGCTGAAGAGAAACGGGAGGAGTGGCTCGACCACGTGCGGTCTACGTACTCGAGCAACGAGCTGGCTCTCTACTACACCGCTATCGAAAAATTTTACTCCCGCGACTTCGGCGAGCGATACCGCGAATTTCGCATGCGGAAATACAAAGTCAAGTACAACCCCTACGGTTTGGTCTACTACGTTCCCGAACAACCTGTTTTCAAGTGTTGTCCGCTATGCATTGCAAATATCCCTGGATGTCTGGAAACTTGTAATGCTGAGTTGGAAATAGTGAGTTCTCTGCAATGCACAGCCAAGCATGAGAAATATTTTCGCGCCTAAGTGTTGCGGTTTCCCCATGAGAAACTGCGTTTTTCCATGACAAGCACAAGGATCTCTTCTTGGACACGCATCGCAAACTCTTCTGTGATGCCAGACAAGCATGACAGACCCTGCATCCTTCCAGACCCAGACATATTTGCAGTCGATATCCGCAGTCCTGTTGCGACTGGCTCCAGACGAGTTCCGTGGCTGACCGCGGGCACTGCGACACCACTGTTTTCACGCACCTGCAAACGCAGCACTGGCGTCTATCAAATGCAAAAATGTCTGGGTCTGGGCGGATGGAACTTGTGATGCGTCCTGTGGGTCACACAAAAATCTGTGTTGCGTGATCACCAAACAAAGTTGTTCTTTTTTGACCAACATGAGTGGGAGTTTCTCATGCAGGGTAGGCATGATAGAGATTTCGCAGAATCTGTCATGCTAGGTCCTGCATTCCAGACCACATGGGGCATGGGAAAATATGCATGACAAGTCTGCATTCTACTTCCAGACCCAGACACTTTTGCATTTGATAGCGTCTCTACGCCGACGATCAGGACACAAACCAGTGTAACACCGGCGCGTGGGACTGCACCCTCTACCGCCCGGTGGATTTCGATATGGAGGTCGGCGCAGGCTACTATCAAATGGTGCAAATATTATGTCTGGATCTGGAAACCGAAACTTGTGTTGCTGATACGTGCATTACAGAAACTTGCTTGCACGGCATAACAGCATGATAAGTTTTTTCCCTTGGTTGATGTTCCTTGCGGATTCATTCATTCGTATTTAGCATTACAAAGTGCAGCCATCCTCATCCAGCACGACAGAAAACCTGGTCCATCGTATTCATGCATTACAGATCTTGTTGTCCTTCAGACATCGGATTCGGATCACAAATCCAGACCGCCCAAAAGACATATTTGCGATGCATAGCTACAACGACGCGGTGAACGTCGGCGTGCCGCAGCACAGCTTCCGTTTTGAATACCACGCGGTCAACGTGTTTTGGTTCATCACCCAGCTTATCCTGTGCAAAAGTATCGTACTCGTATTGCAGTCATGCATTACAAATCCTTTTCTTAAGGTAAATCAGCATTACAAATTTTATTCCTCATGCTGAGGAAACTTGTAATGCATTTATACGAGTGCGACACTTTTGCAATCCATACAGCTTTGGGTCCTGGCGATCGGCGTGAACTTCTTGTACGTGATGGGCTGTATTCTGATCTGGACCATTGAGAAAAAGTCCGTGGCCATCCGCTCCATGATGGCGGACCGGTATCCACAGGAAATTTGCCCTACATGATGTACATCTGCGGTCTCTGCATGACAAAACTGGGCTGCTATCCTAGTTTAGCATGACAAGTGTTAGTACATTCGCTCCCAATTATTGTTGAATAAATTTGTGATGCGTCTTCACATGTGCGGCAAATTTGTGTTGCATAACCGGATTGAGGAGACCATTTTGAAGATTCGGATTGTGTACATGGAAGCCCACCCGAAGTTTTTCTACCGGTATCTGATCCACTACTCCGACTACTACGACAAAAAATTGGTGCGGTTCCGCCTCTTCTACGGAAGGCGGCTCTACATGCGGATGACGCGCATCGGTCGGCGGTTTTGGTACGGCGTAAAAGCCGTCGAAGAGCAGGAGAAGCGGTATTTGAAAGCCGACCGGCGGGACCTGCGGCGCAAGCCGGTCCCGGTCAGCGCGGACATGATGATCAGCAAGGATGACTGTTGGACCTGTTGCACTATCGACTGCAAAAAATACGTCTGGGTCTGTGACGAGATTGCGAGATTTGTCATGCTAGTCTGGCATGTCTCTGGACTCTGTATTGGGTGGCCGGGAAGTAGAGCTCCTCTTGCCTGTCATGCAAATAAAACGCAGTTTCTCATGCGGAGTACGCAACTCACAACCTCCACGGCAAAACTTGTCATGCTGGGCGATGCATTACAGTGTTATTTTCACTATTGCCTTCCTTGCAACACAAGTCTCCAGAGAACCCAGACATGTTTGCAATGCATATGCACCTGGTGGTGCCCCTGCTTTACGTTTTCCTGGACGGTGGGGCGAAAACTGTACCACGTTTTGAAGGAAGAATGGCGCAAGGCGCGGGGAGAAACTGAGTCGGATAAGACAACGACCGACGCTGGTTCCAGCCAGCTGCTGGGGGACCCGATCCCGATCTCCGCCTACGAAATGGGGCTCAAGCAGATCAAGAAACCCTTCCTGCGCCCCAGAACCATGAACTTTGCGGCCAAAGCGAATTTGACGGAGATGCGGGAGGTGGACATGCAATTGATCGCAAAAGCGAACTATCCTGTGCAAAAGCATCGCACTCGTATTTCTGATCGCAGTCATGCAAGACAAATTTCTTTTTCAAGGTAAATCAGCATAACAAAGTCCATATCTTGTCATGCTGAGCTAATTTGTATTGCAAGAAGTACTACGTCTACGAGTTGTGCGATACTTTTGCAGTTCATACGAATCGGGTTTCCGACCAGGAGCGGTTCCTGAAGACCGGTGGCACGGAGCAACTGGGTCTTAAATTCCACGTGGATAGTGGCGGAGAGAAATTTGCGACCCGAATACGCAGATACTACAAGCCCGGTTCCAAATTTGACCGGATCGTCATTCGGGTGGTGAAGGGGGAGTGCATCGACCTCACCCTCCACAAGTACAAGCACTGGAAAAATCCGGACTTGGTGGTTGACAAAGTCTATGCATTGCAAACGTACTATCCTATCTGCCCAGGCTTGCATTACAGATCTAGTTGTTGTATGTGAATCAGCATCACAAATTTCATTTTCCTTTTCGGAAGAATTTTTTGTCATGCGGTTTATACTAGTCTACTGTTGTGTGATAGTTCTACTCTTGCAATGCATAACGTTGCAAAAAGGCGAGACGGTGCCATGATGGATTTTCATGACGGACCGAAGAAACCGGAGTGGGAAATGGAAAATCTGAAGGTGAAACCTGTTGTCTTCGCGGACGGAGACCCCCGCGACATCGAAATGCGCAAAAAGTTGGAAAAGCGGAATCTTCCGCCACTGAAGGGAGAGGGGAAGAGGGAAAAATCGGATTTCGACACCGCGTTCTCTTCATCCGGGGGAACAGCTACAGTAGAGGCAGCCACAGGAGCAGAGGATCGTGCTGATAGAAGCAGTGCGAATGAGTGGACCACGTCGAATAAAGGAGCTGCAGGTACTAGTACAGCAACCAATCCGGAGCAGGACAAAACAGGAGACGGACCGGAGCAGGATAACGAGCCAAAGAACTTCTCTGGAGCGGGAAGAACAAGAAACGGAGATGATGTTGACGACAACTACGGGGAAAATGACGGGAAAAATGAAAATAATGCGAATCCGGCAGAGCCCCCTGAGCCCGATGATCTTCATGATCCCGCAGAGACAGCAGCTCCGGCGAGAAGTCCTGCTTCATCTTCTTCGAAAAAAGATAAAGAACACAAGAAAAATAGCAAGGCGAAGCGCAACTCTAACGACGACAAGACAGGCCGGGCTTCGCAGTACGATACCGAGTTCGTGAAGCACCCCCGCGTACTGCACGTCCGAGCCTGTCTGGCGGAGAAATTCGGGATCCAGCCCAATTCGGACGCTTTGGCTAGGGTGATATGCAATACAAATTTTCCGTGCATGATGTTGTACAAAATGCATCACAAACTTCACCACCTTGGATGAAAAAGCAACTTGTCATGCTGAAAAGGCTTGAAGGAAAAGTTGGTCATGCGGACGCCGCATTTGTACTTCGTTGTGTGCGGGAAATTTACTGTGGATAGGTGAACGACTTGATCATCACCACGGAGAATTGGCACTTGGCGGACTACACCCGGCCGTGCGAGCTGGAGTTTCTCCGTATCGCCCCCGAGTGGTTGGCGAACAATCCGAAACGGAAGTTTCACATCATGCGCAAGACCAGGACGCAGCTACGGCACAAATCCGCGCCGGAAATCATGAAGGCCGTGTCAGATGTGATCGGTGGCGGGGTGAACAACCCGGTCTTGTTTCAGTTGGAGAAAGGAGACGTTCAGCAGCCCAACGAGATTCGGAACAGCAGTATGAAAAAAATACAAAGTTATTTTCGCACAAGACGTACACCTACAGATAGTACAAAATCAAAATCAAAATGCACCAAAATTTTGGCTCCGCCAATCACCTTCATGAAATAAAGCTATTTGTGGTGCTTACTGAAGTAGAGAATTAGAGGAAATTTTTTGTCATGCAAACCGCAATCGCACGTGTTCATCGTGTGCGGGAAAAACGTATTTTCTCTGTCTATAACCACGGACATCGGGCGGAGGTTTGAGTCCCCGATGAAGCTGGATTACGGCGTGCCCGAGAAAATCGAGTTTGAGGACTACATTAAGGACCCAGTGTATCGCAAGAAAAAACTGTTATTTCACTGTAAACTTCTGATGCATAGAACGGAACGCAGATGTGTTTGTCTTGCTACACATGCAACACATTGGAATTCTAGCTGTGTTTTCCCTTAGGAAGCGCGCATGCCAAGTTTTCTTTGTCATGTGTAACAAACTTGTGATGCAGATCTTGCAAAATCACCGCAGTGAAGCAGTTTTTTCGTGGGATACAGTGGAGAAGCGGGACTACTTCGACTTGAACGTGCGATACGATTACAGCAGCAAAATCTCCGCCGGCGACGTCGATCACCGAGGCGTCAAGTTCCGCGATTTGGTGCAGGAGCGGAAGGACCGCCGGAGAGCCCGGCGGGAGGCGTTTGGGCATGCGGACCGGGAGACGAGGAGCAAAGCTGCGAAGGGCAGGAAGCAGGCCAATCGGAAGGGCCGGTCTGTGGACCCGGAGATCGAAGTGCTGGTCAAAGTGGAAAACGCCGCGGCACGGGAATTGCTGGAATAAAACTTCTTGTACACCAACGAAGGTTTATCTTCGTTGTTCGTGCATTTCTTTGCTGGTGTTTGTAGTTCTGATTCTGAAACATATATGTAATCAATGTACGATAAAGTTCTAAAAGTAGTATGCGCGACCCAGCCGTAGTAGAATGTAAATTTTCATCCAGGGATAAGAAACTCCGTTGAACCATTTCCGACTGCCTTTTCTTTGCAGTCGACATTTTCTGAAGAAATCGAAAACTAGACCCCACGATGTGAAATTTTTCTGATGAGAGAATCGTGCGGCGAGCGCATGAGAAAGGGCACAAACAATGAGGTCGGCGAGCAATTCTTGCTCACATTCTATTTTTTTGCCGTCTATTTCCCATTGAGGTGACTAGCGACACCTCCCTTTGAGCTAGACTATTTGTCTTCGACCTGTTGGCGTCATTTCATTTTCCTCTGCGTTCAGTCACATCCAGAGGCAGTCTCCGACCTGTTGGTGATGAGTTGCCGGCAGGTCTCAGTCATTTAGAGTGAGAGATGCAGATGCTTGCCCGAGTAAGTCTGCCGCGAGCGATTTCAGTTACGCTGCGAGCGACATCAGTTCTTCCCGCGCTCTATTTGAGCTTCCGCGCTCGGACCAAGGGTCTTCATGCTCTTCGAGCTTAGCACGATGAGAGAGACAGAAAAATCGAAAACTAGACCCCACGATGTGAAATTTTTCTGATGAGAGAATCGTGCGGCGAGCGCATGAGAAAGGGCGCAAGCAATGAGGTCGGCGAGCAATTCTTGCTCACATTCTATTTTTTCCCACCCATTTGATCAGTTGATCCCACCCTACAGTTTAAAACGTCTTCCGTTCGCTCCGCTCTTCGTCTCGCTTCTGAAACTCAGAGTAGCGATGCTGCTTTCGTGTGCAAGCGGCCCCAGAAGCCAACGGCAGTTAGACCGTCGTCTGCCGTCCAGAGGAAAGCCCCGTCCGGGCGACATCACAAGTTCCCGAACGCAATTAGCAGACCACGGTGCATGTCAGACCCTTTCGGCTCCGCTATCCCACAGCAGCCCATACTCCAGTTTGAACCACGAACACGGGCAGCCACGGAAGAAGACGTATTCGCAGCAGCAGTAGCTGCGTGTGGTGACACCGCATTGGCGGCCAGCAGCATAATCCCCTCTTCCTCCAAAACTTCAGCCCAGTTCGCCCCAGGTTTCTTCAGCGAGGTAGCATCGCACCCGAAAGTATTGAAGCTGTACAGGGACGCCCACGACCCCAGCAAGCAGAAGTCCAGCAGGCAGAAGGAGGAAGCTTTCGAGCTGGTGGACGACTTCTTCCGTCTCCAAGCTGCAAAGGAGTTGATCACCAAGCGCCCCGCCTCGGCGACAGAAGATGCAAGGATGAAGTGTTATTTTCAGTTCTGCACGCGGGCATCAGTCCACCCCGGGTTAGGCTTTCTGAAGAAGCCGTGGCCAATGACGCGGGACCACGCCGTCTACTTCTTCGCCGCTCTGGTGGGCGACGATGCGTCACGGTCGTTCTACGCTACCGCCGACGACTACCTTTGGTCAGTAGTAGCGAGGCTCGAAGCAATCCCCGGGGGCAGCATCTTGGGACAGGCGGACAAAGTGTTGCTTTCCCAGATTGTCACGCGGCAAAAGAGGACTGGAAAATTCGCGCATACGCAGGCGCCCCCAGTCCTCGTCGAGGAGTTGCTAGAAGTAGCGCAACCAGTGTACAAGCGGAAGCAACAGTTCGCTGCGGCGTGTTCGATCGGATTTCTTTTCGGATTACGCAAGACCACGCTCGTGAACCACATAAAATTCGGCAACAGCGAAAGATACGCTTCCCAGCAGGTCCAGTTTGAAGACTCACCCTCCGACGAGGAAGATGGTGGCTCTTACGAAGAAGCCATGCAGAATTTACACCTAGTTTCTCGCGATCATAACTCACGCAAACACTTCTCAGGCGATTTTTCATTCAATCGTGCTGCAGGAGTCTTTTGTCTAAATTTAGACGCATATATTCTCAAGTCGAATTACATTCGACGGGTGTACGTGAAGTGCCTGCGTGGTACTGATTTAGAGGCAATCTGCCCACACGTCACCATACCAATTTTGGACGAAGTCGGATTCGACGACTGGCGACACTGTTTTGTTGCTGATTTTACATCATTTTTCGGCACCTCCCGCACGCAATCCTTACGCATAGGATGCTTACAGCGCCTTATGTCGTGCCGGCTTGGGAAAAGTCGTGCTGGTTGTCATCTCCGGTGGAAAACGGAATCTATGATTGAGTATTATAACAGAGGAAATCAGTATCCCCATAACAAATTTGCTGGTCTTTCCTTCATTCCGTGACATTCATTCCACACGTGACGACTTCTAACATTATGCTGAGCAAAAAATTTTTTGAAATGATAACTCCGCTTGCGCTCCCACTCGGAGAGTATTTACTTGCAAGCACCTTGGCGCTGTTCCTGCAGTTGCAGTTGTTCCCTTCAAACTTGCCATTCCACTGAGAGTCCTCAGATTTCTTCTTCTCTTCATCAGTTCAAGAGCGAGTGCGATTCAAAGTTCATTTGCAAAGAGTTTTGCAAACCTGGCACACGCAGCATGAGAGAGACACTTCTTCGCCGTCTTCTTGTTTTCATTTCAATTTCACCAAAATCACAGAAGAGCATTTACCACTAAAAATTCTCAACATGTCGCTGAACGCTGGTGCCATGGCGCAGGTCGCCGGAGGCCCGGGTGCCGGCGTCCTCGGCGCTGACCCGCTAGTCCCTGCCGCGCCAGGACCTGTTCCGCCGCCGTTACCGGTGCTCCCGCCAGGATTAGTCATCAACCCCGCTGCAGGTGCCGGCGCAGGAGGAGGCGATGGCGCAGTCGCACCAAAAGCGAATGCGCCAGTCGGCCCGAAGGCGAAAGCCGGTGGAGGAAAAGGACCCATCAACGTGAAGGGACCAGTCATCCCGAAAAAGGGCGGAGGCAAAGGAGGTGTAGTTGCCCCACCAGTCGTCCCCCCGGCTTTACCCGCGGTAGCACCAGTTGTCCCCCCACCGGGCCCAGTCGTGCCGGTTGCTGGACCCATCATTCCCCCAGTCGCACCGCTGATTGCTCCGCCAGTCCCACCACCCGCACCGCCAGCTGTGGTCGGAGCACCACCAGTCGCAGTGGCGCCACCAGTTGTCGCGGCACCGCCTGCGGCCGCAGCGCCACCAGTTGCGGGAGGAGCACCACCAGTGCCCGGAGCACCACCGGTCCCAGCCGGTCCGGCACCGGTTGTCGCCCCCGGCATGAACATGAACATGCAGGGAATCGACCCGGCGTGGCAGGCATACTACGCCCAGCAGTACTATTTTCAAACCATGATGCAGAGCAACTACCTCGCACAGCAGAGCGCCAACATGCAGAACATGCAGCATGGTTTTAACGGCTTCTTCAACCAGTTCGGTGCTGCTTTTCCCGCGGCAAACGATCCCTTCCACCCACAACAGCCGGATACCGAGCTGGAAGTTGCTGCGTACGCGGATTCTGCAGACCACATCCCGCGCAGTGATCGAGTGGCGCTCGAGTCCTGCAAAGCCATCACCGCGATGGTGAGGGATAAGTCGCTGCACTCCGCCGGGCATGTTGGGGCGAAGTATCTGTACAAGAATCAGATCCAGACTTTGGATACGAAAAAAGTGGAAAAAACAGTCCCGATGAAACCCAGTACGCTCATCCGGTATTTAGCCGTCTCCGGGAAAGTCCCGGCCGTGTTCGAAGATTTCGAAACGGCGAGCCGGTTAGTGTTGTTCGTGGACGACCACATGAAAGCGGTGCCGCCACACACATCAAAGGAGAAGTGGGAAAGGATCATCACAGGAAAATTCTACGAAGTGCTATCGTCTTCCTGCGATGCCCTCGCTCCTGCTTCCACGGTCATGATCGACGGAGTCCCGACCGCAACCACATATCAAGACCGGGTGTACAACTTCTTTTCCCTGCCGGAATCGAATGCGGCGGGATTTAAATACAAGTTGAACAACCTCTGCACCATGACGCATCAAACTGCGCACATGTTCAACGACGACGAAATCAGGAGCATGCTCGGATTGCCAGACACCCCGGACTCCACGGGCCGTGATCGCTCCAGATCCCCCCGCCGTACCGGTGGCGGAACCCACTCTACGAACCAGGAAGCGGGGGAGAAAGCGATGAAAGTCTGCTGGCACTACCTGAAGTGCGCGCCCTGTTCCAACACGGAGATCAAGGATCGAAGCGGTTGCGTGTCATGCGAGAAAGGGGGATTGCGCCCTACGTCCAAAACCCAATTGACCAAAACGCAGTTCAAGAAGATCAAACGCACCGCGTTAGGTCGTTCGGCGTTGAAAGACATTGGTTATTTTAGTTGGATGGACGGTAATATTTACAAGGGTAGCAATCTGACTAAGTATTTCCCGAACCGCGCTTCCTCCTCGACATCCAAGTCCCAGAAGAAGGGAGGCGGCAAAAACCAGGGCGGTTCCAAAAAATCAACTACCACCAGTAAACCGGAAAAGGAGGAATCCGAGCACGACTCCGCTTCTGAGAAAGAGGAGGAGAAGCAAGAAGTCTAAAGATTCAGTTATTGTTTTATTGTCACACCAAAATGTGTCCTATCTTTGGTTTTTTTTACCTCGCGCGAGTGTCTGTAAAAACGAAAAGTCAGCTCTACATCAAAAATGTCAGATTACCCGTTGCTTCATGCCTACATCAGTAGTGCCATGATTCTACTTTGTGATGCTCAGTTTCATCGCTATTTGCTTTTCGGCATACGCCACCATGTAGCGATTTCAGTTACGCTGCGAGCGACATCAGTTCTTCCCGCGCTCTATTTGAGCTTCCGCGCTCGGACCAAGGGTCTTCATGCTCTTCGAGCTTAGCACGATGAGAGAGACAGAAAAATTTGACCCTCATCCAAAAGAAGAGCACGAGCATTTGACTCACGACCCATCTTGTAAAAAAATAAACCGTTCTTGTAAACCAATGAATGTGGTGCTCCTGCTCTCAGTGTACGTAAAATTGCTTGATGTGCTGAGGATAACAAACACTGCACGTGGTCAGACTCAGACACTTATCTGTTTGGATAACGAGACAGAGTATGTTGGAGGTCGATGTGTTCCTCGCAAAGGTGGATCTCCGTACTTTGGGATCAGAAGTAAGCTAACGAATTATACAAAAAGCCACTCACTACATTTCTTTTTTGATGTCTTTCGTTGTGGTTAAATCGGTAGACCACGCGTCACCAGGAGGACTAATTGCTTTTATTCGACAGAACAACATCGTACCGCAGTAGATCAAGGGCGATTAGAGCGCCTGCAGAATTTTTTGCAACTACGCTAAGTGCATCAGCAGCGTCTCCTGGCCGTGTGGGCGGAGTACTAAGTTGGTGCTAAAAGCTTTAGAGGACTTTGGTGCCAGCTAACGGCAAGATCATCCTCGAGTGCAGCAGTCCAATCTCGACCTCCACAACGCGCAACCTATGTTGGTCAAAATGTTGGCGTCCCTGGTGTTCGTCGCATCACCGGGCATGATTCTTTTGCAGCTTTTGTGCTACTCCTGCTGCTTTTACAACATCAGCACGCCTAACAATCTCGTATTCGTCACCGCGACCAAGCTCCAAAAGAAGTCCGCGACTTCTTCATCTGTCGGCAAGAAAACTACGAGCGTCAGCCTGGACGACTTCGACTTCTCAGGTAACGTGCCTACTGCAAGTAGAACTCGAGCAGGGACGCCGGCGGGTCGTACTGAACTGCAACAGGACGCGACGAAACCCCAGCCGCGTGGCCGAGCGAACGCTGCAGGAAGTGAAGAGGAGATGACCCCGTCGTCGCAACAAGCTGCAGCGACATCAACGAATCCGCCTTCGTTTCTCATCCCACCGCCAGGCCGAGACTTTTCGTTTGACGCCGAGGACAATGATGTGGTTGGTGATGTTGCAAGAACGTCTCAGCTTCACGGTAGCAGCAGTGACGTGCTGATTGACATTCCGCTGGAGGAGATCCCGGAGGGGATTGCGGAGGGCACGACGGAAATAAATGGCGCAGAAGAGCTTGTCCCCCCTAGCAGCTGCGGGACATCAGCTGCTGGTGGCCGCGGCCGCAAGGGAACGAGCCTTTCTACTACCATTTTTGGAAAGACCATGAGCGGCACGACTTCGAGTCAGGACGAACACGAGGCCGTAGCGAGGGCAGGAGCAGCCTCGAAGACGTGTACAACTGCATCTGCAGCAGTAGATGGCAGCAATAAGAAGGGCACATCAGCGAATTCAAAAAGCCTGTTCCAGAACCTACTTGACAAGGCAGCACGGGAGTACGACTACGCGGTTATGTATGCACTGCAAAAGTATCGAACTAGGATAAAAAATCGCATGACAAATTTCCTCAGCATGAAAAATCATGAACAAATCTGTAGTGCGGATTTAACTCGGCAAAGAAATTTGCAATGCTTATCTGGGAGCTCCACTTCAATACGGAGCCAAGCATGACAAATTTTTGGGCTCCTGTGTGTTGCGTATTCCGCATGGCAAACTGCGTTTTTGCATGACAGGTAAGGGGACAGCTTTGTGCCCATGCATCACAGATTCTTGAATCATGTCAGACATGCATGACAAATGTAGCAATCTTCCAGACCCAGACATTTTTACACTTGATAAGTCATGGAGTTTAGCAATACAAATTGCATCTTGCCAGACCCGGACATCTCTGCGCTTGAACTTGATACATAACGAAGCGCATAGGATAAGAGTTTCCCCGTCGGGCCCACATACCGCATCCCCACATTCCAGGCATCATGAGGAAACTCGCAGTCGCATAAGTAGAAAGCACGTAGCACATTTTCAAGAGCGTGAATGCTAGAAAACAGCTGCATCCGCACTCGCCCTATCGATCCATGAAGGTTTTTTATCATGCAGCTGCACGCGTGCGCCTGGGCGCATTGGGGATTCGACGCACGCGTGCGCGGTATTTCATGCAAAGAGGCGTTTTTCAGAATGCATGTTTATTCAGAGTGTATTGCCTGCTCCTGCACGCGTGCACCCGGGCGCATTGGAGATCTAGCGCACGCGTGCACGGATTCCCATGCATGCTGCGCAATTTTTTCTACGATACCTTGGCGAACTGGTAATTTTGCAGATACTATCAAATGCAAATATGTCTGAGTCTGGAAAGTTGGAACTTGTCATGCTGGTCTTGCATTCTTGTGAAATCTGTGCCTCATGACCAACAAAAGTGGCAGCCTCGCGCGTGGTTATACAAGAAATGGATGCACACGCGCAGCCCTTGGAATGCCAGAAAAGTAATTTTTTTTGCAACAAAATAAATAATGAGTTACATCTTTTTACTGCAGAGAAAAAACATTTTATTCACGTGCATGACATAATTGCCAACCGAATTTTCACGGTGTGAAGACAATCAACGACGAAGAAACGCGGGCGGTGTGAACACTGGCCATCTTGCATGTCAAGCAGAATCTAGGTGGGATTCAGTGTTTCTTAGTCGCAATCAATCTATGGTGACTATCGTCACAGCCTGTGGGGAAAAATTTAGGGTTCCAAACAACACACAAATTCTGACGTCTCAGTCACGGGGGTAAAGCATGAAAGTTCAAATTTGTTCTAATCGCCCTAAATTTATGAGAAATCCGATCAACCATCGTTGATCATCACTAGCTTACAGTGTGGGATTAGAATGAACTTCATTTTTGGTTCATTTGTATGAGCATGCTGATTTCACATTGGGTCCAAATTTGAACGACAAATTTAGAGCCTGATTTCAATGAGCATTCAATTTAGGTCGTAGGGAATTTGCTTGGCTTATGATCCTGGTGGATTTCATATCTTGCCTAACATTCCCCCTTCCGAATGAACACTAAATCATCGAAATGAATCAGATGAGATGACTTTGTGTGAAATTCGCATCAATCAATCCTAGAGATTATTGAAGTCAGCAAAGTGGGCTTTCGCAAATACTTCATTAGCTTTTCTTGAGGGAGCTTTGAAGATTTGAATATACTTCTCGCCTGGAAGTGGCTTTGTCAATCCATCCGCTAGATTGATATCCGTGTTTACATAGCACAAGTCTTTTACGTAGTCTCGTACTAGGTGTAGTCGAAGACTCATGTGCTTGGATCTTTTCGTGGCTACGGTTGTCTGACTCAACGCAAGCGCGGACTTGTTGTCGTTGAAGATCAACGGTAGAGATCCTGACTCTTGTTCTGAAAACCAGTTCAAATATCCTTGGTCCATAGTCATCCTTACACAGTCATACATCGCGCAATACTCGGCTTCCATTGTTGACGTAGCTCGAATCGATTGACGTTTCGACTTCCAACAGATGGGAACTCCGCGTCGATATAGGATTGTTCCTGACGTGGATCGAAAACTTACAGAACATCCTGCAAAATCTGCATCGCAGAAAGCAATAGTGTCTCTGTATTCCTTGTTTTCTAGCTCTGCGGCTTTTGTGTAGATTTCTTTGAACTTTTTCTCTTGCTGCTTGCTGTATTCCAATCCTTGCGATTTGGTTCCTTTCAAATACGCCAGAATACGCTTAGCATCTTTTACCGTTTGGTCGGTTGGACTAGCTACCTGCGTCGCTACTCTTTGTACTGCGAATGCGATATCAGGCCGGGCAACGCAACTGATATACAACATTCCGCCTACTAGCGATCTTATCGGAAATGTGGAATTCGACGGCGAGTCCAAGTCTGCGTGGGAATTTGGTAAACATGGGGAAACTACTGCGCGGCAGTCCTTCATGTGAAATTTCTCAAGCAGCTTATCAATTGCGTCTTCGCAAGTGATTTTCATGACTCTCTTTTTCGCGTTGAAGGTCAACTTTGCGCCGAGAAGGTCGCGGATCTCATTGCCTTCCTTGTCATATTCTGCGAGAATTTCTTTTCCTGGGAACTCTGCTAAAATTGCATTCATTTCTGCAGCGACAAGGTCATCATCTTCGCCTGAGATAATGTTGTCATCTACGTAAACTGCTAGCCAGAGCTCTTGCTCTTTTCCCTGTTTGTCTTTTGCAAACTTCTTGAACAAACCTGGTTCGTGTTCGGATACAACCCAGCCTAACTTCTTGAGTCTGCCGGAATATTCGTCATACCAGCGGCGTGGGCTGATCTTCAGACCGTATAACGACTTTAACAGCCTGACAACATCGCCTTTTTCTTTGTTCTTGCTCCAGCTGTTGTGCTTGGGCAGGCGACATAACGCGATCTCGTCACCTAGAGCTGCACGCACAAACGCATTTGAAATATCGAACTGTCTAACTTTCCATCCGCGTGCTGCTGCTTCAACAAGTAAATACCTGTTAGCGGCATGGCTCACAGTTGGGCTGTATATTTCTCCTTGAAGAGATAGCTTTTGCCTGTTTCCTAGTGCTACGAGACGACACTTGTAGCGTCCGTCTCTCTTCTTCGTGTAGATGCATACCGTCGGGATAATCTCTAACTTATCACCCATCTCTTTGATGTCTTCTGCGGTTGCATGCCTCCACGTTTTTGCTTCTTCTAGCGCTAGGCGTTCTTTCGTATCTGACTCGATCCATTTGATTGCGTCAGGACTTTCCAGACACTTGGCCCAAGTGTGCTGCAAGCCAAAGAGGTAAGGAGTTTCGTCCTCCTCTAATTCATGACGAATCTGGAATATAGCTTCTGCTTCTTTTTCAAATTCCATCGGAAGATCTTTCAAAAGGTCAGATGACGACACAAGATTGACTTTCTGCCTTTTCTTTGCTCGAGGGCCACGACTTTGGCCTTTGTCGTTGCGTTCTTTGCGCTTTTTCTTGTCATGCCCTCGGCCCTTCTTGCGAAGTTTCTTTCGTGTAGGTCCTTCAACGAGGATCCTAGGCGCTTCTTGTGTCTCGTTCTCTTTTTCATCAGCATCAACTGTATTAGACTTTCTTTTTCGATTTCCATTCTCAGCTTTCTTTTTCTGCTTCGGGGATTTTTCAGGCGCCTCCTCTGAAAACAAATCGAGCCAATCCTGATTAGGGTTTTGATTTTCCTCGCCCCCTTCCTCAGGTTGCTCACCCCCTTCGAAACTCTTGCCCTCGTCGTTTTCGACGGTTTCTTTTTCCTTCGAACTGCGTTTGTCCGCATCTTCTTCATCTTTCGAACGATCGGTCCTCGGAGCGTCCTGACCACGACTGCTTTGATCATGATCTACAGCGGGCACATTCGGCTCTACGAGCTGCGAACTATCACCCAGACGCGCCGGATTCGGAAAATCAATTAACAACTTGTCAGCGTCCGGCTTCAGATCATCTATCTTGCTGACCAGCACTGATTCATCAAACTTACAACACTTCACCTCGTGGACTCCGAAGCGGATTTTGGAGCTTTTCTTACATCGACCATCTGCGGACCACATGCCTACCAGGTATGTAGAATTTTCTTGGGCGTAGCCTAGAAAGATTCCACGGGTAAACCGGTCTTCAAGCTTCGACTTCTGTGAGTGATCCTTCGCGTATACCAAGCATCCGAAACGTCGGAAATACTTGATGGAAGGTTTTCTTTTGAAGCGTTTTTCAAATGGCGACTCGCCTCCTTTGGCTGTAGGGGTTCGGGCGAATATGTGGGAGAAAGTGCGTGCTGCATAACTCCACATACGCTTATCGACTCCGACCATCATTGCCCTCACTCCGTTCTGGTGAGTTTGATTGTATCTTTCAACTTTTCCATTTTCTTGTGGTTCGTATGGAGCTGAGTAGTCAGTATGAATCGGCGGGGACTGTTTCTGTGCTGTCTTTTTCCAAGTGCTACCTGGTTCCTTGAACTCTTTGGCATTGTCGGATCTCACTCTTTTCGGTGGTCCCTCTTCATTTATCCAGACCTGCAGCTTTGCGCCTGCTTCTGCTTTGCTTTTGCAGATGAAAGAACGAGGCCAGCTGGTTGCTTGATCGATGGCATTTAGCACCCATCTTTGCGACCAGTAGTCAGGTTCCCACGGTCCAGTAAAGTCAAAATCAACTTGGTCATTGAATTTTTCAACTTTGTAGCATTCTTTCTTCGCTTTTGCATGTTGCGCGCCTTTGCTTTTCGCGAGATCGCAGGCAGGACATCGGACTACTATTCCTGGTAGACTACGATGTCCAGCACGCTGATGATCAAGAAGCATTTTCTCAGCCTTTGTCATCATAGTGGACTCTGTCTCGATCTCTTCGCACAACAAACCCTTTTCACCTGGATCTTCGTTGAACCCAAGTGCCACGGCCGGCAGCTTGGTTCCGATCCCTTTGTGAAGAAAAATTCTCTTTCCTGTCTTCCTACTTTGCAAGTAGTTGCCCCCTTCGTCGAAAACAACTCTATAGCCTTCTTTCTTCAGTTGCTCGACACTGAGGAGGGTCTGTGGAAGGAATGGATGGAATATTGCACGCTTGCAACCAAGTGCGTTTGGTTTCAATGTGCCAAAATATCCAGGGCCATCCAACTCTTTTCCGTCTGCTACAGTTATTCGCACTGGATTACTGTCGTCCCAAGATTCGAAAATCTCTGGTCGGCCCGACATGTGACTTGTTGCGCCACTGTCGCAAATTGCATCATCGACACAATTAAAAGCTGTTTCATGATTTCGGTGCTGCTCGTCCTTTTTATTCCGATGAGCATCGTTCGCCTCGCGCACCTTCCTCAATGCTGATTCGCGAACGCTGTAGAGGTGTGCTAGCTTTCTTGCTGTGTACTCGGGCGAATGATTTTGCTCGCTTTCTTTTGCTACGATTGAAAATACTGCATCTTGTGACAGATTGCATTTCTCAACTCGTTCGGCTTTGGACGCATCCGAAACATGAGATCGAGGAAATAAAATCTTACGGATTTCGCGATCGGTCGACTCAAGAGCCTGGACTTGTTGTGTCATATTTGCCATCTCTGGGGTTGCAAATTGCTCAGCAAGCTCCAGCTCTGCTCTTTTTCGTTTTCCTTTCAGCTGTCTCGTTGGACCAGCTGCATCATTGGTACAAATTTCATCTTCATTCTTATCGAGATTCGAGAATAAATCATCCATATCGATTAATGATGAAGAATCTGGATTGAAGATGTCAAGCTTGCTGTCGAACACACATTCATCTTCTTCAAAATGACTTGTAGTCACTGGTGGTTCATCACCAGGTGGTTGTTCTTTTTGTGGGGGGTTCTTTTGGGGGGGTATTTTTGTTAAAAATTTAGTTGAAAAACATCGCGAATAATTTGTATTATAACATCGAGTTTTCGTCAGCCGTAAGAATAGTTTTCTTACTTTTTGTAGTTTGTGTAACAAGCTACTTTTCTTCGAAACACCATCTAAGACTCAGTATTTCCTACCCTTCTTTCCTTTTCCTTTCTTACCTCCACCCTTCGGCTTGTCGTTGCCCTTGCGAACAGTATTCGTGTTGTTACCCTTACCGGAATTCTTATTGGAAGACTTGTTATTGACCTTATTGCCGTTTTTGTACCAGCAATCCTTGGTGTTGTGGGATTCCGAATTGCAATTCGAACACCACTTGGAATCTCCTGCGTAATTGGCCGCATGACTGTCGTCATTGCTACCAGCAGTGTGATTCTGGGTCAAGTTCGGATTTTGCGCGATCAGATTCGCAGCGGCTTGCTGGATCAGACTCGGCATCTCTTTCTTCAACATATTGGAGAACATCTGCTTCTCACGGTTCTTCTGAACGTGATCCGGGCGCGGGCCATGCTGGTTGCGAGAATTCTTGTTGCGGACCAGATTAGCTTTGTGCTTCGTGGTCTCTCCGTTGCTAGACAGAGCGCGTTCTTCCTCGACCATATGATTCTTGGTTTCTTCGAAACTGAATCCATTAGCCAAGGCACGCTTGTTGCACTCATCGAATTCCTCGCGCATGTTCCCGAAGATACAGTGATAGCGTAACTCTTCGGCCGTAACTTTAGCGCCCAGTTTGAAATTCCAGAAGTTCTTCAGTTTGTCAATATGTTCTTCCACGGTTTCATCTTCACCCTGCTTGCTGTTGAAATATTCCTTGATCAACATGCGGCGGGCACCGGCGGTCTGCGGGTTAGCCTTTTCCTTGATCTGAAGCATCAACCAGACTACACACGCGTCAGCCCCGGGCTCTTCCTGAATGTCCTGAGCTTTGGCTCGGGCCTTTCCGGTTAAGGATTTGAATACTGTACCATACAACTTCGCGTAAGCTGAGCGCACTTCGGTTGTGTAGGTGGGCCAGAAGTCGTTTTCGTGTTTGCCGTCAGCAACCCACTGGTCGCAGGCTAACTGATCGACCTCATCCCACTTGTCCATGCAGACTTTTCCTTCTAAGTCCTCTTTGAACTGGGGACCGATGTTCAACGAGAACGCCTGAGCGATCACGCTACCCTTGAACGTCTGGAAGTCCTTTCCAGTTTCTCCCTCGTGTTCCGCGTCGTACAGCATTCCGACGGTGCCGGAAGTGCTCGGACGATGGTCATCACCCGGCGCCCCCATCTTTTCACGATGAGCACGCGCGTCGCGGTTGTGTCGTCTGTTGTACTCGGTACACGCGTAGGCGGCTACCTGTACAAGAAATTTGCAATCGAATTCAGATGGTATTCAGCATTTCAAATGCGATCATCTTGTTGAATTCACGATGCAATTACAGACAAAATCAGAATTACGCTTAGACTTCTATTTTCAAAAACCGATGTAATTCAGTACCTTTTTCGTGGCCTGCTGTCGGGTCCTTGCTCTTGTACCGGCCTGCTGCTCGGTACGTTAAATCCGCCGCCCAAAACTGTAATAGTTTTTGTTGGGGAGGATTAACATGCGATTTTTGTGCTCTTGCCATGTGTGCTCGCATTCAAAATTTCCAATGATTTTAGAAAACAGACCGAAAATAAGTACAATTTTAGTACCTGTCTTGTTCCTCGCTCGATGCTTCGGCAAAGGTTACGGGCTTCGTAGCGCGCACCTTTGGTCGCTTTGTCTCTCTTGCACCTGTGTAGGTGTATGATTACAAATTCTCTCTTACTTTCAAACAGCCTCTGACCGTGTATCAGCAATTGATATCACGGCAGCAAATCACCACTGTTGGTTGATTTGAACTCGGTGGCTGGGGGTTATTTTGCCTAAATTTTTAGTTCAAATTCAAACAAAAATTCTATTCAAAAACACTACCAAAAATTCAAAATTTTCTTTATTTTTCTTCGTGCTTTTAGTACCTTCCTGCGGGTCTTGGTGTGGTTGGTGGTTTGGTTCTGGTCCTGGCTTGGTAGGTGTTGTCGTGTTGCGGGGGGACCAGGCTTGGTAGTTGTTGTCGTGTTGGCACTGGTCGTGTCTTGTGTCAGCGCTCAAGGCTGTGCCGTTAGAATGTCAACCGAATTTTCACGGTGTGAAGACAATCAACGACGAAGAAACGCGGGCGGTGTGAACACTGGCCATCTTGCATGTCAAGCAGGATCTAGGTGGGATTCAGTGTTTCTTAGTCGCAATCAATCTATGGCGACTATCGTCACAGCCTGTGGGGAAAAATTTAGGGTTCCAAACAACACACAAATTCTGACGTCTCAGTCACGGGGGTAAAACATGAAAGTTCAAATTTGTTCTAATCACCCTAAATTTATGAGAAATCCGATCAGCCATCGTTGATCATCACTAGCTTACAGTGTGGGATTAGAATGAACTTCGTTTTTGGTTCATTTGTATGAACGTGCTGACTTCACATTGGATCCAAATTTGAACGACAAATTTAGAGCCTGATTTCAATGAGCATTCAATTTAGGTCGTAGGGAATTTGCTTGGCTTATGATCCTGGTGGATTTCATATCTTGCCTAGCAATAATTTCATAATTATTTTTCCAGGTGAATAAAATAAAAGAACTATTTTAAATGAAAGTAAAAGAATTATTTTTTTCTTGGAGAAAATCAATAACTCTTTTATTTATTTTTTTGCTTTCATTGCTTGCGAAACCGCATGAGAAATTGCCTGTCTTGGCCTGTCGTTGTCGCCTCTCCTTTCGCCTCTCCTTTCGCCTGTCGTTTCGCCTCTCCTTTCGCCTGTCGTTTCGCCTGTCGTTTCACCTCTCGCCGTCACCTGTCGCGGTCACCTGTCGCCGTCACCTCTCGTCTGGGGTATGTGATTACAGAACCCGGAAGTCAAGCAATAGAGTATAAATATTAATCATGAGCAAATCTGTAGTGCGGATTTAACTTGGCAAAGAAATTTGCAATGCATAAATGCGAAAATCAGTGAGTGCGATACTTTTGCCATGCATATTATGTACGATGCGCCGAAATCCGACCAAGCGCAAAAACTCTTTCGCAAGTACGCTATCCAGTGCAAAACTATCGTACTCGTATAAATGCGAGTCTTGCATCACAAATCTTGTTCCCAAGGAAAATCAGCATTACAAATTTTATTTCTCATGCTGAGGAAATTTGTAATGCATTTATACGAGTGCAACACTTTTGCACAGGATATACGCACGAGAGCAGGAAGTGCTGAAAATAAATTCACAGTGTGGCATCGCGGATAAGGAGGTAGAAGTCTACTACATCGGGGAGCAGCAACTCGACACGTCCGGTATGCATTGCAAATATGTCTGGGTCTGGAAGAAAGCAAGTTTGTTATGCTTGTCTGGCATGACTCTTAAATCTGTGATGCATAAGCAGGATAGGGCCTTCTGGCTGTCATGCAAAAACGCTGCTTGATGTCATGCGGACAACGAAATGCACAGCAGCTCAAAAAGTTGTCATGCGTGGCTGCGTATTGAAGTGCGCCTACCATTCACAGACTTGCATCACAAGTTTCCAGCAGACCCAGACATAATTGCATTTCACATCCGGTGGCCAGCTGCAACTCTCAGGGACAGGTTCTTCAGACCCGTCAACCCCCAAATTCGGCACAACGAGGTTGTTACCCTGTGCAAAAGTATCGTACTCGTAGTAATTGCAACCATGCATTACAAATCTTTTTCTTAAGGTAAATCCGCATTACAAATTTTATTTCTGACGCTCAGAAAATTTGTAATGCATTCATACGAGTGCGTTGCTTTTGCATTTCATAGTTGTCCACCGCAGGTAGTTGTACTTCTAACGCAGCTGCACTCTCTTGTACGTCAAGCGCCGCCTCGGCCTCTTCCTCCAGTGATATGTTGAATACAGCAGCAGCCCCCGCGGCCGCCCCGGCGATTATGCAGTACTCCCCGGCTTATTTTGAAAGCATGGAGCCCTACAACTACAACCGTGGTCCGATGTATAATCACCATCGCTCACCTGCTGCTCCGAGTGGCGGCGGGCAGCAGCCTCCTGTTGTGCAAGTGATCAATAACATGCCCGTGGCGGCCCACACTGGTGCCCAGAAGCTCGACACTTCCCTGTCCAGCAATACCCGCCGGGTTCTGAAAGCGAACATTGAGCAGGGGAACGAAATATCAAATGCAAATATGTCTGGGTCTGGAAGATTCTACACTTGTGATGCTGTCTCAAATTTGTATTGCATGACGAGCAAGAGAGACCAAGAGAACTCCAGTTTGTGCTACGCGGAGAGGGTAAGTCTCACACGGTATAGGTGTCACAAAGTCCTCTAAAAATCAGTGATGCTAGGGCATGCATCACAGACATCATGGGTCATTCAAAATATGCATGACAAACCTGGGAATCTTCCAGACCCAGACACTTTTGCAGTTGATGCGAAAACTTGATCACGCAATTAGAGCAGAAGGGCTTATTCGACAAACCGAAAAAACCCCACTGCTGCTGCCGCGCCTTGTCCTTTTTCACACGATATGGATTGCAAAAATGTCTGGGTCTGGAAGGTTGCAACTGGTCATGCTAAATCCGAATCATGCAAAAATCTGTGTTGCATGAGTGTCAAAAGCTGTCCACTTTTGACCAAGTTGGGAGGGAGTTTCTCATGCAGGATAGGCATGAAAGAGACCTCACAGACTCTGTCATGCTAGGTCCCGCATTCCAGACCTCAAGGGTCATGGAAAACCTGCGTGACAAGTTTACACTCTTCCAGACCCAGACACTTTTGCATTTGATACGCGAAACATGTCCCGCCTGGTGGTCCTCGCGATCTGTGCCGCACAGTGCACCACGGTGTTATGGATTGCAAATATGTGACCTGGGTCTGGAAGAAGATTGCGAGCTTTGTCATGCTGGCATGGCATGATTCTGCACTCTGTATTGCGTAGCCACCAAGAGGTCGACTTGCCTGTCATGCAAACCGCAGTTTCTCATGCGAAATACGCAGTACAGAAGCACGCAAAAAACTTGTCATGCTTGGCGGCGCATTACAGAGCACTCACTGTTCACGGACTTGCATAACAATTTTCCAGAGCCAGATCGATATTTGCAATGCATAGGTGTGGCAGCAGTACCACTTATTGAAAATCGGCCAGGACATGCAGTCTTCGGTGACCGATTTTTCTGGGGTATCACGGGAAAAAGTGTTAACGTCAACGGAATTTGTGATGCAGTAACGCATCAGAAAAGGTGCCCAAATTTGTGTTGCGTAGCATGCATGGAAGGCAAAGCTTGTAATGCATAGCTGCCATCTGAGAAAACCGTTAACGTTAACACTTTTTTGTTCGATATGGGGGGATCGAGAAGCGTATCACCGGCTTTGCGGACGATTTGCAAACGAAGGTGGAGACCATGCTGGACAAAGCGATTTCGGACATATGACAGTGCACAACTCCCCCTCCCCCTAATTTGTAGTGCATTTCTACCAACAGAAACCATGTCAGAAATGCAGTCTCTGCATTACAAATCCACGCACGGAGCATAGTGCAGTTTGGGCTTCGAGAACTTGTCATGCAAGCACAGCCAAAAGGCTCGGACAGGATTTGGCATTTTTGCATTACAAATGAGGGAGAGGGGGAGTTGTGCACTCTCATAGGACATTGGTTTAGACCAGAAGCTGGACAACGTCCGGAAGGACATGAGGAAAGAAATGACGCAGTTCACAAACACTCTGGTATGAACTGCAGATGATGTATCGTACTCGTATAAAGGCATTACAAATTTCCGCAGCATGAGAATGAAATAAAATCTGTAATGCGGATTTGGCTCAAGAAAAAGATCTGTAATGCGAGACTTGCATTTTTTATACGAGTGCGATACTTTTGCACACGATATCTGGATCTGGACAGCAAACTGCAGAAAGTGGAAGACAACATCGAAGCGCATATGACAACGATGGGCGGAAAATTTGACACGGTCACGGAGGACATGGACGACAAGCTGGATGCCGTTTCCGCGGAGATTGGAGACACGTTGAACGCCAGTTTAACCTCCGTCGCGTCGCAAATGAAAGACAACATGAACGCCAGCATGACGGAGTCCTTTCAAAAAATGGATGAAGAAGTCTTTAAACCGATGGCGACGCAGCAGAATTATTTTGCGGTGCAGAACCAGGAAAAAATGGCGGAAATGCAGCGGGATTTGGATTATGAACTGCAAAAGTATCGTACTAGTACAAATCGCAATACAAATTGGCTCAGCATTACAAATTGAATTTGTAATGCGGATTTACCTAACCAACTAGATTTGTAATGCATAACTGCGATTATTTACTACGAGTACGATACTTTTGCACAGCATATGGATCAGAAACTGAATTTCTCAACAATGGAATCTGGTATGGCGCAGCTGGGCCATATGCATTGCAAAAATGTCTGGGTCTGGAAGATTCTACACTTGTAATGCTGTCTCTGGATTCTAAGATGACCAGCAAGAGGACTCCAGTTTGTGCTACACGGAAAGGGCATTTCTCATGCGGTAGAGGCATCACAGAGCCTTCTAAAAATCTGTCATGCTAGGTCATGCATCATAGACATCGTTGGTCATTCAAACTATGCATGACAAACTTGGCAATCTTCCAGACCCAGACACTTTTGCACTTGATAGGCCAGGGGCAGCAGCAAATCTTGGAGAATCAAGGACAAATCATCGCGAGGCTGAACAATTGAGTAGCTGCTCGACCACGGCCGATTATTGTGGCAATTATGGTGCTGTCCTCTGTCGTGCGGAGTTGGTGGTGGCGGAGGAGTTTCTTGCCACATTACAACTGGTGGCTCTTACAGAAATGGTGTCGCGTGTAAAAAAAGATGAGAAATCGTTATCGTACTTGTACATTAGATAGTTGTGATAGAAAAATCGCATTAATGTTTCTCGTTCAGCGGAACGAATAAAGATCGGATCATTGTACTTGAGAGAAACACCCGCTGTTGTAGTACGTCCAAAATGAAGTAGCCAGAACCCTGAAATAAATGTACGTAAGACTATAGAACATTCGAATTCCTTCGCGAAATGAACTACAGTCCAGAATAGAAGTTCTAAACATACCGGTTGCAGCTGCAGCAGCTGAAGAAATTTAAGTATATATGGATTTTGCTGGATGTGGATGTTGATGCATATGCAACTATGGTCTGCAAAACGAACAAAGAACTCAGCTATTAGAAGTACAACTACACACGACTGTAACACCCTCCGGCTCTACTTCGCCACTACTGTCACTGTGTTTTGCGCAGCGCAAAAGCAATACCAAAGTTGTTCGTCGCTATTCGAAAGCACGCAGCGCTAAGTACTAGCCTTCGATTTTCAACATTCTCAGATTGTGCGGTTTACTCTCTTCTTTGTCAACGGCGTAGTTTATTTTGCTGCACCAGGAAGCTCTACGACGGTAAAGTCAACGCCTGGAGGCTAGTGACGTCCACACAAATTGATATCGGTTTTCAAGAAGCTGAGAAGTTCAAGGTCTTCTTCTTTCATCGGTTGTAGTATGCAAGTCCTTTACAAACTACCTTCTCGGTTGATGCTGCGTGCAGCTTCTTGGTTCTGTTGCTCCTTCCTCGGTGGAATCAATGAAAGGCTGAATTGTCGGTGGATAGTATAGAAGAGCACGAAGATCTCCTACTTCTGCTCTTGTACAGAATCGGTATTGATGTCTCGTCTTACTTTCGTGGTTTCGGTGTGCAGCTCGTCCTGATAGTAAGTTCATGCAACCTCAGAAACATGAAAACATAGACATACTACCGTGGTCGTTTCACGACCACGGCGACCTTGCGGACCTCGGCCTCAAGAAAGCGGCAGTTTGTCTTGCTTCCTTCGCATGACAAAAATCTAGTACTCCACTTTTATCACAGCTCAAGCCATACAACCCATTTTCCATATGTAGTTGCTACAATATTGTTGTGTCCCCCGCACGTTGTTAGTCGTTGACTTTTAAGAAGTAAGTGATGCTCCTAAAGCAAAGTACAAACCCTGAGGCTTATTTTTAACCAACATGTCACATCCCCCATTCCGCACTCAATCTTCTCAAGACCGACGCCTGCATCTCACCGCGTCCGCCGGGAGCGGCCGCGTCAACACTGACTGACAGTGCCATGAGGTGGCACGACTGCCCAAGGACGACGTGATGTATCCACTCGAAGGAGCAGCTCCCTCATTTTGCCCCAAAGATGAGTACTAGGGTTCTACACTGAAACCTCACAGGGCGAGGTCGCTAATTTGAATTTCAGAAGTCCTCAATGACAGGTTTCGGCGGGGGGACTACAAGCGCAAAGCCCAGAACACGGGCCTCTTCCCACGGCACCCTCGACAGTGACATATCAAATGTAAAAGTGTCGGGGTCTGGAAGCTTGCCAGGTTTGTCATGCATATTTTGGAAGACTCGCGATGTCTGTGATGCATGCTCTAGCACGACAGATTTTTAGAGGCCTACGCGATGCCTCTACCGCATGAGAAATGCCCTCTCCGGGTAGCACAAACTGGAGTTCTGTTGCCGGTCATGCAATTCAATTTTTTTTAGAATCCAGAGACAGCATCACAAGTTTAGAATCTTCCAGACCCAGACATTTTTGCATTTGATATGACACGAACTTTTTCGATGTTTCCAGCGTGTCTGAGGGGGAGCAGGAGGTTAATAATCCAGCACAAAATCTGGGAAATGAACAGCCCCCCACCAGCAGCAGCAGCAGCACGAAAAAGCCGCGCCGGCGCTCCGGCTCAGCAAATAACACGACATGGCGCGGCAAATTTGCATCCCGAAAGAGCAGCATTGTCAATGGCGCGAAAAGGAAAATGCGTGCATCAACATCCTCCTCTTCCACACTAGTACAAGCTGTACCTCGTCCGAGTGAGCGGGATTTGGTGATTGCAATCGATGAAATTTTGGAACACGAGATTCTTCAGGCCGAACAAGGTGACGACGGCGCTGACGTGGTTAGAGTTACCGCGTTTGCTACACGTAGTACACCCCCGTCGAAAATATTAAATCCGAATGCCTTCATTCGTGCGGATGGCGAGGGGGAGACCTCCGCAGGAATTCTGCCTGAAGAACTTGTTCTCATGGGTGGCGATGATGATGAGAACGAGGCTTCTGATGTGGTCAATAACATTGCCCGACAAGAACCGATGAAAATGATGTTACACCGCGACGATGACGAACATAACGTCAACACCACGTCTAGTACCGATGCGATGCCTGTCCCTCACCACAACTCTACTGTCCACACCAGCCATAACGTGAAGGCCCTCGACGACCTTCTTTCACTACTCAGCACTGGTGTGAAAAGAGCGGGAAGGAGAGATGACAAGCAGCTGGTATCTACTTCTGCTGGTCGAGGAGGTCCCACGAACAGCAACGGGAAGCGCAGTCACCATTACGCTACCCCGATTCAGCGGAAAAGTTCATCCAGGTTGGTCATTCATCACTCCCCAGGCGGAGTTCGTGGGCGTGGTCGCACAACTACTACCTCTAGTACCGCCTTGTCTTCGTCAACGTCTTTCGGAGCAGGGGACTACAATAGCTCGAAGATGAAGGACAAATTTCGAAAAGTGCTGCCACCACGACCACCCAGTCGTGGTGCCGGTGATGACATTACAACTGCGATGACGAGCAACATGTCCTCTCCTGTCCCACATCACAGCCGTTCGGCGGCCGCAACAGCCTGGATGTTGAATGCTAAACAAGATCGAAAAACTAGGCGGCTTAGCAAGGGGCTACAGCCACCAACTACTTCTGAAGAAGTAGAAGATGATCCTGAAAATACCAAGCAGATGAAAGCAGAACCCCAGGTCGTCGTCGATCCGGATCGCGACTACCTCGCCATCTGCAACTGCAAGCGCGAAGGCCTGCGGCTGCACAACTGGCGGGAAGGAGTGATTCACGTGGTGAGGAAGGAAATGGAAAATTTTTTGCCAAACCTCCCAGGCGAAGAACAAAATGAACAACGAGAAGGTGGACCGTTACTCACCTCCTCCGCGAGTGGCATCAATGCAGAAGCAGTCGAAAATGGTGCGAAACAAGACGCGCAGTGGCGAGCTACTAGCACACCCGTATTAGAAGTAGAGCAGCACCTGACTCCCGCACGACAGGTGCATCCCGCCCCAGCAACTACGTCCCCTGAGTCAACATCTGTCGTGGCAAAACAAGTACCTCAGCGAGGAAGTACAGCGGCAAGGTTCTCGGACGTCTGGGAGCCCGTGAAGGTCCGCCTATTGCTCCGGGATCTTCTGATGCGGAAAAGGATGGAGAGGATAAACGAAAGAGAACGGAGTCTAGAAAAAGAACAAAAGCAACTACTTCTTCTCGCGGAACACGAAAAGGAACAGCTTTCCCTCCACGAGCTTGGGACGCCAAGAACCGCTGGTGAACACGATGGGCACGACGCTCTCGTCACACCATCGCAGCTGTTCTGCAGAAGGGAGAGCAGGTTTGACAAGTTGAGCAAGAGACATGTGCCAACTACGCCGAATGTGGTGCAACAGACTACTAGTGCTGTTGATCCATCATTTTCGATTTCGCACCCGTCGGTGCAGCACATCAAGCGCAACGCCAGTAAGAAGCCGGCTAAAAATACAGCCATTGCGACTTCTTCTACTGCGCCAGGAGGCCGCTCATCTTCGACTCATGCGGCCACGAAAAAAATGAACCTGAAAACTTTGCCGCTCGACAATGGGAGAAGGAACAAGCCGCAACTGCCAATCAACAATGCGAAAAATCCCCCGTCGACAGTCAACATTCCGGAACGATACAAAACAAACGTGGTCTCCGCAGCTTCACTTTTGAAAAGCTTGAAAACGACTACAACTCATCACGATGCTTCCGCGACGGTGGCAACTTCTGCCGCCAAACCATCAAAAGTGGCAAGTACTTCTAAGGTGGCCGGCCACAAGCCCCCGCGGGCAGCACATAATTCACCGGCGAATAAAGTCAAAGCGGTAGAACTTCTACAACCAGAGGTGGACCCTGGTTCTGATCCTGATTTCTATCACCAAGGATCTTCCTCGAGTAACAACTACCCAACAGGTCCTTCAAAAGCAGCTTCACCAGGGTGGCCCGAAAGCGAGGAACGCGAGGAGCACGCACTTGGAAATAGTACTACGAGTAGCGCGGCGAAAATAAAATCGGGGGAACTACAAAAACAGCCACAGCAGCAGGTGCGCGAGATCATTATCGCGCACAAGCAATTTATGGAAAGCATGATGAAGAGCCTACCAGATGCGCAGATGAAAGTAGAGCACAGTGGAATGAAGAACAACAACAATAACGACCAACAGCTGTTGCTGCGCCACTCGTCCACCCCCAGCGTTGATTTGTCGATTCGCGACCAACTGAACGACCTGAGATCTTTACTGGACAAATGCGCCGCGTTGGTGGAGCGAGAGTTTCCGCATTTTTTGCTGGATGGTGAAGAGGTGGATGGTGCTAACATGTTTGTCAGCGGCGCGAGGGCTCCCGGTAGTCGCTCAGTTGTAGTTCCGGACTATATGGACCTCCACCAGTCCCACCTGCTGCACGAGTTGGATTTTTATCAACTGGAAATTTCGACGATTTCCCGTGCAGACGGACGAGGGCATGTTCTACTGCATGACAAAACTTCCTTACCTGCGATTTTACCGGTCAGCATGACAAGCGTGGTTCTTACACTCTAACAAGTTGGCGGAATTTGTGATGCATTTCGTACAGTGTCAGTGTCTGTGCGGGAACAAAATGAATTTGTCTTGCATAGCTTTCTTTTCCACCCCGTCGAGGACTATTTGTACAGTGGAAGAATTATCCACCCAGTTTCTGATGCGGACCTCGCTATGGGAAGTACTAGAACTTCATCTATGACAAGCCCGTATACTACAGAACACGCCAACTCCACAGCAACCGCTCTCCTTCCCTTCAAGTACCGACTGAAGAAACAAATGCTGCTTCCGTTGCTGCGACTGGAGGAAAAAATCCGGCACAGTCCGAGCTACATGCTGGAATGCGAACTCGGGCGGGCAAAAAATTCTTACGACGAAGAGGACCACGACCCGGCAGCAGATCTCCAACGGTTGATCACCTTTGAATTTCTGAAACGGCTGAAAATCTACAATGTTCCCTTCCACCAGGTGATCAACAGCTTGCGGCAGGCTGTGTTGCTATTCCCCTGCGACAGTGAGATTTTCAACGCGTGTTTGTATAATGTCCGGGTGAACGAAGCGTGGCGGGGAAGGTTGTTAGCCGGCATGGATTTGCGGGAGGAAGTGGAGAGGTATTTTCAGAACGAAGTAGTACCAATGAACCCCCGAAGAACATCGCGAGAGAATCTGAGTCATGTTGCACAACAACAAGAACTCAGTGGAGGTTCAGTGGTGATGGACCTGGAGCTGGACCAAGATGAAGAAAATATTACCGCCAAGAACGATATTCTGCTGGAGAAGGTTGTCTTTCATCCGTCGTCTTCGACTGTGGTATCTTACGAGCCGAATGTGCACCTGTTGCGCGACGTGTTACGTGTTGTGCCAGGGGCGACGACTACGACTGGTATAACAACTTCTACTGGGTCCTCAATAAAGACGAAGACGGCCGACTTAGTAGACGATACAACCCCCATCGTCCCAGGGTCGGGTCTGAAGAGAGGGCACCAGAACAAAAACGCCGCGCAGATGAACCACCGAGGATCTTCGCCGGGTTTTAAGCTGGACTTCTCAAAACTCGTGCCATCCTCGTCTTCGCAAGTTGTGATGCAGGAGAGCAGTGGGGCTCTACTTGAAGAGGCCGCACAGACGCCGACACAGGGAGCTGGTGGACGAGCCACTTCTACTACCAGCAAAAACGAAGCGAAGCCCGGCGTGAGTGCGCACCTCCTGGCGAAGTATCCACTGAAAAAAACAACCGCGAGCATCGGTGTCAAGAACAAACAAGCCGATACAAGAACGGCGGGCAAAACTGGCACAGGCCAGGCGCTTGATCGGATGAGAAGTAGAGGTAATATTAAAACCCCCGCCGGCGGGGGTAGTCAGCATCGACGCGGCGCTCCTGGACCGGCAGGTGTTGGAGCTTCTCCTGAGAATAAACGGCAGAATGTTACTGGTCCACCGCATTACCATCTCCATCCGCACAAGCGACAGCAGCAGCATCATCAACATCAACCGCCGGGTGTAGGGTTTGACAACATCCTCCCGCATCATGCAACTACCGGTGCAAATGCAGCACCTGGAACAATCGTCAGCGAGACGATAAACCTACCTACTTCATCATCACAGCAAGATACTTCATCATCATCATCATCATCATCACCCTACAAGCCGGAGCTCACCATTCTAGTCGGTGGCTCGGCTAGTTGTCCCTCGGTGAGAGCATTGCTCCCGGATTTCCTTGCCAATTTGCTCCCACGAGCAAATGGTGCTGATTTTCACAACGGCGATCATTTCCACCGTAATGGAGATGCGTCGAAGACGAACTTTGATCTTTTGAACCCCCGAGTTTCCCTACAGTTTGTCTACATCGACGAAGCGCACGCAGCGGACACGTTGGCCTCCAACATTGGAGGTTATGCGAGGGAAACAAGATCTTCAGTTCCAAGACGACAGTCTAGTACTTCCCAGTGATAAAAATTCAAGTCTGTGGTCATCATGTTGCAGCAGTGTTTGATTCATCAACTTGTGTCGCTATCCGGTAGAGGATTTCTGCCGACTCAGACCTACTGCAGAGCTGGTTTCTTTGCCGCGGCCCATGTCCATCACCTCTACAGGTGGAACAACTCCGTTTATTGCATATAGTCGCAGTTGTACTAGTATCGATGAGCTGCATGCAGTTCGTTGTGGTCTACTTACTACTAGCAGACAATGACAAAGACTGTGTCTGTGGCAGAAGTACTGAGATTGCATGTAGTCGTCCAAGAACTTTTTTCCCCTCCATACCATTTCAGCCGGCGTGGCCAACGCGAGCCACAAGTCCCAGGCGGACCGGAGAAAATATGGCGCTCTCGTCAACTGTTACATCCTCAACTGTTACATGGATTTGTGACGCAAGAACGGCAACAGTGAAAGAGGGGACCTTGCGCGTCTTGCATGACAGATTTGGCACAGATTATCAGCCTGCTGGGCTCTTCGAGTATTTGTAATGCGAAACAGCTTGATCGTGTCGATCCTGATTGCAACTCTGCGTGACAAATCACGTACTTAACAGCTGAAAATGTAACATTTGAGAACGCCATAGAAAGCGCGCTTTGGACTTTTGGAAAAAGGAAGTCTTGGCACACTTTGACAAGGAAGACAAAGATGAAAGAACAAGAAGCTGCGCCGATGGCACATCAACTATCAAGACGACCTCCGCCCATCTTCCAGCCTGGCTCGGCCCCCTGCTCATCGACCTCCACCCGGAGAACCAGTTCAAGGAATTCTTCGCCTGCTGGCCGACCCGGGTGCTTGTCGTGAACAATTACACGGGAAAATTGGAATTTGTTTCCTTCGGCAAGAAGAAAGACGGAGGGCGGCTGGATCTGGACGGGGTATATGATGTAGTGCTGAAGAGAGGTGAAGAGAAAACGAAAACGACCAGCGGGGGAAGATCATCATCATCTTCAAAACAAGGAAAACACGAACAACCGCGGAAGAAAACCAGATCTTCGCATCCACATGCTGATGATGTTGAAAGTCATCATTTTCCTCGTCACGACGACGACGCGAAGGAACATCATCAGAAGCTCAGTAGACGTAGCAAGACATGGTAATGGATTTAGATAAGTGACTGTGACTTCTATACAAGAGCCAGCTTTTGATGCCGGCCCGGGCTATAGAATAATGCTTTACAAAGTTGTTCCCTACTTATGTGATTACAAAAATGCAAAGACACAGCTTTTGTCTACATACGATTCTCAATAGCGACGTAAGTCAGTCAATTCAAACTATCACTAAGGTGTCGACGCCTTATGAATCAGAATCCTGCTGTACGTAAGTACTTTTCTTCATTCCGGTTCATCAGCAGATGAAAAGGTATCGTCAAGTATCAAGAAACCGGGATGACAGGTGGAGCCACCTCGACCACCAGCGCCAGCTTTTTATTCATTTTGGATAATGTCCGTCGTTCTATGTTGTTGTCTTCAGGAAGAGCTTCGCAGCTCTTTTCAGCATGATCGTCGCCTTTGGATCGGTTCTATGTAAACATGTGGTCATGTTGCTCTTCATCCAGCGACGAGTACGAATTGTAGATCTTAGCTTAGTCCTGTTCCTGTTGCAAGAGTTCTTGGACTACGGTAGTAGAATTGTGGTCACCAGTGGAATCGTGCTCGTCGATATGATGCTTAAACGTCCTCGTTGTCGTTTTGTTTCTTTGCTTTTGTTGAACCTCAAGGAGCGCAAAAGGTGTCAAGAGCGAGTGAGTCGCTAGCTGTACACGACGTCGCGTCGCATAATTCTCTTATCGCCACAACTTCGTAGCAGACCTTCGCTATTCGTATTCGCACTTCTGAATTTTCGTTTTCATCGCATAATCGTAATACTTGTGTCGCATCGCTTTCGCTCGGATTATATTTTCCCCTCTTTCGATTTCGAAGGGCTGTCTCATTGACGTGATTCGCTTCGTACCTGATTCGTTCGTGAAGAACAAGAACAGGTAGCTGCTGAAGATCATCATGTAGATCATGTGTATCTATCATTTTGAAGACGACAAAAGGGTGGAGTAGGAATTGCAATTCCAATTGTTATTGGAAGACGATGAGTACATCATTTTGATTTTCCCCATGATCTTCTGAGAAAATCGTGTACACCACCATGTCCGCCTCTACCCCAGGCGGTAAGGATTTCGTCCGCAGCTCTCAGGAATGGTGGGAGCAGCGGCAGAATCGCATGATCGAGCACGATATGGATTGCAAAAATGTCTGGGTCTGGAAAGTTGGAGCTTGTAATGCTAGTAGCTTTCCATTGCTAGGAAATCTGTATTGCATACACCAACAAAAGTCGCAGCCTCTTTTGTCATGCAAAAACGCAGCTTCTTATGCGCAGTTCCTATCAAAAAGTTGTCATGCTGGGCTGGTGCATTCGGAACTGTTTCCATCAGCCATATTTTCGCATCACAAGTTTCCAGACCCAGACATCATATTTCCATTTGATACACGAAAGGCAGCTGCAGCAAATTTCCTCCTCCCGAACGCCTTCGATGGGCACCACTGGCACGATGTTGAAAAGCGCTGCAATTTCGAAAGAACCAACGAGCATGATCGGCACCATTGGTAAAAACGACGCAACCATTACAACCACCGGTGAAGAAGATCAAGAACAAAAGCCACTGGACAGCGAAGGTCTGAAAGACGAGCAGAAAATCTACGAGCGGTTGGTAAAAAACCGCACAATGGTCAGCACGCGGAACCATCCTGGCGCCGTCGGGACTACCACTACAAATACAATTACATCTTCAAACAGAGACCAAAGAACTACTACGTCAGCAGCTCACGACAATACTTTCTCCCCTTCCTACCGGAACAACGTGTACGCGAAGGAGTGCAGCCCGCGAAGGAACCTGCTCCGGACCGCGGTCGTGCACAAGGAAGCGGCGAGGCAGATCTTGCAAAAGACGAAATTCATGACCAGTGAGGAGCGGAGAGAGGTCGCGGAAAAAATTTTCACGACTAGCACTAACAGGAACGATAGACCTCTGACAGGAGGATCTTCGCTGTTTGAAGAACATCATCAATCCGAGATGAATCCCGATCCGGGGCTGATGCAGCAGCTCATGGATGAGGTGTGGTCTTTGGAAGCGGCTTTGCGAACCTGCGAGCAACAAATCACGAACATGCTAGACAACGAGCCGATATCACAGGAAAAAGTGCTAACGTTAACGGTTTTCATAGATGGCAAAAATGCATGACAAATTTTGCCGAGCATGCATGCTATGCATGACAAATTTTGGCACGTTTTGTGATGCATTTCTGCATCACAAATTCCGTTAACGTTAACACTTTTTCCTGTGATAGCCGAAGCTCGCCTTTCTCGCGGAGATCGAGAGGGAAACGGTTGAGGCGCGGGAACTATGCCTTGCAAATCTATCGAATTCGTCGTAGTTGGAATCGCAGTGATGCATGACAGATCTATCTTTGTAGGAAAACCACCATTACAAATTTCACTTATCATGGCGACAAATCTTGTCATGCGATTTCGACTACTACGATAGTTTTGCAATGCATAGGGGCAATTCAAGCTGGTGAACGATCAGCTACACAAACTGGAAGAAGAAAACACGAAAGTGGTGGAGGATTTGAGAAAAGCCGAGGAAGCGGCGAAAGGGTATAAGAACCAGTAGTGGGAAGTGCAGGTGCAATCATACATGACAGATCCTCCTTCTCAGCTAAATCAGCATGACAAATTCCATTTTTCGAGCTGAAGTAATTTGTGATGCAGTTCCTACTAATAATCTAATGGTAATGCGTTACTTTTCTCGTATGCATGATACGGTATCATGCATACGAAAAAAGTAACGCATTACCACAGGTACATGAAGAAGCTGGAGGGGCAGGATGAGCAGAACGCCAAACTTGACGCAGATCTCCGCGACATGGTGCAGAAACTCACCCAGATCGACTCCGACCACATGCGAGAGCTGCAACAAGTGAGAAATGACCACCAGATTGCGATCATCGACCTGGACCAGCAACACGCCAAGGTGCACCGGGAACACGAACAGAAAGTTTTGGAGATGCACCGAGTCCTCGCGAAGGCGAACGGCGAGAACCAGCAGCTGATATCGCAAGAAAAAACTGTTTCACTGTTGTAAACTTGTGATGCATAGAACGGAGCGCAAATGTGTTTGTCTTGCTACAGATGCAAGACATTAGATTTTTAGCTGCGTTTTCCCTTCGGAAGCACGCATGTGAAGTTTTCTTTGTCATGTGTAGCGAACTTGTGATGCAGGATCTTGCAAAATCCTCACAGTGAGACAGTTTTTTCGTGGGATAAGTGATTACGAAGTTGCAATCCGAGCATCTGAACGAATTGGCGGAGCTGCGGAACCAATTTCAACAGGAAAGGATGGATTTGATCGAGTTTAACCGCGATTCGATGCAACAGATTGAGATGGGGAAGCACACTGCCATCTTGGAACTGGGAACGAAGCAGGAGAGGGAACGGACCAAGCAGGTAAATGACCTGGAAGAGAAACTGTTGAAACAGGAAAGCTATCCTGTGCAAAAGTATCGCACTCGTAGTCATTGCAATCATGCATTGCAAATTATTTTCTTAAACGTAAATCCGCATCACAAGTTCTATTTCTCATGCTGAGGAAACTTGTAATGCATTCATACGAGTGCCATGCTTGTTTTGCAATGCATAAAAGCCGGATCTTAGCGGATCAGGTCCGGGTCAAGGAGCTGGAACGCAAGTTGGCAGGTTATGAGGAAAGTGAAACTGCGGTAGGGGGAGCTGCTTCTGGGACGATAGGGCCGGAGAAGAAGAAGCTGTTGGATGCGCAAAAGGAAAAAATTGAAAAATTGGAGGAAGAGGTACTCGTACTACACAAATGCTTCTTATGTGTTTCTGAAGTGGGAAAGCACGACGTGACCGTGGTGCTCTTTGATGCAATACAGTGCGTGCTGCTAATAAACCCTAAGAACAAAGAAACGCGAACGCCGTTAGAAGTCTACTTCTCACACTCACATCGCAGATTACCCGCTTGCAGACCGCACTTTCCGAGTCCCAGAAGGCACTTGAGGACGAGAGGAAGGAACACAAGGAACACAAAAAAGACTCGGAGAAAAAACACTCGCACCACGGTGGGGAAATGGCAGAGCTGAAAGAAAAGATCAAGGAGTTAGAGGCCAGGCTATTACAATGAAAAATGCCCCCACTCCCAAAGTTGCAAAAATTTGTGATGCGAAGTTTCCAAATGAAAACTTTCTGTCATGCATGAAAGGAGTATGAATCTTTCTGATGCAGGGTCTAGGCGTGTATCGCATCGCTTGCATGACAAGCACTGCTCTTGATGGGGTCTTTTGCAATACAAATCTTTGCTATTCGCGATTGGAAATCTGTGATGCTGATAGATGCAAAAGGGTGAGTGTTTCACTTGGAAAGGTTTGCAATACAAATGCTCCCAAGTTCGGGGGTGGGGGCATTTTTCATTGTAATACAAGCTTGCAAAACAAGAAGAGGATCTGAGGAAAGAATTAGCCGTGGAGCTGGAGGAACAGGAGAGAGAGTATAAGAAAATGTTTTTTTCGTCAAGAGATGAAATTTGTCATGCGAAATACCGAATGTATGAACATGAACCGCATGACCGTCACCGTCCATGTTATCCGTGCATGACAAACCCAAACTCTACCAAAATAAAGGTTCGAAGCCCACGTGACCGAGTTCCAGGCAGAGCGCGAGGCGTATGAGAAGCGGCACGAAAAAATTTTGAAGCACCAGGCGAACAAAAACTGGAAAGCCTTTACTATCTTCTGTAAACGCATCGCACTCATACAAAAGATGCCAGACAGGCATGGCAGATCTGCGTTTTTACTTGCATCTGCATGACAAATTCCACGCCTCTTCTCGAAAAGTAGTAGATTTGTGATGCAATAATCCCTAACTATGAGTGCGAAGATACTTGTGCAATGCATATCTACCTACGCGCTGCGATTCGAGAAGCTGGCGTTTCTCGCGCAGGAGGACATGCATATGACAGTGCACATCTCCCCCTCCCCCTCATTTGTATAGCATGAACGTCGGCAATACAAACATCAGCAAGAGTGCCGGTTTTGCATGTCAAATTTGAATTTCCACTGGATTGCAGTGCTGTTTGGGCCGCTACCAGAACTTGTCATGCAAACAGTGCCAAGAGACAAAGGGTTGACTGGGTATTTTGCATGACAAATGAGCAGGGGGAGGGGGAGTCGTGCACTGTCATAATGCAGAACATGATCGGAATCATCAAACGGTACAAACGGAGAAATCGGCGGCAGTACCCTTTGCAAAAGTATCGTACTCGTACTAATTGCGTTTATGCGTTACAAATCTCTTTACTAAGGCAAATCCGCATTGCAAGTTTGATTTGTAATGCTAAGTGAATTTGTAATGCAATTTTATAGATGCTAGTACGATAATTTTGCAGTTCATAGGCAGTCGCAGGCGTTGATTACCGCCGGCACCATTGCGCGGAATTCTGCGGGGCAGAAAAACCGGACCTCGCAGATAAAGAACTACTCGACGACGTCAGGACCAGGAGGTGGTGGTGAACAAATACAGGAACAACAACTCTCCCAGTCGGCTACAGAAGTCAAAAACCAAATTTTGACTGCCGGCCAACACAACCGACAACTGGCAATGGACACGGAAAGCGTAAACGACATGGAAAATCATAGTACCGAGGAAAGAACACCCCGGCTCGGGCGGAAATCGTACGGGAGCGTGGATGTGGCTGCAGTCAGTGGGAAAACATCATCTTCGAATAAAATGTTGAAGCCTGCTGACAAGGACCCCAACTCGTCACCTGCGAAGGTCGTGCATGATCAACACTTCTCAGTGCTTCCTCGAACAAAATCCTCCTCCTCTTCCTCTTCCTCGACTAAAATCTTGCACAGCGGGACACGTCGCAGCTACGTAGACCGGCGAGAATCTTCGTCAGCGATTTTGCAGCAGCAGCAGAAGTATGCATTGCAAAAGTATCGTACTAGTAGACATTGCATTACAAACAGTCTCAGCATGATTACAAATAAAATTTGTAATGCGGATTTACCTTGATAGCTAGGTTTGTAATGCATGACTGCGATTACTACGAAACGAGTACGATATACTTTTGCACTGGATAAGGAGGCGGGAGGTGGTCCCCTTCGGGAGAAGTTGGACGATTTTGATGTGGATGATGAAAACGAAGAAGCAGTTGAAGATGATGGACTAAGGGAGAATGTTGATACCACCAACGCCGATATGAACCAGAGCGAAGGTCTGCTAATCGACAGTGTTCTGCAGGAAAACGCAGCTCTCAGTAGAGATCGCGACGACGCTATCCTGTGCAAAAGTATCGCACTCGTATTGCAATCATGCATTACAAATTTTTTTCTCAAGGTAAATTCGCATTTACAAATTTTATTTCTCATGTTGAGGGAACAATTTGTCATGCATTTATACGAGTGCGATACAACTTTTGCAGTTCATAGACGCCCGGAAGTCCGTGAAATCACTAGAAGAGAAACTACGGGTATTGGAAAACGCCCAGCGGAAAGACGAGAGAACAGCAGTAGAAGTTTATTCTGGCGCAACAAGAGCCACCTCCTCTTCTAGCAAGCAAAAAAAACCTGTCGCGGAGAAAAAGCTAGTTCTGGCCCGGGGCGAGATTCCAACCCCGACGGAAAGTGAGACGCACTCGGTGATGTCGGAGATCAATAATTTGGAGGTTGTTCACGATAGTACCGACTATCAACAGAACAAGCAGCAACTGGTGTCCTCAAGAGGGGCGCTTAGGGAAGGGGCGCACCGGTTCGCGAGGAGGAATAGCGCTACTTCCTATGGCCTCCTCAAGCGTTACAATCTCAAACGTTGCAATAGAATCGGAATATGTGTTGCATGATGAGCATGACAGATTCGCACAGCGTTCCACCTTTTGCAATACGAACTCCGCCAGATTCTAGTGCGGGTTGGAGCTGCAGAACTTGTCATGCGCAATCCTGTGCTGGGAGTAGGGTAGATCGTGCACTTTTTGCATGACAGATTTCCACAGTTCTATTGTAACGTTTGAGATTGTAACAGCTGAGCAGGTTATACTTCCTCCGGCGCATCTTCCTCGTCTTCAAAAGATTTTCCCGGCGGAGGTCGGTTGAAAAGCATATCGTCAGGAAGCAGGACGAAAACCACTCCCGATGCGAACAACCAGAGCTTTCTTTTCTACAATGATGCCGTCGCCGCGGAAAGTAGTCTAGGACTTAGAACAGCTCTGCATGATACTAGTACCGGCACGTCGACAGAGCGGACCGCCTTCTTCAAAAAAGATACTGCTGCTGCACCAGAGGTAGAAGCTCTAGCGGGTTCTGGTGTATTAGCCAGCATGACAGAAGTTCCAGAATACCGGGAAATCGCTTTTCCGGACACGCTGCGAAAAGGAACCACGGCAGCGACAAGAGACAGGAGTAGGTCCAGCAAGATGAGACAACCAAAAACAAAAGTTGCGAAGAACTCCGGAGCAGGAGGTGGAGCTTCTGCTGCTACAACTTCCTCCTCCTCCTCCTCCTCCTCGTCAGCAAGCAGGTCAAACAAGAAAGCACAAAAAAGTCCCGTCGATTTGGTTTTGGGAAAGAACGGTAACTACCAGGATGAAAAAGTAGAACAAGAAACACCAACAAGTAGGATAAAAATTCATTCCCATCCTCCCCGCCCACCATCCGTGTTGCAAAAAATCTGGCGGTCCTTCCTTCAGTGGAAAAACGAGATGGCGCAGCCTTTGGAAGACGAATTTTTCGCCCTGTCCGCGCAAGACTGGCGTAACAGCGCCAACCGACAGCTGATCCAGGACCTCTGGAACCACGCAGAAGAGGCCCTGATCGCTTTGCAGGGGCAGTGGGCAAAGGAGCTGCTGACCCTGGATTCCCAGGAGAGCGACGCATTGCACGATTGGCGCGAAGCGAAGCTGGCGAAGATAAAAACAAGCTACGAAAGCGCCTGGAAAAAGTGCTTTCTTTCGACAGCAGCTGACGGCGCAGCGATCGCCGTATCATCTCCATGTTCGGGAATAGTATTAAACACTTCCATGATTTCAACACCCCACGAACAGGTGAAAGCAAGGGTTTGCGGCAGGATAGCTGAGTTTAAACAGCGGATGGGCGAGTTGTCATCTTCGTCTAGTAGCTCCGGAGCATCTTCTATCGTGAGAAAAAAGTGTTACAGTTACACACTCTGATGGGAGACAAGCAAGACAGACAACCTCTGTCATGCAGGAAATGCTCTCCAGCCTCATTTCATCGGTGTTTTCCCTTATAGTCTACGCATCACAGGTTTTCTTAGCCATGTCGAGCAACTTTGTGATGCAGGAACTCCACCAAATGTGTAACTGTAACACTTTTTTCCTGTGACATCTTCACTGAAGCGCCTCGACGCTGCTGCGGTAACAACAGCCGCTGCACGAACTAGATCCGACCCCGACCTCCCAGATCCCCGGCGCCTCCTCGCGTTGAACCGGCTGGCGTGGAAAAAAATCGCGAAGCGGAAGCCGATTGAACTGTGGCGGGACAGTGTGCTGCTGCAGCCCGCGGTGGATGATTTTGCACGGGAATTGAAGGAGTTTCTGGATGAGAACATCAGCTGTCACACAGAACAAAATAGCACAAGACCGGGATCAGCAGCAGCAACCGCGAGTAGATACAACCAGCACAAGAGACTGCGCCGAGTGCTGTCCTTGTCGAAATCGATGGCGCGGGGCGTGGAGAAGCAGATCCTCGCTAGTGATTTGCCAGCAAGCGGCGCAGCTTCTGCGTCGAAGTCGAAGAAGAGAAAGGGTTGTAATACAAGCGGCAGGACAATAGCAACATCTTCAACTCGTGACGATACTGCTCTCTCTGCCGTGAAACTGAAGGACATTGCGAGGTGTTGTCTGGTGGTGGCAACGTTTGAGGATGTTGCTGCGGTTTTGGACCATTTGGAGGGGGAGGTATAATTACTTGACTATATCAAGCTGTACGTGTACTTTTTTTTTAGCTGATTTTTGATTCGCGTTTTTGATTTGGTTTTCATGCTGTTGCTGACCGTGGTAGTGCCTTGAGAAATTCTTACTTCAAATGCAGTTTCTAAATGCTGCATGAAATAAAGACGAATACCAGATCAAATAATCTCGAATGTGATCGAATATGACAATTTCCATCTCGCCCCAGCTCTCCCGAACTATCGGCGTGTTCTTCGTCAAGGACCGGATGTTCGAGCTTCATTATGAAAGTGCACAGCTCCCCCTCCTCATTTGTCATGTAGAAACCCGAATCCAGTTGCGTCCTTGTGGCATCGTGTGCATGACAAATTTCGGTGGAAATCCGAACAGAACTACGCTCGGCGCATAATCTTGTCATGCACAGGGTCCATCTGTGTTGGTGTTTCTGTTTGTAATTACACAAAATAGAACGCACTTCAATCCCAAAATAAATCTCCTTTCTTTCTTTTTTCCTTGTTTCCTTTTTTCCTTCCAATTCGCACGCAATAATTATCGCTACGGGCCTTGAGCGCTAGCCTAAACCGGATTTGTAATGCTATTCATGTCATACAAATGAGGGGGAGGGGGAGTTGTGCATTTGCATACTCATCCCGAAGATGACACGAAGATGCAACGACCTTCGTCCCATTGGCGCGACCTGCTCTTTTACCTCTGCTTTCGCGCCAAGCCAGACGTCGTGTTTGAGCTGCAACTCGTGCATTACGGGATGAAAAGTGCGGACTTGAGGAGTGGTTGTCATGCGAATGGGGGAGCACAGAAAGAGGAAACGGTTTGGGAGCAGCTCCGGTTGTTGCACGAAATTTCCTGTGCTGGTCGCGGGTAAGTAGTAGATCCAGAAGGCAGCTATAGCGCCTCGATCAAAGCGTGCAGTGAAAGCGTTAGAACGAAACTGAAAGCTGCCGGAGTCGTGTGGCTCCAAGAAAAAAAAAGAAAAACAAAAGTTTTGCACGACGAAGGACTGCCTTGCTACTAGGAGTGCGCAGGCGATGAAAGTAGATGATATCAAGTTCAGATTGTGATTAAACCAAACAGAAGGAGCAAAAAAATTGTACAATGATAGAAGTATCCTATGACTCATCAGGAGCATCGTTTTCAAAATTAAAACACGGATTGAAAGAAAGATAGACCTAAATAGAAAGTGAATGAATAGGAGCGAAGCTGCGTAGCAATGGCCAAGGCGAGCAAGCCCTCAGGACTTTGTAGACGAGGCAATGCAATAGCCGCCAACTTTGCATTTGCAAGCTTGTCGGGTACCAGCTTGGCGGCGTATATATAATTCTCTAGTCTTGCGGCCGGAACCGGAAGTAAAGAAGAACTTGAGCTGTTGTACCAAATGTAAAGATATGACCTAGTTTATTCGTAGTTTCATATCCTTTCCCAGAAACCATCGAGGTAGAAGACCACGACGAGAGGCTTGTATTTACAACGACGAGTTGCATCGTAGTAGGGCTTCCTATAATTGAAAAGTTGTAGCTCTCCTGATTCTAATCATCATGTCTTAGTCTTGCCAGAAACTGAACTGGAGAAAAATCGACCAATGAATAATTGTACACTCTACTGTTCCACCTCCAAGTAAATGTTTGGAGAATAGTTTTGCGAAGTGGCAGAAATTACTCCTTTTAAGGAGTCGCCGCTTGTTCATCTTGTGCGACGAGGGCGGGTGTTTTCTCTAGAATTCCCTTGGCGTTCCGCTCACGCTACGCAGCTTGATACGCATCATCTGTCTGAAAGTTTGCATATCATGTAAAACCAAAGTCGGTAAATCTCCGTGAGAATTTGAATTGTTTGTGGCTTTAGCTCAAGGTCAAGCTCTTTTCTCTAGAACTTTCGCTCGGTTGTACTACACGAGCGTCGCCTTCGTTCTCTTTGAGCTTGGTCATTTTTCGGTAGACAGCATTTTCTCTTCGTCTTCGGTAGATTTCTTCATTCGTACACAGCTCTCTGAGCAGATGACTTCGGTTGTACCCAGGACCTTCCCTCGTCGATTTGGCTCGTCGGTATCGTACTCAGGTACGCTGTTTAAAAGACAGGATTACAACTTCCTTTTCGGTGCGTCACAGAAGTAGTACGTACATTTTAGTCGTTGTTGTCATCATCATTTTGTACTACGTCCGCGGCAAAAAAACTTTCGCACGAAGATGAACTCCTCGTGCAACGAAAAACGTTCGCGACATGATCATGCGTCGCACTTCTAAAAAACCATTCTCGTCATGCAAGAACGTCGTGCAAGCCTGTCGTGCTCTACATCTACTCTCTTGCGCTTAGGACGTCGGTTTCGAGAAAGCAAAACTATCTGTTCGACGTCTTCATGGAAACAGGAAAAAACTCGTCGTGAAGGTGATAGTAACCCTACTGTCTCGTCACACCCCTGAGAAATTTTGTTTTGCGAAAGTAAAAACTTCTTGACAGTCAGCTTACGACTCTCCATCTTTTTTCGACCCTGAACTTTTTTGATCAGTTGCGTCGTCGACTGACAACACAAAACCGACCTCCCCTGGTGGTTTTTCTTACTCGCGTTCCAACTACGTACATTTTTCATCAACGTGCGAGAAGCAAAAATTCCAATACCACAAGACTCGTCCACGACCTCCGGGCAAGCAGGAAGACGGAGCTGACGCCAGCACTGCGAACGCACCAATTGCGCAGAGATCAAAGACGCAACCAGGTACTATGTGCTGCTTTATTTGATAGATATTGATGAAGTTGTTGAAACTCTTCAAACAGCCCCGCTTTCTCATTCGCACCGAATCACTACAAGAAGTTGTTTCTGTTGTAGTTATGCCAGAGAAGAGCTTGTAAGAAGTACTTAGCTCTGCCTACTTCTTACACGGGCACTCGCACTGTGACTACACCGGAGCAGAGCGTACAACCCACTTCTACAGCGGGATGATTAAAACGTTTTCCAATCCTCACACTGGAACACCGCACAGGACCACGAGAAGATGAAGCAGCTCTTGTCCCACTGGAGCTACTCCACACGGATGAGCAAGAAGAACAAGCTGCACAGCATGATTCTCGGCCCGCTCCTCGGCCTGTTTCATCTCCAGAGCGGGCTACTGGGGCACAAAAATTTGATGGTAGTTGTTTCCGCCTCCGCGGCCGACCTGGTGTCAGGAGGACATCATGACGAGCAACTGCACGACAAGAACGAAGACCTACTTGTTCCTACGACCACTGTATCAAATGTAAAAATGTCTGGGTCTGGAAGAGTGGAACTTGTAATGCGTATTTCAGAACACAGAAAAGTCTCTCATGCATACGTAGCAAAAGCTCCCACTTTTTGTCAGAAAAATAGGGGACTTGTCATGCGGATTCGGCATTGCGGAAGGTTCTCGAAACCTGTGATGCTAGAGCTTCCATGCCAGACCTTCTGTGTCATGCAAAAACAGCATGACTCTTCCAGACCCAGACATTTTTGCATTTGATACACTGCCACTGCTACCTCCATGCTTCCGACGCCGGTTGACGACGACGACGATTTCGTGAATGCCGAGGACGTATGAATTGCAAAAGACTCGTACTCGTGTAAATGCATTACAAATACAAACTTCCTCAGCTGCATGGGAAATAAAATCTGTATCTGTAATGCGGATCTACCCTAAGAAACAGATTTGTAAATGCATGACTGCAATGATCACTACGAGTGCGACACTTTTGCACAGCATAGGACGATGACGAGAGCGACTGGGACTTTGAGAGCTGCATGGAAAATGAACGTCTGACATATCGCAAGAAAAAACTGTTTCAGTGTAAACTTGTAATGCAGAAAATGTATGTGAGAAGTGTTTGTCTTGCTACACATGCAAGACAATGGATTTTTAGCTGTGTTTTCCCTTTGGAATCTCGCATGGCAAATTTTCTTTATGATGTAGAGCAAACTTGTGATGCAAAACTTGCAAAATCCTTACAGTGAAGCACTTTTTTCGTACGATATGACACGAGCAAAGTTTGATGCCGACAGGCGGCTGCCGGGCACGGAGAAAGATGTTGTGCCCTCCGCCATGCTATCAACTGCAAATATGGCTGGTTCTGGAAAAGTGCACGGTTTGTCATGCTAGGCTAGCAAGATTTTTAAGTCTGTCATGTACGTTACCCAAAAGCGCTATTTTTCTGTGATGCAGAACGCAGTTTGTCATGCAGAATAGGCAACACTTGGAAGCTCAGAAACTTGTCATGCTGAGCCATCAACATTTGTGGCCTCCACATGCTAAGTCACTCAGCATTACAATTTTCCAGACCCAGACATATTTCCAGTTGATACATGCTGCAGCGGAAGCTCTTGCCCGAGGACACTAGCACAGCAGGAGTTCTTGCAGGAGCCGCGTGGAACAACACTTCCGCTTCAGACGAAGATCCTTCCGCTTTGCTGCAACTGACAGAGCGCGAGCGGAATGAGATTGAGAACAAGAAGAAGAAGAAGGATTGTTGCGGACCAGACGAAAAGGACTACAGCGAGTCTGTCGAGGCGGGAAAAGGAAATGCTTGCGGGAAATGCTGCGGAAAGGCGAACGGCAAAAACTGGGCGAAAACCATGTTCGCGAAAAACATGAGGGTGAAGGTGAAAGATTCCTGGTTCAAAGTGGTGGAGAACGGCGTTTACAAGGGGAGATCCCGGTATGGGAGTGTCAGGATCGAAATCGTCCAAGTTGAAACGGTTGAAGTTGAAATAGTTTGTCATGCATAAAATGCAACGCAAAAATTGCCTCTCATGCAGAGGACGCAAGAGAGGCAGACTGTAGTACTGGCAAGGGTCGAGAATTGGGCTGCTGATTAGCATCACAGAGGAGAGCCCTTTTGCCCTAAACAGCATGACAAACTGGCTTCCTGCACGGACAAAAATTGTCATGCGCCGACTAGAAACTGTGGGTCCAATTGGTATCGATTTTATGCATTACAAGTAATTCCAACTTTGTCGATTTCGATCCTGACAGTTCCATACCCGGGGCGCTGGCTACACGCTTGCCGTGGTGAAAATGGTGCGGAAGAGCGACAAACAGCCATACATAATGAAGGTTTACCGCGCTATCGAGGGCCCGACCGACACACTGCGCAAAAAGGGCGACCGACACAAAATGAAGCACCGGTTCAATTACTACAGAAATTTGCGTTGGGTCACCAGGTCGGTCAACAAGTACTACGAGGACCACTACCGCGGTGCGGAGCCGGATGGCGACCCAGCGTATCTGCATTTCGAAACGCTGGCGGACGAGGCGGTCAAAATGGAAGCCCCTCTGTACTTTGAAGATCTGACCAAGAAAAAGCGGGCGCGGCGCGCGGACGAGCGCGATGTCATTCCCCTCAGCGATGACAAAGACGGCGCGGAGATGATGGTATCGTAAGGGAAAATCCCCCCCTCCTCCCCATAGCGAAACACGACACGACCAAAGAACCTTTTCAATCCTGATTTGTGAGGACCACGACACATCGTCGTCCCTGTCTACTTGCAGTGAGGCAACTTCTACCCCAGTGCAGGCTTCGCCGCATTAGGGAGGCAGAAGTCGGTTGTAACGCTGTTGAGCACAGCACTACAGCGCAGACGCCCTTGCCGTGCTAGGCGCCTACGTCAAAACCTCTCTGCAGCTCAGGCTTGGGGTTACTTATATGCCCAGTATACTAGTAGTAGGAGGCGGATCTTCTGTGGTCTTGCAGTGTGTAGTGGCTACTGCATGACATCAAATCGAATTTTTGTACCCGCACCCGCAAATCCAAATCCGGCATAAGGAAGGAAACGTCGTTTTGAACTGGGGACGAGGGGGGATTTTTCATTTTGATAGATGGGCCTTTTGGTCCGGTCCTCCTGCCTATGCATTGCAAAAGTATCGTACTAGTATAAACCAGCCATGCTCCGGCTGCCGCCGGAGCGCAAGGCTGTGGGGCCGAGGCAAGAATGTTTGCCGATCGGACCACAACGCTACGGGCCTTTGCACAACGAAACATACTGGATTCCAGCCGCCCGTTTGCGCCGCGCCAAATCGCAGGACCACTTGCGCGCTTCCCGCGCCTGGGGGCGCTCTGCGCAGGGAGCAGCTGCAAAGAACACCGGGGGCGAACAGAAGCCGCCCGGCGGGAGAGGGTAGCGCGAGAGGGTGGCGCGAGAGGGTTGCGCGAGAGGGTTGCGCGAGAGGGTGCGCGAGAGGGTGGCGCGAGAGGGTGGCGCGAGAGGGTACGCGAGAGGATGGCGCGGAAAGGCGCCGAAGAAAACAAGTCCGCGAATGGCCTGCAATGGCAAACATTGGCAGACCCTCTTTTTGACCTCTTTTAAGGGTCCCCGCTAATAATCCGGCTATACTCGCGGGTAGAGGTCGACAGAGGTGGCCGAGAGGTGGCCAAGAGGGTCCGCGAGAGGTCGCCCCTTATTCGCGCCACCTCCCTCCACCTCTGTCGACCTCTCGCGCCCCCTCTTTTTGACCTCTCTGCGCCCTCTGTGCCACTTAGGCGGCGCCTAAGGGTGGGCGCTTACTGGGGGCCTTATTCGCGCACCCTCTCGCGGACCCTCTCGAACGGGGTCCCGCGCCACCTCTCCACCTCTGTCGACCTCTTTTCTACCTCTGTCGACCTCTTTTTGACCTCTCGGCCACCTCTCTGGGACCCTCTGACTGTCTACCTCTTTTTCCGCATGAATATAATGTATAGTAATCGCATGACAAATTTGCTCAGCATGAGAAATAAAATTTGTCATGGTGTTTCACCTTGAAACGGAGATTTGTAATGCATGACTGCCATTACTACGAGTGCGATACTTTTGCACAGGATACTGCCCGGATGGGATCGTGAAGCCGATGAAGGACATCCGGTATTCACTGCAAATAGGTCGGGGTCTGGAAGATTGCCAGGTTTGTCATGCATCTCGCGAACAATCTCGCAGGTGGCCTTGAAAATAAATGCACGCAGATGCATCACAGATTTTGCGATACCTTCTTGATGCTTCTCCCGGCGAATGAGAATTGTTCCGCCCTTTGCTAGAGCAACAAGTGGGCTGCAACTAGTTTTGGCATCCATGCCACACAGATTTTTTTCGTGATCGAGACTACGGCGCATGACCTCCAGACCCAGATCGATATTTGCATTTGATATCTTGCTGGAGGAGCGGCAGACACTTTGGAACGATATGAAAGCCTCAGGGTGGAAATCCTCAAAGTGAAAATGATTTGTGATGCAAAAAAACGACGCCAGTTGAAGAGCCATTTGTAGTCGGCGCATGACAAATTTCCCGGGCACTTAAAGCATGTCTGTCATGCAGGTTAAGGCGAAGGGGTGCCGTTCTCTCGTGCTAAGCAGCACTCCAATTCTTCACCACTAGCAGGACAATAGTCGGCCTCCGTTGCGCCCTCTGCAATACAGGCCTTTTTGCGTCGCATTTCATGCATCACAAATTATTTCCACTTTGAGGATTTCCATTCTGAGGCTTTCATAAACGAGCCTCCGCCTAGTGGGCCGGAGGAGTGGAAACTGGAAGAACCTCAGAGAGAACAAGAACGTCAGAAGAAAATTGCCATATGAATTGCAAAAGTAGTGTGTTCGAAAAAATAGTGGCAATCATCATGCATGACAGATCTACGTCCACCTTTGTACGCGAACCAGCATGAAAATGCATGTGACTCGGTTAATATAGCACCGGAGGTGGGTCGAGTGACGGGTCGTTAAGGGGGTTAATTCTGTGATGCGACTCCTGTTATACTGTACCAGTAAATTAAGTAAGTATGCGATATTACTTTTGCCATGCATATCGCGAGGTGAAGAACGACGTGAGTCTCTGGAAACACGTGCAGTCTTTCAAGGCCCTGCACATCATTTATTACGATGAAAATGCCCCCACCCCCGAACTTGGGAGCATTTGTATTGCAAACCTTTCCAAATGAAACATTCCCCCTCTTGCATCTATCAGCATCACAGATTTCCGATCGTGAGTAGCAAAGATTTGTATTGCAAGAGATCCCAGCAAGAGCGGCGCTTGTCAACATGCAAGCGATGCGGGGGCACACGCCTGGACTCTGCATCAGAAAGGTTCATACTCCTTTCATGCATTACAATAAAAAGTTTTCATTTGGAACCTTTGCATCACAAATCTTCGCAACTTTGGGGGTGGGGGCATTTTTCCTCGCGATATTATTCACATGGACTTCCACTGGGAGAATGTGTGTGTCTGTCAAGACCCAAAAACCAAGAAGACCAAGCACACTTTATCAAATGCAAAAATGTCTGGGTCTGGAAACTTGTAATGCTAAAAGTGAATGATAGACGCACTGCAGTACGCAGCTATGCATGACAAATTTCTTGGCTGCCATGTCTTACGTATTCCGCATGGCAAACTGCGTTTTTGCATGCAAGACGACGCCGTGAGGACGACCACAGGGTGTCCGTCTCAATGATGACGATGATGATGACAGGAAAGAGGGCCTTTTCGTGCCTATGCAACACAGACTCTCGAGTCATGCCAGACAAGCATGACAAACTTGCATTCTTCCAGACCCAGACATATTTGCAATCCATACACTTTCATTGTGGACTACAAGCGCATCTACTCGTGGAAATCAGATAAACCGGAACAGTATGAAATGCAAAACCATCGTACTAGTAATAGTATAAATCGCATGTTGACAAATTTTCTGAGCATGAGAAATGAAATTTGTAATGCGGATTTAACTTGAGAAGGAAATTTGTAATGCATGAATGCAATTAGTACGACTACGATACTTTTGCACAGGATAAACAGCTGAAGCGGCAACCGGAAGAACACTTGAAAAAACACAAACCCGAGGAAGACCAGGTCGTGACCATCAAAATGTATCACAGGAAAAACGTGTTTACAGTTTACACATGTGCTCTTGGAGTTTCTGCACCACAAAGTTCCTCGACATGGCAAGAAAGAAAAACTGATGTGAAGATGCGCAGCCTATAAGGGAAATAAGCACGAATGAAATGAGCCTGGCAAGCATTTCCTGCATGACAGAGGTGGTCTGAGTCTTGCTTGTCTTCCAGCAGAGTGTGTAACTGTGACACTTTTTTCATCGGGATAAAATGTGCCTGAATTTCATGGTGAGCTGGTTCCAGAATGACAAAAAGAATCTTGCTCAGGAGATCGGGCTGAACGAAAATGACTACTGCATCTGGGATATCAAATGCAAATATGTCTGGGTCTGGAAGGTTGGAAGACTTGTCATGCAGGTTTTCCATGCCGCGTAAGGTCTGTCATACATGGCCCAGCATGACAGATTCTCCCCGAACTCTATCATGCCTCGTCTGCATGAGAAACTCCCTCTCAGCTTGGTCAAAAGTGGACAGCTTTTGGTAATCATGCAGCACAGATTTTTGCACTATCCAGAATTACCATGACAAGTTGCATTCTTCCAGACCCAGACATATTTGCAATGCATATGGGAAAAAATGAAAGACTACATGGAAAGATTCGCCTGGAACTCGTGGCTGAAATATGCGAACGCTGGCGACCCGACGGAAGTGTCGACGTTTGACGACTGAAGAAGGCGAAGGGGGCTGGGGGCGATGTTGGCACAACAAAAAAAAAAGTGGTGCTCCGGCTTGAAGATATTCTTCATTTATGTCTTCGGTTTTTTTCGCGCTATGAGTATGATCTCCTACTTATGGTCGTGCGCGACGGCGCATGTAGTACCTTCTATTTTGCTTGCAAACTATGCAATCGATGAAATTTAATCGCCAAAAAGTACAGTATCAGATTAAATAGGAACACTTGTGCAATGAAGACGTTTGACTTTTTTCATCTACGTTTTTTTTTTTTCCCACCAACATGGTAGGCCTCGCGACAGACAAGATCGATGGGTGTCCGTCGCGTCCAAATCCATCAGGGTTTCAGGGGTTTCAGGGTTGTTTAGCGTTTGTGCTAATTTTGATTTGATTTTTTTTCTCCCTTTTTTTTATCGCTTTTTTATGCGTTTTTTTATTCATTTTTCAATTTTTTTCTCCTTTTTTTCTTTTTCGTACGCTGAACAACTTTAAGCGTATTTTTTCATGACTTTTTCTTTTTTTTGATGAATGTGAAAGCATCTTGAACTTGAAGCCGTATCATCATGATGTTAGTTTGAATTGCACAAGAAGAGCAAGAAACTAAAATCCAACAACGGTCGAGGATGAGTATGAGCCGAGTAAGTAAATACCAAAAGTAAAAAGCGCTATGAAGAAGTAAACAAGACCGATCACCACGCGGACCCCATGCCGCGTTTTTTAAAAAATCCTCAAATCCTCTGATGTATGAAAAAAGATAAAATATGATTTCTGTGAGCCAGCAGACCACGACTTCGATTGACAGTGAAGCAGGATTTTCTTGAGATGTCGAATTATATTAAAGCATTCTATACATAAACACTTTTTGAAATAAGCGTAGTTCTAGTTTCTCGTGGAAGTAGCCTGTGCCAGAGGAAGATTTCCTGGTCACTGCTTCTGACAACAAGGCATTTTTTTTTGATTGTTCTTTCGCCCTGCTGGAGGTACGGGCACCAGTTGGATGTCAGAGGAAAGGAAAGCGAAAACCATTTTTGCCTTACTCCTACAATTTCTCGGTGGTGAGCAATCTCCAGGACTACGAGTACTACGCTACCTCGCTTTGTCAGCGTCAATGAAGACTCGGAAAATGAAAATCGGTATTGCGCGGGAAAAAGTCAAGCATCTGGTTGTGATGTTGGTGATGTCACTATTAATTAATTATCTCTGACGAGTTGAATTCATGGAGAAGAATGTGGTAGTGATGAAAGGTAGTTCGACGTTTGTTGCATTATGGATAAAAAAACCTCGTTGAGCTTCTTGTTCATGGAGGGCAGTTATTGAACTTGCACCACAAAAACAAAATGCGGTTCTTTATCTGGTCTTTCTTTCACGAAGAATCGATGAAAGAGAAAAATGCTGGCTCTCGGGGTTTTTGCGCAGCGGGGACCACCTACTTCGAGGATCATGACCACGTGGTCTAATGTGTGAAGATTTTTAGCCTCCTGCCGAAATGATATTTTTGAAGCAGTGAAGAAGAAGATGAGCCGGAACTACCACACGATGGCTTTATCGTCCTGTCGTGGTACAAGAACTGCATCCTTATCCGGGATTATACCGCATCGTGCCTGGACCGCTACTCCCAGCAGCAGCGCATCTTTAGTACCCGCTTTGTTCGTGGTCCGCAGTGGGGGAAAAAAATACCATGGGACAAGTTGTCGCGCTGCGAATTCTTGTTCCCAGCCACCTTCTTGCGGCCCTGCTGTGCTGGTGAAGAACGCGTCTACTTGCTCCTACCATTTCTACTCTACTACCGCAGCAGCGGCAGGAGCTCCGCCGAGCGCCTTGCACAAGAACTCTGTAGTTGATGCTGTAGTTGCCGCGCCGGCGGGCGGGAATCGTGAAGATCATGCGGGTGTTGTTTGTAGTTCCGTCAGGAGCTTCACCTCTGGTGCCCCGTCGTTGGTCGTCGCCCGGCAAACTTCTAGCACTGGCGAAGATCCAGGAGACCAGATCGTGTCGAGAAGTTCAGGCGGAGGAGGTGATCTTCATGTCGAGGACAACAAAAGTCGCGCCGTGTCTCCTGTTATTTCCAAAATTCCGGAAGAATTCCAGATCAAGCCGAATCCGAGCGACTACCGATTATCACACGAAAGAAGTGTTACAGTTACACATTGTGTTGCAAAACATGCAAGACAGACGACCTTTGTCATGCGCAAAATGCTTGCAAGTCTCGTCTCGTGTGTTATGATCTTTGCATTGCAAGTTTTCTCTGTCATGCAGAGAATTGAATGCTGAATTGAATTCACTACAACGGTGTAACTGTAACACTCGGTTTCGTCGGATACCGATTACCGCTGTCCTACTTTCCGGAGAATCCGCCCAACGTCGTCACGGACAAGATGATATCAAATGCAAAAATGTCTGGGTCAGGAAAGAATGGAACTTGTCATGCTAAATCTGGATCGTGCCAAAAATTTGTGTTGCATGATTACCAACAGATGTCCACTTTCGGACAAATTCAGAGGCAGTTTCTCATGCAGGATAGGCATGATAGAGGTCTAACATAATGTGTCATGCTAGGTCCTACATGCCAGACTTCATGGGTCATGCAAAATCTGCATGACAAACTCCTGCATTCTTCCAGACCCAGACATCATTCTTGCACTTGATAGATGATTCGGGAAACCAAGCTGCGACGCCACGCATTCCAAACCGCGAAGCTGCTGTTTGAAGCGAAGCAGCGGATATGGAGGGATCAGGATCGAAATCGACGAAGTTGAAATGATTTGTGATGCATAAAACGGATACCAGTTAGCGCCCAGCTTTCAAGTGGCGCATGACAAATTTGGGTAGAGCCTAAATCCAGTTTGTAATGCTGTTTGGCTACGGAAGACGCGTTTTCTTCTGCTGCTTTAGCAGCGCTATTTCTACTACCCCTCAACAGGCTTGCAATCTTCCTCACTTGCCTACTCTGCAAGACAGGCCTTTTGTGGGTTGCATTTTATGCATCACAAGTTTTTCATCAATTTCAAGCCTGACGGTTCCATAGCGGAAGGTGTTCCATTACACGCTGGTTTTCTGGCGGTACTGCTTGGTGAAAGCCTTGAAATTTCGCTACCTGGCGCACTGGAAACGGGACGTGGTGGTGGAACTAGCCGCATACGCACCAGAAAGCACGACCACAAACCACACGACCAGTGCTATACCTGCTCCATCTACCCGGCAAGAAGTCCTGGAATCGTCCCTCCGTCGCTACCACCTGAGATCTCTTTTCGGCCCCTTCGGGAGCCGAGTGCTGGCCCGCTTGGAGGACAAATTCGGCCGGGAGATTGTGCCTTTGAAAAAGTTCGCAACTGGTGGTGCGACTACAACTACTACAACTACCCTAGTCGACGGCGAAATAAATAAAGAACATCAACCAACGGACAACAACATCAACAGTCAAGAACTGCGCCTCCGGTCCGGCGACTTTGCGCTAATGCAGGAGGCGGTGCGAGATAGCGAGACTTTTTCCGTCGCAGCGAGACAGAGCATATCCTGTGCAAAAGCATCGTGCTCGTATAAATGCATTACAAATTTCCTCAGCATGAGAAGTCAAATTTGTAATGCTGATGTACCTTAAGTCAAAGACTTGCAATGCATGACTGCAATACGAGTACGATACGGATACTTCTGCAATGCATAGAGTATCGCGAACCAGTTCCATGAATCCCTGAAAGCGGATGGAGTGCTGAACTTCTGCTTCAAAAAACTCCTCCAAGCGATGCACCGACAGGCGGTTACGGGCTCGAGGCGGCATATGGATGTTTCAGGATCGAAATCGTCAAAGTTGAAACAGTTTTTCATGCATAAAATCGATACCAGTTGGAACTGGAAGCCCAATTTTTAAGCGGTGCATGACAAATTTCGGCACAGTCTAAATCCAGCTTGTCATGCTGTTTAGGGACAGCAGGCGTCTTTTGTCATGCTACTTTAGCAGCTCTACCGCAGACCCGAAACAGGCTGACTGTCGGCCTCGCTTGCAATCCCTGCAAGAGAGGCACTTCATGCCTTGCAATTTATGCATGAGAAATTATTTCAACTTTGACGATTCCAATCCTGACGCTTCCATACGGCAGAAGTTTGACGGCTACGACTCGTACGCGGATCTGCTTTGTGCGGGGTACTGCGAAGGGGGTAGTACAGCCGAGGCCAGCGGCGGATCATCTTCCTACGGGAAATGAAATCGTTTTGAGTTTGGCTTCTTGTCGTAGCGTAAATTTTCTCAACATATAGCATCGACTGGCATGCAATAGCCAAAGTGCTCATCTTGCGAAGTCTTGTTTTTGCAGCATGTAGTTGTGATGCAGCTTATTTTGCGCGCGCGGTCGGCCCATTTGTTTTGCCGTGCCAGCTTGAACAAGGGAACGTGAAGAAAACACTTATGGGCATAGAGGATCACAGAGTGGTGGGTCAAGGTCAACCATCCCCATCCAATTTGTCATGCTAAACATGCATAATTTCCAGGGTTTGTCATGCAAAAAATCGATGGTGTTGGTGATGGGTGTTTTTTCCTGGATATGCAAGCCACGATTTCTATTTCTCTTTTTCAATACCGCCTCTCAGCTACGCCACCGTCAGGAGCATCTACTCCCAGATCAGAATATGCGAAGGAAAAAATAGAGCGCCAGATAATTGATGATCTGTCATGCAAGTAGCATGTCAGCATCACACTATCAGCATGAATGAAATGCAGCACAGATCTACCTCCACGTCCACACAAGCATCATTCACTGATACGTTCACGACCCCATCATGCATCCATCACAGATTGAACACGGAAGTGACGAGTAGTTCATCTCAGATCATCGTAGAGGACGACCTTTTTCACTACAATACGGCGACCCTGCGCGCAATAAACGAGCACTGGGGAAGCTGGTTCCTGCGCCAAATGGAAGCACTGGACACGGAGGAAACCAAAACAGGCACTGGTATTAATTCCAAGAAGACACAACAACAACCTGCTCTTGACGCGAATTCCGCTGCAGATGCAGCAACTACAGCCAGTACCACCGACCACGTGAAGATCCGCAGTTCCCGAGAGGGAAGTACAACGATACGCCCGTCTTGGTTCGAGCTGCAAACTTTCACGCACGACAGGCTTCTTCCGGAAACGAAGTCCCAACAGAACCAGGAGGCTTTGCTCGTCGTGGACGCGGATCTCGAGCAGTTGATGTCCTTTATCGGCACCATTGCGGGGGTGAAGCTGAAGCTCTCCCGCGCCGACTTTGATCTATCAACTGCAAAAATGTCTGGGTCTGGAAGGTCACAACTTGTGATGCTGTCTGTGGATTCTAAAAAAATTTGTATTGCATGACCAGCAAGAGGGGTCGGGTTTGTCCTACGCGGAGAGGGCATTTCTCATGCGGTAGAGGTATCACAAAGCCCTCTGCAAATCTGTGATGCTACGGCATACATCACAGACATCATGGCTCAGGCAAAATATGCATGACAAACCTAGAAATCATCCAGACCCAGACACTTTTGCATTTGATATGACTCCGTCACCTACAAGCTGCTCGACCCGCCGAGGTATCCTGTGCAAAAGTATCGTACTCGTAGTAATTGCAGTCGTGCATTACAAATCTTTTTCGTACGGTAAATCCGCATTGCAAATTTTTCTCATGCTAAGGAAATTTGTAATGCATTTATACGAGTGCGATACTTGTTTTGCAGTTCATACGAGGCACCTGCCGTACGACCAGCGTCCAGACTACTTCAATTTCCACAAGGCACAGGCCAACAAAGCAAGAACGATTTGCCTGCATTTAGGGAGCAGCATATCTGCCTCTGCCTCTTCGTCTCCGCAGAGAAATAAAAACCCACTTTCCACCACGAACCCTTTCACCAAGCGCCGGGACTCGGGTAACCTCACGAAAAACGCGAGCACCAGCAACGGGGGGCAGGACGGGTTTAGCAGAACCTACACTGGGGGCCTGTATGAGAGTGCATGACACCCCCTCTCCTCAACCTCATTTGTCATGCAAAATATCAAATACACATCTTGCCTCTATGCACAGTTTGCATGAGAAATTTTCGAGCCTCAAACAGTACTACAGCTCGTGTGCAGAAGATTTGTCATGCAGAAGCCACATTTGTGGCGTTGCTTGTGTTGCTGTTTATGCAATACATATGAGGTGGAGGGGGAGTTGTGCACTGTCATAACCTGTTCCCGGCAAACACCACGGACACCCGGGCTGCCGCGGCCATGTTCAGTGGTGGCGACACAAGGGCGTGTAATCAATGCAAATATGTCCTCTGGGTCTGGAACAAGAAAGCAAATCTGTATTGCGCATTTCGAATGAAGCTAAAATCTGTGATGCATGAAGCAGATGAGCGCCAGTAGCCTATCATGCAAAAGCGGGATTTCTCATGGTGGCTGCGCATTCTGTACCCTTGATAAAATTTCTCATGCTAGACGACGTATGGAAGAAGTTTGCATCTCATGGAGCGATCAGCATTGCAAAGTCCCAGACACATTTGCAATTCATAGCGTGCGCCTCGGTGTCTCACGTACCGGTTGAGACCGACGTCGTCAGGGATCCGCTCCCTTGGGCGGCGGTTTGGAACGTAAACGCGCCACAGATTCACCATCTAATATGAAAGCCTCAGGTTGGAAATCCTCAAAGTGGAAATCATTTGTAATGCATAAAATGCATGACCCGCGGTACGTGTGTTGCAGAGCAGGCAAGTGAGGCCTATTGTAAGCCTGTTTGGGGTTAAAGCTCGAGCTGCTAAAATAGCATGAGAGAATCGCTCGTCTTTGCCTAAACAGCATGACAAACTGGATTTAGGGACCGCCGAAATTTGTCATGCGCCACTTGGAAACTGGGTTCCAGCTGGCATCCATTTTATGCATGACAAATTATTTCAACTTTGTCGATTTCAACTCTGACACATCCATATCTAAGGAGTGACACGTACTTTTTGATAGTGAGTGTCAATGTTTGAAGTTGATTGTAAGAAATTCTCTCTTGATGTTGGCAGGAAGACGAATGTGAAGAGCTAGATCATCGTCTCACCTCACATGAGAAATTTCCTTTGACCAAAACAAAAGCCACGTCCGCTTGCTGTCCCTTTGCGACCTGCAAGCTTTGCTGCACGCGCCTAAAGTAGCTTTTTCAAAAGTACTAGATTTTTTTTTTTGATGTTTGTGCGGCACGTCGGCAACTAGCTATACCAAATTAGATAGAGTTAGCTAATCAAACTAGGCGGAATTTTGCATGCGTAGCCAGTTGTCTAATTCAGAGGTAGTAGATTGCTCGTCTTCCACGCAGGGCTGGCCCGCGGATCTGTCCGGAACGCTATCGGTACGTCGTGGCGAGCTCGGACATGTTTCTGTTTGCGCGCAAAGTCATCTACTCCGGTTGAAACAGTAGGGCGACCATCTCATGACGTTCGGTGTCTACTACGAATTTGCGAACGAGTTCGCAATACGCAAGTGCGGAGGCCACCTGCTGCGGACCGCAGCGAAAAGAGTAACGGGCACGCAGGCCTGCCCCAACACGGGGCCCCCAAAGGGGCCGCGAAGTGGCCGGCAAAATGGCCTACGAAACACCCCCCGAAAAAATCGCGAATCCCGAGGCAACTACCCCTTCCGAAGAGGCCGATCAGTTGGCATCTGCGGAGAGGGGCAAACTCGGGCGAAGTTTCCCAATAGATTCGCAGAGGTTTTTTTTCCCATGTTCGACAGCTAATGCGCCGTCGCAGTGTAGGTAGCGCCATCGTGCGCCAGTATCAAGATCTGGCTGGATGTTCGGAACCAGGTATCGCAGGTTGGTAAATTCCGCGCGGTTTTTGTCGTTTCGGGCCCGTACACCTAGCCACAGCTCCGAGTAGAGGACCCTCAGCAAGGCTTGGCGACGGGACCGCTCTGGACAGATCCATAGACCAGAGCCTCGAAGTGTACCAGCCTACTTACCTCTCGGCGCCGACGTGCTTTTGCACTTATTCGCAATGAACTTCTCTTGCATATTTAGAATTAACTAGTTTTATTGGCTAGGTTCTAGTACTGAAGCGCTTGCAAAAAGAAAATTCTAGTACTTTTGAAAAAGCTACTTTAGGCGCGCCATATAACAGACAGTTCGTTTACATTCAGATGACCATACTCATGACCAGAGCCACAGCTTCTAATTCCTGATTCTGCCGGCAGCGGCAGGAGCAAGGTTCTGGTCCCACCTCGCATGAAAAATGATGTTCTCTGAACAAAATACAGACACGTTCGCTTGCTGTCCCTTTGCGACCTGCAAGCTTTGCTCCACGAGCTCGGACACGCGTTTCACTTCTGCTTGACGGTATGGAATGCAAAAATGTCTGGGTCTGGAACGTTGGAACTTGTGATGCTAACTTTGGATTCTAAAAAAATCTGTATTGCATGACCAGCAAGAGGAGTCCAGTTTGTGCTACGCGGGGAGACCATTTGTCACGCGGAATAGGTATCAAGACGTCGTCAGAAAATCTGTGATGCTAGGGAATACATCACAGAAATCACGGGTCATGTAAAATCTGCATATACAAGTTCCATTCTTTCCAGACCCAGACACTTTTGCATTTGATAGACGGTTATGCGATGCAAAGTTGTTTCAACAAGCTGAGACTCTTCTTTATAGTTTGACACGAGGTTTACATGCGAAAATGAAACTGGAGGTGGATGTTCAGCTTGCACTTGCACTTATGGAAAACTAAAATCTAATTTTTCCCACTCCTTTTCGAGAATCGTCGTGGTGCGCGGCGTCAACTACATTCTCAGAACGAAACTTTGCAAATAAACTGCATATCTCCGCACAAGTACGAGGAACTGCGGGTGATGCAAGAGACCAAGTTGGAGCTACCCAGTACGGCGCTAGAGTATTTGGTGCAGGACCGGGACTTCATGCAGCATGTCATTGAGAATTGCCAAGTTCCCCATGCGAAAGACGTGATGCAGGATTTGAAGAGAAAGCGAAAGGAATTTGTATTGCTTTTTTCCTAGTACTGAAGCTCCAAAATTAGAATCTGCATTTTGTTTTGCCTAGGCAGCTCGTGTAGTGCCGAAGAAGCTTGTGCTAAATTGTTTTTTCTTTCCACAACCGTAAAGGTTGGTGGACGAGGACGAGAAGGTAAATAGTACACGTCGACCGCCTTCGTTTCTCTCCGTTGCTAGAGATAAAGTTAAGTAACTCCATGAGGATATTGGGATAATTGGAGTTTTGTACGCATTTAAATTCAAACATCATGATCAGGAATCGACCCTTTCTGCTGCGGACGTGGATTTTCGAAGTTGGCTGACCACCCAACAAATCGAGCACTGGGACCTGCAAAAAAACGCCTACCTCTTCGACACGTTATTCGGGAAAGGCGGCTTACCGGAGATGGCCAGTGGCGCCAAAAAACAAGATGATCCAGAGAACAACATCAAATTTTCTTCAACCGAGGCACTATGCCAGTTCGCGCGAGAGAAATACGTGGAGAGCTGCGCGGGTAGGGAGTTATCCTTGTCGGAGGGCGCAGCAACTGGTGCTTGTTCATCGAGAACTACAAGCTCTGAAAATTCCATCCACTTCCACCCCCTCGGCGTTCCGGAAATTTTGTCCCTGTTCACGCACGAAAACGCACCGCTGCTGTCGCTTTTCACGCATCAGGTCCTCCGGTGGTGGCGCGACGACCGGATATGCATTGCGAAAGTATCGTACTCGTATAAATGCATTACAAATTTCCTGAGCATGAGAAATGAAATTTGTGATGCGGATTTACCTTGAGAAAAAAACTTGTATTGCATGACTGCAATACAACGAGTACGATACTTTTGCAAGTCATACAGGAAATGGTATCACCACTTGGTGAACCGGGTAGTACTGCTGACCACCTCGCTATCACAGGAAAAAAGTGTTACAGTTACACAGTTGTTGCAGTAGTTTCTGCATCACAAAGTCGCTCAACATGGCAAAGAAAAACTGTGATGCGCAAACTATAAGGGAAAACACGAATGAAATGAGGTTGGCAACCATTTCCTGCATGACAGAGGTTGTCTGTCTTGCTTGTCTCCCATCAGAGTGTGTTGTAACTGTTTTATTGTTCTTCTTTGCGATACCCGCCCTTCGTGCTGTTAACCTACTGGCTCGACTGGATCGCGCAGCGCTGGTTCCCGGCAGCTTTGTTTCGCAGTCCGTTCTACTGCGTGTTTCCGAACACGGTCTCGCATATTTTGGCCAAAGTGGAGGGCTTGCGGTTGGCGAGGCAGGAGGACTATTTGTTTCTGTTCTACCGGGATTATTGGGTGAACGGAATGATGAATGATGCGAGTGCATCAACTTCTACTGCAGCAGCTATTCCATCCACATCTTCTTCCGAGCAGATGACAGCTGCAGGAACAGGTGCTCCGGCTGGTGAGCAAGAAAGTAGACCCTCCACCTCATTGCAGCAATACTTCGATGCTATGCGGATTTCAGGAAATATTAAAACTGGTGCAGGTGGTGAGGCTGATGATGAAACAGGATCAGCAGGAGAACTGAAATTGATTCGACCGCCCGAGCAACTCCCGGACTACAAAGACTATTAGAGTTGTAAAATTCTTGTGCGAGATGGACTAAATGATTTTAAGGACGATTCAGAAGTCTCGGCTCAGAGGATGGACATGGACCGAAAGGTGAATTGGATGAACAAGAACAGAAAGCAGGCGTCTTTCATTTATGTGTTTATTTCCCTTGTCGTTGTCTGTGCTTTGGGCCTGACGCATCACAAATTTTGCTTGTCATAATTCTGGCCAAGTTTTTTAGCAAGCTGCTGAATCTGCAAAGCAAGGGCCGCTTGAGACTCCTGAGATGCAAGCTGTTTGTCCTTGCTGTACGAGAAGATCTAGATCACTCTTCTTTACAAAAGTAGGATCAGCTTCGAACTGCAATATGATCCAAGCCTTGTAATGTTGATGATCCAGCACTTCTCCTCTCGAAGATGTCCCCCGCCGGAGTTGCTTGCTCTTTGTTCAAATGAAAGCTGCAAGCTGCGAACTAACAAAGAAACTCTGCGGTCCACTAAGCATTCCCATAGATTCATTGATAATTTCCGATCATTCTGCGCGTTTTGGTGTCGTGGGAAGAAGTAGATGAGAATATCACTTGTCTAAAAATAAATTTCTTCATCGATGCCATGAACAAGGCCGCGCCCGTGACTTTTCTTCGCACGACCGCGAGGGCCCTTGTTACGACTACTACAAGCGGCAGTAGCACAATCAGCAGCACAGGTGGAGCTGGAGCTCTTAATATCCCAATGGAGCTCCACCTAGTCCACGAAGCCAAGAAACACGGAGTCCTCATCGTCGGCGCTAGTCCCAAGCAAACTCGTGCTTCCCACGATGTCATGCGAACACTACTGGAAAACCAGGCGCTGAACTTCGACTGTATCCCAATAAACCCCGTCGTAGCTGCTGCAGATGGAGCTGCGGAGAGCACGACGATATTGGGAAAAAAATGCTTTTCCTCTTTGACGGATTATTGTGCTACCAGCGCGACGAGGTCGAGCTCGGGATCGGGGTCAAGTTCGAAAACAACTCAAGAAGAACATCATCAAAAAACTAAAAGAGTTGTTTGCATCTTCCGCAGCGACCCGGAGCCTATCGTTCTAGAGGCGATCTTATCAAATGCAAAAATGTCTGGGTCTGGAAACTTGTGATGCTGAAATGTGCATGATGAAAACACTTCAGAATCATGCAGTCCAGCATGACAATTTCCCGAAACGCTTTCTCATAGGCAATCCGCATGAGAAACTGCGTTTTTGCATGACACCGTGAGGACGACCACAGGGGGTCTGTCTCAACGACGACGACGATGACAAAAGAGGCTGCGGCTTTTGTTGGTTATGCAATACAGATTTCCCAGGAATAAGCGCTAGCATTACAAGGTTCCAACCTTCCAGACCCAGACACTTTTGCCGTGCATAGATCCGACTCGGCTTTCGAAATCTGTGGCTCCAGCTTGGTTTGTTTGTTTCAGAGGAGACCGAGAAAAAGGCTATAGCAGAGGCGATTTTATCGTCATCCTGTGACGCTAGTTCATCTGGTGAAAATTTGTACAATAATTCAGGAACAACAGCTGGTGGGTCTACAAGAACAGTTGCTAGTAAAGAAGATTCTGGTGCACCAGAGCACGTTGTAAATCTTGTGGAAGACAAATGCTTGAAAGTCGAGGCTTTACGGGCAGCTGCGATGGGAGGAATAAAAGCTGCGAATTTGTAGTAAAAGGCTCAACAATAAAGACATAAACGCAATCTCTTCGGTAAGAGCTTTGATCTGCCGTAGGACTAAGTCGTGCTCTGTTGTTCTTTCCATGCTGCACCAATTTCAATTTCAACGAAGAAGAAGTTGCAGTGCGCTGTTTATTCAATGCACCAATTTCAATATCGTCTAGCTTGTAGTCTCATTATTTATACATCGTGATACTTCTTGTCACCTGCGATCTTTCGGTCAACCTTAAAAATGATACCGCTTCGGTGACGTGAAGAATCGTATTTTGCCAAGCCGCACCGTTTCGGTCATTTCCAACACGTTCTTGTCTAGACCTAAAATGAAAATCGGTCGTGCAGCGTATCGTGCAAAATGTTCTGTACGTGCGTATGGTGCAAAATTTTCTTTATATTTCTGTCTGAATCGTGCAACTGCTTTTCAACAACTTCGGTGTTGGTGCTATCTCGTCCAAGGTTTGCGCTGGCTATTCTCCACCCCGTCTGTCGTGCAACTCCGAGGCAACATTTCTGGAACAGCATGTCGGTTCTTGTCGTGCACAATATTATCGTACACACAACTTCGTACGCATCAAGTACTCCGCACTGCAGATCCGCCTTCCGTGCGCGGCCTTGTTGTACGACCTCTGTGCAGCAGCTTTCGGAACTCGTGTTTGATTCGGCGGTACTTCTAGTGCAACTATTTATTTTTCAACATCATCCCATTTGTCGCTTTTCCCACGACTATTGCTTCACCGATCCCCTAACAGGTTATAGTGTTTCAGAGATTTATTCTAGTGACAACCCGCCCCAGGAGATAGAGAAAAATCCGTGTCTTTGAAGCAAATTTTTGTTTTATCGTACTGATTTTTCAAGACTTGTTGTCGCCAGTGTATTTTCTGAAACAAACCTCACTATAACTTCTTTTCCATCTTCACAAATTTTCATCAACGATTATAACTTCGAGAGTTTAATTAACGAAATTTCATTTGTCATAATTGATGGATTTTTGTGCCAGTTGTTGTATCTAATTTATTCAATTAATTACCCAACCACATACATTTTTGTTGTTGGAACTCTTGCGTACTTACTACTAAAATTATACATCACGACTGCACAAATCAGCATCCAAAAATTTGAAAACTAGGACAGTACGACACTCACCACAGGATGTTGTGGGTGAGTTGTACATGAGTACTTCTTGTCGGCATTGTTATACGAAACAAAACTACATAATCAAGTCGTAGTTTGTTTTACGTTTTACTCTAGGGAACCACAGCGTGCCAGCCAGGAGGGCGGCACAATAGGCTGTGAGTCCAACTACACTCTCAAACTGAATTCACGAAATCAGCATAAAAATTTCATTCCTTTTTTCTCTCAGTAGTAATATTTTCAACATTTTTAACATCGGCAGACGACTCCAATTTAACTAAACCAAGAAGAACTTCGGCGACGAAGAAGGACAGAACTCAGATTTTTATCAACACGTAAGAATTTTCACTTTTTCCAATTTTAGAATAACTCAATAAATCTCACACGAAGACAAAAACACATCATCATTTTTTTGAATCTTTACAGCGTGGTAAGCACCACCGCGCAGCAGCAGTGGAAGCCCTTTTGGCAGCAGCTGCATTATACGAACTTTTTTCATTTTTCTAAAACATTTTTTGCGGATGATTAAAATTTTTCCTGCACGACCGACCACGCCCATCATGAAGACGGGAGGAACTACACCAGGGAATAGGGGGAGCAGAGGAAAAATTTCGTCCGGACAACAACCACTGCACCGGAGCCGCAAGACGATATCAATCACGAGCTCCAACAAACCCCACGCGTCAAGAACGGCGCTTGCGGCTACCGCAACTACCTTCTGTTGTAATGGAGGTCCAACTTCCGCGCTCCTTTCCCTCTCAGCCTGCTCATCCCCATTCGTATTTTTGCTAACCCACGCCCAGAAGCTTCGTGGCCAAGACCAGCAGGACAAGAAGGCCGCAGCTGCTGCCGCATCAACTGCCGATAATTCTGCAGCGGGAAGTTCTTGGGGCCGCGACTGGGCGTGGCCGACTGTGCACAGCCTGCTCTATGATAATGCGCAGGATGAAGAGCAGGCCCACCGGGCCGTCGAGCATGCGGACGACGAACCCGCCCGGCCCTCCGAGCGGCTGGGCGGCTCTGGGATGGAGCTAACGGGGAATCCGCCCCAGGAGCACTACACACAGCGCCATTCCGCGGCCGCGAAGGCGGGGTTGCCGGACATCTCCGACCAACTGTGTGAGGCCGCGAAGCTGGCGAATTCCATGGTGCACAAAATGGTGCACCGGTTCGAAACGCACGAGGGACTCAAAGTGCAGGGCGTACACGGCCCCCACGAGCTCGGCGGGAAGGCGGACGAAATCAACTACGTCCCGCACGGGCTGGCCTCCGGTAGTCTGTGGGTGGTGGCCGGCGGGTCGACCACGACGGGGTTTGTGGTATCAAATGCAAAAGTGTCTGGGACTGGGAGATTGCGTTTGCGATATTTGCCATGCTAGTCTGGTATGACTCTGAAATCAGTATTGCGTGGCCGCGAAGAGCTCCTCTCGCCTGTCATGCAAAAATGCAGTTTCTCATGCGGAGTTCGCAACTCAGAACCACGGAAAAACTTGCCATGCTGTGCAGCGCATTACAGAGCGCTCACTCTACTTCCGTTCTTTGCATCACAAGTTTCCAGACCCAGACATATTTACAATGCATATGCGGAGGAAGTCGATTACTACGTGCGGAACCAGACCAAGCTGGGCGTGCACATCGGCCCGCCGTTAGTCATGGACTCGGCCTCTATGCACGGGATCGGGCTGTTGCGGCAAAACGAACTGGAGAAAACCGTGCAGGACCTGCAGTCCATGAAACCCTCCAAGCGGGCGGTCTTCTGGAAAGTTTTGTCCGCGGGATTTGCGTCGCTCGCGACCCGGGCGAAGGCGTTCACGAACTATCCACGGTAAATTTCCCGTACACGACGTACAAATACAGTCTCTGCATGACAAAACTTGGCTTCGATCCTAGATTAGCATAACAAGTTTGACGCTCCAAATTGGTAGAATTTGTGATGCATCTTGTACATGTACGGAAAATTTGTATTGCATACGAACAAAACCGAGGTCATGAAGCTAGACCTGGACCGGTTGGAGTATGACATGGAGGAGGTGAAAGAAAACCGGGACATTATGCATTGCAAATATGTCTGGATCTGGAAACTTGTGTTGCTGATTCTTGCATTGCAGACTGGCTACTTGTACGGCATAACAGCATGATAAATTTCCCTCGGCCCTCCTTGCGGATTCATTCGCATTTAGCATGGCAAACTGCCTTCCAGCACGATAAAAAAAATGGTCAATCGTATTCCTGCATCACAGATCTTGTTGCCCATCTCCTTTAGGGTTTGGGTTTAGGGTTTAGGGTTCAGAGCGGTCGGACGACGACGCAGGCGAAGAGAGAAAGCCCAACAGAAAAGCACCACCAGCGCCGGCAGCCGCGGCAGAAGAGCAACCAACAGCAAAGGCCCCGACACAGAAAAAAACAAAGGGCGCGGCTGGGCCGAAACCGAAGCCACCAGTAGCCACGACAGCAGGAAAAGCCCCAGCAAAAGCTCCGGAACAGAAAAAGGCGAAGGGGGCTGCCGGACCGAAGCCGAAGGCAACGGAAGCCAAACCGCCGAAACCCAAGGCGGGCGGAAAGAAGAGATCTGCAGAGGAGGCGGAGGCGCTCCCGGGTGTGGCAAGCAAAAAACAGAAACAAACCAGCAAAAAACAGGAGGAAGCCAACCCAGCGAGAAAAAAGCCACCACCTAAACAGAACGAGGCGCCGCGACAGGCCGCTAATTCCGCAGCGGAAAACACCGCAGAAGCGGCGCCACCGAAGAGCGAGCAAGCCGAGACACGGAAGACCCACGGAACAGAGCAACTGGCTACGCAGGGAGATCGGGAGGACGCGAAATCTGCAAACGGGCTCGGCGGGAGGGCCGAAGCAGACAAGCAGGAAACAGCGGCAACAGAGAAAAGCAAGGCACAACCGGCGAGGCCAGGTGCCATGTTTACGTCGACGAGCCAGTTCTCGATGGTCGGTGACCTGTTCCGCGAACTGGAACGCAGCCGGAACAACAGCAACCAGCCAGCCTCTCACTCCTCCTCAGCCTCTTCCTCCTCGTCCGCAAATACGAAAGCCAAGTAAAAAAAAGAAGAAAAGAAGAACCCCACTCGTCGAACCCCGGCGGATACCCCCTCAAGCCCATCCCTCCCCGCATAGTAGTACCCCTTACCTACATGAAGAGCGAGGGACCTCGTAGCACCAGGCGGAATGGAAAATAGTAGCTACCCCCAGACGATAGCAAAGTAGCGAACGACGACCCGGAGTGCGCAGAATCGGTTGTAGACATGGCGGCAAATCGACCGACGAAAAAGAGCGCGCGAGATAACCACACTGAAACCAAGCAGACACCTGACTGACGTTTTGTACATATAGAGCTGCGCAAAGATGCAAAAAAAAAGAGAAAAAGGGAAAAAGCGCAAGCCGTCCGGCGGGGCGGCCGCTCCTATCCATCACACATCGGGGCACTCGATGTTCCTGTTCGGTCCCGGCGACGACGAGGGGTAGCGAGAGCCACAGCACGGAGCGACACAGAGGAAAAGAGAGTAATCCAAAAACGCATGGCCTCACGTACGTACACTTCTGCACTTTTGTCTTTGCTCCCCGAAAGGGGGTTTCCTGAGGGGGGGGGTGCGGGAAGTCTAAAAGCAAATGGAACGAAAGCCGCCTGCAAACGAAGCGATCAAAAACCACGGCAGAAGCGATGTCATGTGGGTGGTGTGGTACAGGGGCGATTGCGATCCCCCATTAGGCATGGCGATAGCAAGGGCGTTGCACGACGCGAAGATCTGTCATGCAGTTTGAACGAGCCAGAACCAAGCCCCACAGTCAAGACGACAACAGCGGCAAAGTGATCAGCCTTCGGGCGTGCGCGATGCTCGTTCCATCTACTTTTTCGACGATTCACTTCCTTCACCAGGGCCTTGCTCAACCCTGGACCAGAACGAGTAGGACCAAGGACCCAAGAGGTAGGCACTGTAGCGGAAAGTTGGAGCAAAAAATTTTTTTTTTTGAAAAAGAACCCAATAGGAGCCGACCTGCGTGGATGGTTATAAAACAGGTAGCCTGACCCCAAATGGCAATGATCATTGGGAGCAGCAGAGCGCAGCAGGACCCCGGGACTGCAACAGCTCACCCCTGTTTTAACTTAGAATCACGCAGTGCTCCGAGTATGCCACTACCTCGACCCCTCAAGAAAAGAAGTAGCCCCCCCAACTACATCACCGCCGTCCGCGATCAGGATACGACTTGTACTAACCAACATTGTACCAACCGAGATCCCGCGGGGCACAGGGTCTGGGCGGCTCGAAGCAGAACGTGCAGCACAAGCGGGAGACAACACATCCAAAGGTGGGGATGGTCTCAGGTCGTTCAGGTCCGCCAAGGGTTGCGTCGCGCTATCAGGGTTTCGCCAACTCCGCGGGGGCGTTGCGGGTAACTCCCTAAAACACCAAAACCGGCAGAAATTAGGGCCGGCAGTCCGGGTAATTGCTCACCAGTCGTTTTGTATGACGAACCAAGAGGTGCAACGCGAACAGATAGGCATGAATTTAGCATCTCCGGCTGGTAGAGCAATCGGCTACCGAGGTACGTCAGGGGGCGTAGCTACATCAATCAATCAATCTCCTTCTTGAGGTCTTGCATTACAAATCCAGACCAAGATCGATATTTGCACTGGATTGACATTATGGTCAAGCAAAAGTACCAAACCCTACAAGTTCTCACGAAGCAACGCAAGATCGTGGAACGGTTTCGGGACGAGAAAAACACTACTACCAGTGCCACAGCGGCGGCGGTGGAACAAAATCAAAATCCAGCGGAAAATCAAAATTCTACCGAAGGTAATGGTCAAACCGGTGCTGGCGGTGCAGCGGCGACCTCTAGTACAACGACCAAGAAGAAATTTAAGCCCAAGGCGTTCAACAAACTTCCGAAGCAGGAACTGGAGCTGCTGCAGTCCCCGGGGTTGCAGCCCTTTCTGGACGAGCGGCTGAAGTTCGAGAACTTGGACACCTTGAGTCTCTATCAAATGCAAATATAATGTCTGGGTCTGGAAGGTTGCCAGGTTTGTCATGCATATTTTGCCTGACTCAGGATGTCTGTAATGCATGACGTAGCGTCACAGATTTTTAGAGACCTTCGCGACTCCTATTCCGCATGACAAATGCCCTCCCCGCGTAGCACAAACTGGACTCCTCATCTTGCTGGTAATGCAATACAGATTTTTTTAGAGTCCGAAGTTAGCATCACAAGTTCCAAGCTTCCAGAGGACCCAGACGTGTTTGCAATGCATAGTCTCGAAGAGCTCACCGAACAGCTCGAACTGTTGGATGACGCGCACAAGCAACTGTCGCAGACCCCGATTCCCGAGATGCCCGCCACCGGAAAGCCGCGCAAGGAGAAAATGCCGATGGCACTCGACGACTCCCCCTTGCAGGTGGAGCTTCACTATGCAATACAAATTTCCCGTACATGTACAAGATGCATCACAAATTTCACCAATTTGGAGCGCAAGACTTGTCATGCTAAACTAGGATCGAAGCCAAGTTTTGTCATGCAGGGACCGCATCTGTACGTGTGCGGAAAATTTACTGTGGATATACACTCGAATCGCTTCACGAACGAAGACGACCTTGGCCCGGAGCTGTTTGTCGCCCTGAAGCCCTTCGTGATATGGATTGCAAAAATGTCTGGGTCTGGAAGGATGCAAGGTTTGTCATGCTTGTCTGGCATGACTGAAGAGTTTGTGATGCGTGTCCACGAAGAAGAGACACTTTTGTTTGTCATGCGAAACGCAGTTTATTGTCATGCGGAAAGCGCAACACTAAGCAGCGCCGCAAATATTTCTTGTCATGCTTGGCTGTGCATTACAAAGAGTTCACTCTTTTTCACAACTCAGCATTACAAGTTTCCAGACATCCAGACACTTTTGCAGTTGATACGTGACTATGCACGACAAGAAACACCCGGCCTCCGGCGAGCGAGTCAAGCGGCCCGCAGTGGTGCCGAAAGCGGAGCAGGCGGCGCTGAAGAACGAACAGGAGGAGAGCCCCTCCACCACCACGCGCAGTGCCAGCGGTAGTGCCAGCCGGACGCCAGAACACTCGTCCACCGCTATCCTGAGTAAAAACGTCCCCACCTTCTACCCAGAGTCAAGATGGGGACTTTGCAACACAAACCTAGGAGTTTTCTTGGGAGTCACGCATGACAAGTTACAGTCCGTCTCCGTAAGGTAGTGCAAGTTACTAGCAAGGAAAGCCGCATCACAAGTCGATCTGCTGGTCCTGTTTAATACAGCATTACAAGTTCCTAAACACGCGTGAAAATGCCTGTCATGGGGTTGTGCGTCACAAATGTTGCTGTCATGGCAAATCTGCAGGACAACTCTGGGGTGGGGATGGTTTTACTCAGGATAGCTGGGGGTTACTCCACCGCGGATTCCGCCGGAAAAGTGGTGTCGGACGATATCCTGTGCAAAAGTATCGTACTCGTATAAATGCATTACAAATTTCCTCAGCATGAGAAAGAAAATTTGTAATGCTGATTTGCCTTGGTAACAAGATTTGTGATGCAAGACTTGCATTTATACGAGTGCGATGCTTTTGCATTCCATAGACGGCCCTCGTCCTTCTGGGTCGGAGGCCCACTCGGACGAGGGCTCGCACTCGTCGCACTTATGGCGTTCTCAACTGTTACATTCTCAGCTGTTGCATGGGTTTGTGATGCAAGAATGGCAAAAGTCAAAGCAGGGAGGTTGCACCTGTAGCATTACAAATTCCGCACAGATTTAGGTGCTGTTTAGCCTTTCCAAAATTTGCCATGCGAAGTAGCTTCACCTTGTGAGTGTTGATGTTCGTTTTGCATTACAAATCATGTAACAGTTGAGAGTGTAACAGTTGAGAACGCCATACCATTCCGGGTCCGAATCGGAGGGGTCGCATTCGCACGACCGGGACGAGCACGAACAACCAAATTTGGACGTGGAACAAATGGACCCAGCGACGGAGGGCGATCTGAACGACGATCCGGAGCTTCCCTCTGAAGCAGATGGGTACGGGGAGTATGGGGAGTGCGAAGACGACTGTGATGAGGACATGAAGCACAAATCCGCCGAGGACATCCAGGATTCCTTCGAACTTTTCCGTTATGAAATGCAAAAATGTGTGGGTCTGGAAACTTGTAATGCTGTGTGGCGTATCATGAGGAGGCCACAATTGCTGGCTCAGCATGACAAGTTTCTGAGCTTCTAGGTGTTTTGCCTATTTTGCATCACAAATTACGTTTCTGCATCACAGAAAAATGGAGCTCTTGGGTAACGTGCATGACAGATTTGAGAGTCATACCAGATCGAAGCATGACAAACTTGCGCTCTACTTCCAGGCCCAGACATTTTTGCATTCGATATCCGCCTCCAATTCTTCTCCCGCGCCGTCTGGATGTACGAGCTGACCGGGGTGCTGCAGGGCGTCGCGGTATGCAGTGCAAAAGTATCGTACTCGTAGTAACTGCAGCAATGCATTACAAATCTAGGTTGTTAAGGTAAATCCGCATTACAAATTTAGTTTGTAATGCTGAGATTATTTGTATTGCGATTTATACTTAGTACGATATTTTTGCAGTTCATACGCGCAGGCCGCCGACGATTTCGAGATCAAGGAAAAGCGCCGGTACGCAGAGGAGCAGCGCAAGCGGGTCCTGCACCTGGGTGCGAAGGAGGAGACGGAGGAGGAACTGCAGCAGCGGCTGCACAACGAACACCTCCAGATCAATGCGGAGCTGGAAAAACGGACCATCAAAATCACCTTCGTCTATTTCGACCACAAGTTCACCGCGGAGGAACACCAGCAGCCCCCGCGCCACCTGTACGTCAAAATCCCGATGTTGTGGTGCGTGCGCAACGTGGAATTCTGCAATCACGGGGTGCACACCTGGACCAAGCGCGCCTTCACCCATTTGAAGCACCCGATCGGCCGCGAGTCGCACAAGCTGCCGGAATATCAACTGCAAAAGTATCGTACTCGTATAAATGCATGACAAATTTTCTCAGCATGAGAAATAGAATTTGTAATGCGGATTTACCTTAAAAAAAGATTTGTAATGCAGAAATGCGATTAGTACGAGTTCGATACTTTTGCACAGGATACAGAAGAGGAATCCTTTTTCTCGGTGTCCTTCAAACCGGACAATCTCGCGGAAGTACCAATCGCAAATATGTCTGGGTCTGGAATAAACTTGTGATGCAAGGAAGAAAATACTGAAAACACTGTAATGCGCTGCCCAGCATGACAAATAGTTTCGCTGTGGTTCATCTGAGTTGCGTACTCCGCATGAGAAACTGCACTTTTGCGCGACAGGAAAGAGGAGCGCTTCGCGGCCACGCAATACAGAGTTCAGAGTCATGCCAGACTAGCATGACAAATATATCTCCCAGACCCAGACATGTTTGCAGTTCATAGGAGGTGAACGAGAACGACGCGCTGAAGGGGGCGGACAACTCCTACTTCTTATGCATTGCAAAAGTATCGCACTCGTAGTAATTATCGCAGTCATGCATGACAAACCTCCATCCCAAGGTAAATCAGCATGGCAAATTCGCCTTTGTCATGCTGACCCAATTTGTAATGCAAAAATTACTACATAGTTATGGTTATGCGATGCTTTTGCAGTTCATACTTTTCCGTGCGCGACATTTCGCGCCTTCTGCACGACCGGCTGCCGACGGGGGAGTTGATGTCCCTGGACCATGACGAGTCGGGGGTGATTGACTATCACGCGGGGCTGGACATGACGAAGGAATTACACTCCCTGATGGAAAACTCCTCGCCCTTCATGGTCCAGCAGTGGCTGCAGCCGGGCACCAAAGCGAAAAACGGACAACTGATTTATGCGAGGCAAATGTGGTTGTTGTGTTTTTCTTCATCTCATCCCGCTCATTTCCTCGATATTCTGTTATATATCAGACTGCTGTGAGTAAGAAAGTATTTATTTTTTTGTCACGTGCGGCGAACCTTGCAGCTGCTCCTGAGATTTCGCACTACAACTTCATGCGCACCAGCTTCTGATGTACCAAATCAGATGAAGAAGTATCCATGATCAAAAATTGCAGCAAGGCACCCGCTAGTTGCTCCATTCAGGGTCTTGAGGAGCGAAGTGCTGTACTGGTGCTGCGCCTGTTGACACAATACAGATTTCAAGATCTTCCTCCTTCTTTTTGTTAGTACACTGCTAGCCGGTGTCAAAAACGCTATATAATTGAAAACTAACGACATATTTGCCCCAAAACTGCATACTATTCCGCCCATCTCGAAGAATCCCAAACTACACGGGAACGCAGGCATGACAGACGAGGAAGCGCAAGCGAAGCGGTCGCACGTTTGGAAGCACCTGCAGCCAATTTTCGCGGTGCCGACCTCCCGGTCCATCAAGGGCAAGGTGCGGGTGTCCATATCCACTGCAAAAGTATCGTACTCGTATAAATGCAAGTCTTGCATTACACATCTTGTTCCCAAGGAAAATCAGCATGACAAGTTCCATTTTATCTCGTGCTGAGCAAACTTGTAATGCAGTTTATACTAAGTGCCTTGCTTTTGCAGTTCATAGTCCAGTCCGCGCACCGACAAACTGCTGGGGGAAATGAAGGGGAACCGGTTCGAGGAGGATTGGTTGGAGTCGCTGGTGATATCAAATGCGAATATGTCTGCGTCTGGAAATTTGTGATGCATGTCAGTGAAAAGAAAGCACACTGTAATTATTCACCGCGAGGCATGACAGATTTATGTTTATCCTTGATGGCTCCGTGTTGCAGCGTATTCGGCAAGACAAACAGCGTTTTTGCATGACAGATAAGAGGAGCTCTTGCTGGCCACGCAATACAGAGCTCAGTGTCATGCCCGACTAGCATGACAAATACCGCATCCTTCCAGACCCAGACATATTTGCACTTGATAGGTGAGTTACAAAAACAAGATCACCACGCCCTTCTTCACGAGCACGATTCATCACATGAACACGAAAGTGGTGGTGTGATCATGTAAGATGGACGAGGAGATGAAGACATGTGAAGTACCTGGACAAGAAGCTGTCGTGTTGAGTTTCTGTTGCAAAAACTTCTACACGTGTAGAAGATGGTGTATTAGCAGAGTTGCTCATTGTTCACAGCCTCTTGAAGATGCTTCTCCCGTCGAAAGAAGTGCTCATCTGGTCAACATTTTTAATTTACCTATCGCATCATTTTGGAACACATTTCTTGATACATATCATTTTTCATTTTTAATACACAGTAGTTTAAACCTTTACAACTTTTTCAGCACGACGCCATATTTGACATTATTTTACATGATAAAGCTTTCAACCAGCACCACTGCTCTCGTGATCGCACGTGCGAGCTGCAGGCTTTTTGTATTTCATAAACAGATTCGAAACAGGTGAAGTGAGATTAAATTGAGTTTATCTTTATTGGAATTATGTGTAAGTAACTAAGTACCTCCTGAGAAGGTACTATGCGCCCTAAGAAAATAATCGAGTTCTTTTCGCACCAATTTCTCATCACAGGCACTACTAGTACTACACCGATAGGGTAGTTTACTAGAAGCACCTCGATGTTGAGTCACTCAACCAAAGTAGTGCTACAACGCACTGACTGCACAAGAGATTCTATCGTGGAGATTTCTTTTCCACGATTGACGTTGACAGGTTTAGAGTTTTTTTCTGCCACTACAAATTAATTCAAAAATCGCCGATTACGAGTTCTTCGAGTCATTTGCCACTTGCAATTGATCGCCGATGTTAGTTTTTACTACTGAGTTGTACTAAATTTTCAGATAATTTTTATGCCGATTTCTGATTTGTATATTGTTTTGGTAATATGCAAAAGGGTCGCTCTTGATACAAGAATGCTCCGCTATAGGTGGACGAGGAAGCAATGCACACGGTCTATTCCGCGGAAGCAATGTGCACTGCCACTGTATCTATCATCGACTGATTTTTGCATTAGAGTAAAACAAAACGAAAACTACACGAGTTGTCTTAAATTTCAATGCCAGTTCTACTACAATTTTCGAGATAGAATTGTCATCAGACAAAATTCTTTCAATAGCGCAAGAACAGTTCTAGTTTTTCAAGCTTCAGAAAAGAAGTTAATATGCAAGACTTCCAGCAACGAAAATTCACCCCCTACAAGAACCCCAATAAAATTTCATCGTAATTTAGTAACGGCTCAAGAACCATCAGCACATAATTAGTCGAGCACCGCCCGCAGAGGCGAATATGCGGTGTGGGCCACAGGCTGGTAGTCCTTCCAACAATCGCCGGAGCCCGAAAATTTTACTACTTTTACTTTGAATTTCCCCACTGTTGCTCTACTGAAAGAACGTAATTACCAGCACTTGTTGTAAACCACGAATAAAAAGTAGAGTGTCGTGCCTAAAATGAGAAATGCCGGGGCCTCAGGGTCACCAGCAAGAACCAACACAACTCACACTAAGAACAGCCAACAGGAGCACAACTTCACGCAGGAGTTGTATCTATGCGCACACTCATAGTAGAGCAACAGTGGAAAACAAGACGTCGACACAGCATCGCCAAACGCGGAACAAGAAACACTGCACTGGTGCAGCATACTGGGAGACGCAGGAGGAGATAATGGAGTTATCCAACAACTTCTTTCTAGCTTCTACCCGCGCTGTGTAGTCGTCGTCTGAATCTGAAAATTTGTTTCTCGTCGGAGAAGCACGACGATGAACATAGTTTCTGTAGCTGTAACACGACAACAAACTACACAACTTTTTTGTAACGAAAACGCATACGCAACACCTCCAAGCATTAATATCACACCATCACTTAAAAACACGCACCACAACTAGCGAAGCACGGTACTTTTTAACTACTTTTTCTACCGGAGAAGACAAGGACAACAAAAACGGAGACATTTTTAAGGAGGAACAGGAAGTAGGTAGACAGCAGCAGCACAAAAAATGCCCCGGTCAGGAGTGCTTCTATTGAAAAAAAATATCAAAAAAAACAAAAAAAAGCACGTCCTAACTTTTCAAACTTTGTTAAACTTTTACATCATCACACGTTCATCCATACCTCTTTTAGATTTACATACACATTATCACAGTACTTATTCAGCTCGATATTTTCTTTTATTTTGGATATTTCATCAGTTTTTTGTTTATCATCTTCGTAGCATTTTCTTTTTGTTTTAACATGATTCATACACCCAAGTCATTTTCAGGTTTTTTGCAACAAATCAAATGTACAGCCCTATTAACCTTGTTACTCTCGACCAAAGCATCCCATTTTCCGCTGCTCTGTCTGTGCTATTTTACCACTCTGAATGTCGACTACAAAGTGCAGCCACAGATGCTGTTGCGTTTGTGCCGCCATAAAAATAGTAGTTGCGAAAACAAAATCTCCGGCGCCCGCTACAGGAGGTAGGGGACGAAAAATGTAGAAGAGGTACAATTTTACGTGCTGAAAATGAAGATTAGAACACCTAGCGAAAGTGCGAACTTTTTTGCGCTTGATCTCGACTTTACAACGTTTGTACCAAATTTAAAGCTTTCGTCCATCACTTCTTTGACTATGTTTTATTTCGCATAATTACAACTCAAATTTCTTATTTCTACTTATCATTTTGTACTACAACGACGTATTAAAAATTTTATCGCCCGACTCTTTATGCAAAAGATTCCTGACTACGAACTCAAAGTCAAACACTCCTGTGCTCAAGATTACGGACGCGGCTGTAACACAAATTCTCGAAAAGAAACGTGATTTGCTAGTGGTCCGGGTACACAGTTGTATTGTTGCTGGAGCAGCATGCCCAGACGGGTCTTTGCGTAACTTGCGGAAAAAAAAAGAAGCGAACCCGTACCAGTACACAAGAGCGCTATGAAACAAACCGCGGCCACCGTCTACTGGAATTGTGACAGGCGTCGAGCAGCTCAGCGCAGTACTTCTGAACCAAGATGACTAGCTTTCGAACACTAAGCGCCGCAAGCAACTATCCTTAAACTTTCTGGACTTTATTCAAATCAATTTTGTTGAAGGGGTGACCATCTCTACTCTGTTGGCAGAACAACATCAAGTGACGTCACGGCGTCAGAAAAACACTCTGCAGCCCCCACACTGCAGATGAAGAGTAGGAAGCCATAGATATGATCACAGGGCCCTTTCCTCCCCCAATTTCGTTTTAGTATTTGCCGTAAAAAAACACAAGCTGACGACGCGACAAGAGCAAGAAACAGTAACAGGAGTCGGGCGGTAAAGAGAAAAGATCTTTAACGAAAAAAACTTGAGCTAGTACGTTGCCCACAGTCCTGAATGGACGAGAGTGGGTGGTCGCGGGCATCGGCAGATGGCTTTGCGAGCCCGCTGCTGAATGTGTTCGATGGCGCCGAGAAATTGTAGCTGCTTCTGCTTCTGTGTTGCTGTTGCTGCTACCATTGGACGAGCACGATGAAAGCAGTACTTCTGGTGTTGCAGCTATATCGAAGTATATTACGCTGCACATCGTGGTTCAGAATGCGTCTCGCTATTGACTTCGATGCAGTAGATTTGTGCGAAAGTAGTGTTGACTCCCCGCAGCTGTGGTATTTTTTCCCCTCTGTCTACGACTCCGTCCGACGTGGTGGAGGGTCAGCAGGGTGAATGGAAAGATAAGAAGTTGCAGCAACGGAGGGCAGTATTCATGTAGCTTTATGTCATGATCTCATCGCGCCGCGCCGAGAGCATGAACGTTATCAACCTGATGTAGTCTGTTCTTGTTATCATGGAGCATGGGAGAGAGGCCTTCGTGTCTGGATTTTTACGTATTGCCATGCCATGCATCAATGTTTACGTTTTTCATATTAGTCGTTCTTTCGCCCTACGTATTGCCCGCGCGCTACGCTCTACGGGTGGAGCGGTTGTTGGGGGGTAGAGGTCATTTTTCTTCTCTCAACACCGACGACACGCTTCATTTTTCTGTATCTTTACTAACTCATATAGCACGCCTTGTCCCCACCTATTTCGGTTGATTTAGACTTTATAAGGCAAGGAAAAAGCAGGAAAAGTGCCAATTTTTCTGCTTCTTTTCCTACTCGCCTTGTCCCCATCTAAAAATGAAAACTTGCAAACAACAGAGATGCTGTTTTGGTTCTAAGTCAGTAATTTTTAGGCGTAAACTGCCGTCAGCGAATTTCCTTAGTTTTTGTAGCTTTTTCTTGTTCAAATTGATCGCCGTAACAATAGAAATCAGGAATTTTTAGGCGTAAACTGCCGTCAGGATCTTCACCGCCAGGATCTTCACCACTTTCTGTTATTTTTGAATCACGGCTTGTAGCGCTTTTGAAGGTTTTCACAGTACCAAGCCCGTTATTCTGACCCTTAGCCGTGTTTTGATACCGATCTTCCAAAACTCGCACCCTCACACACACTAACACACAAAATACGAAGATCTTCACGACCTAAGAAACGTCCGTTCCTCAATTTCTAATCTGTATCTGTCACTTTTCACTACCAAAAGTACTCACTCTTTTACGGTCCCCAAAATACTCAAAGGTTTAAGGCTACCCAGGTTTTTCAATAGTTTAAGGCTTCCCAGGTTTTTCAAGTAGTTCATGGCTTCCCAAGTTTCCAGTTTTGCTGTCTGTTGAAAAAGAAAGAAGTTCTAACGCTAAACGCAAACAAACCATTTTACGACCGATCCTGGAGCTGCGAGTGCGTGGCTTCAGTTTCGAGTCCGAGTTTTTGGGCAGATAGGCGCCCGTAGCCATTTTGGCTCAAGGCCTTGCGCCTTGTTGCCACGTTTCCATAGAAAAAGGGGGCCGTGCTGCCCCACGTGCCCCCGGAGTGAGAGTTAAGATACGGTCGCGGGCAGGCGGCCACTAGATCCAAAAAAAAAACAAAAGATGCGTCGTCACTTATTCTTCTTTCACCGCCCTGGGCCGCTCTGCTTGCGGCCCAGGGGCCCCACACATCCGCCGTTCCCGGATGCTCGTGTGCGTCTTCGAAAGGACATTGACGTGCGTAGAAGATCCCGAATGTTGCCGTCTTCGATTCGGATGAGGCCCCCGGGTTACACGCGAAAGTCGGGCGACGCTCCGCCACGTGCTCCGTGTTCGAAGTCGCCGACAGACGCCTGGTCGTCGTGGAGGCGTGGGTGTTTTTCTGGTCAAGACGACTTTAAAGACCGAGGCGTGCTTTCTGGCCGCGGCGTGGATACATATCGCTGACCAAGCGCGTGGAGGCGGCGCCGCGGGCGGGCTGATCAGGGACTTACTTTTTCTAGAAGTTAGCGATAGTTTTTTTGAGGCAACGATCAAGGTCATTTATTTGGGGTTCCGGTAGGAGTATGATTGCATGCCAATGGGCTACTAGCGACAAAAGAATGTTGTATCTGTCTGAAGATTAAGGCGCAGTTCATCTGCTCGGCACTGGAGTCCTAGGCTCATACACCTGGCGGGACTATTTGTCGTGCGGTGGGCTGTAGCTATTTGCATCGCGACCAACGTCCAAGCTTGTTCTTGTTATCATGGAGCATGGGAGATTTTTACGTATTGCTAAGGCCTCTCCCGATTCTGCCGCTTGGGTTTTTCTTCCTCTTTTATTCAACAGCTCGACTTAGTTAGTTTTTTCTCACGAGAAGTTCTTGCAGTAGAGCAGAGTTTTTTTTTGCCCGCTTTATTGCGCAATGGGATCTCATGCTTTTCGTTTCGCTGTATTTATCTTCGCAAGCAGTTCGGCTCACCTTCAGTTTGTTTCTCGCTACAGGATAAGACATTAGCATCACAGTCGTCTGTTTTTGCTGCTCCTACGAAAACATGAGGTAATCAGATTGTAGGGAAGATATTCTCGTCCGAAGAATTTCGCAACAGGAAATATCATGTACAATCACCGTAGCGCCCTTGGTACGCTGAATCAGCAGTCAAAGCTGGTGGACTTGACCCTGAAGCGCGCGGACCGCGGTCGGTACCTCGTGAAGATAAACGAAGACTTGGACGTCATACATCACAGACATCATGGATCATGGAAAATGTGCATGACAAAGTTGTGCTCTTCCAGACCCAGCATTAGAGATTTTTAAGGCCTTCGTGTCTGGATTTTTACGTATTGCCATGCGTCATGGATGTTGTAGTTTTTACCCAAGTACTACACCAAGATTTGTAGAAGTTTTTACCCAAGTACCCAAGTGCAGATTTTGATATATAATTGTTCAAGCTTCTCATCGTCATCGTCCACAGAGCTCGTCCATGTGTTCATCTTGATCATGTGTTTTTACTCTGTCCGCCCTGGCCGCAACTCATCGCGCCAGAACAGTCAGTTGTAGAGCACGGTCGCCGGTGGCAGCACTACAGTGCAAGAACCTTTCGGGCAAACAGAAAATGCCACATCAGGAGAGGGGTTAAGACCAGCGCACCAAAGCGGCGGCAAGAAGAAGTGCAGCACGGAAGAAATAAACACTACCCTGTGCCCGCTAGTAATCTGTCTCTTCATACCAGCAACCGTCCGTCTCTATCAGCCTGATCTTCATCATTTGCCTCAACGACGGAGCAGCTTCAAGAACCAGTGCTAGATAAGCAGTGTTCGTCAACCAGCGAGGACCGCGTAGAGGCGGATGCGGTGTGGAGCATTGGCTTTGTTCCACCTCATCTAGTTGCTTTTGTCGAAAAAAAAACAGCAGAAGTAGCGAGGAGCGGTAGCGAGGAGCTGTTCATTTCATCTTCTCCGTCCTCTAGCAGTGCGTATGCGGGGTAGCAAAGCCTGACCTCTTCGTCGTACTTAACTACCTTCCGACCGGCGCCGGTTGCGCAGTTGTTCTTTTGCGGCGGTCTACTTCGTGCGCTTTAGCGTCGCGAACGCCATGCCGGCCTCGCAAGCCTACTCACCTCGGCTGGAGTCCTTGGAACTCTCCATGCGAAACTCTGTGCAGACTATCCCACGGAAAAACTGTTTCACTGTGGTGGTTTTGCAAAATCTGCATCACAAGTTTGCTACGCATGACACTCAAAATCTGTCATGTCGGGTTCCCAAGGGAAGACACAGCTAGAAATCAATTGTCTTGCATGTGTAGCATAACACTCACACTTCTGCGATCCATTTTCTGCATCACAAGTTCACAGTGAAGCAGCTTCTTCTTGCGATACAGACCCTGCACGAGGTAATCGAGCAGCAGCAGAAGGAGATCCTGTTGCTAAAGACCAAGCAGGAACAGCTGAGCAAGCGGTTGGATTTCTCCGAGAAAACGAACGCGAAGCACCAGAGCGAAATCATCCAGCAGCAGGAGGCGGACAACAAAATCTTGAACCAGCTCAATGTCGTCGTGCAACAGAAAAAGCCGGACATTGAGGACGTGAATAAATCCATGGACGCGCTGGTGCAGCTGTTCGACGAGAAGCTTCTCGAGCAGTCCAAATCCTTCGTCAAATCAGACTATTTCGACGACAAGCTTCTCGACTTCCAGGTGCAATTTGACGAGCGGGCGCTGTTGCTGTGCGATGAGGAAAAGCTGTACCCAGGAAAAAACACCCATTCCCATCCAATTTGTGATGCAACACATGTATGCAGTCCTGTGTTTGTCATGCGTAAAATGGAATGGGATCATGGTTGTTTATTCCTGGATAAGCTGCGCAAGATGGTTCTCAACGACGACAACATTGTGGAAAAGCTGCTAAAGCCGGACGGGTATGAGTTGCAAAATCATCGTGCTTGCATTTAGTATAAATTGCATTACAAATTGAGTTAGCATAAGAGGGCGAATTCGAATTTGGGATGCTGTTTCAGTTTGGAGATACGATTTGTCATGCATATCTGCGACTAGAAGTCGAGTGCGATACTTTAATTTTTGCTATGCATAACGGATCCGACCCCATTTCCAAGCACCTGCACGCCCTCGCCTACCAGAATTCGCAGATTGATCTGAACGTTTCGAAGCTGACCAGTTGGCGGGAAAACATGGAAATGCGGATTTCGCAAATTTCTGAGACCGAGGAAGTTCACTACGAGCAACTATTGAAGAAGTACTACGGCCTCCAGGAAGACTTTTCCGACTTCGTCCAGGAACAGAAAAACAAACCCACCGCACAGAGCCTCCTGGGCGCTTTAATCTCCGCTCCCAGCCCGAATTCGCCGACGACATCGGGCGCTGGAGAGAGTAGTTTTCCGACCGGTTCTGGGGCCAAAGACGCGTCGTCACCCGGGGGCGGGTCGAGCGGGATCGTGAGCAGAACTGGTGTCCAACACAACTTTTTCGGCGGATTGGCTTCGAACACCAATATCGCAAAAAAAAACTGTTTCACTGTAAACTTGTATATGCAGAAGATGTATCTGAGAAGTATTTGTCTTGTTACACATGCAAGACAGTGGAACTTTACGTGTGTTTTCCCTTAGGAATCTCGCATGGCAAATTTTCTTTGTGATGTAGAACAAACATGTGATGCAAAACTTGCAAAATCATTACAGTGAAACACTTTTTTCATACGATAACCAACAACGCAAGCATAATGGCTCACAACCACAACAGTAGTGTCAAGGCGAAAGATATCCGCAGTAACTTTCCCCCCGTACGCGACGTACAAATGCGGTCTCTGCATGACAAAATTTGGCTCCGATCCTAGTCTAGCATGACAAGTGTTAGTACACTGCAAATTGGTGAAATTTGTGATGCATCTTGTACATTTCCGGGAATAAATTTGTATTGCATAAAAGACATCGAGCGCATTGTGAATTCGGAGATCGACGTGTTGCGTGCCGATGTCGAAGCGCGGTACGACGTGCTGCACGCGAAGATACAGCTACCAAATGTAAAAGTGTCTGGGTCTGGAAGGTTGGAACTTGTGATGCTAACTCTGGACTGTAAAAAAAACCTGTATTGCATGCCCAGCAAGAGGAGTCTAGTTTGTGCAACGCGGGGAGGGCATTTGTCATGCGGAGTAGCCATCAGGAAGCCCTCTAAAAAACTGTGATGCTAAGTCGTGCATTACAGACATCCTCGGTCATGCAAAATATGCAGGACAAACCCGGCAACATTCCAGACCCAGACATTTTTGCATTTCATAACAGCTGATCAGTGACCAAATTTGGAAGGACCAGGAAAATGCAGACTACCACTTCAAATCGCCTGCCCTGAGCGTTTATGCAGTGCAGCAAAAGTCTCACGTATTTAGTACGTACTAATTGCAACACAAATTCTATCTTGAAAAGGAAAAACCGGATTATTTGTGATGCTGGTTCATGTATTGTAAATGAATTTGTCATGCATGTGATTGCAATTAGAACAAGTGCGTCGAAGATGTTACTTTTGCACAGGATAGCGGCAACGCAAACGCTGCCAGGAACAACGGCGGAGGATTCAAAGCGATTACGACGCCGATTTTAGATAAGGCACCAGACCAGGAAGACAACGGTGGTGGGGTTCTTGTGCCATCCGCGGCGTCGTCAGCACTTTCCGAAAGCTGTGAACAGCTAAAGCTCAATACATCGTCGAGCGGTGTAGGACAAGGACGGAATATCAGTGCAGATGACGGCAGCGGTGTCGGCGGCGCAGGAGGGGGAGCTTCAGCTTCCTCGTCCTCTTCTTCTAATAAGGTCGCGCTGAAGCCCTCAACGCCCAGCCTGGTGTCGCCACAGGTTTGCGATTACAACTCCGCTGGAAAGGAGGAGGATCATCAACATGCTATTGTCCTCGCTGGGAACAACCCGAATCGTACCGACGAAGGAGACCACCATCAAAGAAATGACTTCGACGATTTTCTGCATAACAACAGCACGACGTTGCAGGGGAGCGTTGTCCTCCTTGAGGGGCGGGACGCAGCCAAGTTGAAAATCCACCACAAGGGAAACAAGCAGGCAGGTGACAGCAACAGCATGCAGATTCTGCCGGCGAATCTCAAAAAGTCTGATCTCGTCACCAAGGACCAGTTTCTCGCTCTCACAGCGTTGGTCGAGTCCAAAGTCTCCTTGGCGGACCTGCACAGCAAGGTGTGTGGAATCGTGAATAGTAAGCTGAAAAACCTAAATCTAGCTGGACAACAACCACCCGGAGCTGCCGGTGGAAGCTCGGGCGCGGAAGCAGCTGCTGCCCGGGGCAACAAGAACTCTTCGTCCTTGGTGAAGCGAAATAACTTGACCTCCAACAAGAACCGCGCAGGTGTTCACGGAGAGCAGGCTAATCTAGAAGGGCCTGCTGGTTTACTATCATCCTCACCTCCACGGCCAGCTGGGGACGAGGTAATAGCACTCAGCACGACCGCGACGGAGCTTGCAGTGGATATCCAGCCCGAACAATTAATATCCCGACCAGGACTGCTAGGTCTATTACAACCTGAAGACTCCTCCTCGTTCCGAAGTCCGCTTCAAAGTCTCGCTCTGTCTACGGCCGCCTCGCCAGATCAGGATCCGTTGCGGGGGGACGACCACGAAAATGAGGGGCGGAGGAATTATCAACATATCAACGCAAGCAAGGTTTTCAGCGAGTATCTCAGTCGGTTCATCTCGATGGAGTCCTTTGCCGGTCCGCAGCAGGATTCAGCAAATTTCAGCACGAGAATCCCAGATTTGTACGATTTGAAGACCCCGATGTCAACATCAGTACTCGCACCAGGGCAGAACCGCTCTACCGCAACTGGGAATGACACGACCGGCTGCGGGCTAAGTAATCCCAAGAAAAAACTGCGCACTCCCCTTATAGTCAAGATGGAGATTCTTGTGCTTGACAAATCCAGAACTTCTCTTGGAACTCACACATCATGATCATGACGAGGCTACGTATGCAGTGCACGCGTCGTGGCTAGCTAGTTGAACAGCCGCATCTAGAAGTCAGTTTGTCTTTGTTGATGGTTAGAGCATGACAATTTGTTTTTCAAACAGGAAAAGAATATGGATCTCATGGACAGGCGCATGCGAAACATTCTAGCCATGCAAGCTCAAAAATGATAATGCATTTTTACAGATCATCATGTTTATAGTGGGGTAGTAAATACGTTTTTGCGCAGGATAAGCAGCGAGAAGAGCCAGGTGGAGCAGATCTGGCAGGCGTTGCCCTCCGTGATCCAAAAACACCTGGACGTGGGGAACTACGTTCCCGTATCCTTTGTAAAAAACGCCCCGACCCCATAGTCAACCTGGGGATTTTCATTTTGCAACACAAACCTAGAAGTTTTGGGACTCACGCATCACAAGTTGCAGTCCGTAGTGTAGTGCAGGTTAGCAAGGACAAACGCATCACAAATCCATCTGCTTATCCTGGTTACAGCATTACAAATGCCAAAACACGACTTCATCTAGAAATGCCTCTCATGGAGATGCGCATTACAAATGTTCCTGTGGTTGCGAATCTGCATTACAAGAACTCTGGGGTCGGGAGGACGTTTTTACAAATGATATCCCGGAAACCAGATTCAGGCTTACGTGGACGCCAGACTCAACGGTCCCGTAACTGTATGCATTGCAAAAGTATCGTACTCGTACTAATCGCAATCATGCATCACAAATCTCCATCCCAACGTAAAACAGCATGACAGATTCCGTTTGTCATGCTGAGCTAAGTTGTAACGCAACAACTACTCGTACGGATGCTAACTCTGGACTGTAAAAAAAACCTGTATTGCATGCCCAGCAAGAGGAGTCTAGTTTGTGCAACGCGGGGAGGGCATTTGTCATGCGGAGTAGCCATCAGGAAGCCCTCTAAAAAACTGTGATGCTAAGTCGTGCATTACAGACATCCTCGGTCATGCAAAATATGCAGGACAAACCCGGCAACATTCCAGACCCAGACATTTTTGCTTTTGCACTGCACAGGCTGCGTTCATGCCTCCCTCGGGAAAAAGCGCAGGCACAACAGCTTCAACTTCCACTCCAAAAAAGCTTTCCGAATTGGTAGACGACGAGCGCCGCATCAAAAACGCCTGCGAGTCGCTGTTATCCACAGTAAATTTCCCGTACACGTACAAATGCAGTCTCTGCATGACAAAACTTGCTTCAGTCCTAGTCTAGCATGACAAGTTGGACACTGCAAGTTAGCGAAATTTGTCATGCATTTTGTACATGATGTACGGGAAATTTTCACTGCATAGCTGTTGCAGAAAAACACGGGCGCGCTCTTTGCGAAGCTCCAGCAAGACCTGCAGTCCGAGCTGGCGTATTCAGTGCAATAAATTTAAATATGTCGGGGTCTGGAAAAATGCAAGGTTTGTCATGCTCGGCTAGCAAAACTCTCAGGTCTGTCATGCACGTTACCCAAAAGCCACATTCCTTGTCATGCGGAAACTACGCAGTGTAGGCAACACCTAGAACAAGCAAGGTCAGAAACTTGTCATGCTTCGCCATCATTTCCACTTGTGGCCTCCTCGTGATACGCCACTCAGCATTACAAGTTTCCAGATTTCCCAGACATATTTCCAATGCATATGGCGTTGCTGTTTTTGAAGGAAACCGAGGAAACGAGCAAAAAGATGCTGCTGAAAGCCGACCTCAGTATGAATTGCAAAAGCATCCTCGCCCTAGTACACATTACATTACAAGTTTTCTCAGCATGGCAAGTTGGATTTGTCATGCTGTTTTACCTCGGAAAGAAAATTTGTTATGCATGCCCACAATTAGCACGTGTGCGACACTTTTGCACAGGATACTCAGCGACGTGATGCAACTGCAGGACGAAGTTGAACGGAAAGTGGCGGAAAAAATTTCGGAGTTGGCAAGTCGCGATGGCCGCCTAGTAGACTCAACGCCCCAGCAGCAGATGCAGATCAACAGCCGGGTGTGTCGCTACGTGTGGCGCGGCACGGATGCCGACAAGCTGTGCGACCCCGTGTTTGAATATGAATCAGTGAATTTAGAAGTTTTCACGATGCCACACACGTACAGTGAAAGTTGGTAGTACTGAGTGGATTGCATGACAAAACTAGTAGTCCTCCTCCTCAATCATATTCAGCATAGCTCTTCTTTATGTCGGCGAAATCTGTCTTGCGTTGTGTACCTGCGAAGTGGCAAGAAACAACCGTAAATTTGTATTGCATACCGAAGATGACCTAGACGCCTCGGTGCTGTCTGACGCGGCAAGTACTGGTGACGATCGCCCCACTCCTATAAAATGCAAAAGTATCTGGGTCTGGAAGACCGCGGAAATTTGTCGTGCTGTTTTTCCGTGACACGAAAGGTCTGGCATGCAGTCTTTAGCATTACAGGGCTTCAGAAGGTGCATCAAGATCAATGCCTGATCTGCATGACAAATCCCCTCTTTCGGTGACACAAAGTGGGCCACTTTTGCTGTCCGCGTATGACAGATTTTTGTCTGATTTGAAATGCGCATGACAAGCTCGCATCCTTCGAGACCCAGACATTTTTTCAATGCATAACGCCCCGGGCTTCGCTAAACAAAGAGCTCACGGGCGGAGGGGGTGCCAAATCCTCGTCGTGTTTTACGATGGTGGAGCGCACGGAATCTGCGGCGTCGCAACCGGACGTGCAAAAAATTTCTACCGGAGATGGTGGAGAGGTGGTGGCGAGAAAAGGTATATTTTACTTACGGTCACTTGCAGCTTTCCCCCCCCCCCCCGTGCCTAACTGACCGTGATCATAGTAGTTGTAGCAGTCGTCATCGAGCGAGGACAAGAACCATTCTGTATCAGTATCGAACTGTGATCAAAAAAGCAGCTCCGTTCGCAGTCAGTCACGACTGCGCTACTAGAGATACGATTGAATCTGCTCCTTCATTTCCTTCTATGGTGTGTCTCGCAGAACCAGAAGCGTTTTAGGAGGCGAAGGGTCTTCTGATTGCATACTATTTCATTCTCACAAATGCAAATTCTCCAAATCGATCTCGAACAGACCCGACGAACAGTTGCCGTCCCAGTTGTAAACGAAAGAACTTAATACCGTGGGAGGTTGAACTATTAAACACGGACCCCGCGTTGTTTCAGCAAGGCCGGCCTGATACCGGTGATGTCGCAGCGCTGCAACAAGAAAGTCGAAGTGGTTCCACTGGGGTGGATCTCCAAGTACAAGTCCAACAGCGAACAAGCGATCAGCAAACCGAAATTTTACTGACGGAAGGGGGCTATGCATTGCAAATAAGGAATCGCACTCGTACAAATGCATATATAAATTTCCTCAGCATGAGAAATAAAATTTTTAATGCGAATTTACCTCAAGAAAAAGATTTGTAATGCAGGATTGCAATACGAGTGCGATACTTTTGCACAGGATAGGGGCCTGTACTTGATTTCCACTGCCATGTTTGGCGGCCACAGCCCGAAACTCCGTATTTTTTTGAATATCAAGTGCCAATATGTAGTCGGGGTCTGGAAAGTTGGAACTTGTAAAGCTAGTCTTGCATTTCTCCTGTGAAATCTGTCTTGCGCGACCAACGTCAAAAGTCGCAGCCTCTCTTGTACTTGTCATACCAGATGGAAGAACGCAGTTTCTCATGCGGAGTGCGTATGCGAAAGCGTTCTGCAAACTTGTCATGCTGTCCTGCACATTGGAAGTGTTTTCATGATCATGCACACTTGTCACAAATTTCCAGATCTAGAGGACATATTTGCAATTCATACCGAACGGCCGGGTCCAGCTCGAGAAATACTTGGAGAACATGGAGCCGCAGGAGGCCACGGGAATCTCCATCGTCGAATATTTCGTGGTACTTGCGAATTCTCGAATATCCAAGCAGAAAATTGTGTTCGTGTTTTTTTTGGGTGCGACAGCATCACAGATATGTTTTGCATGAGAAGAAAAGTTGTCAATGTCTTGCTGAAACTGCATATTATCCGTATCCAGCATGACAACTAGTGCGGCCCTCTTGAATTATCGGCTGCTGCATCACAGATTTACACTAGCACAAATTTTTTTCTATGCATACCGGATTTCCGTTTCCTTTACATGCGAGATGAAGGAAGACGACTGCTATCCACCTGAGGGGTTTCTGGAGATACAGAAATTGTAGTACTTCATTTCTTCCTGGATACGACAGTCTAGGACACCAAAGCAGGAGTTGGACGAGCAGCATGCCAAATGTCACGAACAGGAGCGGGACGGGGAGAAATAGATACATCATCTTCTACTACCTGTCGTGCGGAACGAGACTACATCTACAACTCAGAATAGAAAGACTGTGACTGTCATGTTGCTCAAATAGAAACCTGAAAGAAGAAGAACCATCTGTGTGAGGGCTACCACGCTGCGGCACACCAGGACTTTGTTTTCTTCCAAGAAAAAACTAAAGATGTATGAAGTCGCCGGCGGTGCTACTAGTTGTAGATGTACGTCGTGCGCGTACAAAGCAAAGAATGCTTCCTCCTGATGGCAGCTCCTGGTACTTGAATGATTCGGCTTGTTTCTTCTCGCGTTCTTTTGAGCATCGTTTTGAGGAAACATCTTACGCCGGGCGACAGCCAACATCAACTACAAAGTCCCAGCTGTCTTCCTGAAGTAGATTTTTCGTTTCGACTCATTTTGACGAACTCCTGTCACTGACTCAGATCATCGGTTGTCGGAGGTGGCCAGTAGAGGCTACGCAGTTCGGTTCGTACTTCGTGTTTGTTGCAGATTCATCAGTTCTGCCGCAAAATTTCGGCCATGTCCTCAGACTTGACATTGTCCCATTATGTAACTAGATGAAATGGCAGAAGATGTAGAGGTGCGCATTCTTTGATGGTACAAAAGATTCTGTACGCAGTCAGAAATCCGTCGGACTGTCTTTCTCGTCGGTGACCAAAATGTGGGTTCGTTTCGTCCAATATGATGGCCATATACACCATCCGTTTTTTTGCCGCAATAAAAATGATTTCGCCACCACCGTATAACTTCGTCGGTCAAAAATGCTCGTCGTGCCCGTGCCCCTTCGTACGCATGACAAAAAACCACGTCGACCTCGATGGCACCATAGGAACAAGCTGTCGGTCGTCTACGTACTTCTACTTACTAGTTTCTCCTACCTTCTCGTTCAGTTTGTCGTGTCGTTGTCAAGAAGTTGCAGTTCGTTGTCTTCTTCAGTCGTGCCGACAAGCAGATTTCCATTTTTCTCCCCAACTGCAACACTGTCGCGACAACAAGCTTCGCCTCGGTTTCAAACTGGGCCACCTTGTTTTGCAACTCACAACCACGAAGAACCTCCTCCTCACCGAGAAGATTCTCCCAACCCAAACTAACACTAAAACCGCTCGCAAAACCACCTTTTACTAAACTTAACAACTACATTTTCATTTTCATCTAGAGCAACCTCAGCATCCCTGCGGTAGTCTAGTATCAACTTAAACTTTCAACCTTCTCACCAGCAACAATCTCGTATTTATTCATATTTCTTAATTTCAGTATCCCTGCCTTCATTTCTGTTTTCCTTTTCAGCATTTCATTCAATCATTGTTTGTCGTATATTGCAGCATCTTGTTTTCAGTTCATTTTTCATCATCATCTCCATCACCACTAGTACATTAATATCTGAAATAAATTTACAAGTAATTGTTTCATCAAAATTTTCTGCAGTTTCGAAGTCCTCGAAGATCCAATACTATTTCTCACTACTTCATTATCACGCACCTTTAATTTATCCATTCGCTCTTCTTTTTTGTTTTTCGACCAAAGTAGAACCAAAAAACCGCTCCAATTGCGTACCCCGCAGAGGACGGATTTTCCCACATCAAGCAACACGACGGAGCACGACGATAAGAGTAGCATGTAACCCTGCTACCTCTACTTCCGTTCTACCTCTACTTCCGTTGCTGATACAGTGCCAGACTTCAGTTCAAGAAATTAAAAACTTTTTTCAATTACACATCACCGAGTACTACTAGTACTTGTAAGAAGACGCGAAGTAGACGACGACAAGCAATACAACAAGAGCCTAACGGATCATCTACAACAGCTACACTCGAATCAACATCGGCTTGTTGAAAAATAAACCAGTGCTGCGCTGACACCAAGACCTGCTTCAACATGACGCGCACCAAAAGTTTTGTTCGGGTGGCCGGGAGTACCTCTTGCCTTCTGGCAACGCCCGTGCTGGTGGAGGCGACTCCGACCGAGGACAAGTACGCCTTTTTGAAGGATCCCGACGATAAGCCGGACCCAGAGGCCGTGGCCGCGTATGAGAAAGCGAAAAAGATGCTGGAAGACGGGTTGAGCAACGGGCCCGCTTTATCCCACAGAAAATATAAAGCTACCACAACAACATTTGTTTCTGTTCCGCAAAAATAAATACTTAAGTGCACCAAAGAACAAACCGCAGTGAATATCCTAAATGTAAAAATCTTATGCTGTGGCTTCGCCAACGACAGTGATGATTGCTTTTCATTTCATTGTGTGCGTCTCTCGACGTTTATTGATGCATGACTCGAGAAGGATGAACATGAAGATGAACAAGTGCAGTGTGCTAGCTTCTTTCTATGGCATACGTTTGGCCTGGCGAAGAGGAGGGGCAAGGGGAGAAAGAGACCAAAGGGCGGTCCAGCTCCTCGTCGAAGGCCGGCCGGAGAAAGAAGCGCCGTGCCTCGAGCTCGGGTCGGAAAAAGGAGAAGAATGCGCGCGAAGGTGACTCGAATTCGTCCACAGCAGGCAGCGTGTTGGAGGACGATGCAGCGTCGGCTTCCGTTCTCCTCCAGACGCAAATCGCAATGGGCTTCGAAAAAATGAACAAACGCCTGGAGGATTTGGAAGCGCGCCTCGCAGAAATCCAGAGACCGGCCAGCACGGCCTATTCTCGGAGCAGCGGGGGGGGGGGGCGGAAGTTTCGCAGCAGCGGCATTTGGAACCCAATCCCGCAAAAGAGCTGAGTGACCAACCGACCGGCCGGCCCTCGGAAAACGCCAGTGCCCCGCTCGCCTCTGCGATGGTGCAAACGCGCCCCGCCGCTACCGCGGGCGCCCTCGCCGAACTACCTGGGGCGCCCTCGCCGTTTGATGACGGCCTCCAGACACTCCGCGATGTTGAACCAGTGTGGCATCTCGTGGTACAAGGTCTGGCCCTTGAGGCTATGGTGAAGCCTTTCTTTGTTGCGGCGTATCCGGGTCTCGTAGGCGAGCCGCAGTATGTTCCCATGATGCTCAAATATTCAACAACGACAGACATGGAGAAACGGGGACATGACGCGACCGCCGAAGAGCTCTTTGCTGAAACGCAGGCGAACATTATAAGCTGGGCGGAAGAGTTCGTTCCCCTTTCCGGTTACTCGTTACGCGGGTCCTTCCTGGAAATCTACCCTCACAAGAAAAAGAGGCCTTTTGGCGAGATCGAGCTGCCAAATAGCCTGGCAGCGGTCACGAGAGTTGTGGACGGTATGCTGCAGATAAAAAAAGCGTATCCGCAATGAGTTTCTGTTTTACGTGGCTGCGCATAGATGAAAGAGGGGCGGCGCAATGATCGCCCCTGGCCCGCCGCAGGCAGGCGGAGGAGGGGTCTGCCTGATTATAGTGGGCGCCACCCGCTTGGCGCTATGGTTCCCGCGTTGGTTGTACTTGTTGCGGCGTGGCGATTTTCATGTCTTTAGGCAGGGGGCGTGCCTAGCTGTGCCCCTTCTGTAGCTAAGCGACTGCGCCGTCTTTTTGTTACGGCGGGCCTCGGGGGGGGGTGGTTCTTTCTAGGCAAGGACGCCGCGGCGGGCGGACGGAATAAAGCGGGACGCCTTATTTTATTCGGAGCGAGCCGAGCGCCCGTCCGCGCGTGTAGCGCCGCGCGCCATTGCTGCTTTTCTATGCCAGTGGCGACAGGCACAGACAGCGCATGGTCGTGGCTGCGCGTAGCCCAATTACTCCGCGGCGCCTTTCTCCGCCGGGGCCGGCCCTCTCGTTCCCATACATTGCGAGCTTCGAGGAGGCGGCAGGCCTGATAGGCGTTCCGCGGAGGCGTTTCATTTCCTTCCGACCTGACATGCACCCAACCCACCGGCGCCACGGATTTTAGTTTCAGCGACGCGGCCGGGCGCGGCAGGGGGCCGGCGGGGCCGGCGGCGTGCGTGCCAGATAGCCGGCCGCCGGGGCGTTTGCTTCGCATGTTCACGAAATCAGGTAAGGTGGGGCGCCCCGTTGGGTTCGTGTCCTTCTTTTGGGTCGCTGGGGTTTGGGTCGCTGGGGGGATCTTTTATTTTTGGCGATGTGCCCATGTCCATGCTTCTCATGCTCGTTGGTTGTGGCGTTTGTTCCGCTTAGTTACTCCCTTTGATAGATTGGCTGGCCCAGGGGCGGTTGGCGAACTGCGATCGGGCCCCCGCGGGTTTTTTGTCAGCTTGGGCCCGCCAGCTCCTGTGTTGTTTACTTGATCAAACGAACCCCCGGGGAAAGGTCCTGCTTGGGCGCCCGGCCGGTTTGCTCTTTACTAGGAAGGCGCCTTGCTTTCGCGCCATCGCCTGCCTTCGCGTCATCGCCGCAGCAGACCACCCCGCCCCCCGGCGGAAACTACTGCCTGGAGGAGGTGCGCCACTTCATCTGGTTTTGGTTGTGATTCCATTCGACGTCGCCAAGGGTGGCGGTCATTGTGTCTTTCATCCTATGTCGGGCTGCGTTTTTAGGGCCTTTCCCCATCAGAAAAAAGTACCCGACGCCGAATGGCGCAAGGATGTCGCAGAGGCTGCAGTCAAATGCGCGATCGCTGTGTGGACGGGTATCGGAATTGCTTTAGGGGTGGCCCCGGAAGCGCGGCGCCCGTGGATTGTCAACCCCGAAGACTGCGGGGGGGAGGAGGTGTCGGCGCATACTGATATAAAGGGCCTGGCGGCGGTCGGGATCTACAGCAGCGAACAAGTCCTGGGTCAAAGGCAGCTAAATGAGGCGGGCAAGGCTTTCGTGCTGGCACTTGGAAAAACCAAATTTTTGTGGTCTGGCCCGAAGTCGGAACAGGATTCCGCTTTCCCAGTTCCCTCAGTCGCGCACCTCCCTGTGAAGAATGCAGTCGAACACCTCCTTCCGTATGAGGTGTTCGACTCCCCTAGCCGGACAGACGTTAATGCAGCTGGGACGATAATGAACCCCGGGACAACGTGGCCTCTCCTGACCAGCACTGGTTCCGACGAGAAGTTCCTCATATGTCCCGAGACCCAAGATAGCAAAATCTGCAAAATCTGGAAGAAAATTTCATATGGTAGTTAAATTTTGACGGCCGTGAGAGAGAAGTAAAAACAGGAAGGAGCGCGGTAAGCGCCCACGGCATGCCCATGCGAAGCCTTGTCCTTGTGGGGCTCCGGTTTGCGCTCGTGTTTCGCTCGTATTTCCGGAAACAAAGCCCGAGCGCCCATCGATGTGAGAGAGCGAGCAAAACCGCTGAGGCAGTCGCGCGGACAAAACTCGGCGCCGCAAGCCGCCGCTCAAATTCCCCTGCACTTCGCCCGCCAAAATTCCGCGGCCCGGGGCCCGCCTAAAATCGACGCTGCGCGCCCGCCCCTTGGGCAAAATTTGACGCCGGGCGCCGCCAATTTTTCCGCAGCGAGCCTCGGGCCCCTGTTCCGCGGCGGAAAATTCAAAATGCAGCTTTGTGAACAACATCGCGAAAATAAACCGCAGGACCCACAAAAACCCATTGCAGTCGCAATAAAAATCGGCGCGGAGTATTTTTCTATTTTCTCGCCCGCGCCGCCTGTTTTTCAGGTTCGTTTTCGCGATTTTGTTGCAGCAGTTTAGATTTTTTCTGTTTCGGATTTTTTGTTATCTATTTTGCTTCTTGCTTATTTTTTTTGTTGCGAAATTTTGTTTCGAAATTTTGAAGCGGACTTTTTTTTCCCGATTTCAATGGGCAAAGTTCGGTCGCGGGCTCTCATGAAAATTTTGTTGCGAGTTTTTTTCGGCATCGGCAAATTTTCTTCTGCGCGGCTGCGTTTCCAAAGCCCTTTTTTTTACGCTGAAATCCGGAGTAGCATTGAAGCCGTGTTGTGGCTGTCCGGTTCGAGACGATTTTGCACAAGGTGGAGCACGACCAGCAGATGCCCAACGGAGTCCGATGATCCGGAGTGACTACTTAGAGCCACACCAGGGCGCTTGTGTGATTTCTATTTTCGTTTCTCCAATTCATTTCCCGACTTTGTTATCTTGGTTCTCCGGGACATATGACGGCCGTGGACATGTTGCCGGACGTGATTTCGCTAGCGTCCAGAACCACCAAACAAGCCCGGGAACGCGTGTACGCATATCTCGCCCAACAAAACGCTGCGCGCCGTACCCCGACGCCAGGCAGTACTGGCGGGAGCGGCTGCGCTGAAGATGGCATAGTCATGCCATACAGGCCCGGCCCCATGGCGGAAGGCGGGACGGGGTCCGGCTCGGGGACCAGCGACGCCACAAGCACCCTCTGTGTTCGCGTTCCGGGTTTCGATCTTGCTCGGCGCGAGGCAGCCGCACCACCCCCCGAGGACAGGCCCGGTTGATTGTTGAAAGCTGGCGCCGCGCGATGTAATCCTCCGTCCAGGGGGCAACGCATTGGCTCGGGGCCGGTTAGTAATGTTTCCAATGTACGCGGTTGCACCTGTTGAGAAGCCTGCGCGCCGCAGCCGGACAGAACGTAAAAAGAACAGGAAAAAAGTGCAGCGGTTTGATTTTTTAAGGCAACGCACTGCCAGCAGCTGCGCCCACCTGCCAAAGCAGGCATCTCTTATAGCTTCCTTCGTGGTGTTGCTGCTGATGGTAGCTACCAGACATTTTTTTAGTAAGGATTTTTGGTTGCGCATATTGTCGACTCCGCATTGGCCTTCTGAATCTGAAGACTGATTGTACCCAAAGCCGGCACGAAATGGGGGCCCGCCGGCGCTAGAAGTAGTTTGCTTGTTAGAAGCAAAAGGCTGAAGTTCGATGATATCCACAGAAATTTTACCGCCACCGCCAAAAGTAGCACTTCTTCATGGAAATAAAGACAAAAATTAAAATAAGTCCCTAGCTTATTTGATGCTGATCATGTGGTAAATTATGTATGCTATGAGGGTAGCTGAAGTGGTGTCCTAGTGGAGCGCAGTAAAAAATATCTAACTAGCTAGGCCCATTCGTCAGGAGGCTCGTCAATAGCCGCAAACCCGGAGGGCAGGAGCTGGCTGGCGGTCAGGACGGCTGCTGGCCCCACATGGGGCCAGCAGCAGTCTACAGCGGCGAACAGGTGCTGCGGGACTCGGGCGTCGCCTTCTTCACCAGGATCGCTGTTTGCGCCTAGCTAGTTTATCCTCAGTTGCGTTTACCTAATGCGCTTCCACTGGACGTCACTAGCTGCTTCGAGCTACTACTGCAAATCTTTTCGCTTTTTTTTTTCAAAAAAGCCGATGTCTTTGCGCTATTTTTGGCGGTGGCGGTAAAATTTCTGTGGATAGACGAGAGAGCAAGTAACAGCGGTCCGAAGATGGAGACGCAGCTAAAAAAGAAACTTAGCGAACTCAGCTATTGTTGCAGTGGAGAAGGAGGGTGCGCCCCCATTGTTTTTTTTCTTGTCACGAGCCTCTATTATATCATACACATATTCCTCGCATTCCTTCCAGTTCCAGCGACGTGGTCGTAGCTACTTGTCTTGATATTTATATAGGCGGGATCCAGAAAATGAAAAATGACTTTCCGGAGGACAAGAGCGAGCGCCATTTTTTACCTATTATATGCTACATGACTGACTAGCACACGACAACGAACTTACTAGACTGCTTCTTCAAGGCAGGCTGCGTCGTGGATTCGGTCGCCGGGAGGAATCCACGACCACGCAGCCGCTTCGTTTGATTTCGAAAGCCTACCTTCATGCTTATATTTCAAAGCTTGCGTCGAGATTTCTCATGAAAATGTCCACACTTAATAATTAAAAGTCACTTTGAGTTTGATTTTCGCCAAAATCTTCTGTGTGTCGCAGCCTTTGTAGCCCTGAAGATACGCATACAGCTTTATATTGTTTCTTCCGACGAGCAAGAATGGTCGGAACTACGTCGATGTAAGTGAGGAGCAGGTCTTAGTGTCAGTAAACTCAAATTGTGGCACTTTCCCTGTAGATCTTCATGGCTGTTTTTCCCGAAAAATCAAGTAAAATGACTCTGCTTCATCCCTTCATGAGACATCGGCGCTCGTCAGTTGACAAGGATCCAGATTCATTACCGGCAAGATTCTGTGTTTGGCGAGACCTGTAGGCTCTTGCGAGTAGATGTCACAACAAGATAGCACCAGCAAGCAAACAAACATGATAATGGGGCAAAACACTGAAAAAAAGATCTCCGGAAGAACACGTGGCAAAGGATCTCAGCATTCTTAGCGCTTTGGGTAAGTACAAAGATTACACGACTTCAAGATGATCGGATAGTTACTCTCTGCCAGAACTTTTGTGCAAAGATGGCGGTCGCCGTAGGTTTGAGCACAAGCTCTTGTTATTTCCAATGATCGTTTCCGCAGACTTTCTTACTGATATTTGCAACAGCGAAATACAAACTCAAACAAGAGACGTGATATCTTCGACCCCTGTATTATCTCCTGTACCTGTATTCCTTTAGTTTGTTTTCCTCGTATTTCAGTCCAACCAAAAAACCTGTCCAAAATGTCGAACGGCGACAACGGTTCCAAAGAGGCCAAAGCGCTGGAAAAGGAGCGCAAGGCCATCGAAAAGATCATGAACGAGTCCGACGACATGTTTTGCGGGTTTGTGAAGCTGCAAATCCTGGACCAAGACGCCTACCCTCGGCAGATCAAGGGTGCAGACATCGGTGGGGTTGTGCATGTCGAGAAGAAGGTATGAGAGTGCGTAAGCAGTCCCGCTCCACCCAATCTTCTGAGGGGTAAAGATGCTGTTCAGCAACACAACCAACAGCAGAAATGACACTTTTGCATGACAAATCCTAATCCACGCATGTGCCGTAGTGTGGAGTTTCGAATGTAGTTCTTGGAGCTTGTCATGCAAGGTAGTGCTCCGAGGCAGTATTTTGAGGTTCACGTTGTGTTTTTGCATCATTACAAACGAAGGTAAGAGGGAGTTCTTGCGCCCTCTCATAGAAGGAAGGCGGCAAAGTCTTCCTGAAGGCAACCTTTTCGGCGAATCCGCTGTTTTACCTGGAGTTGCAACGTGACAACAACATGTTTCTGGCTGGCGAAATGTGGTACGGAGACGCGATATTGAGAGGAAAAATTCCCCCTCACCATATTGAAAAGGTATGTTTCCGAAAATTTGCGTTGCTGATTTGTGGCCACAAATCAGGTTTGTCTTGCAAGAAGACAAGTGCAGAGGCATCCGCCCAATTGTGAAGCGATTTGGCATTCTCTTGGTCCTAGAGGGTAGCCGTTTGCAATGCTGAACAACTAGACCTGAGTGCTCCCACCCAGGCTGCGGATCTGGCAGGGGTGCCGTACTGCAAGACAAGTCGGAGTTGTGTACAGAAATCTGCATCAGAAATTTTCATTTTGATATGGGGAGGGGGGATTTTTCATTTCGATACGCGAAGCGCGGGCCCACGAACCTGATTGGCAAGCTGATTCCGAAATCCTGTATGGAAAGAAAAAAACACGCATCACAAGCTACCACATCCGCACTTTTTGATTTTTATTGGTGCTTTTGCAATGCAAGAAGATCTTCTCTCACACACTTAACAAAATGTGACTCTTCAGAGTGAAGCCCTGTACTGAATTCCTTGATCATAATTCTGCAATACAAGAAAAAAAAAAAATGAATTTGTAAATGCGACTGAGAGCTGTGTTAGCGTTTCTCATGCAAAACTATCATGCAAAAGACCCGTGTAGAACTCGAGAATTGAAATTCTTGTGGCGATGGTGTTTTTGTTTTCCCTTCCATACCCTGCGAGCAGATCGTGAACCTGATGGACAAGATATCACAGGAGAAAGTGTTAACGTTAACGGAATCTGTGATGCAGTAATGCATCAAAAAACGTGCCCAAATTTGTCATGCATAGCGTGCGCGCTAGGAAACATTTGTCATGCATACTCGCAATCTATGAAAACCGTTAAGGTTAGCGCTTTTTTGTTTGATACAAGACCAAGGAACAGGAATTCACGATGAAGATGTATCGCAAGAAAAAACTGTTTCACTGTGAACTTGTGATGCAGAGAATGGAGCACAGAACGATTTGTCTTGCTACACCTGCAAGACATTGGATTTTTCAGCGTGTTTTCCCTTGGGAAGCCCGCATGGCAAATTTTCTGTGTCATGTGTAACAAACTTGTGATGCAGATCTTGCAAGATCATCACAGTGAAACAGTTTTTTCGTGGGATAAGATGGTATGAAAGTGCCCAACGAACTCGCTTTATTCCCCTCCAGTTTGTCATGCAAAGAAACAAATCCAACCTTTCCCTCGTAGTGCTGTTTGCATGACAGATTCTGGCAGACTAACTACAATGCCGACGTGCTGTGAATTATCATGCAAAACCTGCACGCTTCCCAACGTTTCTATTGCTGTTCATGCAAATTTACAATCGACTTCGAGGGGGAGTTCTTCGCTGCGCTCTTTTATAGATGGAGATGCCCTATGAACTGCAAAAGTATCGTACTCGTATAAATGCATTACAAATTTTCCCAGCATGAGAAAGATAATTTGTAATGCTGATTTGCCTTGACAAAGAAATTACTATCTAAACTGCAACATCTGGTCAAAAATGCATGCGAGGGGTATGTTCGGGGGTATGTTCGGGGGTGTGTCAGGGGTATGCAAATGGAAGTCAATCACGACCTGAATACAAATTTTTGGCGAAAAAGCAGAAGGTGGGGTATAAACATACCCCAGACACACCCCAGACACACCCCAGACATACCCCAGACAGACCCCCGAACACACCCCAGGCAAAAAGTCCGAACATACCCCAGACACACCCCAGACACACCCCGGGCAGACTTTCGAACACACCCCGGGCAGACTTTCGGACACACCCCGGGCAGACTTTCGGACACACCCCGGCCAAGCTTTCGGACTTTGTCATGTGGGGTCTGGACCCGAAGCCCAGTCTGTCACGCGAGACCGCGCGGCCAAGGGGCGATCGAAAGCCCTAGGTCAGCGCGGGGACTATGTCCCCGCGCCATGACCTAGGGGCCAGCTGCGGGCGCTTCGCCCCCGGACACCGTGCGGCCGAGGCCAAGGGGCGAAAGCCCTAGGCCAGCGCGGGGACTCGGTCCCCGCGTCATGGCCTAGGGGCCAGCTGTGAGCGCTTCCATCGATCCCGGGGGGGCACCGTGCGGCCAAGGGGCGAAAGCCCTAGGCCAGCGCGGGGACTCGGTCCCCGCGTCATGGCCAAGGGGCCAGCTTTGAGCGCTCCCTCCCCGGACACCGCGCGGCCAAGGAAGGGGCGAAAGCCCTAGGCCAGCGCGGGGACTCGGTCCCCGCGTCATGGCCTAGGGGCCAGCTGCACGCCCTTCCCGGACACAGTGCGGCCAACGCACGGGCGAAGGCCCTACCTAGGCCAGCGCGGGGACTCGGTCCCCGCGCGCCATGGCCTAGGGGCCTGCTGTAAGCGCTCCCCGGACACCGTGCGGCCAAGGGGCGAAAGCCCTAGGCCAGCGCGGGGACTCGGTCCCCGCGTCATGGCCTAGGGGCCAGCTTTGAGCGCTCCCTCCCCGGACACCGCGCGGCCAAGGAAGGGGCGTGCGAAAGCCCTAGGCCAGCGCGGGGACTCGGTCCCCGCGTCATGGTCTAGGGGCCAGCTGCAAGCGCTTCCCGGACACCGTGCGGCCAAGGGGCGATCGAAAGCCCTAGGCCAGCGCGGGGACTCGGACCCCGCGTCATGGCCTAGGGGCCAGCTGTATGCGCTCCCCGGGGGCCGTGCGGCCAAGGGGTGAAAGCCCTAGGCCAGCGCGGGGACTCGGTCCCCGCGCCATGGCCTAGGGGCCAGCTGCAAGCGCTTTCGTTCCGGACACCGTGCGGCCAAGGGGCGAAAGCCCTAGGCCAGCGCGGGGACTCGGTCGGCCCCCGCGCCATGGCCTAGGGGCCAGCTCTGGGCGGGCGTCCCCCGGACACCGTGCGGCCAAGGGGCGAAAGCCCTAGGCCAGCGCGGGGACTCGGTCCCCGCGTCATGGCCTAGGGGCAAGCTGCGAGCGCTTCCCGGACACCGTGTGGCCAAGGGGCGAAAACCCTAGGCCAACGCGGGGACTCGGTGGGCCCCCGCGTCATGGCCTAGGGGCCAGCTGCAGCCAAGCGCTTCCCGGACACCGTGCGGCCAAGGGGCGAAAGCCCTAGGCCAGCGCGGGGATTGGTCCCCGCGTCATGGCCTAGGTGCCAGCTGTGAGCGCCCCCCGGACACCGTGCGGCCAAGGGGCGGAAACCCTAGGCCAACGCGGGGACTCGGTCCCCGCGTCATGGCCTCTCGGACGCGGTGCAGCCAAGCAAGGGGCGAAAGCCCTAGGCCAGCGCGGGGACTCGGTCCCCGCGTCATGGCCTAGGTGCCAGCTGTGAGCGCCCCCCGGACACCGTGTGGCCAAGGGGCGGAAACCCTAGGCCAACGCGGGGACTCGGTCCCCGCGTCATGGCCTAGGGGCCAGCTGGGACGGAGCGCTCCCCGGACACCGTGCGGCCAAGGGGCGGAAACCCTAGGCCAGCGCGGGGACTCGGTGGGTGGGTCGGTCCCCGCGGCATGGCCTAGGGGCTAGCTACGAACACGGCCCGGGGGGGAACCACACCGCGCGGCCAAGGAAGGGGCAAAGAAAAATCCTAGGGCAATGTGGGGACTCTGTCCCCGCGCCATGACCTGGGGGCCGGCTCCAGACCCGGCGCCCGTTTCTTCTTTTCTTTTTATCTTTGCGCGCGGCAGGTTAATGAATCTAGTGCGCGCAAGCAAGGGAGCCGCGTCCGCAGGCCCGTCGCGGGTCATTGAATGCAAGGCGCACCGAGATAACTAGCTGCGAGCGACCTTTCTGCCCCGTGCCACCGCACAGACAAATGCCGGAAGGTCGCTGCACGGGGACTCTGTCCCCGTGCTCGGGCCTTGTTTGTAATGCAAGACCTGCATTTATACGAGTGCGATACTTTTGCACAGCATATGCCCTTCCTGAAGGACGCTCCGAACCGCCTGGCTCCGCTTATGGCGTTCTCAACTGTTACATTCTCAGCTGTTTCATGGTTTGTCATGCAAATTCACAAGCAGAAAGCTCGATGCGATCAAGCTGCTTCGCATGACAAATTCTCAGAGGCCTCAGCAGGCTGATACTCTGCACCAAATCTGTCATGCAAGACGCGCAAGGTCCCCCGTTTCACTTTTGCCATTCTTGCATTACAGATTCATGTAACAGTTGAGAATGTAACGATTGAGAACCCCATACCGCTGCACGTGGTCACGAGAGAAGAAAAGTTCGTCACCAAAGTGGCTTCGATATGGCGGAAGAAAAGTTTGGGGTGTTAGGTCACAGCGAGTTTTTCGAGGAAAATTGATTCCTGAGCAGTGGGCTTGCAGATCATCTACATGTTCTGATTCAGATTTTTTTGCAGAGGAACGAACAAATTCGAATTTGATATAAAGCAAAAAAATGGAGATTTTGACAGCAATTTGATTACCAATTTGTTTCGTGTACCTCTACCACGCGCTAATACCCCGTGTTTTCACTCCTTTCGATACTCCGTCTGCTTGGAACTCGGCGAAAACGAATGGAAGGAGTGGAAAGAGTACAGTTTTTGTTCCGGGAGACCAAAATTTTTACTTTTCATTTTTCGTAATCAAAATTTATATTACTTGACTTTGTAATGCGTGGGAAAAGCAACCTTTCGTGTCGTAGATGTAGTGGCGCAGACGCATCCATTTTGATTTTGAGGCTAGGGCTACTTGTTTGCGCCAGACAAACCCAAATTTGAAAAAGAAAAATAACCAACAAGGTACCGTGTGCGATTCTGGAAGCAGACCAAGGCCTGGGGTGCTTCTCCCGGAGATATCCAGGAAAAAACACCCATCCCCATCCATTTTCTGCATGACACATAGTGGATCTTATGCATGTTTTGCATGACAAATTGGATGGGGATGGGTGTTTTTTCCTGGATAGGAGACGGCGGAGACGAAGACGACAAGAAGAAGGATGAAGGCGCAGACAAGAAAGAGTAGGCGTGTATGTGGAGCAAGGTTTTCTAGATTAGTACTAACTTCTCTGAAACATCACATGCATCATAACCCACAAAACGGTTTCTGCACCCAGGATTTATGTCGTATATACTTTTTGAACGCAAGAACAGGAAAAACTTTTTCAAGACGGCCTAAGTTACATCAGCAAAGACAAAATGAATTATGAGAATTACGCCCACAAAAACGACAATGCTCCACAAGTACCAGTAGTTGACTGTTGACGGGAGGTCTGTCGCCGCGAGATTTGCATGATGGAATGCGACCACAGCTACTATTTACTGAATTAGCTCGGCACGTCGAGTCAGCATTAGATGAGTGGTTTGATTTTGATGAACGTCAACTACACCGCCGGTTTGAATCTGTCATGTGGACAAGAAGATTTTGCTGATGTTTCACTTTGTGACCCAGCAGCAGCCTGGACAACAGAAATCAGATTGTCGAAGTCATCGTACTAGCATCGCTGTTTTTACAACATTAAGAGGAACATCTTTCTTGAGTTTGAACACAAAAGCTAATGACCACTTTTTCGAATTTCTTCCCTTCTAGCGCAACCCGGGTAGTGGACGACGAGCAGGTGCGCCTGCGCTTGCATCCAATCCGAGATATAGTTTGCTTAACCTCGCCGCGCTGACCGGCGGCCTGGCCTCAACAACGCACTTAGGTCGACCCGCTATCATGTAGAAATGAAAAAAAAAAGATGAAAAAACCGTCTACAGAAACCGAAACGTCGCAGCTACTAGGCGTGCTGTCTAGGCGTTGTATAATACCGTCGTGCGTAGCGCTTGTTCATCCCGATGATTGATACGTTGGATTGCGTATCCAAGCCGTCTTCAATGATTGAAGATGACAGATTTCTGCCTGTTGTGCACCTTTAAGTGGCTTTGGCCCTCGATCCCAGCGTTGATGCTTTTTTTTGGATTCCACGTCACGGTCTTCGAATAAAGAGCCTTGTCCATTCGGTCAGATGAAGATTATTTCAGTTTTTCTCCGAGAAGAAGCTAGATCTTCATTTTCAAGAACGATTTTACATTCCAAAACTCCAACTTGGAAAGACTGAAAAAGATGAGGCTTTTCTGTCTATTATTTCTGGTCGACCATCGTATTGGTATTCGTAGGTCTAGGTGTGTCTCCTGAATCAAGCAGATTTCCTCGGAAATAAGTTCTTGAGTCGTAGCCATTGTTCAAGATGCTTTACATTTGCTTTTCGGTTCTCCTCTAAAGAACGCAACAACTTCTCCACCTACCATGCCTGATAAAATGAGAGGTCGTGGCTCCCCAACATCCGCCTCCGACAAGACCGCTCAACATGGTGGCGCGCCAACATCGAGATTGTGCCTTCCAGCAATGAGTAGGCTGTTTTTTACAGCTCTGGCCGTCGATCCCCTTAGGGTGATGCTTTTGCTCGATCTCCGTTCCCTCTTCTTTTCCCCGAGCGCCACCGAGACCAGAGGCGAAAGTAACCAGAGCGGGATGATGAAAGATGAAGGACGAGTCGGAGTCTCGTCAATCTGGAACTACCATGACAAAGCATCGTCTATATCTCTGCTTTCTCAACACTTACACTTCTGCCACGCGCACCGGATTGGACGACATGCCACACGTAAAACCAGGATCATGCGGAAAAAGTCGAAAATCAAGGCTGCCATCGCGACGGCTTCTAATCCTGTTGAGGATGTCCATGTCGATGCCGGGATGGACTTCGAGGACACACACGAGCAGGGTAAGGAGCCGGCATTATCCTCGAGGAAGCCTTCTGCTGCTGCTTCGCAAGCGCTTTTTTCAGCGGATGCGCGACAAGGTGGTCCTGGATCTTCTGTTTTCGCCTCCAGTGGGAGCTCTTCGTCCTCAGCATCATCGCTAAAAACCTCCACAGCATCAAAGCAGGAACCTAGACTACCGATAGCAGTAGCGAGATCTTCCAAGCATAGAACGCGCAGACACGACGATTCTCCTGCACCAGACGAGAGGAGGTACAAGAGCAACGAGAACGACCACGAACAGCAAGACTTCATGCAACAGCAACTTCCGGCTCCGGCAGAAGCTGTAGCGGTGTCTTTTTCTTCAGACAAAGCAAACAAGGTAGTTTCTTCTCATCGTCGCCACCCTCGGGCGAAAACAAACGGTCCCATTCGGGAGCCACTAGACCCAGGCTGTGGTAGTTTTTGGCCCTCGACCACCGGCGGACAATGTCTACAGCACGATTGCGCAGCACCACGACCAGCAGTTCCCTGTGTTGACGGTTGTACTTGCCTGCCTTACGTTCCCACCAGTTTCAGTCACTTCCAGAGCCACCTGCAGGGGTACTACCCAACGACAAAGAATTGTCTGTCGTTCATTCACTCGCTGCCCTCGCGCAGCAGCCGGAGCTCCCCGAGTTCGCCGACCCGAAGCTTGAGCTCGGTTTTACTTCATAGCAGAGAAGACGGGCACGAGGTGGAGAACCATGGCGACTCCTCGACGCACAAAAACTCAGGCAGAAGTCCTCAGTGTCACGGGACGAAAGACGCAGCATCTTCGTTGAACTTCTGTTCGTCCCCGAAGATGTGCTTGGTGGACAGCCGAGCAAGACTTGGTGCTCAGTGGCACTCAGTGGATCATCGAGTTCGAGTAAGACATCATGATCATTTCAGAAATGCAAAAATAAGAACCCAAAACACAAGAAGTACTTACACCATGAGCCGTCCCCGTGTGCTGTACGTCTTTCTGCAAGCCGACCCGGACAACAGTTTTCACCCGGCTATCAAGCAGTTGTGCGAACAAACGCAAGAAAACGCCGCGGTGGAATTTCTCATCAAGCTTCGTCCAAAACTGCCGGAAGACCTGCCGTTCTGCGAAAAATGCGAGATTTTGATGATCTCCCCTTTCACCGGCGGGGGCAATGGTGCGTTGCTGGCGAACTGTTTGTCTAACCTGAAAAATTTGAAATGGATTCACTCCCTCTCCGCTGGCGTGGACATGATCGTCCCGACGCTGCAACAGCACTACCTCGGTGGCATGATGAGCACAACAGGGTCTACTTCATCTTCTGCCGGTGCCGCAGCACAGCTGAAAATGCCACCTTTGACGAACGCGAAGCACGTATGGGAGTGTCAGGATCGAAATCAACAAAATCGAAGTGATTTGTGATGCATAAAGCCGATACCACTTGGAGCCTCAGTTTCCAAGTGGCGCATGACAAACTTCGATAGCACGAAAAGCCCGTCTGTCATGCTGTTTGGGCAAAGAGGACTGCTCCTATCGTGCTGCTCCGGCAGCACGATAGGAGCAGTCTGTGACATGGCCTCCGTTTCGCTAATTCCGGATGGGGCGGTAAGTACTTATTTGATTTTGTGATATTCATATTGAAGAAACTTGTGATGTGGATTGAGCACCATCGTCAACCCGTCTGTGATACGAAAATCAGCATGGCGAATTATCCTATAAACAATCGTATCAAACAGATCTTCGTTTCCCTTGGGCGTGGTTCGTGTGTGGACGAGCAGGCGTTGATTCAAAATGCACCTCTATGATGCGAAAAATTACTAGCACACGTGACTTCTGCATCGGTATTTTTGTGAAGAAGCAGAAGTAGATCTGTTCTGTAACAACTGTCGTACGAGGATCTGTCATGAAAACGTGACCTCCAAAGCGCAAGCAATGCAAAGTTGTAGCTGTGACGGAAGACGCAGCATCTTCGTTGAACTTCTGTTCTTCCCTCCAAAATGTCGAATTTCTCATGCAATAAAACCTGCAAGCTTCCCAACGCTTCTATTGCTGCTCATGCATTACAATTGACGTCTAGGCGGGGGAGTTCTTCGCTGCGCTCTTTCATAGATGGAGATGCCCTATGAACTGCAAAAGTATCGTACTCGTATAAATGCATTACAAATTTTCCCAGCATGAGAAAGAAAATTTGTAATGCTGATTTGCCTTGACAAAGAAATTTGTAATGCAAGACCTGCATTTATACGAGTACGATACTTTTGCACAGCATATGCCCTTCCTGAAGGACGCCCCGAACCGCCTGGCTCCGCTGCACGTGGATGACAAGAGAAAGAAGATGACGAAAGACGCAGCATCTTCGTTGAACTTCTGTTCGTCCATGAAAGTGGTGCACAACGAACTCGCTTTCTCCTCCAGTTTGTCATGCAAAGAAACACATCCAAGTCCGACCTTTTTCTCGTGGTGCTGCGTCTGCGGGTTTTTCTGTGTTTCAAGGTCAGAGCACAAACTCGGATAGCACTCTCGTGCCCTGGCCTGCAGAAGTGTGCTCCTAAGATTTCTTGATATCGAACTCAAATCCGAGAATTCCTCAGATGCGAGCTCACATCCGAGAACTCCTCACATGTGAGCGCACATCCAAGAGTTAGAAGGTCAGAAGAACTGCGCAGCATAATCTTACGCGACAGGCTTACAGCAGTGCGCTCTTTGGATTTGTGTGTTGCGCCTCCAATTGCCTCACTTGGAGTCGCGGTTCAAACTTTCACACGCAGAGCGCGGCGATTCGCAAGTTTAGCCGAATGCGTAGGGATTCCTGAAACTTGTGGATTCCTGAAGTCGAAATCCTGGGAACTCATTTCTGTAAGTCCGTTGCGTAGGATTTGCACTCAGGTGGGGATTACCGATCGAAATGCAGATCCTACGCAACCTACTTACAGAAATGAGTTCCCAGGATCCCACATCCGAGAATTCTCGGACGTAAGTCCACATCCGAGAAATTTTCGAACGTGGACTGACATTCGAGAATTCCTCGGATTGCAGCTCACATCCGAGAACTTCGCGGATGTGAGCCGCAAGAGAACTTTCGCGCGCAAAGTGCCGAACTTTGGCGCCCTGCTCGTGAAAGTTCGATCCGCGTGTCCAAGTGGGGTGATTGCAGAAAAAACCCGGAAATCCTGGGAACTCATTTCTGTAAGTCCGTTGCGTAGGATTTGCACTCAGGTAGGATTTGCACTCAGGGACGGAAGACGCAGCATCTTCGTTGAGCTTCTGTGCTTCCCAAGGCACAACTACTTTTGTGCAAGAATGATGGGGAACATGCCGCCAAGTTTTCGCCGAAGTTTTCAGCAGAAGTCCTTTTCCCAATGATCGTTTCATCACAAGACCTTCTTTATTGATGTTTGCAACAGCGAAATAGAAACTCAAACAAGACACGTGATATACCTATACCAAGGACCCCTGTATTATCTACTGTACCTGTAATCTTTTCAGTTTGTTTTCCTCGTATTTCAGTCGAACCCAAAAACCCGTCCAAAATGTCGAACGGCGACAACGGTTCTAAACAGGCCAAAGCTCTGGAAAAGGAGCGCAAGGTATCCCTTGTGAAATCGCGATTAGCAGCTTCAATTTGTAATGCAATGATGCGTATGATAGCAAGCTATCAGACATCATTTGATTACGCATTACAAGTTGGAACAGCTGGCAAGGATGATTTTACGTAGCATGCAAGGCCATCGAAAAGATCATGAACGAGTCCGACGACATGTTCTGTGGGTTCGTCAAGCTGCAAATCCTGGACCAAGACGCCTACCCGCGGCAGATCAAGGGTGCAGATATCGGCGGGGTTGTGCATGTGGAGAAGAAGGTATGAGAGTGCCTAAGAACTCCTACTCCACCTCATCTACAGAGGGGTAAAGATGCTGCTCAGCAACACAACCAACAGCAGAAATGACGCTTTTGCATGACAAATCTTAATCCGTGCATGTGCCGTAGTATCGAGTTTTGAATGTAGTTCTTGGCGCTTGTCATGCAAGGTAGTGCTCCGAGGCGGTATATTGTTATTGAGGTTCACGATCACGTTGTGTTTTTGCATCATTACAAACGAAGGCAAGAGGGAGTTCTTGCGCCCTCTCATAGAAGGAAGGCGGCAAAGTCTTCCTGAAGGCAACCTTTTCGGCGAATCCGCTGTTTTACCTGGAGCTGCAACGTGACAACAACATGTTTCTCGCCGGCGAAATGTGGTACGGAGACGCGATATTGAGAGGAAAAATCCCTCCTCCCCATATTGAAAAGGTATGTTTCCGAGAATTTGCGTTGCTGATTTGTGACCACAAAGCAGGTTTGTCTCGCAAGAAGACAATCGCAGAGGCATTCCCCCAATTGTGAAGCGATCTCGCATGCTGTTGGTCCTAGAGGGTAGCCGTTTGCAATGCTGAACAACTAGACCTGAGCGCTCCCACCCAGGCTGCGGATCTGGCAGGAGTGTCGTACTGCAAGACAAGTCGGATTTGTGTACAGAAATCAGCATCAGAAATTTTTATTTTGATATGGGGAGGAGGGATTTTTCATTTTGATACGCGAAGCGCGGGCGGGGGGGGGACGAAAGACGCAGCATCTTCGTTGAACTTCTGTTCTTCCCCGACGAGTTATAATTTCGCGACCTCCTCATCTTCTTCCTCTTCGCCTGGCGGGTATTTTGATCCGGGAGGCTGTGGTGGGCGCAGGTCTACGGACTTCTGCCGGTCCTTCATCGAAGTAGACCGGGACGGGCGGGAGCGACAAAAACGAGGACAATCCCTGCCGCCGTGTGGTGCTATCGGTCAGCTGTTTGCTTCTGGTAGTCGTCGTGTACTAGCCGGAGGTACTGTGGGAAACAACAACTACGAATCTGCCGTTCTTGCATCAGCGGGAGACAGTTCAGTTGCAGAGGCATCTTCAAAAAGCGGTGATAGTTGTAGCAGTCCGTGGGGCCAACGCCGCCGAAACCGGTTTGTCGCAGTGACACCGGCAGCGGCATCTTCGGCACGAAATGCGACCGACTCTGCTGCCAGAAAGAGCGTCTGCAACTACGTGGGAGCTGCCTCTGCAGCCAGTAGACAGCACAGCCGTGATATGGAGATCGACGAATGCCCAGCAATAAAGCCGGAGGGCCAGTCCGCTTCGGAAGGTGCAGTACGACATGATGAAACTACGAGCGCACCGGCCAAAAGAACTTCATCTCCCTCCTGTTTTCTATCCGGTGTAAAGTGTCATCTACACAGACCACCTGGCGCAGGGAACGAGGACTTTGTCATGCGTGATAGAAATCATGCGTTTCACTCCGTAGTAGACATGTGCGCATGACAGGTTGAGTTGGTCGTCGTCGTAAAGGCTTTCTTTACACATGTTGATAGTTTCACTACATCCTCCAGGCGACGCCAGCGGGGATCGGCGGTGGTGGATCACCAGCTGCAATGGTTGCAGCTCAACATCATATGAAGCGATCTCGTTCGGCGGGAAGGTCGACTTCATCTGCAGGTTCCGAAAACAAAAACTTCTCTGCGGCCGCACAACTTCTAGTTGGCGTTGGATCTGCTCAAGTAGAACCGGGAGCAGGAGAAGTGGATGAAAGTAGAACCCTACCGCGAGAAGAAAAGTACATTTCGCCAGAAAAAGTTCTCACACCGGGTTTGCAACCTCCGTGGCTGATGACTTCTTCCAGGAGCCCGGTAGATGAGCAGATGGAGAACTGTTTTAATAAAGGCGGCGAATCTAGTACTGATGCGCAGGAGATTCTTGCGCAGGATGTCGATAAGCCGCGGTCTTCAGGATCACAGGACTCGGTGGACGACTGCTCACGATTCTCACAGCCTGGTGATGCTCGTACTCCGAGCGAGCACGAGATGGGGACTACGGGGAGTCGTAGTCGACCACACGCAGAAGATGCTGCTAACAGGGCAAAAAGCAGGGAAAAGATGAAGACAACCTCCAGTGGCCTCACAACTCGCAATCCAATTTCCCCCGTTCTCCGCGACGAGGATTACACACCGCAAGACACGCCGACCCCGCCGGTTGCGCAGTGGCCGCCGGGGCCAGCACGGGCAAATGATGGCTCGAGAAGCAACTCTCCTGAGAATGGTGGTCGTGGTACGCAAGGAAACCCCGACCCGATGGGCTCCTCGCCCAGAACAGGTACAAGAGCCTCGTCTTCGCCTTCCGCCGCCGATCGAAATAGGGACCAACGTGGCACCAGCTACGGCCGACGCGGACACAATGGCAGCTCAAGTTCTACATCGACTACAGCTGTTCCGTGTTCACCGGTCGAGCCACAAATTGGCCCGCACTACAACCAGGAGGACACAAGTACTTCTAGCCCTCGTCAAGAACAACAGCCACAGCCACACGGCAACCTGCGGCGGCCGCAAGAGGAGCGGCTTCTGACTGCAACTACCGGTGGCATCAACGCTCCCGCTTCTAGTGGTGGCCCACCGGCCGGGAAACATGAACTCGACCAAATCACCTGCATCCTCTCGGCGCACCGAAGCCGGCGCCGCCAGGCGTTGTTGAGCCGAACAGTCGCCGGGCAGCATCGGATTTTGCTGGAGCAGCGCGCTGCCACTGCTACGGGGGCCTCTTCATCTACAGCAGGAAAAAGGAAAAATGGGAACAATCGTCCTCCAACAGCTCCTTCTACGGGCGGAATAAACGCAAGTGGCGGAAGGGCCACAAGTGCATGGGACCACGCGGCCCAGGAGTCGTGGCTGAGCTCACTATCAAATGCAAATATGTCTGGGTCTGGACGAATGCGGAAGTTTGTCATGCAGGTTTTGCGTGACCCAGAAGGTCTGGTATGTAAGTCCTAGCATGACACGTCTTGTTGAGATGAATGTGTCTCAATGCCTAATCCGCATGACAAACTCCTTCTTTTGGTGCCAAGTTTTGGGCGGCGTTTGCTGTTCATGCATGACAGATCTTTGTGTTGTGTGAAATGTGCATCACAAGTTGATGCACCATCCTTTCAGACCCGGACATATTTGCAATGCATACTCAGCCCCGTCGGACGAAACACAGCCCGTACGGAACTCTTCGGGCCGGAGAAATACAAATAGCAGAAGGGTCGCTGGCCGAGAGAACGTCGGACCAGATGGCGCCACCAGACAGCGCCGGCGGGACCGACTGTATCAATGCGTGTCCAGTCTGCTCGGGGGCGGGTGTCGGTGAAGGAATGAATTAGTAGAATCAGTAACTTCTACTTCAACTTCTGCATCTGGTATAACACGAACGACGTCGTTACAACGGCTCCTGCAGGAAGACAAAGTGCTGGTGAAAGGCACCATTTTTGCAATTCAATTTTGCCATTTTTTGAGAAACCAGTTAGAATGCCCTTTTACGTGTCGTGTTTTTGCTGGAGCAAGAGGATACACTTTCTGTCAAAACCTGAAGATTCTGATTTTCTGCAACATGCATTTTTTTGTGGAGCTCCGATTAAGTAGTTTTTTGACGCGAGACCAAGATGTTAGCGACCCTGTGCACCGTTCTTGCCGTGGAAGCGGTCAAGTATTGACGAATGCACATGGTAGCCGTAGCGGGCCTCGTGCAGCCTTCTTTTTTCTGCGAAACAAATTTACATCTATACTATGCATCTGTAGATGATTTGCAGCATTACAATATTCTTTCCTTTCCTTATCTTTTGTTCCCTTTCCCATTTTTGAGATTACAGTAGGTATTTCCGGTTGTTGGGTTCAATCTTTATTTCTTCGAGAATACATGAGTACAAGCTGTAGTGTCAGATAAGAGGGGACGACGGTTGTGGATTTCTCTTTTTTCATCTTCTCCACCCTGTCCCGCAATCGAACCCACAAGCTAACTCACGGTCCGTGACGACGCTGTGCTGATACTGCATTCTGAGCTCGGACGATCTTGTCTTCTTTCAATGTGTTCGAGATCCTCAACGTCAAGGATCTCGGTTTTCTAAATTTAGGGCGTTGAAAAAGCACCAATTGCTTCTTCCAGTACATAGCATGCATGGACTATCGGATTGTTTTTTCGGATTGTTTTTAGTGTGTAGAGTCATTGTTGTTTTTTACGCAACTGTATCTATCGGAGATCCTGATGACCCGAGCTAATAAATCATCTTTGTAACTAAGCTGAAGCCTCGCAGACGCAGTAGCGGCGCGGGTGCGCCATTTTCTTGTTGACACCCGGGTGCCGTACAATGCAATAAATGTCCCAGTTTTTGGGTCCGCAACTCGTACTTCCCACCTTTTGAACTTCACGTTCGCGGGTGGATCATCGAGTTCGAATAACATATCATTCAAGAAAGGGAAAAATAACCCAAAACAAAAGTAGTTACACCATGAGCCGTCCCCGTGTGCTGTACGTCTTTCTGCAAACCGACCCGGAGAACAGTTTTCACCCTGCTATCAAGCAGTTGTGCGAGCAAACGCAAGAAAACGCCGCGGTGGAATTTCTCATCAAGCTTCGTCCGAAACTTATCAAAATGAAAAATCCCCCCTCCCCATATTGAGACGGAAACTTCTGTTGCTGAATTTGTGTACACAAATCAGCCCTGTCTTGCAGTGAGGCACTACAGGCAAAGCCCCAGCCTGCGTATGGGTGTTTTGTTGTAGGCTCTTGGCATAGGAGAGGCCTGCCATGTAGGTGAAACAGCATTACAAATCGCCTCCATAAGGCGGCGGATTCTTTGGCTTTGCCTTCTTGCAAGACAGATGTGATTTGTGACCTCAAATCCGCAACACAAATTTTTGCAAGCATACCTTTTCGATATGGGGAGGGGGGATTTTTCCTCTCAATAAAATTGCCCGAAGACCTGCCGTTCTGCGAAAAATGCGAAATTTTGATGATTTCACCCTTCACCGGCGGAAGCAATGGTGTATGCATCGCAAAAAAAGCGTACTAGTACAAACTGCATGGCAAATTTGCTCAGCATGAAAAATGGACTTTGTCATGGTGGTTCACCCTGGGTGGTAGATTTGTCATGCCTATCTGCAATTCGTCACAAACTTTTGCAATGCATATGCCGCGTTGCTGGCGAACTGTCTGTCGAACCTGAAAAAGTTGAAGTGGATTCACTCCCTCTCCGCAGGAGTGGACATGATCGTCCCGACGCTGCAGCAACACTACCTCGGCGGCATGATGAGCACATCAGCAGGGTCCACTTCATCTTCTACCGGCGCCGCAGAACAGCTGAAAATGCCACCTTTGACGAACGCGAAGCACGTATGGGAGTGTCAGGATCGAAATCAACAAAATCGAAGTGATTTGTGATGCATAAAACCGATACCACTGGGAGCCTCAGTTTCCAAGCGGCGCATGACAAACTTCGATAGCACGAAAAGCCAGTCTGTCAGGCTGTTTGGGCAAAGAGGACTGCTCCTATCGTGCTGCTCCAGCAGCACATCGCCCTCCTCTAAACAGGCTTGGAATCGGTCTCATTTGCCTGCTCCCCAACACAGGCCTTACTTACCCTACATTTTATGCATTACAAGTTTTTCGATTTGGTCGATTTCAAACCTGACGCTTCCATAGCACGCCTTCTCCTACTCGCTCGCGGAGTACGCTTTGTTTGCGATCCTGTTTTTCACGAAGCAGGCACGGCGGCTGCTCGAGTATGCAATGCAAAAGTATCGTACGTAGTAGAAATTGCATTACAAATTCCCCCAGCATTACAAATTCAATTTGTAATGCTGATTTACCTTGAGAATTGGATTTGTAATGCATAAATTCAATTACTACGAGTACGATACTTTTGCACAGGATATCGAGAACCAAAGGACGAAGACCTGGGACCGGTTCCAAATGAACTGGCTTGCGGGGGGCAGTGCGATAGCAGGGACGAATAGTGGCAGCGCGAATCTTAAATCGCAACCCGCACTGGGGAAAAAACTCGGATTCATCGGGTTCGGCAGCATTGGGAAGGCGTGCTACGATATCGTACGAAAAAAGTGTTTCACTGTAAGGATTTTGCAAGGTTTGCGTCACAAGTGTGTTTTACATCACAGAGAAACTTTGCCATGCGAGATTCCTAAGGGAAAACACAGGCAAAAATCCATTGTCTTGCATGTGCAGCAAGACAAATACTTACATTTTCTGCATTACAAGTTTACACTGAAACAGTTTTTTCTTGCGATATACGATTTGCTTGTCGGCAGCAAGAGGAGAACGCAGCTCGCCACGCCCGGTGGCCCGGCCGGCACCGGCGGCATATCGTGTGCAAAAGTATCGTACTCGTACAAATGCAACTCTTGCATTACAAATCTTGTTTGCAAGGCAAATCTGCATATACAAATTTCATATTCTCATGCTGAGGAAATTTGTAATGCATTTATACGAGTACGATACTTTTGCACTTCATACGGCATTCCCTGGAGCCAAGTGCTCGTACACCGAAGAACCCGGGACAGTGCGACTGCAGGGAGTGACGGCGGGGGAATTGCGACTGCCGGTGCACTATCAAATGCAACTATGTCTGGGTCGTCTGGAAGCGTGGAAAGTTGTCATGCAGGTTTTCCATGACCCATGAGGTCTGGAATGCGGGACCTAGCATGACACAGTCTGCGAGGTCTCTGCCATGCCTGTCCTGCATGAGAAACTCCCTCCTAACTTTGTCGAAAGTGGACGGCTTTTGGCACTCATGCAACACAGATTTTAGCATTATTCGGATTTAGCATGACAAGTTCCAGACCCAGACACTTTTGCAATCCATATGCACAATCCGCGATCACGTTTCAAGAGGACTTTTCAACCAGTGAGGAACAGTTGGTTGAGACCCACCCAGACTACCTGCTCGGCGAGTACGCCAGCAAAGAAGATGTTTTCGCGAAATCGGACGTGATCATATGCACGTTGCCGGGCACGGCGGAGACGCACCATTTCTGCGACATGGCGTCCGTTTCTTTGATTCCGGATGGGGCGGTACTTACTTATTTGATGACTTTGTGATATTCATTTTCATATTGAAACTTGTGATGTGGATTGAGCATCGTGGTCAACCCGTCTGTGATAAAAATCAGCATGGCAAATTATCCGTATCTATAAACGATCGTATCAAACAGATCTTCGTTTCTCTTGGGCGTGGATCGTGTGTGGATGAGCAGGCGTTGATTCAAAATGCACCTTTATGATGCGAAAAATGGCATACTAGCATACGTGACTTCTGCATCGGTATTTTTGTGAAGAAGCAGGTCTGTTCTGTAACTGTAGTACGAGGATCTGTCAACATGGACACACAAAAGCGTAAGCAATGTCAATGCAAAGTTGTAGTTGTGCGCTGTCTTCATTCGTCTTTTTGAAGAGAACTCAAAGCTACCTCGACGCGTCTTTCATGGTCCTCTTGTGCTCCGACAAGTACAACTCTGCCATTCTCTGCAGTTTACAGCAGAAGTTCATCGCGTGCTAGATTTTTTCAACATGATGCCCCCGGTTTGCCGGTATTGCCCTCGACGTTTTCGAGAAGGAGCCGCTGCCCAATAAGGCGTTCTCAAATGTTACATTCTCCAATGTTACATGAAATTTGTGACGCAAGAATGGCAAAAGTGAAAGGCAGGACCTTGCGCGTCTTGCATGATAGACTTTGACTTGGCAAAGATTCTCAGGCTGTTTGGCTGTCTGAGAATCTGTCATGCGAAGCAGCTGCGTGGCGTCGATAGTCAAGGCAATTTTGCATGACAAAAGTCGTGTAACAGTTGAGAATGTAACAGTTGAGAACGCCATACCCAAAGAATCCGCTTTGTGGGAACTCCCGAATGTGTTGGTGTCGCCGCACAATGCTATCCAAGGGCGAATCAATAATGTTACACCCCGGCTACAACTTCAGTTTGTGATGCATGCTAGCGACACGATGCATTAAGCATGATGTCCAGGTGTCAGTAGAACTAGAACTAGAACTGGAATCGCTAGAGCCCGACCTAGACTCTTTGTAGTTCATGGCTTGCATCACAGCCTGAAGTTGAAATAACCGAGGTTGACAATTTTCCGCAGGATAAACCCCGACCTGGTATCGACGTACATTAGCGACAGCTGGGACGTTTTTATCCAGGAAAAACACCCATCCCCATCCAATTTGTCATGCAAAACATGCATCAAGTCCACCACTTGTCATGCAAAAAATGGTTGGGGATGGGTGTTTTTTCCTGGATAGTTTTCTGCCAGAGACTATTGGTTGGAATCTTCACATCATTTTCGACTGAACATGTTCATGCTTGTGGCACTACGTACTTGTGCTGCCACCACTGGTGCATCTCTAAGTCTAATGCCTCTTGTATCTTCTCCATGAAGTAGCTGTCGCAAAGCCTGAAGATTCCAACTTGCATATTTCCTTGCTGAGTATCAGGCCGGGAAGGCTTTTGAAAGCGGGCTGGTGGACGTGCAGATTGGGTATTGATGGGGAAGACTCACACGACTAAAAAGCAACCAGCGTGTTCGTGAGTGTCTTGCTTCTGTATTCAGGGTTCTCTTTCGACGCCGTTTTCTGTTCTTTGAATGCATTAGCTTCAAAATTCGCACAAGAAATTTCGTGTTGCAGGGTCTACTGCGCCAAAGAACTCAAAAAATGCTTGCGGAAAAGTACGGAAAATTTTTCCACGTTTAGTACGGATATTACCGTCTTCACGTGGAAATAAATTTTGGTGTTCCTGTACGTAAATTTATTTCTCAGCCTGTTGTAGTGAGTTCTTGCGTGTCGTAACCACAGTCAAGAAAGTTGCTGCTTTTGTTAACGTTAGACGGCAACTTCTACAGTTCTGTCTTGACTCACTCTCGTCCTGCTCGGTGTCGTTTCGAAACAAAGTTACTCGGTCTACTGTTCTTCATACTTCGCATTGAGGCAGCCGCTAGATGAACAGCTGTTGGTCGTTGTCACAAAACATCACATCTTCATCTGCTAACTACTGTATCTTTCAGATGCGTCGCCTCTTGCTCGTCGTTATCGTTCTCTTCCACCGGAGTTATTGTTGGGTGTTGCATATCATGCAGAGACCTCCTCGGTATGTTTCGTCACATTCAGAAGAATCGGTTGTTGGAGCGACAGAAAAAACAACAAAAGACATCGGTCGTGAGAACAAGAAGTTAAGTAGTAGTTTTGAATTTACAGCAATGTATGAATGTGGACCTACTACGACGTGGTTGCGTTGGTAGCCCACCTGCTTTCTGTCGTTTGGATCCGATCGTCGCCTAGTTTAGACGCTTCTCTCAAGAAGAGTACGCACGCCAGCACAGCATTCTTGTTTTGTCTAATTCGTTGTCAGGACCTCATCAGACTAACATATCCACTTCCCCGTCCCTGTTATATGCGTGATCATGAAGTAAAAACTAAGAAGCGGTCTGTACCAAAAACTACCCCACATTGATTTTCCAGAAATTCTCCTTCATTTATCAATCAAAAGAAAATGCAGTCCAATTCTAATTTAGACAAGTCCCTGACGACAGCCAGCTCGCTCTCGAGCACAGCTGGTCTCAATACCACCACGTCGAGCTCCGATAGCAGCGCCACCGGAGGTGCACCAGCAGCCGCACCTGTCAATAAAAGCAACATGACAAGGAGGCAGGTCAGCTACGGAACAGGGATGCTGAACGAATTGAGCAACTTAACCAGCATTCCGGAGAACCCGTTTTCGCCCCAGAATACTACGGCTGGCGGTCATAGTACCTCTTCCACGGCCCATCTAAACAAGCGTAAAATCATTGTTTTCACAGAAGACGCAAATGTGAACGAGGATTGCAAACTCGTGAAACAGCTGCTCCGGAAGATGGTGAAGAAGATTCACAAGGCAACTATGGTAAAATCGGAAAAGGAACGGGAGGAGAAGAAGGCGAAGAACTACAACCGGAGGACAAGAGGTGCATTTGCCACAGGACACAACCCCAACAGGAACTTTAGTTTTTCTTCCACCAGCGAAGATGACGATGAGGACAGCGAAAATTTTATTTCCCTCCACGAAATCAACCTGACCAAACACCCCGCGAAGAGGAAGGAATTCTACCAGTTGCTATTATTGGAGCACGAGAACGAATCGTCTTTCTTCGTGACGCTCCAAGACAGCAATTCCGGGGTTTTGTCCACGAGATTCCGCTGCCAGAGCTACAAACCGTCGTCCTTACCGAAAATGCCCCAGGTTTGGTTCAACAACCGGTATTATGCATTGCAAATATGTCTGGGTCTGGAAGATTGCAAGATTTGCCACGCTAGTCTGGCATGACTCTGCGCTCTGTATTGCGTGGCCACCAAGAGGTCCTCTTGCCTGTCATGCAAAAGCGCAGTTTCTCATGCGAAACACGCAGCACAGAAACACGAACAAACTTGTCATGCTTGCCAGCGCATTACAGAGCACTTTATTGCTCACCGACTTGCATCACAAGTTTCCAGACCCAGACATTTTTGCAGAGGATAGATATTTTGGCGGCATGGACGAAGTGGAACAGTTGGTCAACAAAATCGATGAGGATCGGCGGATTATGAAACAGAGAACCATGCTGGCGTACGCGACTTCACCTGATCTGGGCAAGAGCATGATGTCTAGTACAACTTTAAGCCTGAGCAGAACTTCCTTCAACAGTACCCTCAACAGCAGTACGATCACCAGCAACCCTTTGCTCAACCGGTCACTTTCCTCGACCGGCATGTCCAAAACCGAGCTGAACCAAGCACTGAATACCTCCGTGTCGGCGAACACGTTGCAGCATTTCCTCTCGTTGTTTGACGATCCGGAGAACAAAAAGCAAGCCTTTCTTGACAACAGCTACAATGTCAACAAGAGTCAGGCAATTTTGAAAGAATCCGCGCGGAATGTGAAGCAAGAGCAAAAAGCCGCGGCCGCCGAGGCGCAAAAGGCAAAAGAGCAGGAGGAGGAAGACGCTCTGAACGCGGAAATTATGAAAGCAATTGCGGAGGCGGAGGAGGCGGAAGCAGAAAAAACAAAGCCAAGAAAACTATCCAGAAATGAGGAAGAAATGGCAGCGGTGAGAGCGGATGAGGAGGCGCAAAAAGCCGCTAAGACAAAGAATGCTGCATCTTCGAACAACAAGAATTATCCAATTCTCGCGATGGCGCGAACGGCGTCCTTACTGAAAAAGTCGGATACCATTGCGCCCGAGGAAATGGTCTTGTCCCCTGAAGGGCACCAGGCCGATAGTTCTGGCAATAGAAAGTTGGTACAGGATGAAAACGGATTGATCGACGTGCCCTACAGTTCGGTTTTCGACGATCCAAATAGCGGAGTTGTGAAGGGTCCCTCGAACAACAACAAACCTGGAAATACAGTGGAAAAGGAAAATGCTTCTGGTGCTGCCGAGCTACACGCTGCGCCACTCGCGGCCCGCGGCTCGCAGCTGGTTCGGGTGGACAGCCAGGATGAAGATGAGGAAAATTATGCTACTAACGAGAGTCGCGGCTCTTCCTCGTCTTCCGTTGAAGACGATGGTAGTGAAGATGAGGAGGATGAAAACGACAACACGACCACCTCCGGCGCAACTTCGAGTCCTTTAAACATGAGCTTGACAAATTCCACCACACAATCCGGAGGCGCAATAAACAATCCGCTCGGCAGTCAGAAGCTCTCCGCTTTCCGCGCGGCGGCCAAGAGGATCGCTTCCGCGGCTTCGGTGGTCCAAACCCAGGAAGACGCGGTTGGGAAGATTAAGTTGACAAGGTTGAACAAGAAGAAAGCCATTTGGAAAACATTGTGGAAATCCGCGGTCTCGAAAACTAATCCGGAAACTTTGTATGCGTTGCAAATATAATGATGTCTGGGTCTGGAGCAAGGTTGCAACTTGTCATGCTAAATCCGAATCACGCAAAGAATCTGTGTTGCATGATTTTGATTGCCAGCAGTTGTCCTTTTGTACCAAGTTGAGAGGGATTTTCTCATGCAGGATAGGCATGAGAGAGAACTCGCTGCGATTTGCCATGCTAGGTGCTGCATGCCAGACCTCATGGGTCATCGAAAACCTGCATGGCAAATCTAACATCCTTCCAGACCCAGATGACATATTTGCACTTCATACTTTGGAGAAGGACACGAAAAAACTGATCGAGCCCATTCCCCTGATGACGGTGATCCTATTGTGAGGAAAAATCCCCCCTCCCCATACCAACCCGGGACACTTTTGAAAATTTGTGATGCTGATTTGTGGCCACAAATCGCGTCTGTATTGCAGGAAGGCAAAGCCAAAAACCCCGCCGCGTTCTGCAGGGAATTTGTAATGCTGTATGGCCTAAAGAGGACGCGACTGGCTTGCTAGGCGCCTACACCAAAACTCCCGTACTCGGGCTCTGTATCTGCCTGCAGTCCTCTACTGCAAGACAAAGCCAATTCGTGTACACAAATTCCGCATCACAAAGTTTCATTTCGCTATGGGGTGGGGGGATGTTTCCTTTTGATAGATCCGGGGCGGGATGCACGGCCCGGGGTTCGCCAAGCCGAAAAAGTTGAACCGGGAAAAGTCGTATGAAAGGCAAAAGCATCGTACTAGTAGTAATCGCATTACAAAGTTGCTCAGCATGACAAATGGAATTTCTCATGCTGATTTACCTTGAAAAAGAGATTTGTCATGCATAAACGCGAAGATTACTACGAGTACGATAGTACTTTTGCACGGGATAATTCCATCGGGTTACTACGGAAGGGGACGGAGGAAATTTTGGCGGATATGGCGAAAAGCGGGGACGATATGGGAGATAACAGGTTGGAACAAGCGTTGTTGGCTATCCTGTGCAAAAACATCCCCACCCCAGAGTTGTCACGCAGATCTAAAAGCACAAGAGCATTTGTAATGCGCATCCCCATGAGAGGCATTTCCCATTGTGTTTTAGAACTTGTTGTGATGCTGTGAACAGGATAAGGAGCTGGAGTTGTTATGCGGCTTCTCTTGCTAAACTGCATTACATTAGAGCCTGCAACTTGTCATGCGTGGCTCCCAAAACTTTAACGTTTGTGTTGCAAAATCCCCATCTTGACTCTGGGGTGGGGACGTTTTTACAAATGATATTGGCTGCAGAAGAACAGCAGGAAGACGGGTTGTTAGCGGTAGATGACTATCCTGTGCAAAAGTATCGTACTCGTAGTAAGTGCCGTCATGCATTACAAATCTTTTTCTCAATGTAAGTCCGCATTACAAATTTATATCTCTCATGCTGCGGGAATTTGTCATGCATTTAGTATACGAGTACGAATACGATACTTTTGCAATGCATAATGACGATGAGGATAAAAAAAAGGATTTGCAGAAAAAATTGCAAAACGACGAGCAACTCGCCGAGGACATGGCGAAAAGCCACGATGTGAGCGAACCGCTGATCCGCCCGTATTTGCAGATCCTCGACCGGGCGGGGGATCAGAACAGCAACAGCAATGCCTCCAGTCCACGAGGGCCACATGGTTTCAACAGTGGGGTGAACAGCAGTACTGAAGACGACGACCACACCACGAGACCCGGCTCTCCCACGAGTGCTGGCAACGCTAATTCCCCGAGCGAGACGCCGAGAACTACTACAGGCAAACAGTCCCCACGAGTTGCGAAATTCTCCGAGCACTACGCAAAAGGCCCTGCTATTCCCGCGGACGAGAATGCGCAGAAAAATCGTTTGAGTTATTTCAAGGCGAAGACCGACCCGCGCAGACAGCTGAACTACGACATCATCCTGCGGATGAAAATCGCACCGATGGTGGCGATATCAATCGTAAATATGTCTGGGTCAGGAAGAGTCGGGGTTTGTCATGCACATTTTGCATGACCCATGAGGTCTGTGATGCAGGTCCTAGCATCACAGATTTTTCGAGAGCTTCTTGATGCTTACCACGCATGAGAAATGCCCTCTGCGCGTGCCAAGAGCTGGAGGCTCTTGCTGCCCGTGCAACTACACAGATATTTCTAGAATGCGCCGCAAACAGCATTACAAGTTCCACTCTTCCAGACCCAGACATATTTGCAGTTGATAGGCGATGTTGCAGCTGGAGAGCCGGACCATTTGGAATTACTCGAAATTGATGCGAAGTTTGGACGACCGGTTCCGACAGACGGGCGGATATTTCTTCGCGAATTCCAACCATCCGTTTTTCCCTCCGGCGAAATATGCGAACCGGAATTTTTTGAAAACCTTTTCCTACTTGAATTTGATGGAGGTCACCACACCCAACCCCACGGTGAAGCTCATAGAATCAGCAAAACACGGAGCTGCAGGTACTAGAACAAGCTCCTCTACCAGAGCAAGCTCTTTGATAACTCATGCCCCGGTAAGACTCGGCAACCTCGCGCAATCAATAGTCGGTAAGGTGGTGGAGAAGCAGACTTTACTTGCGAATTCGCTGATAGAAAACCTGGTTTTTTACCCCCCAGCATTGCTGCTCCGGAATCTGTATCCTGTGCAAAAGTATCGTACTCGTAGTCAGTAATCGCGATCGTGCATTAAAGGCAAAACAGCATGACAAATGCCATTTGTCATGCTGAGCTAATTTATTGTATTGCACTTACTACTAGTACGATACTTTTGCAATTCATAATCTGGGAAAACTCCCCGTTTTCGGGGATATCGTGCCACAGATTGGTTTATGGAATGCAAATATGTCTGGGTCCGGGAGATTGCGAGGTTTGTCATGCTAGTCTGGCATGACACTTGAACCTGTAATGCGTGAGCAGGACCAAAAGAGCCACTTGCCTGCCATGCAAAAATGTAGTTTGTCATGCGGAAAGCGAAACACAAAGGAGCCCAGAAACTTGTCATGCGTGGCTGCCTATTGCAGTCGTGTCCCCACAAGTCATAAATTAGCATCACAAGTTTCCAGACCCGCACATATTTGCAATCCATACGGTTCGGAAAACCTCAACGAGGACTTTTCTCTCCTATCAAACAAAAAGAGTTCGTCACAAGCACTCATGCGCATGCTTGCAATACAAAATTGTTTGTCATGCGTAAAAATGCATCACAGCAAAACTTCATTAGGGATTTCCCTAGTGTTTCTGCAAGACAAGGAAAGTTTGTGACGCTGAGAAAATTTGTAATGCAAAGCCTGCAAATTAGTGACTGTGATAAATTTTTTTCTCTCCATATCTCCACCCGCTCCGCTACTGCTTTCGCGGGCGGGATTTGACGCAGATTGTCGCGCGCGGAATTATTCCGGCGGTGAGCTGCCAGACGTTATTGGATGAAGGGGTGATTTACGACGTGGAGTTTGACCAAAAAATCCGGACCATGATGTACAAACAGCTGAAGAGGGCGATGAGCCAGCTCTACACGAAGCAACGGAACAAACTTGCGGAGGCTTTGCTGAAGGCGAAAAGAGGGATAATTGGAGCCGACGAGGAAGACGACGACGAGAACGATGATATTACGAAGTCCGTTGTATCAAATGCAAAAGTGTCAATGTCTGGTTCTGGAAGATTGTCATGCTAGTCTGGCATGACTCTGCACTGTGTATTGCGCGGCCACCGAGAGGTCCTCTTGCCTGTCATGCAAAAGCGCAGTTTCTAATGCGAAATACGCATGATCACAGAAGCACGAAAAAACTTGTCATGCTTGGCGGCGCATTACAGTGCGCTTATTGTTCACGGACTACTTGCATCACAAGTTTCCAAACCCAGACATTTTTCCATTTGATACGTTGCCACAATTGGCAATCTCATTGTCGATGATGAGGAGGATGAGGAGAGGAAGAAAAATGACCCGGCCTTGAAATTAGCTTTACCCGACGGAAAGAATGTGAGTCCGGCGTTTCAATTCGGAGATTTTTTTCAGGATGAGGGCGAGTTCTACAAAACGACGAACCCGGGGAAGAGGAATGCGGTACATAAAAATTCCAGCGACCAGCCAACGGGTGAGGGAGAAGATGGTCAAGAAGAAGAAGATGAACATCAGGATAATAAAGATGAGGTTACATTTTCCTCCGGCCCGAAGGAGCCAGAAGATGAGACGAGTGCTGCTGCTGACAGACAGGAACGACAAAGCAATAAACTAAACCTCCCTGCTTCTTCGCGCGAAGAGGCAGAAGACGCTGCAGAGGGGCAAGCGAAAGGATTAACACCAACAGGAGAGGACGACACTACTACAAGAGCTGAGGATACTAGTACTGCAGCACCGCTGCAGCTCGAAGGCGACCACAGCAGTCTTATACCAGCCGTCCTTGCAGATGATGATGAAATGCTGGAAGGTCAGCACAGCCTCGCAGCTCCTGAGCATTCACAACAAAAAGCCGCAGGAGCAAAAGTATGCATTGCAAAAGTATGACGAGCATCGTAGTAGTAGAAATAGAACTAAGAGATGCAAATTTTTTCAGAAACCAAAATGGAATTTGTAAATGCTAATTTACCCTCTAAGTGTCGGAGTCCCGTAGATTTGTCATGCGTATTAGCTGCAATTCTTCATACGAGTACGATACTTTTGCAACGCATAACATAAAGACCACGTCGACGACAACTACAAGCAGCTCATCGAGGCGATTCAGTCCGTCTACCGGGATTTCCGGGCCCATTTAGCACAAAAAGACGGGTACGTGACGTTTTCGGAGAGGAGAATCTACCGCTTGGCCATGTACCGGGGCCTTCTGAATCCGAAAAGTATCAGCCTGCCCTACATGCTGTTTCCGAACTGCAATTCATCTTCTCTTGGTGGGTCGGATAGTACAACAGGAGGAGCGGTACTAGACAGTTCAGGTGGTGGAACGAGTGCAGATTCATCGTCTTCGAAAAGTACTGGAGCAAATTCCATCTCGAATTCGCAGCCTTACGTGATTATCAACCAGTTTCTCATGCGGCAAACGCAAGAGTCGAAGGAACAGCAGGAAAAGGAGTTGTCCAAACTCCTCGCGGAGTATGGGCAGGAGGACATTTATGGAAGCGTGATCTGGATCGAAATCGACACAATTGAAATAGTTTGCCATGCATAAAATGCAAGGCATGGAGTGGCTGTCTTGCCGGGATGGCAAGTGAGGCCGATTGTGAGCTTGTTAGGGGTCCTCGTTTGGAATAGACCTGCAAAAGTAGGATGACAAAAGCAGTCTTCTGTGCCCAAAGAGCATGACAAATTGGATTGCAACAAACAGCGTGGCAAATCGGTGCTCGGGAAATTTGTCATGCGCTACTTAGTAAGTGGGCTTCCAACTGGTATGGGTTTTATGCATTACAACTCTGTCGATTTCGATCCTGACAGTTCCATAACATCTTCGCGAACGAGGCACTGGAGCGGGCCGATAGTAAAGACGACAGTGCTTCTATGCAGAGAAAAAAGTGTTACATTTACCCACGCTGATGCAAGACCAGCAAGACAGACAACCACTGTCATGCAGGACATCATGCTTTCCAGCCTCATGTCTTCATGCGCGTTTTCGCTTTATAGTCTGCGCATCACAAGTTCTCTTTGCCATGCAATGCAACTTTGTGATGCTGAAACTGCACGACCAAATGTGTAGCTGTAACTCTTTTTTTCTGCGATAGCTTCTCCCTTTGACGAAGACGATGAAAATGACGATGAGGAGTTTCGCGAGCACCAGAAAAATTTACATTACGGCGGCCACACCTACACGAAGAAGCTGCTGCAGCAGGACCCGACTTTGACCTTCCTGCATAACACCAACAGCAAATTCCCCTGGTGGAAAGCAAATATGATCCAGAACAAGGTCAGTACGAATTGCAAAAGTATCGTACGTAGTACTAGTAGAACACCGCATTACAAATTGGCTCAGCACGAAAAATGATGAGATTTGTCATGCTGATATAGCTTTGCAAGGAGATTTGTCATGCGTATTTGCGATAATTGCCACGACTACGATACTTTTGCACACGATAGTGCGCCCGATGACGCAACTTCTGCAGGCGAAGATGCTGCAGGGGAAGAGGTATCAAATGCAAAAATGTCTGGGTCTGGAAGTAGATAATTGCGAGATTTGTCATGCTTGTCTGGCATCACAAAAAAGTTTGTGATGCGTGTCCCAGAAAAGACCCTTTTGCCTGTCATGCAAAAACGTAGTTTCTCATGCGAAAAACGCAGCACAAAGTAAAGCAGATATTTCTCATGCTTGGTTGTGCATTACACAGCACGATTCACTATTCCCATCGCAGCATTACAAGTTTCCCGACCCAGACATATTTGCAGTGCATAAGAGGATTTTCCACGACTGCAAGCACGCACACACGCAAACCCAGAGCGGCGTGGTGAATTTCATCGCGATCAAAAACAGCCCGCAGACCAAAGAGGACTACGATCGGTTCCGACTGAAAATTTCGGAACTGCAGATGCTGGATTTGCTACCAGAGTTGGTGGAATCAAGCGGTGAACAGAATACTGGTACACGACCAAGTTCGGATAGTACTGCTGGTGGTTCTTCTTCATCATCGTCTCTCAGTTGGAAACACAACAAAGCTTTCCTGATTAACTGCTACAATTTGCTCTGTCTCCACGGTTTCACAGAAGCTGGGGTGGTCTCCAAATTAGACAAACGGATCTACACTGGGACTCGTATGCACTGCAAAAGTATCGTACTCGTATAAATGCATTACAAATTTTCTCAGCATGGAAAATGAAGTTTGTAATGCGGATTTACCTTAAGAAAAAGATTTGTAATGCATGACTGCATTACGAATGACTGCAATTACTACGAGTGCGATACTTTTGCACAGCATAACTCACCCCTACCAGCAACAAACCGCGTACCAGTTCGCTTTTGGATTTGTGCTGAAGTTGGCAGATTTGTTCCAGATGGTGAGCCCAAGGAAGGACTACCGAGTATTGTGAGGAAAAATTCCCCCTCCCCATACCAAACCGGGATACTTCTGAAAATTTGTGATGCTGATTTGAGACCACAAATCGTCTCTGTATTGCAAGAAGGCCAATTCAAAAATCTCGCCGCATCCTGCCGGCAATTTGTAATGCTATAGGGACTACGGAGGATATGCCTGCCTTGCTAGGCGCCGATACCAAATCCCCCTACTCCGGCTTTGTATCTGCCTGCAGTCCTCTGCTGCAAGACAAAGCCGATTTGTGTACACAAATACCGCATCACAGATTTCCATTTCGATATGGGGAGGGGGGATTTTTCCTTGCGATACCGCGTGCATTTCGTTCTCAACCACTGCACGAAGTCGTGCCCGCCGATCTACTGGCTGGACAAACACTGCACGAACTGCGTGGAGGAGGAGCTGGAGTTTTTGTCCATGCTGTACTGCATGAACGTATGCAATACAAATTTCCTGCACATGTACAAAATGCATCACAAATTTCACCAACCTGGAGCGTGCCACTTGTCATGCTGAATCGCGTTAAAAGAAAACTTTGTCATGCAGAAATCGCACTTGTACATGTGCAGGAAATTTCCTGTGAATAGAACGACCAGAACGTGTTCTTTCAGACAAAAGAGTCGGAGGAGACGTTCAGGTTAGGAATATCGAGAAATAAACCCTCGAACAAACGGAAACGGAAGCGCTTGGAGGTTCATTGCTTCTTGGTGAACAATATCAAATGTAAAAATGTCTGGGTCTGGAAAAATGCAAGTTTGTCATGCTTGTCTGGCATGACTCTTAAATCTGTCATGCACATTACCAAAGAGCCCCACTTTTCTGTCATGCAGAAACGTAGTTTGTCATGCTGAATAGGCAACACCCAGAAGCTCAGAAACTTGTCATGCTGAGCCAGCAATTGTCGCCTCCTCATGATACGCCACACAGCATCACAAGTTTCCAGACCCAGACATTTTTACATTTGATAAACAAAACTCTTTGGAAACTCCCGGAATTCCAACAGCAGTTCGTCACGTTGAGCACCATATGGATTGTAAAAATGTCTGGGTCTGGAAAGTTGGAACTTGTAATGCTAGCTTTCCATACCTAGAAAATCTGTATTGCATAAGCAACAAAAGTCGCAGCCTCTTTTGTCATGCGAAAACGCAGTTTCTTATGCAGATTGCCTATGAGAAAGCGTCTTGGGAAGTTGTCATGCTGGACTGCATTCGGAAGTGTTTTCATCATGCACTTTTTAGCATCACAAGTTTCCAGACCCAGACACTATTGCATTTCATACACCAACACCCGCGAAAACGCAAAGCGGTCCGTGATGCAGATTTTGCTGAGGCACCTTCGGGGGGAAAAGTGGAATTTGTTGAAAAAATGCGAGCAGGATTTGAGCTTGTTCCATTTCTACTACGGCACCTCCTCCGGCGGCTTTGGCGCGTTCGCGGAACGGGCGGCCTGTGAGCCGTATCAAATGCAAATATGTCTGGGTCTGGAAGATTGGAGGACTTGTCATGCACATTTTGCATAATCCATGATGTCTGTGATGTATGCGATAGCATCACAGATTTTGCGAAGGCTCGCTGATGCCTATACCGCATGACAAATGCCCCCTCCGCCTAACAAAAACTGGACTCCTCTTGCGGCTTACGCAATACAGATTTTTCTAGAATCCAAAGACAGCATGACAAGTCTCATCCCTCCAGGCCCAGACATTTTTTGCAGTGCATAAGCCCTTTGACTTCACGAGTTTGAACTTGATCGGGCAGGACACGAAATATTTTCCGTCGGTTTTTTAGAACAAGAAGTGGTGTATAGATGTTGTCACTTGGTTGACCACGACGGCGAGCACAAGGCAGATAAAAATGCAATCACGCCTCAACAATTCTACAAATCGCGCCGCGATTACAGCGCACCTAGTGCAGGCAAAGCTGTGGCTTTTGTCGTGTGTTCGGGCGGGGTACATGGATGTAGATGTCATCGCATTGAGGCTGTGATTCTTGTACGTGTGAGCCAACAGCTCAGAAATGCAAATTATATGAGAACAATCAAGACCATGTCCAGAACGAGAATCGGTGAGCAAGGTTAGCGTCGCTTCTGCGTCGTCTCTCGTAGCGTAGCTCGTGCCTCTCTTCGCACTGCTAGAAGCAGAAGCTGAGGGCCTTTTTGGCTGCTTATCGGTTTCGTACCTGTGGAGCGTATTTTTTTTATCGGTATCTTCGTAAACGTACTAAAGTTAATTAGGTTCGTTGAACATTTGATTTCGCAGCTATCGTACGTCGCACTTTCCTGCGCAGTGCTGCTGTCGTACTCGTCGGTTTTATCGTGCTGTCCTCGTTCCGAGAACCTTTCGTCCAAGAATGTTGATCGTCTTCAAGACTTGCAGGACTACAACTTATTTATCGAAGAAGTGCAGCTTCTCGATGAGGATGATTCTGTGCCTAGGCGGTGATGAACAAAACAATGCTAGAACACCTAGTCCACTTTATTGTGTTTCCATCAATTAATCTTCTATCATTTTTGTAGATCGATAAAACTCATAGTACCCCGAAAACCCACAACAGGGAAGTACTGCGCTCGTTCGGCGGATACCACTACCAATATTTTTACACCCCCGTATCCACCAAGAGATACTTCTTTCACTTCTTTCTAGTACAACTAGAACTATTACGTAAGACATCAAAATAGTTGCTCTCTCTCTCCCTGTTTTTCGTCCATCGAAAGCCAAACTCGAGGGCCAAAGCATCGGTAGCGGTTCTGGACAGCACGGTGCTACGTATACGTTTCCCGCTGTGAGTGTCAGTCGGATCTTCCTTCTCCTGGCTTTTTCATCCGCGAGGAACGAAACTTCTAGAAGAGACGACTGCTTCGCCACTACCTACTAATCCATATCTTCGGACTCAATTATCCAGCGGTTGTGTGGTCGAAGTCATCATGCAAAGCAAGCGCAATACCAAAATCATGGCCCGCCGCGTGGGTATCCTTGCAGCGACCGGGCAGGTCTGGACGGGATTCGGAACTCAGGTTGCGGAGAAGAAGATTGCTGTTCATGAGGGTGAGAGCACGATCACTTCAGGGTTTTTTAGGCCATCGAAATTATCAAGCGAACATTTGCGCGATTGTCTCAAGCAGCTTACTCACCTGAAAACAGTGCCCGCGACTCAAAAAAAAAAAAACAAAAAGGCGAAACTTCGAGGACGACGATTGCAACGAAATTACTGTAGATGTAGCATCACATCTCTATCAGGTGCTTGAGCGGCATTTCATATTTCTTGACAGTCATGGTGACTGACCTTGGCGTTGGCAACAATGGTTTCACTTGTTTTGTAGAGCTGGCTGTCATAATTCTTGTAGTCTGGTATTGATTTTCCAGAAGTGTAAGACCTACCGAAAAATAGTTGTGGGAGGGTGCTGCTCTGCCTTCAATGACCCGGAGTCGGGAATCGTGAATTCGAGGTCCAGCGCCGTAGCTATTATTGCTATTCGTGACAAGAGTATTTTTACTAATGTTGCGGCCGTCTAGGGTGTTAGTGTTGGGATTTCGACAGAAAGCTACCTTTTTGTTTTTCTGAGATGACGCCGGGGACTGGTTTCAATATGATAGGCTTGGCGGGCGACTCGACACAGTGGCATAAAACGACTGAGGCCCTACGACGGCTCTTAATTGTAAACTACAGGGCGATCCAGAAAAAGTACGAGGAATTCCTGGAAACAAACTGGCGTGGGCGGAAGCGGAGGCCCGATGCACCACAGACAGATTTCGCTCCGCTTGCAATCGATGTTTGTCATCCCAAAGAGGCACAAGCAGAGCACGAAAAGAAACACATGAAGCGGGGAGAAAAATCTAAGCTCTGTGACGAAGTCATTGTTTTGGGCGATGTCCATGGTGCTTTTGTCGACCTGGTTAGGATGCTTGCAAAACTACTGCCGACAAATGATCCAAAAAGCACATTCTGGGGCGAAGATCCAGTTGGCACCATTATACTTCTTGGGGATTGGATGGACAGAGCCCCGGTCGCGGGGGACAGCTTCTTTACAATCCTCTTTGTCATGTGGTTGCAAGCGGCGTTCCCGGATCGCGTTGTGTTGCTGCGCGGAAACCACGAGACGGATATTATCTTTTCAAACTCTTGTAAAAATCCGGGGTCGGAGCTGGACGCATTACACTCAAATTACAAATCCATCGTCATCGACAAGCAGTCATTTCAGGACAACTTCTGCGACGAGTTCTTAGTTAAGAAGATGTTCCCTAGCCTCTTTGTTTGAGCGTATTTTTTTTTCCTTTTTTTTGGGCTCCGTGTACAATGTCCATGCTGTATTTGTTAAACATGTAAAGAGATAAGGACTAGAGTCTGCAGCAACCGGGAACTGGTGCTCTTCGCAGGCACTGGCACTCGACGCACTGTTAGGGTTCCCAGAAATTACACGGGGGGAAGTTACGTACTTACAACAACCACACACACTGACAAGCGCACTCATTACACTTGAAAGTGAGGCTGTATCAAGAACCGTTTTAGAAAGAAAGGAGAAGCAGCAAGCTGCACCGCAGACGGTTTCCTCGTTTCTACCCAGTTGCAGTTGCTATTTCAACTTCCGGGCGGGGCTGAAATTGAAATACAAATCTTCACATTCGAATATATGTAACGCAACGTGTGGGAGTGTAGAGGCGGTTGGGTCCTCGCAAGGAAAATCTAGAAATACATTGATACTGGGCGCATTAGCCCGCCTATACTTCTTTTTAAACCTTTTTACCTTACTAAAGACATCAGCTCGAATTTATCCTCGGGACGTATATTATAGTCCCTCGCGACTCTTGTTAGAGCTGTCTCAGATCGATGAATCGGCACGAGGCAGTAGATAACGTAAAGCCGGGTCGTGGGGGCGCAAAAAAACTTTTCCGTACTACCGCAAAAAAGGCATGCCACATCTTCAGCGCCTAATTGTACTATTCACACTCGTAATTTCATTTGATTTTTTGACGAAAAAAAGTGAACTGAACGAAGAAGAAGATCGCCATCGGGCACTTTGAGGCTCGTATATGTGATCCGTATCTTCAACGCGTGCTATTAGTAATCTATCACGCAAGAACCGCTCATAGCTCTTAGAAAATTGCTCGTGAAAGAGATCTGCAGGAAAGAGAAGAAGAACTACCCAGCTCTGACGTATCTGTATCTGTAAGATTTTTGAGCTAAAAGAACTCACTATGCTGCTCGCTACACCAGTAGCAGTAGTGTTTAAGGAGTTTAAAGCCACGACGTAAAAAAATGAGTCGTAATTATCCAGCTGTCGCCGCAGCTGCACATCTATCTGAGTTGTAAGCCTGTATCTTTTATGCTTAGTCAACACTATCGCGTTAACGTTATCTTCTACAATCATTTTTTTATTTTTTCTTCTTTACTATACCAAGTAGTATAGCCTGTGGAACGACGTGGCAATTTGTTTTCGTTGAGCGAAATAAAACCGTCATTGCCACGTCGCAGCTGCTTTTGGGGGCACTGAAATAGAAATGAGCGAAGATTGAGGGCGGTGCTTACGGTAGTAGAATCATGCCGGAGATAAACATCTTTGGCTTTGCTGCGCACCGAGATCTCTTTCATGATCTGGGTAGCGCAGTTTCTGTCTTTTTCAGGCTGTAGCTACAGGCTTCCATAACAGAATGAACTGCGCCGCAACAACTGGGCCTAGAAAGATTTGATATCGCGTCTGACAAGATGAAATGAAGCAACTTCCACCTCACCAGGGGACCGGCAAGAAAGAACTATCTCAGTGTATCTATTATTTTTGCTCTTGAGTTCTACGCAGAGCCAGAGGCAGACGCACGCCTGTCATGCTGGTGCGTGTTGTTCTTGAATCTTCGGAGTGCGCTCGTTCTTGGTGGAAATATAGGTGCGCAGCTTGTTCAACGTTGAGCAATAGCATACGCAGTTGTGCTGCAGAAGTACTTCTGCTTCAAAAAACTCGGGGCTGCTGGATTTTGATTTTTTGATTTGTTGCACCATCAATCATGGCTCTAGCATACTGGATAAAGAAGGCGGACGATGACGATCTTTGTTCGGTATGGCGAAGAGAGGAGCACTATTGCAAGTATTCTTCTTCTCCGTCCGGATTATG